ACGCGAGCGCAAATACGAAGACCAGTGCGCGCCAGCACAAAGCGGAGGACAGCGAGCGTTCTTACAAGGAGAGGGTGGCGCAAGAGTTGCCTCTGGCAGGCGACGAGCGCGAGCCGTCGGGCAGCAGCTCTTGGAACCAGTTCATCAAGTGGCCTGAAATTGACGAGGAGCCTGGCTTTTCCGGCGTTGGCTCCGCGACTGCGTATTCCGAGGGCACATACCCCTGGCGCGGCACCATTGCTCAGCCCAAGAACAGCAGTCGTACACGTGGAGACTGGAACGGCGCCCCATTTTTTGAGTGGTCATGGAAGAACGTGACGCCGTCGACTCCAACGAGGGACGTTTCCGAAGAGGTGGGTCCCCTCACTCCGATGGAATGGTCGTACAAGGGTTTTTTGGAAATCGCGACGGCTGCACGAGCTCATTACGAAAAGGAAATCGGAAGGCCTGCAGGGGTCGATTAATGCGACAAAACAGCAGAGGAATCAAACGCGAGACTCTCTCCGCAGGGCCAAGAGGGCAATAACTGAGTCGCTGGAAGCGCAGATCCGCTCGAAGATTGCGGAGGCCGCCGGGCGAGAACGCGCGAGCCAGTGCGCCCACGCGGTCTGGCAGACAGGCGAAATCTTTGACGCGCAGCGCGACAACAACTGGAGGAGCGCCGCCTACTACTGCATGAACCCCCAAAGATGCTGCATCACGCACGGTCAGCGTGTAAGCAGCGATGCTTTCTTCTCCGCGCACCACCCGGAACTTGCCCGCCTCCGCGCCGTTGTGCAGCACGAGAAGATGGCCTACGTTGGGCAGCGTCGCAGCCAGATCCAACTTAAGACTGGACCCTCACGAGGACCCTAATGATCCATCATGAGAACATCTTATGGGCTCCTCGCTCAAGATGCATCTTCTCAAAGTACTTTTCAAAGCATAGAAATCAGCTCGCTTCTCAAGACGCATCTTGTTCTTAAACCTCAGATTTATTGATGGAAAACAGGGATTGTGAGCTGCTCTCACTCTCTCTCTCTCTAACCAGAGCACGAACGCTCAGATTGTTCCGCTTCTGAAGGCAAAGGTGCGCGCGGAGTGGGCGAAAGAATACTTTTTCTGGCTGGAGGCGGAAGCGTTATTCAAAAAAATGCTGAGCGAAGAACAACGCTCTCAGGTGTTGCGATCGATTTTCGGAACCTTACATCAAGCCGGAACATCAGGGTCAGGCAGCAAATTTTTAAGGCTCAATTCAAAATGCTACTACAATTGTTCACTTCGTAGTTCTAAGACTTCATTTTTTTCCTTCTTAGGTGGACATTTTTGAGAGAAGTAATGGAGGGAACAATTTTCCTTCTTAGGACATTTGGGAGGTTAATGGAGGGAACAAGAAATGAACTATGTTTTGAGCTCTAACTGAAGGCGTTCAGCGCGAGCAGTGACTGTTGACTCAGCTAACAAGCTGAGTACACTTAAGGCCGCGGTATAGACCCTTAAATCCATCTTCGGAAGCATCATATCTTCTTCGAGGCGGTTACATCTTCGAGAGCAGGGGTCATGAAACGGGTCCTCCACCTCTTCTAATACAACACGGAGGGCGCTTACCCGCAGTTGGCTCGGGCACAGCAGGACTTTCTGGACTTCAACTTTCGGCACCTCCAATTCGAAATCCGCCTACTGCAGAACGTCCGCCGACAGAAGCGCGAGCAGCCTTTAAAGGCGAAAGTGTTGGCATTAAGGCAAAAGTGTTGGTATCGAGAAATGCATTTCCACAGGCATCGCACCCTGGGACCGTTTCTTTTCAAGGTGGCGAAAAGGGTTCTACAGGATGCGCCTCAAGATGGATTTCCCCTAGTTCTAACGGTAACAAAGGAGCTTCGCCAGAACTGTACGAAGGTGGATGGAAGCGGGTTCTGTGACAAGAAGCAGATCTGCCAGGATGCGCAGCTCCTCCAGGCTTGGACCGAACTAGTGGGAAAGCTCGCGATGCCAGCTGCCACTTCCAGCAGTTCTCCAAGCAAGCAGGATTTCGCAAATCCTTGTCTGAAACACGAAGATTTGCGCAGTTTGTTGCAGCGAATGATGAAGGAATTACTGCAGAGAACAACTTGTAGAAGTAGTAGTACTTCTTCTGCAGCGGTGGATCAAGCGTCGCAGCAAGAAGAACAGGTTTCTTTCTGCGACGATGCTTCGGCTATGCTGCGCAGTGTCGGATCCGGTGGAGCAGCTGCAAACGAGCCCGCCTTCTGGCGCGCGGTTTTTTCGAGACATACCGATTCGTGAACTGTGGAACTCGCAACTAATACATTTAAGCTAGGAGCTGTACATAAGTAGTACATTTATTAAGATGAGTAGTTGTAACTAGTACATTTAACATGTTGAGAACAGCTAGTAGTTGTAAAGATGAGTAGTTGTTGTAACTAGTACATTTAAGATGTACTGTGGGTATAATGATGTGGGTCGTATAATACTGTGGGTATACTAGTGTGGGTATAATGCTGTGGGTCGTATAATACTGTGGGTCGTATAATACTGTGGGTATCATACCACTACCGTGGGTATAATACTGTGGGTATAATACGGTGGGTATAATACTGTGGGTATAGTACTACTACTCTGAGAGCAGCTAGTAGTCCACATTGATTACCTCATAACTGTAATCTTTATGTATCTGGGGAACATTGATCTTCTGGGGAACATTGTCACGGCATCAACTCGTAATTACAGCTACTGCGTTCTTGCTAACATGGAGTTAGTACTACTGTGAGGTTCATCTTCATGTTGACATGGAACATCAAAAGCAGTTACTTAATACTGATCTCTCTCTAATGTATTCGGACGACAAAGCAGCTGTGGCATTGGCGGAGAGGCGAGCCCAGGGCATGGCCCTTGCCGTGCGCGGGCAGAGTGAGCAAGTGGCTCGCCGAGTGATGGAAACACCGAGTTTCGCGAATGCTGGGGCTGGAAGCCTTGTGGCTTCTTCGGGCTATTCGGATGCCATTCCACGAAATATCGTCACCTCTGAAAATTGGTGGAAATATCCTCCCAAATTTGTATTATGGCTTACAGTATTTCATCTTAAGAGGGATCTTTGGCGCCTTTTTTAAGGGAGCAGCGCCTTAAAGATGCCCTTCAAGATGAATGAAAGTAAGGTCTAATTGTAGCTGGCGAGACGTTTCCGCTGCTGACGGAAATGGCCGTGAACTCCGTAGTTCGCGCGAGTCGAACGCCACTGCTTGAAGGCTGAACGAGGAACTACGGAGCTCACGGCCATTTCCGTCTGCGATGCGAAGCTTAGATCGATTCCTGGGTCAGTGATCGCAGACGGAAATGGCCGTGAACTCCGTAGTTCCTCGCTCAGCCTTCATGCAGCCTGATGGTCACGGAGGAGACAACTTCACCTACTCGAGAGGAGTTGCTGGAGAACAGCCATTTTCTCTTCTTCTGTTTAACATCAAGGTAAGAAAAACGCACCTGCAAAGTAGATCGTGCTTTTTTCGAATATGAACTATATACTCATCAGAAATTATAACCATGCAAGAGAATAGGAATAGCAGGTCTTGTTGTAGTCAATTAAGTACCCATTCGAAATGACTATGTTGATGTAGTTATTCAATAAAAGTAAGTTCGTCCTCGCCTCTATCTTGATCCTGTACGATCATTTAAGATGCACTTCTGACGATGAAAGTGAAAAAGAGGTCTACAAGGAGTTTACAATTATGTGTTTACGTGATTATTTTTCAATAAAAGAACAAAGTATAGGTACTTGTAAGGTCGTTACCACGAGTAATATTTATAAGTACTTGTAAGTAGGTTTTTCTCTTTCATGAGTATAAGCACTTGTAAGTCTAGGTGTTTTTCTCTCTCTCTCTCTGATGTGCAGGATTCACAACCTAACCTAAGCCAAGCTAAGCTAGCCTCTCTCTCTTTTCGGGAGAAAGTGCACTGGAACATCCGACTGTCCGCTCATGATTTCAGCCGTGTCCAAACAATGCTCAATGCGCAAGACGCTGCTCCTGAGCTACGCGATCGGGATCCAGGTGACTAATTCGACATCTTCCGCTGCGTGCACACTGGGACTGCAGATGCACGACTAGCGAAGCTCGATGTTCATTTAGCAGCGTTGCTCGACTTCACGCAAAGACAACAGAAGCCATCGACATGCCCACGGAGTGGTGTTGTTGTGCTGCCATTGATAGAAGAAGGGAAACGAGCTTCGAGCATTGGCATCGTCGACCAATTAGCGCAAGAAGTGCAGCACCAAGTCGAAGTCGATTTGTTGGATGAGATCTGCTGTCGTCTTCACATCCCTGAAGCAGACACTGTAATGGAACGGTGTATGCTGTCACTTCGTAGGTCGACGTATAGCTTCGCTGTTTTTCGTCTTCTTTTACGGTCTGGGCCTGTTACTTGGACCAAGAAGAGTATGGCGGTATTGTGGATGTGGCTGTGGGTTTGGCTTTTGGCCCCTTTTCACAGGAGAAAGCCCATGTCGAGACGACGTTGTGCAAGTACGTTTATCAACGAGAGGAAGAAGTGTAATACCAAACTCGATGATACCAGCTTCAACTTCCTCATCAGCCTCATCTTCCACCTCACTCATGCTTTCACTACCCGCCTCAAAAATTTCATTACCCCTCCCATCCCCTCCACCCCCTACCGTTCATTCCCACAGCATGAAGCGCTGTGAGCATGTTCCTGTGGTACAGGTATTCTTCGACCATAAGGAAGAGTGGGCACGTGCGCGAGACGTGTTTTGGCTCTGACTTTGGGTGATGAATCATTTCTCTCCCTCAAAATTGTTACTCTACAATACCACTGCAACTTTCGAGAATATTTCCACACTTCGTTACAGCGCCTGTTCTACAACTGTCTAACATTATAACTTGTCGGCATCTAGTACACAAAGCTGCCTTCATCTCGAACATGGAGGAAGGAATGGAGAGGGCGCCAGGCTGAGGGAGCGCGCTGAGCGAAGACAAGGTCGAGGGCTTCCAAATCGCGAAATAAAAAGTCGTATGATTATACCGGCTGCAAAACGTGGCGAACAAAATCGGCCGAAAGAGTATTAAGAAGCAAACTGGTGCTGTCCTCGTTAGGCTTGTTGTACATTCACAGAATGCGACTAAGAACAGCACAGATGACATGAGTGTGCTAGCTGTCTTGTTCTGCATAGCGATTGAGCCTGACAGTCGTATACTTTTCTTTTCCATATTGCTAACTATCTTGCGCAAATACATTGCGCCTGCGTGGTCTTGCTTCGATAAGACGCTACTTTTTCCCAAAACAAACCTACTTAAACTCACTCACTAAGATAACACTCACAAAATGAAGCTTGTCTCATCCCGAAGATCACGACTATCCCTCTTGCCGATCATTCTGGCGAGCACCACTACAGTGGTACTCGCTTTGGAGAGGTGTACGAGTGAGGAGAATGGAGTGTACCCCTCAAATTGTCTTTGCAGAGGAGTGGAGCTCTTCCGTCCCGACCTAGCCATGCCAAACGGGTGCGCGTGCACTGAAGCTGCGGGAGGGAAAAATGGTATTAGTAGGTTGGTATAAGGAGTAGTTTTTTTGAGGTGGTTTCAGAAGATAGAGGTGTGGTAGGCACTATGCTTTTACCTGTACTATCTGGCTGTTGAGATGGATACCCGTCAAACGACAGGGTGTCTCGTCATCATGTGTGAAAGTGCAGGCAGTCTGTTACCTGCCATAATGTATTGTAGTAACGATTTCGTAACATCAACTGGCGCCAATACAGGCAGTCTGTTACCTGCCATGTATTGCACAGGAACAATTTCGTAGCATGATCAACTGGCGCCAAAAAATCTCCCCAACCCCACCGCAGAAATGCAATGCGCCATTGCTCATGCTCCTCATTACCGAACCGCGGAAGACGAAATCCGTACTTTCGTCTCCTCATGTTCGAGTTGTAGCGCAGCACGACTGAGGTGCATCGACGGCGAAAGCTATATTGTAGAGTGCGCTGAAGAGGGAGGCCTAGAAGAGCAATTGCTGACATCGACGCTGGGTATTTTGATCCTATCGCTGAGTGGGGTCTGTGCGTTCGCGGCGGTTGTTATGGCAAGGAAGTGAAATGACCTTTAACTTATTTAGATATAATATTGATGAAGACGCCGAAGTAGAAACTCATCATTTTCAGATTTAGAAGAAGGCGAAAACGAGGAAAGAACAAGGGCTGCATATTGCGGCAAAGTGATAGAAACATTGATTTGAAGATGGTAGAGCCATTCGAAATATGGTAGAGCCATTCGAAGTAAACCCAGATAGTATTCATGCAAAAGTAGTAGGAATAAGCAAAAGATTTCCATTTAGAATCGACGTGGCCATCTCTAACATCCGAAGTTGTTTCCACTTCGTATGCTGTCGAAGAGGTGAAAGCGGTCGGACTCTTGTTGGATCCATGCTTAGTAGGAGTAGAGACCGTAGAAAACTGAATCTGCCAGACAATGCGATAGCGGATCTAGGGTTGGGCGTTGTTGCCGGAACAGGAGGCTCTGCGGTGGATCATAGTAGTTATGAATCATCGTGACATGACACACATCACGACTAGCCTGGATTTTGACTGTAGTGCTTTGGAAATGTAAAAGTGCTTGTTCTTATTTTCTTGCTCCTCAGACCAGGCAGTTGCTGCGTCAATGTGCAACTTTCTTCCAGAACAAGGTAGGCACTTTCATTATGGATTCATCTAATCACCGCACTACCCAGTAAATGTTCCACCGACTTCGCTTTATGGTCCTGTGCAGACGAGTCAGACGCCTTACTACATCAAAAATTTTCCCGCTGGCGGAAGATTATCTTAAGCAAGGCTATTCAGAAAATGTCATAACTTTTAGTTTCATCAGGCACGCCTTCTAGTATAGCAGGGCTTCAGACATGAGATACATCCTCCGAATCGAGCAGGAAGATAGAGCAAAGTATAAGATCTGACGAAAGAGAAGACACATGTGCACGAGTCATAGCTGTTGATGCGAGAAGTAGAAGCCTCAAATCAAACGGTAACGGGAAAAGCGGTCCTTACAATCGGAGCGCGTCAGCTGACGGTCGCAAAAAGGTTAAGGCGAGATAGCTGCATCCTTGATTGGAGCTTGATTGTCTCCATCTAGTAGAGATCCATTCTAGTAGATAAAGCAAGAACTTCACATATAAGAGTAGCGGCCAGAAGTCGCCAGGGAAATCTTAGGCAGATTGCCGAGTAGATTCGCATCGTCATAAGCTTCTTCTCCATCTCTACTCTTGGCAGATATTTCCTGCATCAAGTAAAGGAGAGTATACCTGAGACAAGTAGTAAGTCTCCCGCTAACATCCAGGAATCCTCACCACCGGAATCGAAGAACTTCCTAGGGAGTATATTCGGGTCTCTTCGGTCAAGTTCCTCATCTCCGGCAAAGGGAAAGCGCAAATCGGGTCGAAAGTCATTGGATAACTTAAGGCAGGGCGTGAGGCTGATGTTTAGAGCGGTCGTTAGATTATAACTTAAGGCAGGATCGACGTCTGATGTTTGGTGTGGTCGTTCGATAACTTACGGCTGGGTGTTTGGCGTTTTGAGTCATTGGAAGTGGAAGCTAACTAAGGGTCGGGCAAGTCATTAGAGAACCATACAAGGTATTAGAGAAACATGCACGTCGTGCCACCGCGTGCTACCGTATCCTATCCGGTAGAATGTAGCAGAGTTCTTCTAAGAAAGACGCCAAATCTGGATCCAGATGCCTACGGTGGATACAACTGGGGAAGGCGAAACAGTAGGAGAAGCAGTCGTGCTAGCTCAGAAGCAAGCATACGTACAGACTTGAGTGAGTGTTGTTGTGAACGTTGATGATTATATATTACTTGCGCCCCATTTCTTTCTTCTAGTTTGGCTGCATCTGGATACATGAAGATGCGTCCCTACTACACCCTCTTCGAAGTCGAAATAATGTCTAGCGACCCTGTTTCCATCCTCTTCACTACCCCAGCCGCTTCTCCGCCGCCACCGTCTGCTCCTCGCTTGGGAGCTAGCTTTAGTAGGAATCCTGGCAGTCCGAATTTTATACCGCCACCGCCACTAGGGATGCCACCAGCGCACATGCAAGTGTAGTGGAGTAGTTTGAATCAACAAGATGAAGATAGAATGCGCACATTATGAGCTATTTGTTTCTTTTCGAGTACTTCCTTACACGCTGATAGATCAACTTTGCGAGCTCAATTTGAAGAATACAAATCCTTAGACATAAAGAAGAAGTGGTTGCTTTTTTCGACCTCTTTTTTTCGCAGAGCTTGAGTGATGATTTTGTTGCAGACGATGTCATTGAACAAAGGAGTAAGTGGCACAGGGAGACGCGCTAATACCTATTTTCGGACACAGTCAGCCTGCCTTGCCCTTGTGTTGGGAAAGTATGCACTAATCCACTACTGATACTGTAGAACTGTCGCCTACAAATTCGGTCTGTTAGACAGCTGCCCTTGCACTGTTTAGATAACTACGCAAGTGATTTCTTCTTTTCTAGCACCTAAGATATGTGGAAACCACTTTGCGTCCTCCCTATGCTTGTGGCGACCCTCTCCTAGATTGTATTCTTTTTGGCGCATTTGGAGGCACTTTGATGACGGTTTTGATCTGCTTGCGGATGTCGAGACACAGCCTTGACGTAAGACGACATGGAATGCAAAGCATTGCTCCTTCTCGTAGGATGCGACTACTTCGTGCTCTTGAAACAGTTGGCGCGTCGATGCATCGCGTTGTCGCGCAGTCGTTTTGACACAAGTCGCATTGTTGCCTGCAGTGCTTGACTTCGTTGCGGCACGCAGGACTACAGACTCCGTAGAGATGAGAGTGAACTGCAAAAAGCTTTAGAGTGACAACAGAGAGAGAAAAGCTTTTGATTTTGTTCGCAGGAACAGCGTCGCTCACGACTAGAAACGCGACTACTTGCGTCAGGCAGCTTCGAGCGAGATAGCGAAACTGAAAAGCTGCGTGAGCATATTTGATACATGAGTGGCCGCGCGCGAAGTCAAAACTGATCCTGCTTTTGAACAAGATGGAATGACGCATAAGGGCCGATCATTGTTTCCTCCACAGTCTATGCGCACACGCATTCTTGTCATCCAGCAGCACTATAATGATCGGAAACTGAAAATCTTTTTTCCCTGCTCTGCTAGGTGGAGTGCAAGTGTTTGGGAGTAGATCAAGTTAGAACAGAACAGAAGAAGCAAGATGATGTCTGCTTCGAACGAAAACGACGACACGCCGCTCTGAAAAATATTTGACTTTCAGAGTATTCGGATGCGGATATTTTGACGGACAAGTTGAAGACGTCTGTCCGCCATGGCTTCGTCCGGAAGGTCATGTCCCTGGTGGGAGTCCGGTTACTGGCCACAGCTGCGATCGCTTTTCCCTTCGTGGCGTATGTTAAGAATGGTTGATAAAGTTCCATCTTTCCCAGTTAACTTAACTCCGCCACAATATATTCAGAATGGTTGATATAATGATGCTGAATGATCGATGAGAGGGCGTTGCACCCAACAGATTTACTGGGTGACTTTATCCGTTTAATGAGTGACGACAGCGAGGCTTTACTAGTAGTTTGTGGAAATATTGAAGATGTGACTGTAGAGCTTTGATTAAGTTGGCAAATGCTTGCTGGTTGATTCAGCGCCTTCGAATATTTGAGAAGGCACCGGGGTGGAATATTGAGGAAAGTTCTCATCATTGTCTTCCGACGAATTTGTTTGAGACGCAAGCGCAACTTATTAGAATGATGACGCTGACTACATCTACAACGGTTGAAGCATATTGTTAATGAAAGGACAACGTTTCTCAGACTTGTCTAGTCCCAACGCTTCCGCATTCATCCAGAACAGCCAAGTCCTTATCACTATCGCCATTTTGATTCCGATCGCACTCATCTGCTACAGGTGCCAAATCCTGTCTGCACTAGCCTAACAACCGGCATCCTAACAATCCTACCTTAGAGTCGAGGAAAATCCTATAGACTTCCTCAGAATCGTCACAGTATCATCTGCTGCAGGTACTAGTACTAGAATTAAATCCCATCTGCATCTTAACATCCCAAAAGAGGTCTATCCTCCCTTACAGCGCTCGCCACCTGTTCATCCATACAACCGTCACAGTGTCCTTCAGAAGTATAGATAGTTTACCCTTAGACCTCACGTATTTGCTCAACACAGGTGCAACAACCTTTGTTGCTCCATTCTTACCTGAAGTCAGCATGTGCGACCCTTCAGTCGCCCGCTAATATCCGAAGAACTTGTCTCGCTGCTATCACATTGGCTTTCGGACTGATTGTTGGGGTAACATGTTCAATGTACACGACGTCATCAGTACTCATGTTATGGATGGCATTTGTAATAGAGGTGGACCCAGTAACTCATTAGGCGTTGGCTAGTACTAAGCTAAGACTTTCAAGAAGTCGTAGATAGAGGCGTAACTGGCATGCCCCCAGAATAGGCACATCCACTGACTCACTCGAGATCTATTTGGGGATGCTAATGTGCCCCTCTATTTCCGTAGGGGAAAAGCGATAGAATGAACAGCGTCAACGCTGTGGTCATGTGCTGTGCTCATGTACTTCTGGAGATGACAGGAGTTCGTTTATTCTGTAATTCTTTTCACTCTCGAAGAGCCCTACTCTAGAAGCCACTTTTCTTCCCACCACCTCAGCCTCTCTCTTAACCTCCCTCCACGTCCACCCATGCGCAAGTCGCTCTAATCATTGCCGCAGGATTGACAGGAGGAATTGCGATAAGTCTTGTGGCTTTCGCCTGCCAGACGAGCTATGACTTCACTGGATTTGGACCATACTTGGTAAGCAGTTTTTTTTTCGGTAATCTTCATTCGGTTTCATTCTCCTCAGGAGTATCTTTTTCTGGAGACCTCTTTCTCAGCATGGTGTCCACATAAGTATCATTTTCAAGATTAATTCTCCAAACCTTCCAAGTTAGTGTAGAACGATACTGATCAATGATAGATTTGTGGTCCCAAGCTCCTGCTGCGTAGTCGAACACTTAGCAAATTCGGTAAGGCTTAATATTCTAGCGGGGATGTTATTCCTTGCAATTATATCACTGGCCTGAAAGCGTTGGGGATAGTCAACATCGGCCATGTCTTTAGGCTATGCCTATGCCTTTCATCATCCTACTCAGTAGCTTAGTGCCTTGGTGGCTCTCTCCACCTTCTTATTCTGTTGCGCTCTCTCTCTCTCTCTCTGTCTGGCTTGAACAGAACCACGAATTTACCTCGTTACAGAATAGCATGGCGTCATACTGACCACACTACCCCCACTAAATTTTATGTACCTAACCCGAGTCAATAAAATTTACTCACTCAATTATAGCCAGACAGAGGAGAGTAACTAAACTAAAGAACCTTAACCTTGCTCCATCGGCATACCCCCCCCAAGCTTACTCTTGCCGTTAACTGTTTACTTTCGGTACAAACTTTCCTTAACCAGCTGCATTTTGGACGGGCCAAGTGCCTTTGTTAAATAATCCGCTTTATTTAACGCGCTCGGAACGTAGTTAACCGATATACTGTGCTCCTTTATAGCTTCCTTAAGATATGGCAACTTTATGTCAAAGTGTTTAGTTCTGCCCGTGGCAGTACTCTCTTGACGCAACTTAATAGCAGAAAGGTTGGCACAAAACAAACTGAAGCTTTTAACTTTACCAAAAAGCTCTCCTACAAGCTTCTTAACCCATACTGCCTCTCTAACTCCTTGGAACATGGCTAAATACTCGCTCTCGCAGGTACTACAAGCCACGAGTTTTTGCGTGGAAGACGTCCACTTTATCAAGCTGCCCCCTAGCAGTATGTTAATGCCAGTAGTACTCTTACGGCCTGGCACTTCTCCGCCAAAGTCTGCGCCAGTGTCTACCCGGAGCTTACTGACGTCACTAGGCTTAAAAACTAACTTCAGCCCTTGGGTGTCTTTAATATACGCAGTCAGCTTCTCTACTGCGTCTAAAGACTCTTTAGTAGGATTAGCCATAAATCGACTAACTTCTTTGATAGCAAAAGCTATCTCCGGTCTAGCGTTTGAGATCCACGCTACGTGTCCGACCATCGAGCGACACTGGTGGCCATCAACTGGCTCGCCCTCGCCCACGAGTTGCTTGTTGATCGGACACTTACTCTTTTTGTGTACGTCAAACTTACTCAGCAACTTATCTAAGTTAGCAGACAGCTCCACAACTTTACCCGTCCAAGATATATTAAATCCCAGATAGTCTAGTACTACGGAACCGTCCTCCTGTTTCTTAGGGTCTAACTTTCTACCCTTGAAGTGACTAAGTACTTCCTCCCTAGCTTTGTCGATAGCTTCTGGCGCCCCGACCAGTAAACCGTCATCGACGTAGGCCGACAAGTAAACTAACTTACCGTCGTGCCTCTTATAAAAGAGACCAGGATCGACCGTCGATCTGGTGAACCCCATTGCTACTAACCTCGTAGCAAAGAAAGGCGACCACCTTCGAGGTGATACCCTTAACCCGTGCAGAGCTTTCTTCAGTTTAACCTTTTCTCCCCCCATCTCTGGCGGGAGCCTACAGTAGATCTCCTCTCCTTCACTTAGTGGAGCGTTAGGGAAAGCTTGACTTATATCAAATCCTAAGTACGAAGCTCCATTTGCTATATGTATGCACAGCGTGCGTAATGTTGTTTGAGAAACAGAAGGAGAGAAAAACTGACTCTAAGTCTAGCTGTTGGCGGTTGCCTAGTACTACCGTGCGAACTTTTCGTCTGCCGTCCTTTTTTATTTCAAAGATATTCATCATAGGCAGTATCTTATGACTACTAGGAACCGCCTTGACTACTTCGCAGCAATCTAGGGCTTCAAGGCCAGACTTCTCCTTATCCATGGCTTCCTTCCACAGGCTTGCTTCCAATCCTGCTCACCGTTGTAACAAAAGCTTTAGCTCGCTTGGCTCCAAAAGTCTTCCCCACTTCTTTCGTCCGCGCTCGCTTTTGTTCAGCTTTTCGGGCTTGCTCTTTCAGGAGCTGCTGCCTTTTAGCTTGGCGGATCTTATGTCTCCTGGTGCGATCATCGTCTACTTCGTCGTCGTCACTAGGATGGCAAGAACCTCCAGCCATGTGGTCATCATCAGCGCAAGCGTCCTCCATCGGAACATCGTTGGCATCCTCCTCGTCAAAAGGTAGATCCTCAACTTCCATGCCGTCACCTATTCCGATTAGGTCGTCTTCTAATGATTCGCCGGGCTGTCGGTCATTGAATCCTTGCCCATCTAAATGGCCAAACGCTTGAAGATCCGCTTCGTCGTTCTCCTCTAGACCTCTGAAACCGAGTCCACCTACTGGCCGCGATGGGATACAGGTGGCCTCGTCACCCTTTGTCTCCTTCTCGTGAACTGTGTACAAGAGTGAATTCGCCAGCGCGGGCCCTTTATCTCGTAAAAGTTCTGCTCCGCGATCTTCTCCAGCGAAGCCCTTCAAAAGTCCTGCTTCGGAGGTAGTTGCTGTCTCCCCTGCGAGAAGATCTTGGCACGTCTCGCCCTCGTTAAATTTTACATCCCGAGAAGTTATGACTGCGACCTTCTTGGCGCCCCTTTTGTTTTTGCACAAGACTGCTACCCTATACGCTGGCGAATCTTCCGAATAGCCTACGAAGACTCCCTTCAGAAACTTCGGGTCTAGCTTCTTTCGAATAGGCACTCGAACATACGCTACACATCCAAACTTTTGCAGGTGGTCTTTACCTGGATTTTGCCAAAGGCGCTCATAGTAGGCGCTGCGCCGCCGTCTTCGTTCCGTGCGGATCCAAAGGTAAGCTGCTGCTTTTGCGGCAGCCGGCCAAAGGAGCCGACCACAGCCGTGCAATAGTGCCCGCATGGCGTCGCAGATCGTCTGACTTGTCCGCTCACACGTTCCGTTTTGATTGGGAGAATAAGGCGCTGTGCGTAAATGGACTGCTTCCAACTTTTGTAGATGGCTCGTCAAGAAATCATTACAGAACTCGCGGCCGTTATCCGATCGGAACTTTTTAAATTTTCCATTCCGACGCACCCAAGTCGACAATCCACTAGCGATCTCAGATGGGTTCTTACCGGATAGCGGATGCACCTCCACCCATCCAGTACAGTCGTCAACCAATACTAGAAGACACTTATGCCCATTATGTGACTCTTGGAGAGGTCCCACCAAGTCCCCTGCTACTAGGTCGCCAAACTTACTCGACTTGAACTTTTCAGGCCTTTCTTTGCGGACGTTCCGCTTCTTGCCCTTTTCTGACGCACATGCAGGACAGAACTTGACCCTTCCACTTTTCGAATGGAAATGCCCCCCACGCTCATGCCGACGCTGCTGCGTAACTTGCAGCGTCCGTCTAGCTGGGTTTGCCCTGGTGCTTCCAACTAAAGACGTCGCCCATAGACCTCCGCTGCGCTCAAAGGTAATCCTTCTTCCTTTCGGGTGGATCGCAAAGCCATACTCTTGGCCAAAGTAAAACCTCCACCCTTCCTGCACACACAGACTAACCGACAGGAGACTACGTGTTATCTCGGGGCAATACACGGCGGATGTAATTCCCCACTCATTCTTGATGAGTTCAACTCCTTCGCCAGTGGCTGTTTCACCACTAGCCACTTCTAGTGATGTTTGTTTGCCGTTCAAACGATGCACTACTTCCCGTACATTCGTTATGTGTTCCTCCGCCGCTGTGTCTACAACAAACACCACTTCGCATCTCATTCAAAGCTGCTCCGGTGCCATCAGCTCCTCCTCCTGCAGAACAAGCATGGCGCGCTTGTTGCCCTTCTTCCCGTCGCCCTTGTGGTTGTGCTTTCCCGCACCCTTGGTCTTGGTGTTGTCACCTTGTTTGTGGCTCGGCACGTCACCCTTCTTGTGCGTTGTGCCCTGTAGCTTCGGGCAGTCTCGCTTCAGGTGGGGGCCTCCGCAGTTGAAGCATCCTTTACCAGGAGGCTGCTGCTTCTGGTTGGGGGTCCGAGTCATCAAAGCCGATGACTTCTGGCTTCCTTTCTGCCGCGTGAGTTGCTGCGCTTTTTCTATTGCCATACTCTTCACGGTCTGTAGCGACATATCTGACGCGAGCAAAACGTCCGCTACCGTAGAAAAAGAAGCCGGCATATTATCCAGGCAGGCGTAAGCCGCTATTTCAGGAAGCGTGGCCCTCATCTTCTCCAATTCATCCGCAAGCTCTTGCTTCCTACTCAACCACGACTCAATGTCCTCTGGGTTCGCAGAATCGGGCCCAGTGTGCATCAATTCGCGTAGTAGCTGGCACTTCCTTGCAGACTTCGTGGATTTATCGCGGCCTTCCAGTAGCTGGAACGCGTGGCGACCATCTTGCTCACGGGCGCTACGAACCGTCTTCACCGCTAAGCCGGTAACCCCATTGGCAATCAAGCAGTAAATTTTCTGGTTCGTCTTGTGATCAATGGGGGAAGCATCCGCTGCGTCCAACGTGGATAGTAGATCATATGCTTGGAGGTAAGCGCGTAACTTGAAGCGATAATCGACGTACTCCTCCGGCTTCCCATTGAACGTAGGCAGGACTAACTTAATGCCATCCGTCTCCTTTTACTAGTTGGTCTTGACTTGTTCTACCGTAAACCCAAGTAGCTTGCTGTGCTTCTCGTGCTGCGGCTTCTGCGCTACTACCTTTTTCTTGATGTTGAAGAAGTTTCCTCTATTGCGCTGCTGGTTGTCACGGTGACTAACCAAAATTTTGATCCGTCGAAGATCTTCAATTTTGTATTTATCGCTATTTTAGATCCTTACTTATCTTTATTTTAGCTGCCCTCTGCCGCTTGCTTGAACTAATCAACGACCCCGAGGATACTAGGAAAATGCTTGATCTGTTCGAAAATGTTTCGAATGCGTCGACAACGTGCTACCGCTACTGCTATCGTATTTGGGCAAAAAGAATACTTGTCTTCTATGCTAACTCAGCGACAATGTTGGTAACTTAGTCAGCGGGAGCACGAATCGACTGAGAACAGCTACTATCTTGAGCGAAAATTATCTTGAACTATCTCGGGGGAAGTAGAACACTAGCGCGGCTTTTAAGATACTAGAGGGTCTTACACTCGTAATGATCTGATCGTTCGACTTTTTATGGATCTAACATGCAGTTCTTGTTTCTTAAAAGTGAACGACGTACGCTGTTTCATGCAGAATGCAAATGCTTTAAAGTCTATCAGTGTCGGGCTGCTTTCAAACAGTGCTACGCATACAGCAAGTTTCCGGATCTAGTATAGGTCTTGATTCTAACAAAGTCCCACTTTGATTCTAACAAGCACTATGTCACCAATCCAAGCTTTATGCTCCCAAAAAAGTAAGCGCCTTATTCTAAAGGTCAAAAAAAATTCGGGGAAGTTAATCATGCACGAAAAATTTTCTATAAATTCTAGCTACTTAAGCAGGCTGATCACCTCTGTGGTCCCAAGCTCCTGCTGCGTAGTCGAACACTTAGCAAATTCGGTCAGGCTTAATATTCTAGCGGGGATGTTATTCCTTGCAATTATATCATTGGCCTGAAAGCGTTGGGGATAGTCAACGTCGGTCATGTCTTTAGGCTATGCCTATGCCTTTCATCATCCTATTCAGTAGCTTAGTGCCTTGGTGGCTCTCTCCACCTTCTTATTCTGTTGCGCTCTCTCTCTCTCTCTGTCTGGCTTGAACAGAACCACGAATTTACCTCGTTACAGAATAGTATGGTGTCATACTGACCACAAGATTATTCCTTATTCCGACATATAACCTCCCCCAAAAAACCTCCTCCAAAAAACCTCCTCCAAAAAACCTCCTCCAAAAAACCTCCTTCAAAAAACCTCCTCCCAGCACACCCCTTCCGAACAACCAGTTTGCGATGCTTTGCTGCTTGATGTTTATGAGTTTGATCATGATGCTTCTGCCCGATTCCCGACCGATGGAGGTGGTATGCAGTGGACTTTCGGCGCCGCTGTTCTTATGACTTCGGTTCTTAGACTGTCGCTCAACTTGAAAGCTGCACCTAATTAGAGATGTTAGACTCAGAGACATCTCTGGAGCTGGAGAACTTTCCACTTTGACACTTTAGACTATGTTCAACATAGAAGTAGGCATCTTCATGATGCGCTAAAAGTTGGACCCAAGAGATCAGAGATGTTATACCCCGTGAGTGGGTACATGAATCAATCAAATCAATGACGCACCCAGGAGATCACTTACAAGGCTTATATATCACCGTCGAGAACCTCGGCGCACAACGTAATAGGTTTTGTTAGTCTCATAGACTGGGTTTTTTAGACTACTGTTTTGTAGGACTACAAACAGGACTAGTCGTAGTCTGATTCAAGTGGATGGTTGGTTTTCTAAAGAGGGGTCGGTTGGCTCCAGTGGATGATGGGTTTTTTAAGAGGGCTTGACTCACGTGTGGGGTTCCTTTTCCAAAGGAGGGCTGACTCCAGCGGATGTTGGGTTTTTTAAGAGGGGTTAAACCGTCGAGGAGAGGACTTTTCTACTGGAGGGTAACTCAGGGGGAGGAGTATTTTAGGCTGATAAACGTTCTAGTCTACACGTGTCGGCATCTGCTTATCGAAATGATTAGAATGTGAGAAGAAGACTGCTCTCATTATGTAATGATGGGCATTGCAGTAAAACTGCATTGCGCACATTAATCGGGTACAGGATGACTTCTTCCCACTATGATGCCGCTACGTACTAGTATCAAGTCATGCTTAGCGTACTAGTTCATTGGGCTGTCTTCAATACTGTATCTCGCGAAGCCGTTACACTTGCTTCCAGGGCCCTACATTGTTAGGCTGTGCCGTAGTTGTTCTTCCGAGGCTATTGCAATATGGTCCTCTCCGATAGTTGTAGCTTTTGGCCGTTGTGATAAGGTTTTCTTGCTCCCCCGGTATGTAAGTTTTTGAGTGGGGTTATTTAAGTAGCTGAATGGGAGGCAGCATGTAGTCCTATGGAAAAAAAAAATCCTATGGAAAAAAAAACGCCTAGCAATCTGGCATGAGTGAGGCCCCTGAGCTTGAACTTGAAAGACACAGGGCAGCTTCCACATGGTGTTACTGTAGTGCCTTTTCCACGTCTGCCCGTTCCGCGCGCCCATTCTCTTTCGTGCTTGTGTTACTAAAGCCTCAGTCGTGTTGGGCAGTGTGTGCCCAGTCTGGGGCAAGTCTTCTAGCTCTACGAGGAAGGCGATGTTAGGTGGATGCACTTTTGTACTTGGGTGAGGGATAGAGTGTATCTATGTCGGCTGATACTACATCGTAAGCGCCCTCCTTTCCCATGTCGTGTGAGACGGCACACGCCCCAAGCGGGGGCCAGCCCGCGGCTTTTGCCTACGCCGTTGGCCTTGGGTGCCCTCCGTTTTGTTTGGAGGGGCGCGGGGAGTGATGGGTCTAGCCCTCCGAGGGAACTGCTTGTCGAACATTTGGGAGGGCCTTATGGCAGTCCGCACAGGTTTTTTGGTGCAAGATTTACTGAGTCTATTGTATTTTTGCTGCAGTGCGTGCTCTTGTTCATAAGATGCATTGGCCCTGCCAATTCTTGCCTCGTGCTTGCAGTCACTGAGCCGGGCGTGCCTATCGCGGACGTTGTCTTAGGTCAAAAGCAAGTGCACACTTTTCAACGCGTCGTAGATGTAAAATCAGTTTCGTGTGTCGTAGAGACGGTACTAAAGTATACGCGTAAGTACTTAAGAAAGTCGTAAGCGTAACGATCGGTGTTCGTTAAAAAACGGCGCTTAATCTTAGTAAGCGACGCTTTATCTTAGTAAACGGGATATGAGGGATGCCGTGTACTTGAGAAAGAAGCTGACGCTGTGAAGCGGCTCCGCAAGTTGCCACTCAACTGCAACATACGAGCATCGTTTTTTCCTGTAGCTAATTTGGCTAGTAGCACTTTTCTTGTCTGTCGGAAGAATTTCCTCTCTACCTTTCTATCTATTCACATATGTATCCCTCTGTCTATCCACCTATGTGTCTTGCTATCCAGGCATCTCTTTCTCTCTCTCTCTTTCCATCTATCTCTCCTTCCACCTACGCACCTACCTATCTACCTATCTATGCTCCCGGGGCCCCTCTCAGAGACCATAGAATGCTCTAACTTTTTCCTTCCACATCGTTTTCGATGTCTAGCGGATCGTAGGAGGGAGGCATCACCGACACCGGCTCGCTTTGGACGAATATTGTTTCGCTGCTCTTAACCTCTACATGGACATCGTCAGCCTGTTTCTGCACTTTATGAAGAGGATGAGAGTTTGAGTTTATTTCAATGTAGTACTGAGAAGATAGGAAGGATACTGAAGGAGTTGAGGGAGTTTAGTTTTTCACTTTATTACTGAGATAGGAGGGAGGGTTGATAAAGTGAGTGAATTAATTGAGCTAGAAAAGATACGCTGTTGGTCAAGGTCATAGTCATGAAATCTCACAAAGATCAGACGCGTGAAGATCACCAAAATGACCAAGATCGCCAGGCGAACAAGGTACCCACCGGCACCATTTTCAACGCGTTGGCCTTAGTTGGCGCGGGTGTCGGCGGTTTCTCCTCTCTCTCTCGTATGTGGCTCAAGCCTCCCAATACAGTCAAGGACAAAAGCAACACCGGGAAGGTCTCAGAGATAACCTACAGACCTAAACGCATATAGTTCCGAAATCAATGATCAGCAGGCAAATGACCTCCAACGAATTCAGATAGCAGAAATAGCGAATGTCTCACAGCTGTAGTCAGGGCCATCACGTCTTGCCAGTTCTGACCAATGACGAATACCAGTGCATGGCGATCGTATGAGTCAATGACGATAGCATAAGCGTTCCCATATGAAGCACATGAAAGTATCCCCATGCGTCATGATATCCCAATGAAGAAGCTGAGACTTCCTCCTTGCTACCCCAATGAATATCCACAGGGACCAAAGCAGCCAGAGATCATTAGTCTCAGGCTGTGAGTGCAAGTTGTGCAATCTATATCAAACTCAAGCGTTTCTCACCGAGAAACTAGACGCGGCTTAACAGTCTGTGTTCGAATGGTCCAGCACTACTGTGACCCTTGAGCTTAGTATAGAGTAGAAACCCATCTAGAAGCAGCTTTTCAAAATGTCCTGCGATGCGAAAGAAATCTCGAAGAAACTCGGACAGAAGTCCGACTGGCGAGGATGGCCATACGCCAGGAAGCTAGCCGTCTCGGCTTGCTTCAAAACTGCACGAATGTAGTCGGCATTCCGGCGGCTCCTCATGGTATTCCTCAAGGAGTTACCACCCGGGAGGACGCAATCCGTCAAAAGTGGCGCAGCCTGAAAGATGCGACCCTTCGTAGTCTGAAAGGTGCCGCCGCGTCGTTCATCAACCACCAGAACGATAGTGGTCAGGTGGGTGCGATGGATGCGGGTGAGATTGTTGCGCCCCTTCGTGATGTAGGACACTTCGACCAAAACAACCGTCAGGAACAACGGATGAAGGTAAAGCCGCTTGCAGATGGTTTGCTGAAGTTTCACGACACGGATCAGCCTGCAGATGTCGCGGGATTCTTGTCGAAAGTCCGAGGCATCATGAACCAGTCGCCCACCGTGTACCCGCCGGAAGCAGGAGTGCCAGAAAGTGACCAGCAGAGTGGTGCACGACTGCAGAAGTTGCCCGAGCTGTTCTGCAGGAACTTCAAGGCAACGACCGAACGCATGCAGGAAGAAGATGGTCTGACATTTGACCAGATTGGTGACCGACTTGAAAAGCGTCGCGCGACGTTGATCGAGGCGGGAATCTACAAAGCTGAGAGCGATCCCCTCGGGAAGGCGTTCCCGGTCAATGTTCAGGAAGCCTCGAATAAGCGTTCTCGTGAAGAAGAGGATGACGAGGAGAAGGCCAATGAAGGTGGTAGGATCTTTCTGTCTAAAAGTGCTCTCAAGCGCTTCAAGGCAAACACAAAGAAGAAGATCGCCGCCGAGGTCTATGCCTCCAACTCGAACAGCAAAGGAGACCCGCGTCTTGTTGGAAGAATCCACAGAACCAGGCAAACTGGAACTGGAGCACCGGCTCCCAATCTAGTAGTGTTACGGGTAAAGGTGGAAAGGGTAATGGCATGGTTCACATGTCTCAAGTTGCGGAGCTGTTCCAAGCTCTCAACGCCGCAGAGCAGAGCTGAGTTGCGGAACCGGTGGAAAGTGGACTTTGCTCGCTGAACTTGGACGAAGGTGAGGGTGAAGAAGAAATAGAGCTAAATAATATTGGGGAGATAAAACTTGTGGGGCATAGTCTTTCAACTAGTTCCATTACTGCAAGAGAAGAAGTCTGTCTGGTTGATAGTTGTGCAAACAAATATACTCCAAGACACAAAGACGATTTTAGTGAAATAACTATGAGAATTTGTAGGATTATTGGTAGCGCTGGAAGTAAAGACGGAAGAGCAGGAGAACTGGAATCAAACATCTTAGGGCTCCAGTATGGTGTTTATTATGATTCACTACCAAAGGACTTAGATCGTATTATGCCTTGGCTAGGTGACGGGAACTGCTCGCAATTAGGATGGGAATCCAACTTCAAAGGCACAGGTGGTGGCCTCGTACATACGGACACAGGCCAGGCCATACCCATAAGAAGCCACCCACGCGCGCAGCTTCCCCCACTTGCGTGCAACTTGTTTAAAGAAGAGACTGAGAGTGGTTATACTTGTTCAACAGTAGAAGAGGGAGTCAGTAGCTGTTATCTTACAAGACTCGAACTTCATAAAAGATGTGGGCACTTTCATATAGATGGCCTCCAGGTCAATTGCCCTGGGTGTGATCTACATAACGGCCAACGTGCACCACACGCAAAAGCTAGAGATGCTTCGAACTACAAACCTGAACCATTGAAGTGACTAGCAATCGACTTTGCTGCTGGAATCAAACCCGTATCAGTCAGGTCAACGGGGTGCGTGCTAGTGATCATTAAGCTCTGTCGACCGCTTAAGCTGAAAAGTGACTGCGTGGAGGAATTAGAAGAAGCGATCAAAGGCATTCGCCAGGACTACTCCTTATCACTTGATGACAAGGTAGTGTGGTTCCTCCGGAGGGATGGAGAACCTGTCCTGAGCAGTGGCGACATGGCCAAAGTTATGCAATCGCTGCGAGTCTCAGACAGTCCGGCTGTTCCTTATAGTCCGGAGATGAGTGGGACCGGCGAACGTTTTATGCGGACTTTGTTCGGCAGTGTTCGCACGATGCTGACTAAAGTTGGTGAACGTCTCTGGTGTTACTGCGTCGAGTACGCTGGTGACTGCTGGGATCGTTTATTACCGCATAACTATGCAAAAGTGCCCCAATATGATGGAAAGAGTCCAGTTGAAACCTTGGAAGAAAGGACTGGTGGAAACTCGTCGAAGAGTTCAATCGGCATGCTCCGCCGATTTGGTTGTCTAGTTTACTCTCGTGAACAAATTCAAGCCAACACTCCTGAACCCAAGCTCTCGGCCAAGTACCGCCGTGGCGTCTTCCTTGGACTCTGTCCGAAGTCGGCGGGTTGGTTGGTTGGTTGGAACTTTCGCTCATGACGATCGCTGCAAGCTTGGACATCGATGGGCGGAATACTCTACCCGAGATGTAAAGTTCAGCGAGGGCTATCTAATAAAAAATATTGATTGGCTTTGGCCAGATAAAAAGGGCATCTACATAGAGTGTGACGAACTGGAAAATCTGCAGAATGGCGCGTCGTCGCTGGGCTCCCCCTTGCTTGGGCAGTCAGTGCAAAGGCTGGACTATCAGTCGGGGTTCTCTGGCACGGAGCACATTCCAGGTGGGCCGACCGGTATTTCCGACGAGCTATTTATTGAAACACTGCATAAAGTAGAGGAATCCAACGCAGCTGACTTTCTTAAAGGTGTTTCACTTGAGGAGGGGAATGCTGAAGCGAAGGATCGCGAGCCTCCTGCTCCGCTTAGTCCGTCTAGGTTGAAAGCCCCCAGCACGTGTTGTGGCAGGCGAACGCCATACACACGTCAAGAAGCGTGGCCGACCAAAAGGAGCTAAGGACAAGGCAGGCAGCAGGGTTCGAAGAACAGCGAAACAGTTAGAAGAACTGCGGAAGAGTGTGGCGCTGTTCGCTAGTGCAGTAGGTGGCATGTGTGAATTGGACAAAGATGAGGAATTCGTCGAATCATATGCGATTTTGTCCGTTGCTCAAGCTCTCAAGTCTCCTGGTGCCGACAAGTGGCGGGAGGTTATTGAGAAAGAGCGTGCGAGACTGCTAGCCTTTGAAACGTGGAAAGCAGCTTCTGACGAGGAGCTTGCGACCGCGCGACAGGCTCTACCAATTGCCATAATTCTAACTATTAAAAGATGTGGAAGATACAAGGCTCGCGCTTGTGTCCTCGGTAATCTAGATCGTTCAGGAGAGCTAAACGCCTTTGCTCCCGTAGTTTCGCACGCCGCTAATAGGTTGCTCCTGGCTTCTTCTGCGTCAGAGCAGGACTATGTGATCCCGTTCGATTTAAATTCTGCGCTCCTCAATGCTGAACTCGATCGCGATGTCTTCCGTCGTCTCCCACCCATCTGGGCAGAGAAGCATGGACGCGAGATCGTGAAGCCCAAGAAGGCCTTATACGGCTTGAAGGACGCACCACGGGCATGGTTCAAGAAATATCACGACTTACTAGCCAGTATTGGCTGGGAGCCGTGTGATTCTGCGCCGGGCTTATGGAGAAAGCCGAGTGCGAAAGTACCGGGGAAGTTCCTCAAGGTGTCAGCCTATGTTGATGACAATCTTGCAACGGGTCCTGATCTTGATGAGCTCAAGACTGAACTAGAACTCATCTTCTCCCGTGCCCCTGGCCGTGCGATTGATGTGGAGTCCGTTCCAACCCCTTGGGGTCAAACGTGGCTCAGGTTCGACTTCTTAGGTGCCGTCGTGTACTACTGCCGTGAAGCTCGAACGTTTCGGCTCAATGTGGAGGAGTACATTGATAAAATCGCAAAGAAATTTGAAATCGAAGCCGGAAAACCGGTTTACTCGCCCAATTTTGACGAGTCGGCTTTTCTTGGGGAGGGGATCAAGATAGTCGAAGGGTATCCCTTTCGTGAGGTCGTTGGTGCCTTGCTATGGGTAGCTGTAACCGCGCGCCCGGACATCTCTGCACCGGTGGCAGCATTGGCTAGACATGTCAGCAAACCCGCGCCAACAAGAATGGTTAAAGCAGCCATAAAAGTGCTGAAGTATCTGGTGACAACGAGAGACCAAGGACTGGAATACTCACCAGAACAAGAAGAAGAACTCAATAGAATCTATTCAAAGTTACTACCTGAGGGCAGAGATATGCCAGAGGTGAATATCTTTAGTGATGCAGGCTTCGCCAACTGCGTAAAGACTATGAGTAGCACAAGTGGATCGATCATGTATTTCAGAGGCGTTCCAATTGCTTGGAGAAGTAGCCGACAGACTGTCCGTGCCTATTCTACGGCTGAGAGTGAATATATTGCAGCTTCTGACACAATTGTGCTCATTGAACTGCATGACTTTACAGACTTCTACAGGCCTCTACCAACTCAGTTGGTACACACACAGAACGGCTTGCCTCCCTCTTTAGACAATGCTGCGCTCTGGATCGACAACCAATCCGCGATCACAACAGCTAAAGCAACTGACACACGCCCGAAGGGTCGCCACTATGCACTTCGCTACTTGCGTGTGCGTGATGCGGCCAGTAAGATAGTTTTCTGTCCAACTAACTTAATGAAGGCTGATGGCTTAACTAAGCTAGAATGTAGCCCGTCTCAACGTAGACTACTACTTCATCATGTAGATAATCCGATAAATAAAGTTGAGTATGATGATTGTGATTCCTCAGACGATGAAACCGATGGGGATGATTTAGCTTACTATAGCGTAGTATATTCGGTTTATTTTGGTTGCTAGCCGAGTATACCGTAGCCATAGGAGACTAGTTAGGAGGTATGACTTCCGTGGTAGTCCAGAAGACTAGGGACTTCGACACGCAACGACTGAGGAGGGGCGTTGGTCAAGGTCATAGTCATGAAATGTCACAAAGATCAGACGCATGAAGATCACCAAAATGACCAAGATCGCCAGGCGAACAAGGTACCCACCGGCACCATTTTCAACGCGTTGGCCTTAGTTGGCGCGGGTGTCGGCCGTTTCTCCTCTCTCTCTCGTATGCGGCTCAAGCCTCCCAATACAGTCAAGGACAAAAGCAACACCGGAAAGAGCTCAGAGATAACCTACAGACCTAAATGCATATAGTTCCAAAATCAATGATCAACAGGCAAAGGACCTTCAACGGATTCAGATAGCAGAAATAGCGGATGTTTCATAGCTGTAGTCAGGTCCATCACGTCTTGCCAGTTCTGACCCATGATGAATGCCAGTGCGTGACGATCGTATGAGTCAATGGCGATAGCATAAGCGTTCCCATATGAAGCATATGAAAGCATCCCCATGCGTCATGATATCCCAATGAAGAAGCTGAGGCTTCCTCCTTGCAACCCCAATGAATATCCACAGGGATCAAAGCAGCCAGAGATCATTAGTCTCAGGCTGTGCGTGCAAATTGTGCAATCTATATCAAACTCAAGCGTTTCTCACCGAGAAACTAGACGCGACTCAACAGTCTGTGTTCGAATGGTCCAACATACGCACAACGACCAGAGTTGTGCGCACTTTTATTAAGAGATGGCCTAAGCTGACAGTTGAGAAGCACAGTTTCGAGGAGCTTCGCAGCTGTTGATATGAGTTTTGTTTAGATATTCCAAAGGACACTTTCATACCTTACCTTTGCTGCGCATCTTCGGAGAGCGGCGATAAGCAGAACAATGGCACTACCGCATCTTTGGAAAAACCGACGTCGGATGGGGCAATAAGATGAGAAGTGGACTCGTAGACTCGTAGGGATATAATGATAGGAGGGGTCATAGATAACCTCTTCCAGGAAGCATCTCTTCCACGATGTCGTCGTGGAGTGAAAATATTTACTGTATTCTGTTTGAGCTTGTAAATCTCTTGTACATGTTGATAAAAGCAGAGGCTTATCCATAGATGATTGAACGATATATGATATGACAAGAAGTGGAAACGCGCCGCGACATCTTTACTAGTCTAGATCTAGTAGAATATTTTCATCACGAGTAATCTTTTCCGCTGAGGTGATCTTGCTATCTTACTCAATAAGACTGGAGCTCGTCATGTGCCTCCATATGAATATGCAGCAATGGATTTTCTAGTGCTAGCTATGGTTCCTTTTTCTGTTGGAGCATGTTGAAGAAGAATCACTTGCTTCTACTAGGAAGTCACCGACCGTTACGCATCTGATAGCTTGTTACTCATTTTATAGTCCTGCTTACGTTTATGTATCAAGGGGGATAGTACATTTATGGGGGATATGTTTGATTGTGTACTGAATGCAGAACTTGAATTGAGGGTTGCATGACAGATGGTCGCTTGAAGCAATGATGGAGTGTGTGCCAGGTGGATAAAAGTAGCATATGTAGTGCTAAAGCAGAACTTTGAACTCTCGATCAGTGAAAGACCTCACTTGGAGGACTTGTGGCATTTTTGATGTTGAGCTACCTTGTTTGCTGAATGCAGCAGAACTGTGACGAATCTTGAAAACACTATGAAGAAGCCGATAGGCTACTATTTGGGACATGAAGATTGAAGCCTAGCTTATATTTACGTCTCGTTTTTGCTTGAACGATGGAAACCATGAAATTTATTATGTTCAGTGATTTGATTTTATCTCGATCGAGAAGATAGGGTATTTCGGTGCCGCCCTTACTTTCCTTTCCTTTACTTATGTGCTGGGAGTCAGTGGATTGATTATATTTCGCCTCGGTTTACATATATGCACCAGGGAGGGAGGCCCCCCCTGTGGATGGAGTGGTGGGGGCGTCCGCGCGCCCTTTTTTTCGCGGTGGTGAGATGTAAGGACTCACGGGGGGGAAGGCCTCAAAAGGCGGAGCCGGAGGCGGCCCCTGGCGGCTCTCCGCGTGTACCCCATAGGCGTCCCGACTCTTGGGCACTATCATGGGGCCGGCCTCCAGGGGAAGAAGGCGGCCACGGTCACGTCTGGGAGGCCTGTAGGGTACATGCAACACGGCAAGGGGGTCAAGCCTTGCCACCTGCTGCCCTCGGAGGCCCTCCACCACGGGAGATCTGTAGGGCACACGCAACACGGCAAGGGGGGCAAGCCTTGCCGCCTTTGTCGCCTTCGGAAGCCTTCCACCCCCGGCCGTCGGTGCTTGAACGGCCTCAGGGGCTTGGGCTCTGTGGGGGACATGCAAGAAGCCGCGAGGGCTCGGAGGTGGGCGTTTGGAGGCCTTCCCGCCCGGCCGTCCCTCGGGAAAAAGGGTCTGGGGCTGGAGGCCCGCCTCAAAAAGTTAGATCGGGGGGCGTTCAGCCCTGAGCCCTGGAATATATTTGCCATTGCCCTCGCTTTTCGCCTACGGTAGTCGCTTGGCCATTAGCGGGACGAAGTTGTTTTTTCAACGTGTGCATCCTCAACATCATCCTCGGCCATTTTCTCAAGGAGAAAATATGCCAAGGATGCAGCTAGGCATGCGCATGCATGCGGTGACTCTAAATGCCAACTCGGTGATACTCTCTAGGTTTATGTTATCCTCATAAGTGAGATGGAAGGATAAGGTGAAGCACAGGGCAAGTAGTAAGGGCGCCCAAATGTGAGGTCGAGATTAGTTGACGCACATTCTAAATTGACCGGCTTCGGTTTTGGAGATGGTGTCGCAGCATTTGAGGTGAATGCGCTTTGTCTCTCATTGGGGATAAACGAAGAACCGGATCGAGGCGTTGAGATTAAGCCGATCGTAAGCACATTTTTGAGGCAGCACCTTTTAGCTTGTGATAATCACTAGTTTTCCTAACTATCAGTCAACTCTGCTTAGATATAAAAGAAGAAATATCGATATCGCATTAGATCGGTGATCCATCTTGGTGTGCATACTTAGTCGAGATTTTTCTTATTTAAAGGGGAAGCGGGTTCCAGAGTGTGCGTCAAGATGGATCGCATGGGAAGGTCTTGTATTACAGTAATATGCTAGAAGCACCAGAGTCGATCTATTGCTAGCTTTCATCTAGCTTTCCTCTAGCTCTCACCTAGCTTTCGTCGTACTCTCATCACACCCCCATCCGGCTTTCATCTAGCTTTCGTCCAGCTTTGGCCTAGCTTTCGTCTAGCTTTCCTCCAGCTTTGGTCTAGCTTTCATCCAGCTTTGGCCCAGCTTTCATCCAGCTTTGGTCTAGCTTTCATCCAGCTTTGGTCTAGCTTTCATCCAGCTTGGGTCTAGCTTTCATCTAGCTTCCATCGCACTCTCATCGCACCCGCATCCAGCTTTCATCTAGCTTTCATCTGCCTCTTGTTTTAGCTGTCAGTCTAGCTGGAGTTCTAGTTTTTCCCGATCCTTCATCTACGACAAGGCGTTCTTGAATGAATAAGAAGGGAAGCAGCTAAAAGGTGCTCTATTAAAAGATGGGCTCTTCTTGATATTTCTAATTCAAGTTAACAACTGTTGTGACGAGAGAACGCATTTAGTCACCGCACCACCCCCAAAGCGTAGACGTTCGTCTCAAAGTAGAAAGTTGAGGGATATCCTAGATTTCTGAGCCTTTAGTATCTCTCTCAACACAGTATCAGGATCAGCACTATCATCAATCGTATAGTGGATGCGTGTTGGTCTTGTTAAGAAAGACAGTCTTTCTAGTAGAACCGCAAGATTATTATTAGTGGATTACTGCATGCACCTAATACGAGTGTCTGGAGAGACGGAAGATGCCACTTTTTTGTATTCATGGTTTTAGAAGGCTTTTGAGAATCCAAATCCATCTCCACCAGCATCCTGGAGCTATCCGGAAAAGGGAGAGTAGCTCCAAAATGCCGTTTAGGATGGATTCGGGACGAAAGGTCTTGCTACTTTGTGCTACAACTACATAGGAAGACACTACTTACGAGAAAAGATAAGATCAACAAACGACATTCGCAAAATTGATTATGCTGCAAAAGAAAAGGCTGTAAAAGTTCGACTTGTAACAAGTCAACTCCTTTTTTCGTGACTGGTGGAACCGTGATCAACATTGGCAACGCGCTTTGTGCTAAGACAGCAAAGCATTTTACTCGGGTCTTACGAAGAATTCGAGGAGAAGTTGCCACATAAATCATGGGGAATCGGTTTCCTTCGGGGGGGGGATCGACGACAGCAGAGGCCGGAACGCAGACAGTTGTCGACGTGCCGGACAGTGGACCTCCACAAAGCGCGTTGCCCGCTGCAGAGCAAGTCGAACCGTTGGGTGATGTAGTCGGTGTGGAGGCCGAGGCTCAGCCCATTACGGAAGAAAAAAGTGGGCCGGAAAGTGGGGCCACAGGAGATCCGGTACCGGGCGAAGCGGCAAGTGCGGTTTTACAAAAGTTAAGATATGTCGCTGTAGGTAGTAGCTAGTCCGTGGCATACCTCAAAGCCCTTACACTCTTCCTTGAGTAAAACCTTGCCAGAAAGTGATGGCTTTTCAGGGTGGCCTGAAATATGGTCTCCCACAAGAACGAGTAGGGTCATGGATCGTTGTGCCCAGAGTGATCTAGTCTTTAGGCGTTTCGCATCGGGGTTGATGAGGACTCGGGATGTCGTTACAGATTGTTGTGAGAACTCATTCTTGACGATCGATAAGCGCTTCAGCTTACCTGGAAAAGCCGATCGGCAAGAAGTGTTAACATGTGAATAATCACGACTCTCAAAATACTACTACGCGCGATATTGATATAAGCTTCCGACTTGTAAGCATTGCCTAACAGATCTCGTTCGCGCTCATGCACGGGCGTCCCATCGTCCGAAAAGTGCCCAAAGTGGCGGCTTGGATAATACCCGGGGAGTGCCCAACGCGGGCGAGCTGACGGCCTCGCAGCGCTGTGGCGGCGTGGTCGGCTGGCTCGGCAGGCCCGGCCTCTCCTGGTGCCGAGTGTGCGCCTGCGGCCCATAGTTTTGCGCGGAGCGTGGCGGGGGTCTTTTGGCTTGTCGTGGAGCTGCGCGCCAGCGCTCCGCGCGGCGTGCCCCCCATGCGCGGCCGGGCCGCTGGTGTTCGTGCGCCAAGGCAGCGAGGGCTGGCCGGGGACGCGCACCGCATGCGCCTGCGCGCGCGTTTGCCGGCACTCTGGCGCGTGGCATCTTTCGCGCAGCCTCTTCCGCTCTCGGGAGACGAGGCAGGACGGTGCACCCGCCTAGCGCTGCTGCGGTCCCTTTTCCGGCGCCTTGCCTTCGGTGTGTGGTCTTCACTCGGCTGCTTGAGGGCCTTTGGGCCTCCAATTGCTATCGCGCTTTGTCCCCGGTGCTTGCTCTCGCGGGTGTGTTCGGTTTGTTCGTTGCTGCAATGAGCGTAAAGTTAAGACATGCCGCTGTGGGTAGTAGTCCGGGGCAGACCTCAAACCCTTACACTCTTCCTTGAGTAAAACCTTGCCAGAAAGTGATGACTTTTCAGGGTGGCCTGGAATATGGTCTCCCACAGGCACGAGTAGGGCCACGGATCGCTGTGTCCAGAGTGATCTAGTTTTTGGCGTTGGCGTCGGGGTTGATGAGGACTCGAGATGTCGTTACAGATTGATGTGAGAACTCATTCTTGACGATAGATGAGCGCTTCGGCGTACCTGGAAAAGCCGATCGGCAAGAAGTGCTAACATGTAAATAATCACGACTCTCAAAATGCTGGTACGCGCGATATTGATATAAGCTTCCGACTTGTAAGCATTGCCTAACAGATCTCGTTCGCGCTCATGCACGGGCGTCCCATCGTCCGAAAAGTGCCCAAAGTGGCGGCTTGGATAATACCCGGGGAGTGCCCAACGCGGGCGAGCTGACGGCCTCGCAGCGCTGTGGCGGCGTGGTCGGCTGGCTCGGCAGGCCCGGCCTCTCCTGGTGCCGAGTGTGCGCCTGCGGCCCATAGTTTTGCGCGGAGCGTGGCGGGGGTCTTTTGGCTTGTCGTGGAGCTGCGCGCCAGCGCTCCGCGCGGCGTGCCCCCCATGCGCGGCCGGGCCGCTGGTGTTCGTGCGCCAAGGCAGCGAGGGCTGGCCGGGGACGCGCACCGCATGCGCCTGCGCGCGCGTTTGCCGGCACTCTGGCGCGTGGCATCTTTCGCGCAGCCTCTTCCGCTCTCGGGAGACGAGGCAGGACGGTGCACCCGCCTAGCGCTGCTGCGGTCCCTTTTCCGGCGCCTTGCCTTCGGTGTGTGGTCTTCACTCGGCTGCTTGAGGGCCTTTGGGCCTCCAATTGCTATCGCGCTTTGTCCCCGGTGCTTGCTCTCGCGGGTGTGTTCGGTTTGTTCGTTGCTGCAATGAGCGTAAAGTTAAGACATGCCGCTGTGGGTAGTAGTCCGGGGCAGACCTCAAACCCTTACACTCTTCCTTGAGTAAAACCTTGCCAGAAAGTGATGACTTTTCAGGGTGGCCTGGAATATGGTCTCCCACAGGCACGAGTAGGGCCACGGATCGCTGTGTCCAGAGTGATCTAGTTTTTGGCGTTGGCGTCGGGGTTGATGAGGACTCGAGATGTCGTTACAGATTGATGTGAGAACTCATTCTTGACGATAGATGAGCGCTTCGGCGTACCTGGAAAAGCCGATCGGCAAGAAGTGCTAACATGTAAATAATCACGACTCTCAAAATGCTGGTACGCGCGATATTGATAAAAGTACTCGACTTGTAAGTATTGCCTAACAGATCTCGCTCGCGCTCATGCACGTGCGCCCCATCGTCCGAAAAATGCCCAAAGTCGCGGCCCCAATAAATCCCGGGGATTTCCAAACGCGGGCGAGCTGACTGCCTCGCAGCTCTGGGGCAGCGTGGCCGGCATGCCCGGCCCCTCCCGGCACCGGTCGCTGCGCCTGCGGCCCATGGTTTTGCGCGGGGCGTGGCGGATGTCTTTGGGCTTTTCGGCTGGCGGCGAGCCTCTTCCGCCCCCGGGAAACAGGGCAGGGCGGCGCACCCAGCTAGCGCTCTTGCGGTCTTTTTTCCGGCGCCTTGCCTTCGGTGCGGGGTCTTCCCTCGGCTGCCGGGGGGCCGGCTTCTGGGCCTCCATTCACTTGGGCGCCCCGTTCTTGGTGCCTGCTCCCGTGAGCGTGTTCGGCTTGCTGCCGCTGCTTCCGTTGGTGCTCTTTGGTGCTACGGCGGAGCCCCTTGCTTTCGTTCATGCGTGTGCTCTTATTTAGTTTGTTCGGGCCCTTCCCTGGAGGCGGTCTGCTTTTACTGCGTGCCCGCCGCTTCTCTCAGCCCGTCCCCTTGGCGGCGGGGCCTGTCTGTGCAGAGGGATGGGCCTGGTCGCTTGTCTTGTCTTATATTCCTCGGCGGGCTGGTCTGTATTCGTTAGGCCTCATGCGTCGGCCCCTGTTGTCGGTGTTGTTTGGCGTGGGTTTTTGTACAAGCCAAGCGCGCGGACGTGCTTTGCGTCTGTGGTTTGGGGCTGGGGTGGATTACCGAAAAAGCCTAGCTACGTGAGGGCCAATTGTGGGGCCGCGGCCTCTGCGTAGTGGGTCTGGTGAGTGAAGGCGGCTGGCTTACCTAGGTAGCTGCTGTCGTCGGTCTAGTTTCAGTTCGTCTGCCTTATATGAGCGCCTGGGCCCCTCACTATTACTGCCCTGTTGTGAAAATGAACAGGAGAGCAGTGTGGACGCTTCTGGTTCCGGGTGTATTTGATTACTTTGCGTGCGGTCTGGCTATCATACCACGGGCAAGGTGATGCCAGGCCTTATCTTCAATAAGTCAAAAAGCTAGCCTCTTCGCAATTGTTAGGCCCGATGCTGCTGCCCTACTTACTTTTCCCCGGCTCATTGGGCGGGGGCTGGCCCCACCTGCTTTCGCGATGGTGTCGCCTGGTTCTTATTCGTGTCCCGCTACCTGCGCCCGTGCTCGCCGGCGGTCGTGTCGATCCCCTCAACCCCCGGGTCCCTTGCCCTGGGGGGGTTGCGGCTCGTTGGGTTCTAGGGTTTGCCGCGGGCGTTGTTTTAGCTTGTGCGTGGCGACCAAGCGGGGCCGAAGCGGTGGCCAAAGGAGGCTCCGGAGAAGCTTCGGCAACGGCCGGCGAGGCAGGTGCAGTTCCACAAGAGTTACGCCGGGTCCCTGTCAGTAGTGGCCGGGCTGGGTGGGTGTGCTATCCAGCTCTTGTGCTCTGCCTTGAGTAGAATCCGGTCAGAAAGTGACAATTCTCGAGGCTGGCGTGTAATGGGTGCCACCGAGAGCACGGGTAGGGCTATGAGGCATGGCCCCCTGGGTGACTTCAGTATTATGCCTTCTGCCTTCGTGTTAATGATGGTGCGAGGCCCCCCCGTGATGTCGTTACAGACTGTTGCGAGAACCCCATCACAATCGAGAAGCGTCTAGCCAGAGGATGCGTGAGAACGCTCAACGCATATGCACGCTATCAATTTCATCAGCTGCAAGGCTACAAAAATAGTCGACAGGTAACCCGTCCTATTCTAGTTCATGTCATCTACATGCATTCGGCTTGCCGAAACCATAATTAGGTCAGCTCTACCGGTAATTTCGTAAGCATTATGCTGTATGTTGGAAGCAGTGTTAGTTTTGCTATATATCTGAACGGATAGATTATCAATTTAGATTCGGATGAAGCAGAAGATAAGAGTAAAGCACTAAGCATCTTCGACCTCGACCTCGAAGTCTCTCAGACGAGAGGAAGGAGAGTGACCAAGATGCTTGATCCGGGCGATGGACACGGTCCCCGAATATACGGAGCGGACCGAATTCTGGCAGCGGTTTTCGCGGTCGCACAAACAACTGTGGACACCTTCCTGCAGCTAAGAAAGATGATTTTCTTTGTGAAATTAAGATTTGCGGGGGAGCGACTAGCCTCGCCCGCTTCGTTACAGTTACTTCCGTCTGTCATTTTTCCCCAATCCGTACACCCGGCCAGCTTGCGGGACGTCTGTAAAGAAGTCCGCCTACGACGGACTTGTCGGAGCATCGGGTCCAGGTCACTCGCCCAGGAACTCTGGGCGCGACATTGTCTAGAGCGAGACGGGGTCCCCGTGCTTCGCTCTGCGTGCTTTCTCACAGGGGCGATGGCCATAGGCATGCGACGAGCGTCCCAGGCGCCCGCCATTCATTGGCGTCGGCTTCTTGGGTGAGGGCAGTCTCCCTGCGCGTCTCCGTTGTGCTTCGTCGCTGCTTCCTTCTCATACTGCAGCGCCGCTCACGGCTTTCGAGGCCGACGGGCTAGTGGTATTCCGTGCAGTCTTCTAGCCCCTTTGCCGCGACCATGGCTTTCATTGGTGTTCGGGGTCCTTGCCTGTGCAGTGAAACCGTTGGAGCGCCTTGCGGGGTTTCTTGCTTTTCTGCAAGGTGGTGCGGCTTGTGGCACTCGGCGCGCCCCGTTCTCCGTCTCCTTCGGCCTTTTACGGGGAGCAGGCTGGCGTGGTGCTCGTGCTCACTCATCTTCGCGCTCGAGCTGACGGCGCCGGGCGATGCCAGGCCCGGATTGATCGGCGGGCGGGTGGTTACTTACATCCGAGAATGTGTAGAGTGATCACCGGAGAGACCCTCACAGAGAAACATGTGTGGGCTTTTGGCTGGCACCGAGAGGAAGCCTTTTCGTGTTCTCGGTAGTTGTGTTGCCAGCCATCGCGGGCGACGCAAAGCCGGTCACATCATTGGGCTGGGCGAGGGAATTGGGCGGCACGGTTTGTTCCTCTTTTTTGCGATGCCACCTGCCCCGGGCGTGCTAGCGTGGTCTCCTCTGGTCTCGTTGTTTCTGCTCCCCTCTCCTCGGTGTCAATGGGTGGAGGGTGGTGTGGCCGCGTGTCTCCTCCCTGGTTCGCAGCCGGCGGCTCTGTTTCGGGCTCTCCCATTTTGTCAGGCCTTCCTTCAAATGGCGGCGCGCCCGCTGCCCATTTGTGTAGCAGCTGAGCCACGTGGGAGCGCGGCGCACTCCGGTGGATTTACAAAACCACCAGCGCCAGCCAGGTTGCTGGCCGCTTGGGGCTACAGATCCCCCGGCCATGCCACGCCGCTGCCGCCTGTTTGGATTAGGCACGGACGGACGCGGCAGTGCCGCGTCGCGCGTTCGGGTGGGGTGTGTGTGCGTCACGAATGCGTACAAACTGCGCCCCGCCCCGCCCCGCAGGGTGGGGCCCTCGTCGTTTTTGGGGGTGGTGCTTTTCGGCAGGAGCTAGGCATGAGTGCCCGCGCGCGGGGAGGCCTGGCGATTTCAGGGTCGGCCGCGTGGTTTGGTATCGGTTCTCGATCGTTTCTTGGGAGCTTTTATTTTCTTGGGGAGGTGCGGGCACGAGCGGGTTTTGTGGCTTCAGGCTCCCCAGCCTGTGCTACGGACATGCGGCGTGGCTCTTTCGGGGGATGACGAAGTGCCGAGGCCCCGATTGGTTCGGTGTTCGTCATTACCTTAGCGAGGCGGGCGCTCGGTTTTGATTGTGTTGTGTCTTTTATTCTCTTTTGAGCTCAATTGCGATCGCCTTGCAGCGTGCTATGCTTGCCCGGGTCTTGGGAAGAGCGACCCAGCCAAGAGCATCACCTACTGCCTGCAGCCGCACGCGTATTTGCCCGTCCCCTAGTCCTCGAGGTTCCTTTCTTGTATAAAGAAATGCAGACGCGGGGCACAGGGGCCTCCATTCCCCGAAAAGCCGCAAAGGGGTGAGACGTTGCACCCCTGTCGAGTGAGGTATTGAAAGGACAGCTCGGCGGGGGGGGGAGGAGCTCTGGTTTTGGTTGGTGAATAGCTCTAAACATACAATATCAGCTTGTTTGTGGCAGTAGTCTCGAGGGGTGCCTAGCGAGCTCGACTGGCACCGAAGAAGCCGAGGAGCGGCGCGTGGCTATCACCAAACTCGTACGGCCTGACAAAGCCTTTCGCAGTCTTATGGAATGCAATGGCGAGTCAAGGTGCGTGCGCTCCTTATCGCGGCCCCTCTCCTCTCCGTGCAATCCATCGCTGTGCCCATCAATAAAGGTACGTGCAAGAATTAAAGAGAGGGTCGATATTGAGTAGCGGCCATGAAAGTGCACTCCCGTTTCCTTTTCATGTGTCAGATCATTCAGAGCGACCCCATTCTGGTGGCCTTTGGAAGCGGGGCTGCCGTGCGATATCAGCTGCGGGTCAAGGGTTATGATTATAGCATAAGTGTACTCTAGTCTTTTTTCTAGTTAGGTCGGCTCCACCACAATTAGAGCATAAGTGTATTAGATGTTGGGGAAGCGTTGGCCGTGTCTGCATCTGATAGTTTATGGGATTTGGAAGCTGCACAGCCGAGCCTGTAGTAAGCTGTACTGACTATTCGGGCCAAGTAAAGCGACAATGGCCTTGGCCAATCAAATTCACATACTAGATCGGTAGCGTCACCGCGTCGCATAGCTTCCAACAGGGTCAAGCGCTTTTGAGCCCGCCACACGCTAACAAGCCGCGGGCGGTGATGAAACGGATGGCCAGGTGAACGATATTCTGCAGCCAAGCTGGACGATCGCGTACGACAGGGGGTTTGTCTACTTCGGATCCACTCCCCCGAGGGGGCATGATAGGTGGGCACAGTGGGTTACAAGCGTGAAACCGAAGAAAGGATACTGTGTCGGCCCCGAGGTATGCGAAGCAGAAGATGGTCAGGTTTGGGAGGACCTTTCTTTATGAGCTTTTGCTTTTGTAGATACGCAGAGGAGGCTCTCGTCAACATACCAATCACTGGAGTAAGGTGACTTTTACAGCGACGGGCAGACTACTACTGACTCCGCCGTCGGAGTTTGGATAGGGCCCCTTGGGTTGGCATCATGCTGCCCTATGAGGACATGTCGCTTTCGTGCAGAAATTCATTGATGTGGTCATAATTGCTGCGGGTGGCTTTTTCCATTAGGTGTCGGGAGAGGGTTCGATTGTCATCTGTGACTCAGTTTCTAACAAAAAGGCGTCTTCTCTTTGGCGCTAACAAAACTGGAGAACACGCCCGAAAAAATCACTGCCAGAATAGAGACGGACCAAATGACTCAGGAGACCTGCGCACACGCAGAGTGGAGGCACCGGGGTAAAGACCTCAATAAGGATAACCGTTCAGATTTTTTTCAGGTCTCACATACAAGATCTACGGCAGGCGGGGCCTACACGGTTGTTTTTGCGGTGTGATGATTTCGCCAGCCCGTGCGACCTTGGAGTGGGCCCGGCGAAGACCATAGGCTCGTGCCGCGTGTGACACTTTTGCGCGGCGCTGGTCCTGGTATTGTTGGCGCCGGGTCTGGCGCGGCGAGGCTAGCAAAAGGCTGACGGCGGGTGGGGGGGCGTGTGGATCCGTTGCGGCCTGAGGAGCGTGCGCCGGCCTGTGCGTGCTTGGTCGTCTCTCACTCAGAGGGCGTGGCCGCTTTCTGGCCATCGGAGCCCCCCCTGGAGTTCTCCGTTTTGTTTTCGCACCGCCCTTTTGCAGTCCCTGGAGTAGCGGTAGCATTCCGCCCTGGCACTGAAGGGGGCTCGCGGCCTCGGGGCTTGCATAGTAGTCGGGGGCCGTGTGTGGACCGGCTGGGGGCCTCCCCTGTTCCGATACTTCGAGCGGGTGCAGCGTTCTCTGCGGGCTGTTGCGTATTGCGTGCCCTCGCTGTGAGCTTTTGCGGGGCTGGTGATGCCGACCGCGCACCCGCTTCCGCCGGCGTGCCGCGCTTTGCAGTGGGGTCGCCTGGGGCCGGGGGTGTTGCTCTTTTTTTTCACGCGCTCGGCTGTTTTTTTCTGAGAGGCTGGCGACATCTTCGATTGCAATTTTTTTCGGGGCGTGTTTCTGAGTCTTGGGGCGCCGCCGCTGCTTGTCGTGTCGGCCAGCTGACAGGGGCGCCTGCAGGGAAGGCGGGCAGCGCGGCGGGGGGGCTGTGCGGACTGCGTGCGCCCTTCTGCTTCGGTCTGCTGGCTTGCCTGGCGGCGCCGCCATGGCATCGCCGCTTACGTCAATCGCTATCGACGGCGCCCGGCCGACCCCGGGCCGCCGCCCTTTCCGCCTCGTCATACACGTCGCTGCGCCAGATCCTTCTAGGCTTCGCACCGCGAAGATTCCCGTCCCCGATTCGCCGCCCATAGACATCGCCTCGCTGGTGAATGGGCGCCCGCCCGTAGCGGTGCCTCGCGGTCTGTGGTCATACATCGGCTACCAGGGCGACGCGATGATCACCGCCGGCGCCCTCTGTACCCACCCGCCACCGGGGCCGACCAGTGGGTGACCCGGCCAAGCGGCGCCCGAAAGTGCTGTCGCCCTTCGCTCTCCTGCTTACAGCCGCGCATCTGTGCGGGCCTTTGTCCCTCGCCGGCCGCCTTGCTCGCCGCCACCTATGCTCCCATCGCCATGTGGTTGCTGGTTTGCCTGAAGGGCTTAAGGCTTCCCACTCACCGCCACTCATAAATCTCTGTAGCTGCCGCCTTGCCGCATAGACTTGGGCTGCCCTTGGTGGATTTGGCTGTGTCTCTGTGGTGGTGTTCCGGCGCTCCTTGTTGCTATGCCTCTTGTGTGTCTTGTCTGTTTCTATGTTGTCAGCTGGAGGTCGGGGCAGTGGGGTGCGCTGCCGCTTTCGTCTTGAGTGAGGCGCGGCAGATGCTGGGTGAAAGCGTCGCGCCCGTTGTCGTCTGTGGCGCCGCGTTCTCTCTGTGTGGTTGGGTTCAATGGTGCAGCATCTTTTGCGGTGGTTCTGGTATTTTTCCCGAGTCATGGACCCCAGCGCATCGCCCACCATCGTCACCACTGTTGCGTCCCAGGTGTGCCACCGTTGCGATGGAAGGACGGTTATACGCTAACAAAACTAGAAGTGAAGTGGTGTTTCTTGAAAGACGGCAAGGCCCTCATCAAGCCGTGGAAAGCTGAAGGCTTTGACTTTGGTTTCCCCGATCAGGAGTTCCTGTACTCCAGCAAGAGAAGCAGCCGTTTTCGAAAGTTTGGCGAACTGTGGGGTACGGATGGCGACGTCTACTACAGAGCCGTTTTAAAGCGTGCAAGCGAAGTGCTGGAGGATTTCTCGGTTCAATACAATTCACAGTTATGTGCTTTTTGTCAGCCCCGCTTCTTCCTAAATTTGATATCGTCACCGGGGTGCAGCGTGACTTTTCCCCAATGTCATTGTCCTGGAAATGTCTAGGAACAATTGAGTTGAGGGCAATCGAAGGTTGCCCTTACATTGGCAACGTCCTCTGCTGGATATCGATTCTAACAAAAAAAACGGCGACGGATCTGCCACGTCGAGAGGAAATACTCCCGCCACCACCAGTAAGGCTTGACTTTCTCTGGGCCAGTTCCTTTCTGGTGACATCGGATGGTGACTGTCTCAAGGAGTGCCTCCCTTCCTGATAACAAAACATCAAGAAGTCATCTCGTCTAAACTATAACAATAGTTGCTATATGTTTCTTCAATGGTTGACTTTGTTTGGTGCATCGGAGGGAGTAAATATAAAGCGCTTTCATGATTCGGTTTACCACCTCCTGCTCCGGGTCTGCCACCCCGTTCACCACCTCCTCTGCCGGCGTTGCCATCTGTGGCCAGTAATTCCTTTCTGATGACGTCGGATGGTGACGGCATGCATATGCTTGGAGCGGGCGCTGCGGATGTCTTTATGAAAAGTCAGGAGTTTGTGCTAACAAGTAAGTGTCCAGTAAATGCAATTCAATATAATTCTGTCTTACATTTCTTGGGTATTTAGGATTAGGGAGTAATATTGAGTATCGTACAGACATTAGAGTGATATTCTCAAACTCAACCCCACCAGGCTGCACTATGTATCGTCGGATTGAGCAATAGTCAAGACTCAGAATATGTACAATCCATCCCACTTTCTTGATTGACTCAATATATAGGCTGTATTAGTACAAAAGCAAAATGACAATATTGTTTTTCTTCAACGACCTACCCCAAGCTACAATGAATCTCAGACTTCCTATCACGTCGGTCAGTATTTCATCACTCAGGAGTCTTTACCTTTTTCGCCATCACTCAAGATCTAAGCCAGACAATGGTCACCAAGTGAAGATCGCGATCGTGTACTTTTCGTGCGGTACAGTGGTTTGCGTTTTGGTCTCCTGGCTGCTCCTCAAGCGTAAGCACGGATGAAAAATTTGATTACCTCAGAGCTCACTTATTATCTCAAAGGGGCAGAAAGTAGTTTACTTATTATACTTAGTGGCGTTCTCTCGAGCTCCTTATTCTTCGAGGTGAAAGTTCGTCCTAGGAGACTGGAAGCCTGCAGCCCGCTGCCTGCAGGCTTCCTAGCCGCTGATGGTTTGAATTCTGGAACTACTTATAGACTCGCCTCATATATGGATCTTCATTGCCATATAGGAGGTGGCATGCCATGGTTTGACATTGAAGAGGCTTGTCTCTTCGTGTAAGACGCTGCGTGGCACTCCATCACATGATTAATTCTTAGGAGGGTATGGATTCGCACTAGTTTCCTCCATCACATTACTTCTCTGTATACATAGTCAGAGTCACTTGGATGACTAAGCAACAACTGGGGTGAAGTTTTCTAAACCTGATGACAAGACAGGTCTTTGACTTCGTACTGAAACTAGTAGGTACCCACATTGCTACTCATTCCGACTATTGCTATTGCTATCCCACTCCGTGCAGCCTGAGCTTGTTACTCTTGCTGGCCCACCCCATAAATGACTCAACTAGATTGAACAACAACTACTACTCCTCCTACTCCATCTGGGCTCTACCAGCCTACTCTGGGCCGTGCTATAGACTCTCTCTGGGCTCTTCCAGCCTACTCTGGGCCGTACTATAGACTCTATCTGGGCTCTACCAGCCAACTTTGGGCCGTACTATAGATTCTAACAGCCTCTTTCGTCGCGGACGAGCGGCTGAGAATGAGGCGGACGAGGGATTCGAGGAAGCCGAATCGAACGAAGTGGAGCCTCTGATGGAGGATGCCATTCCCTAAAAATGATTATTTTCTGTACTATACAGTTAATGTTATTTTTTCATTCATTCACTCACTCATTCACTCAAGCTTTTTTGAGATCGAAAGATGTTTATCGGTGCTAAGAAGATTTAAGAGTTTTTGAGGATATGCTTTTTGTAAAGATTGGCACATGCTTACCGATGATCCAAATGCAAGCAAAATATGGCGAACATTAAGGAGTAGGAGATATAATTGGTGACTACACTTAGGAACGAAGCCTGTTTATCTGCTCTTCACGTCCCTGTGGGTGCCCTCCACTCTCGCGTGTGCGTTTAAACTGGAACATCTCTTGAGAGGTACGCCCTCCCCCCTCACTCACTCACTCGCTCACTCACTCACTCACTCACTCACTCACCCACTCACTCACTCGCAACGCTCTAACAATTTTGTATCCGTCGGAGTGGAATAGCTTCGCCCTTTTTTGCTAAGCAAGATAAAACCACTTTCAGTGGTATTATTTTTCCTAAATCCTCTTTCACTTTCAGACGCTTCGACTTGATAGTGTTGAAACTGAAAGAGCTTTTTTCTCCGACGGCAGTTGTTTGGAAAAGATAGAACCTGAATCCCGAAGTCCTTTTTTTGAAGAAGATAGAGGATTTGTTGATCCATTTCACATTTTCAGATGCGGCGCCAGCAATGGATTATTTCGCGGTGGGTGGTGTTGGCGCCGTAGTTGGATGGATTGTGGCTGGGAGCATTGATATAGGGAGGGTGGGAAGGATGGTGGATGGGAACATTGATATAGGGTTGGTATAGGAAGAATGGGAAGGATGGTGGATGGGGGCATTGGTATAGGGAGAAATGGACGAATGGTGAATGGAGGTAACCACTGGTATAGTGAGAATGGGAAGGATGGTGGATGGGAACATTGATATAGGGTTGGTATAGGAAGAATGGGAAGGATGGTGGATGGGGGCATTGGTATAGGGAGAAATGGACGAATGGTGAATGGAGGTAACCACTGGTATAGTGAGAATGGGAAGGATGGTGGATGGGAACATTGATATAGGGTTGGTATAGGAAGAATGGGAAGGATGGTGGATGGGGGCATTGGTATAGGGAGAAATGGACGAATGGTGAATGGAGGTAACCACTGGTATAGTGAGAATGGGAAGGATGGTGGATGGGAACATTGATATAGGGTTGGTATAGGGAGAACTGGACGGGTGGGGGATTGGAGCATTTGTATAGGGTTGTTATAGGGAGAACTGGACGGGTGGTGGATGGAAATATTCATTGGTATAGGGAGAATGGGACGGGTGGTGGATGGAAATATTCACTGATATAGGGAGAATGGCACGGGTGGTGCATTGGAGCATTGGTATAGGGTTGGTATAGGGAGAACTGGACGGATGGTGGATGGGAGCATTGGTGCTGTACGGAAGATGGTGGAGGTGATTCAAGATGGAAGATAGTACAATTTTGAATTTCGCAAATCATTTATTTTTCATTTACAACAAGGAAGGTACATTTCTTCGAACTAACATTTCTTCTACTTGTCACAACAAAATTACTACAAAGTGTTGTTACATTCGTTCGAACGTCGCAGACAGGAACGAAAAGAACGAAGCACTCTTCCTGTACAAATAAATTCAACAACGAAAAGATTTTCTTGTTTCTTATGAATTTCAACTTTCGGTTTCTCACGGTTACGGCATTAGGAGTAGCCTTCCCATCAAAAGCAAGCGTGTACTACGTTACTTCACAGCACGCGGATTAAGCACTGGCAGCACCTCCTTGTAGGGACTCACAGGAGGATCCAAAAAAGGTTTCAAGAACTTCTTTTTGCTGTGCGAGCTGTGAGCAGTAAATCGTTTGTTAAGCCCGCAAGCAAGCAACGAACTTCGAATTTCCAAATTTATTACAATTTTCAACCAAGAGCAGTTTTGCTACAGTCAGTCTATGCGTCTACAGTTTTGAGCAATCGCTTTCGCCATACAAAGAGAATCTATTACAGGACAATTTTTTTTTTTACTCAACAGGATAGAACTAAGGGAGTGTTGTTGCGCAACAACATCAACACGACAGATTGCTATGTGCAGTGGGTTGATTCTCCTCGAAAGAAGTGCCTTCATCACGTGAATTCCTTGAAGAGCTACGACCAAACGTTTCGGTTGATACTGATGTACAAGAACAGGGTAGCTACTTATTCTAATATTTCAACAAACCACTCACTCAATAAACTCACTAACCACTGTTACTACTATTAGGAATGATCATTCATTGTGTTGTTTCGTTTGAAGATGTTGGTTTTTTTTGAAAAGGCCCGTGTGGTCTCTAAGATTATGTCGTATCGATGTTTGTTGCAGCTACTGCCTGTACTGTTACTCACTGTAGTAATGTTGAAATAACTACAGTTACAACTCACTGTACAAGACTCCCAGATCGTGTTAAGTGGCATGTTGCAACTCTTAAACTGTACAAGACTCCCAGATCATGTTAAGTTGCATGTTGCAACTCTTAGAGTGTACAAGACTCCCAGAGCATCATGTTAAGTTGCATGTTGCAACTCTTAGAGTGTACAAGACTCCCAGATTAGCATTAGAGATAGATTAGAGATGGCGTGCTTCTCTGTAGTATTGTTCATGGTTACCAAGTTGCATCCTTCACTACCATGCTTGGCTTATATTTCAATAGGAAAGATGAAGCCAGGGATGATCTGACGGATGTAATTCCGTAACCCCTAAGATTGCCAGGGTGATTATCAGACACGGCGCGCACAATTGTAGAATGGACTCCACTGAGGGCTAGAGTGTGAACCTAGTACTAGAGCTGGTTTGATTTTGTACAGGAGACGGGAAAAAAGCCGCTCAAAGTGTTTTTTTTTTTTGCACAGAATGAAAAGAGGTCCACAGCGCATACGTTTTCATTTGCTAATGTTTCCTAGAAGCAACTGAGGAAGAAGAGCGCGACCTTACGAGTAGATCCGCATACGTCCTTGAGCCTGCTCAGACTGTGCTAGAGACTCTACTGCTAGACTGCACTAGAGACTACTGCCAATCTACTCGAGACGCTACTGTCAGACTGAGCTTCTAGGGACTCTACTGCCAGACTGCTAGAGACTCTACTGTCAGACTGTACTAGAGGCTCTACTGCCAGATGGTACTAGGGACTGCTGTCAATCTACTAACGACTCTACTGTCAGATTGTACTAGAGTCTCTACTGTCAGGCTGTGCTAGAGACGCTACTGTCAGATTGTACTACCTAGAGGCTCATGGTTGTATGCTTTCAGCATCTGAAGTTTGCAAAAACAAACCGCTGCGGTGAGCAGAGAGGAGCTTGACTCCGTCTCGCAATTTCATCGGCACATACTGCAAAATGAGAAATAACCGAGTTACTGACTGAAATAAGGCAGGTAGCTTTTGAAGGCTACTCTTCCTCCAGTATGTCGATTATTCCCAGCCACTGTAGCTTTCGTTGCCTTTCGTTGTTAGCGAGGTTAAGTAACCAAATGAAACAAAAAGAAGCTGAAAAACCCTTAAGAGTAGAACAAACAAAATGCTGAAAATATGAAAGGCAGCTCAACAGAATTCGTCTGGAGTTACTCGCAGTAGCAGCGGAGGCTAAGAAGCACAAGTTACCCCAGCGGCAACATTGCACGCCTTCCGGCTGTACCCCTTTCTTTTTCGGTTGCACACCATTCGGTTGGGCACGTTTGCTTTCGCAAACAAGGTAGTCTGCAGGTCTAGGTATGCAGCAGTAAGTTTATAAGAAAGGTCAGAGACGAGAGACGCTTTCTGTCCTTGCACTTTCGTAGGCGTAGTCTTCGGGAGGTCGTGTGTATCGACAGCATTTGAATATACATATCCAGAGGGAAGAGAACACACATCAGAGATTCGTTCGTTGATGTCGAAACTGAATCTATCATCTGTTGGGGTGCTTCCTGTTTTAGCACGAGAACCTCCTCTAATTGACCCCCCCTTCCTGCAGGACCTCTTCTAATTGATGTGTCTAATTTGCCATCTGTTACATGACGTGTCCCCTACGACCCTCCCGCATCCTCTAGGTGTCCCGTAAATTTCCAACACAACTTGTGAATGTGTCTAATTTCCCACATCTCATGCGCCTATAAATTTCCTCTGCATGATATCTTGCCACCCAGACCAAACGTCAAATCAAGTTTCAAAAACCTTAGCGGTTGCAGTAGAGAAGATCAGAGCTGCACTTCCAGTACTAGAGAAGATCTCATCAAGATTATCCGTATTTTTTTGACATAGTATCAGAATCTCTAAGTAACTATATTCGTAGGAACAACAAGAACAACAAGTAGAAGTCTAAGGACTTATCATCTATAGAAGCCACTCAATCATCATCACGTTCACGACCACGCATCAGCATCCAGCGTCGCCAGCCAACACCATCACAAGCATCACAGCCGGTCATCGAAGTGATCAAGGAGAACATTTGTGATCAGGAGAAAGAATAAGAAGAAGGACTACGGCTTTTACCGCTTCTGGTACCACGAAAGAAGTACGCTGCATACCACGGAAGTGGTAGTGTTGTAGTAGTCTGACATACTCCTGTAGTGTCGTAGTAGTCTCCCCCACAATGCACGGACTCGGCGTCGGCGGGATGCCAGGTGGTATGGGAGGTGGGTTTGGAGGCGGCGGCATGAATTACGGTTCAGTGGATCCCAACCGAAGAGTGGAGCATCCAGTTAAGGCTTCCCCTAATGGTCCATCTTCGGAGAAGTCATCCTAGGAGAGAGTCTGATCCATCCTTTTGAAAGACATCGTGAAGCAAGAGTCTCTTTTTCAAGAGGAAAAAAGACATTTTTTCAACAACTTGGAAACATCCTGACAACTTGCGAATAAAACTTTCTTCAACAAGACATCGTGGGATGCATCTCGAGATGGATTAGGGTGCGCGCTAAGCTAGGAGATGCCTGCGCAACCGAGGATCCGGAACTCAAACCTCTCATATCCGAGATGCAAATAAACGTGCGGCATGGCTTTGTTAGGAAGGTAAGGAATTTCATTGCTGTACTAGATTATGGAAATATGGTAGTTCATGCTCGACAAGAACGGTACTAGGCAATCATGGTGGAAACAAGGTTCGTTATATCCATGACAGACAAGACCTGAGTACTCTCTTGCGCAAGTACTCATTCAATACTAGACTCATTCTTTCAACAGATATTTATTATATGATTGCCATCATCAATTCTCCATCATCAACATCATCATAGGTGTTCGGCATAATAGCAGTGCAGCTAGCAGTGACTGCGATGATCGCAGCACCCTTTCTCATCTACCAGGATCAAATGAGGATGAAAATCGCGGAATTCTTAAGGCGTGGTTTGTTCGTAAGAAGCATTTTTCTTCTCTTCAGAGAGGTGTAGTCTGTGTGTCATTCTACTTTGATGTTTTTATCTAGTATATTTATGGCCTGTCTTTCTTATAGAGACCGTCTCTGCGGTCACCATGAACGGTGATAACAGGGACAACAGCATGCATTCTTATAGAGACGTCTCATCGTCTAGCTCCCTAGTTTATAGAGACGTCCTCTCATCGTCCTCAATTAGTCAAGCACTTAGCACTTCGGAGTGTGATGTAGGGGTGCTGAAGATAGTGGATGAAGATAGCAGATCACGAGAAAGATCTTGTTCAAAATTCTAGAGTCAAGCACTTAGAGATCGATATAGTTCAAGCACTTAGCACTTTAGAGGAAAATAGTTGCACATAATAAATTGGAACATGCTAGCACATAGATTGGACATGCAATCAGCACCCCCATCCCTATTTTCCTCTAAACTACGGGCCACTCTTCGTGATGATATCGCTGATGCCAGTACTGCTGATGTGCTGGAGCTTCTGCGACCCTTCGGTGACACGCGAATACCCAAAGAACTACATTTTTTTGTTATGAAATGATAGACTAGTAATTCCTCGGAGCCTGATCTCAACGCTGGTTTGGAAAATCAGATTGGAGATACATGACATGACATGACAACTAGGCTTTTTTTGCAAGGTCTGTGAATGAAGATAACTTTATGATGAAACTGCTGTGTATGAAGATAGCTTGATGATAAGTAGAGGGCGTACTTTCAGATGGAATAGAGTAAAGGGCGAACTCTTGTTACCTTTCTACAATAGGAGAGGGCAATAGCTCATCATCCTCTAATCCCTAGTGTCTTCACCGCGTGCTTCGGGGTTATGGTCGGCGTCGCTTGCTCACAGTTTCGATCTGCAAGCGTTCTCATGGTCGCCGCACTGACCGGTGCTGTCGTCTTCAGCCTGATGCTATTTGCATTGCAGTTATGGGTATGATATGTAGGTAGACTCCAAACATTCATACGGGGTGAGTAGTTGTTGATGATATGCCTGTTATCTGATTCAATGCAAAAAGCAGTTCTGCAGGAAGCAGATGAAGTCAAGCCTCTAATATTGACGCGGTACGACTTCACGGGTATGGGCCCTTACCTCTTCTGCGGCGTCATGTGCATGTGCTTCACGGGATTTATTCTCAGGTATTTGGTCCTAGCTCAGTCACGTAGACGATCCTACTTACTTTGTCAATCATAAAATGCTGTGCTGTTCGTGTCAGCATGATGTGAACTGACGGCTTTCGTCCAGGGTTGGTAACTGGTTGTTCTCCTTCTTCCTACTCTTTCTTGCCTATTTTCACATGATACTGCCGTTAATCCAACCTCACAACTATAGTCATCACAAATCCACAAACCACCACAACCGCACACCAGCTTTATGCCAGCGTCACGAATGGTCGAGGTCGTGTATGCTTTATGAAAGGCCTTAAGTCGACTAGCAGTATCTTTTTGTGTTGCTTACAAAAGATCAAGCAGTAATCTACTTACAAGAAATCAAAAAGTATCTGTGCGTAACTAATGGCTTCTAGGGACACCCTCTCCGATGCTACCGTATCCCATCATTATATCCGATCCTATCCTCTATACTACCTTCATAACCTGGATTAGGAGCCTTGATGTTTTCGGTCTATATCGTCTACGACACGCAGATGATCGTGGGTGGGAAGCATTATAAGTGCCAATTCTGCATGGATGATTACTGCTTTGCAGCCCTTACGCTCTATCTCGACATCGTGCAACTCTTTCTCCATTTACTGAGGATATTCGGGGATCGGCAATGAGAATGATGAAGGTGCGATAGAAGTGCTTCGTACAATTAAGACTTGCAGCGGGAATCCATATTCAGAAGCAGCTTGGACCCCCCGCGGAAGGGGGAAACGGGTCCAAGATGACTTTTAGGATGGATTCCCGGAAGGTCTAATATAACTGTTTCTCCATTTACTGAGGATATTCGGGGATCGGCAATGATGAAGGTGCGATAGAAGTGCTTGGGGGATGAAGTCTAGGATAAGGATAAGACTTCGTCGTCATGTGATTGCTTCTCATTAAGAGTGTGGGGCTTTGCTCGTTGGGAACGAATCTGACACCACACGAGGCGCACAGGTAGTTCGGGTAATATCGATCCAAGATCAAGGGACTTGCTGGTCCTTGCGCATGACGATTTTAATCACAGACTAGGAGAAGGAGAAAGGAACAACAAATTAGTTTGCTTGCATGATGCCTGCGAACGGATAGACGAGTGCTGGCGAGTGCTGGTCGTCTCGAAGCTGTGCTTCTTTCTGAAACGTCAAAATTACAATCTGTTCTCTAACGCAGTGGGTCGGGACCTCAATAACTTTTCTCTAATTCCAAAAAAAACTATGACATTTCGGAATTAGAGAGTTGTAGTTGTCTGGATGAGTTGAGGTGCCTAGTACTCTTGCAAATATCGGTCATCATGGTCACAACAGGTGTGGAAATCCTCAGACGTACAACTTCTATCGAAACGAAGGCTAGGTCACATCTTTCGCAGAACCTTGTAGTTGTACTGCAATCAAGTCCTCGCTTAAGTCGTTCATTTACGTGTCGGTGAAGCTGAATTTTTTGGATCGTTCTTGTGGTCGGTCAAAGCTAAGTGTTTCGTAATCGTTCGCCTCGTATAAAATACTCCCGAGAGAAGAGCCCGTTCGCCCCTGTACACCTTACCTCCCATGCCCCCTGGCTTACACCCTACGTCCCGTTCGCGGGTCCCACCTCTCATGAAGTCTTGGGATTTTTAGTTTACTCTACTCTCACGCGACTTCTCATGAATAATAGGCACAACGAACAACACTACTTCGACTTTATCTGCTACTAGTTCATACTGTAGTTTTTGTAAGTACCGCCACCACCAGACTGACTATCAGAAATAGATTCTTATTTCGACGGGTAAATCTTGACTGCAATCCCTACCCCGAATAGTACAAAAGGATGGCGACTAGTCCTGGTGGTGGGTCGGCGCCCTCTGCGCCTTCAGCAGTCGCGGATAGAATAGCAACGCCTGCCGCCCATCGAGACGGAGGTGGGGCGACTAGTAGCACAGCCCGCGAACCACCAATAGACATACAGAAACTCCAGAGTAACAACCCGGCAACATGGGGAGATGGATTGAGGTACATCAATGATTCCAGGTTATAACACATCAATGATTCCAGGTTATGATACATCAATGATTCCAGGTTATGATACATCAATGATTCCAGGTTATAGTCGTGAATTCGTGAATTTACTTACGTGAATCTTAGTTGTTACAACTGCAAGTAATTGCTACAACTATGGTGCCGGTTACCCTTGTTACCGTGTTCGTATCCCAACACAACTTGAGGCAATACGAATACGGCAATCGGCATGTGATACACCCGGACAAGCTGAAACAACCTGAGATTCAGATCAAACTAGGGCAAATGCGAGAACAAGAAAGGATATACGATCCGCTCTTGCAAAAATATCGAGACTGGGACAAGGTAATTGACCAATTAGATTGTGTATTGAGATTCATACAAAAAGACTGAACTACCTCTAATCCATTAGACCATATGGATAAGGAGGGCACATCACATGACATTGATCTAGGATCTTTACCTTGATGCTTTGAAAAGAACTAGCTAAGTGTTGTATCCATTGATATTGTTATCACAATGATTTTAGTTTTTCTTCGTTGAGATCAGTAAATTTCCTTTGTTTTCTGTTAGAAAGATCGTTCCTTGAATTCTAAGGCTCTCGACAACAACAGGAAAAAGGGCAGCGAGTCTTGGAGGAACGGTGTAGAGTGTCGCATTTGAACCGAGCGAAAGACATACAACTGCTGCGAGAAAACAAGTACTACAGTTGTCCTTTTTATAGGGTCGAGGTTTAGGTCCAGCGGCGCTCAAAGCACTAAATAAAGCAACCGGTTAGTTTTTACCTCTAAACCTTAGGTTTATCCCATGAAGCGACGTATATATATCTCATTCGTCTCCGTCTCGGTAAGTCTACCATAAGTACTAGATCTGTCGTGTTTATTCTTTCTACTTCGATTTCGTTTTTTCAAAATTGCTCAGTTTCGACATCGTGAATAATGCGAGTAAGCTGTCGGGTTTAGGGGACGAAATTGCGGACAAGGGTCTGCGACCGACGAAGGTCGGCAAAAGGAAATTTCCGGACAGGTAGCTTGTAGCTATGTATGGCTTGTTTTCTACCAGCGCAGATACACGACATTGATGATTTTCCTTTCTTATACCAAAACATTCTTCATCGATCGGAATCTTTGATGTCGTTGTTCTTGCTTCCCATCAACAAAATCAACTTAATATTCCCCCACCTTGAGAATACAGCCTTTATCCTCTTCAACTTCAGTTTCTACGACTACAATATTTTGTCGAATTTGCCGGTTTCAATACATCACCCGGACCGGCCGGAAGCTCGACCACTACCAGCCCAAAAGCTGCCCAAGCAGCGCATGGTGCCAGCTTTTTTGCAGAAGTTAAGGATTCAGGGAATCCATCTTCAACTACCAAGACTTTCTGGTCCTTCCGTTTTTTTGAAAGGTTTTTTGAAAGGGATCTTTCCGTTTTTTTGAAAGGGATCAAAAAGAGAGCCAAGATGCTGCTGAAGAACGAAGATGGGTTTCTCTCAGTTCTAAAGAAGGACTTCAACATATTGACCAACCGCTATCTCAACGGCCATGCGGAGAAAACAAAGCGGGACCACGAGTTGAATCTCCTGGAAGGAACGGCCAAGTACCGAACCAGGAGTCGAATGAATCCGTTGACTTAGGAATCTGGTTGTTACTTAGCTGCTGTAGGTCAGTTGGAAATACTTCTTACATCAGCACTTCTAATCCTAGCAGCGTTTTCTAGATCCTGTAGAGGAGGACCGGTTTGCGCAGTGCTTCTGTAATATTCTTGTCATGTCGTTTTCTAGATCCTGTAGAGCAGGACCTAAAACTTGTCATGGATGTGGTTGCTCCTCACGCAAGGTCGTCATTTCTACCCGAACACTTTTTTTAATTACAACTCGGGAAAGAAAGAGCAAGCTTGTAAGCTTGCAAACGTTAGGTCAGTTGTAAAAACATCAGCGCTTCTAATTCCAACAGCGTTTTCTAGATCCTGTAGAGGAGGACCGGTTTGCGCAGTTCGGTGAGGCGCACGAAGTGGAGCAAGTGCATAGAGCGCTTGCGCAGGTGCCTCCGACGGTAAAGAACCGGCCTTCGGCATTCTACAACATCCTAAACCCGCACGAGGTCCATGATGTTGATTATGGGAAAAACTCTTGCAGTTGCAAAAATGAGACTTACAGAATTCAGTAGAGTTTTCAACACGCATAATTTTTTCGCAGTGGTGGTCTGATGTCGATATCAGGTGTTTTTTGAGGATCGATAGTACAGCCGCATTATCGAGTTTTGATCTTCATACCCCCTATGATATATATATTTTTGTTTGTTGTGATTCAGATTCTCTCGTCAAGTCGTCAAGTAGTACTTGAGATTCTCCCTTCCTCTTCTTCCTTCTCAAAGATGGATCCGCCCTTCCCCCTTTTCCGCTCTAACCCTTTATGATCAAGTGGTTGGATCTAGCAGAGGATGAACGAAAGGAGCGGTATAAGAATAAGTTCATCTTCGACCACAACAAGCATGTGCAGGATGTTAGAGGTGACCAGATAACGGAGGAAAGAAGAATGAACAAGGTCCACGTTCAGCGATTCAAGGAACCGATCGATCGGGCTTACGACATTGTCACAAACGAGGTATAATTGTAGTTTTGTAGGGGATTACGACATTGGCACAAACGAGGTATAATTGTAGTTTTGTAGGTGAGTACTTTTGTAGGTGAGCAGTACTTTTCTAGGTAGTTGATTGCACTACGAGATTGTGTACATGATACGGTAGTGGAGGGGCATCATACTGTTGGAGCACAAATATCGCTATCATGGAGAGAATCCACCCAACCATTGTGATTTACTCATAAGCACAATCCACAATGAATCGTGACGCATCATATCAAAACCATCCAAAACCCAAACGAACTACAGCATACCCACGGTCGTAACGGCAAGCCTCTGTATTTGCCATATCCGCATAATCCACCTGGTCCGTGGGAGAGATCAATCATTAACACCATCGACACAAGACTAGAGGAACAGCCGCATCCGTCAAAAATGCGAGAAGCAGGTACCTCTACTTTGATTTCCACTTAGATCTTCATACAAGACGACTATAAGACATACACTTTAACAAAAAATTCAAATTTTTTGTTACGTTTAGTCGATGTCTGATAAGTTGATTCTTACACAACTCTGTGAAAATGAAATATCATCCAGTCATCATCTGGTAGACAACTACAGGGTATTTATTATAACCTTCTTCTACCCTACCCCAACAGCTACTTCGAGTGCGGTGATGAATGCCGATGATGGGCAACGCAGTAGTGCTTCTTCTCAGAGAGCGCCTGAACAAGGAGCGACGCAGGGAATTCAACAGGAGGGTAGTGGTCGTAGAGGTGCGACTCGTAGCAGTAGCTCTTCAGCTGTCGGTTCCTCTGCACGTAGTGCTGCTGCTTCGTCTGCGCGTAGCAGTGCGCGGATGCACGAAAAATCGATCCAGCCTGTCGTGAGGCCCCACGCGGTTAAACACAACCACGCAACTGTAGTGAAGGAGATGGGGATTCAGCCCTTGAACATGCAGAAAGTACAGTCGCAAAAATCGGCTGTCGATAACCTAGTAGCCGGAGCAACACAACTGGGTAACGGAGGAGCAGGGGCGATGACAATGACGATTCCCATGAAGGCGCCTCCGCCAGCGCCGGCGATACCTGGAAGCGCTGTTGGATCCAACGTTTCGAGGCCGGTTTGAGGGAACTCTTTTTTAGCCACTGTGAAATTAGTCTTAGAATGAAAAGGAAGAGCGCGAAAAGCGTGGTAGATACTAATATTTATAATATTTCAACACCAACTCTCTCATCTGAATTTTATCACATTTTGTTTGCGAAAGATACTCCAATCATCTCGAAGTTGAAAAACTAACTAACTGATCTCCAAGTTTGATAATCGTGTTAACAGCTAAAATCTATTGGAATCGAGTAATTGATGTTTGCTTCGGCATTATTAGCATGTAGACACAAAATGTTCTGTGAGTAGAAAGATTTTTGTAGACTACTTCGATAGAGGAGGATAATTGTAGAGTGTACTGGCGCTTCTGATGTTGAGAACGCAAGGTTATGAGATTCTCAACTGCATGCTGCTCAACAGCCAGGAAAAGCGCATGTTTTCACGGTGCTGTGTTGCTTACGAAAACATGAGAAGCTAAAAAAATGTGGAAGGAAGCTGTGGAAGGAAGCTAGTGGATAAGAGAGCGTTGGGTCCTTATTCGAATGACATAAGAGAGCTTGAGATCTGTTCTAAAATTTGATGGCTGACAAGACCCCCGAACTCGAACTACTTTCAACGGCAAGCTGAAGATGCAAATCCTTTGTAATTCGTACGAATGACGAGCTCAACATCGTATCAAATGTTAACATCGTATCAAATGTTGAAGATCATCAAGATGGTTTTTTCTTTCGTTCTCTGCTCTGGTACTCTTGGAAAGACCATGCAGCATTCAAGGAATCCACCACCGGAAACAGTATCCTTACGGGAGGATGCTCAAGGCGACAACTTTGTATCGGTACGAAATGATAGAGGTAAAGAGTTTTTCTTGGCGGAAGAAGAAGACACCCTCACCGCGCTGAAAACGCAGCCTCCGCTACGAAAGAGTGCTGGAATACACCACAACATGGCGCAGAGGCTGGCTTTGGAGAAACATGATCATGATGGGAGTAGAGTCATGATGGATGCCAGCACAGTGATATCTCCCTCAAAAAGGCCTCGCGAAGGCATAGGCGTTCTGCTGCAAAAGGAAGGTAAAAGCCACGACATCAGCGATCATGAATTGCAGGCTACAGTGCCAAAACTGGTAGAGGAACGCGAGTATCTCATTCGCTGTCCTCCGACGGGAGCCTCGTACGTGGTTGCTGCCCATAGTACGCGATACCTGAGTCATGATGGTCACCGCTTCTCCTGTTTCAACACGCTTACTCCCGGACAAAATGTGACACCATTCCTCTTCCAAGTTAAGGATTAGTGCAGTAGTACACTTCCCCCAAGTATTTAATGTTTCCTCTTCCAAGTTAAGGATTAGTGCAGTAGTACACTTCCCCCAAGTATTTAATACTTGACCTTTTTATTTCAAGTAGAAGGAAAGGGGTCAAGGCTGGGTTTTTTTAGGAGTGGAAGAACACTCTGAGGAGCTTTAACGACGTTGCAAAAGCAAAAGCAAGTACCTTGCCTGACTGGTTTTTTCTGTGGTATAGTGCGAAACAAACCGATGTCCACTACACACACCACAATGCGGAGAACGCATCGATGATGCTGCAGACGCCATCAGAAGATGAGGCAGTACAGAAGCAGTGGACAGACCTCGGTTGGACGTGGAAGCCTGCGATGTTCACACAAGTGCTGCCTTTTAAGGCTTGTTTGGCATAAGTATTTGAATGTGCAGTACCTACTGCTCCGTCGTAAAAATAGGTCAGAGTCGTGCAGTGCTGATAATTCCTCCAACTTAAGTCCGACGTACCACTCATTGTAGTGTCAGCGATCTACTCTTTCTTTGGTTTTGACAACTCACCGCCATGCGTCGTTGTAATTCCTGTTTGCATTCCCTTCGAGGACCTTTCCTTCGTACAAATGAATCTTGTTCAGACCGTCCTTCCCCTCTTTCTAATCCCCCTGCATCCGTACTAGAGGAGACAAAACATTTTTCGCAAAATGTTTCTCAGTTGATCGTGGCCAAAGTGGAGAGAACTGAGGCAGAGTTGCAGACCGCGGATCTTAGCCTCGTTAAGGAGTGATTTTAGATATTTCTGTGCCTTTTCTGAGAAATACGGGGACAACAAAGGCATAAACTTAAATAGGTACGAGAATTGATATGAACTACTCAATGAATGATACAATACCTCTCTGTCTAATGCCGAGAAAAAACTATACGAGCACTGGAACACGAAGCAGAATGTGTGGGAGATGTATGCCGTGTTGTGGCCAGAAAAGAACGCAGTGTTCGAGACTATAGAGTATTCTTAAGGCCAGACGATAGACTATTCTCGAGGAGTGGAAACTAACACAGACTACCCGACCTCTTCTAATCCTGTTCGGTTACCTGTAAAGGGTTCGATCAAAACCGTTGCACTACTCCTGGGTTGGAGCGGGTGGACGATGAGGAGAAATATTGTTCCAAACAAGTTGGAGATCCGGATACAGGGAAGGGCGTAACTGTCTTTGAGTTATGAAGTGGATTTTCACAAGAACTGTCGTGTAACCGAGACCCCTGGTGAAGTACAAGCAGTTCGTTGTGAATAGTATCTTGAGGCATTCTTGAAATACTTCTCGGTAGTATCTCGCTTCTAGTAATGAGAAGAGCATATTTAATCATAATCTCAGGTGGTTTTTTACCAGGTTGTTGTAGAAGTAAGAATCAAGTGGGTGGTGCAGCATATTTCTGGTTTAACATGCACTATTTCTTTATATCTTTCCTTCGCGATGTCCTGTCTAACCTTTACGTGCACAGAGGCTAGTTGTTGTGTGGTGGCGGCAGCAAGTGGTTTGCTGAGTAAAGACAATACCACAGTAAATTCAACAGCCTCTGCTACGATCACCACTGTGACAACAGGTACGACCACCTCGACAACTACGACAATCACGAAGGCTCCAGAAGAAACCAGCACGACGTCAACAACTAGCACGACGTCAACCACGGAGACTCCAGAGGAGACCACAACTACCAAGCAGGCGGCAGAAGAAACCACAACTGCCAAGGTTCCAGACGAGAAAGCCACCACGGCCGCCAAGGCTCCAGAAGAGAAAACTACCACGACTGCAAAGGCCCCAGAAGAGGAAACTACCACGACTGCCAAGGCCCCAGAAGAGGAAACTACTACGACCGCTAAGGCCCCAGAAGAGAACTCCACCACGACTGCCAAGGCCCCAGAAGAGAAAACTACCACGACTGCCAAGGCCCCAGAAGAGAAAACTACCACGACTGCCAAGGCTCCAGAAGAGGAAACTACCACGACTGCCAAGGCCCCAGAAGAGAAAACGACCACGACTGCCAAGGCTCCAGAAGAGAAAACTACCACGACTGCCAAGGCCCCAGAAGAGAAAACTACCACGACTGCCAAGGCCCCAGAAGAGGAAACTACCACGACTGCCAAGGCTCCAGAAGAGAAAACTACCACGACTGCCAAGGGCCCAGAAGAGAAAGCTACCACAACTTCGAAAGCACCAGAGGAAGCCACTATCACTAAGGCAGCAGAGAAAACTACCACAACGATGTCAACAACTAGTACGTCCAGCACCTCAACAACTACGAAGAAGACTGCAGAGGCGGAGACAACAACTAAGAAACCCGCAGAAGGGAAGACCACTGAACCCATGTACCAACCATTTTCAGCAGCGACCACTGAGGCTCCAACTTCGGAAAAGGAAAAAGGAAAAGTACCGCGTTCTAAGGTTACCACTACAGTAGCCAGTACATTAAGGGCTAACTAATGAGAATTACATCCTCCACAACGCCCATCCCTGACCCTTTTTCGAGTAGGAAAGAGATGAGGCGGATGTGCATCTGAAGAATGTAATGTTGCAACCTTTAAGCACAGTGACAAGCACAATAAGCTCAACCAGTACGGAAACTACGACGCAGAGTAGTGCGACCACAACAACTGAAACCAATACAGAAACTACTACCACGACCACAGGAACCAGCAGTACAACTGTGACGTCAACCACCGAAACAAAAACTAGTACAACAAGTACCACCACAACAACAGAAACGAGTACAACGCGAACTAGCACAACCACCTCCTCGACGTCAAGCACGAGTACGTCTGACACAAGCACAATTAAGAACTGTTTCTTGATTTTACTTGAAGATAATCACTTTTATGGTTCTTGGTTGGTCGAAGAGCTATAATATTCACTTTGCCTCTGTGATGTTTTTCTAACCACGTCTGTCGTGTCCTTCTAGCTACCTCTCTTGTGTCTCTTGTGGCTCTAAGTTTACGTCTACAAGTTCTACGGAGTCCTCTACTACGAGTACAACGACACCATACTCCATTGCGCAGCTGCCCTTTGAGATTGATTTGGCATCTTCAGACGCGAGCTTCACCACTGTGGCAAATTTACTGAGTAAGGAGAGGGAAAAAGCGGAGCTGAAGTTAAGGGTTCCCCTTGATGTGAAGCATGATTTCCTTATAAAACAACCGGTTCGTTTTTGCCTCTAGCGTGTAGCCCTTCCAACAACAAAATGCATTATTATCTTAAGGGTAGGCTAAAGGTGCTTTTCTTACCGCTTTTTATGCCTCTCCGAAGGGAGAAAGGCATAACAAGCGGGGTAAGCGAGCACCAAAAACCTACCTCGAATTATCCTAGCACTGTGGAGTCAGCGCAGACCTTATCTCGAGCACAGGATGGGCGAATGAATGAGTGTGTATGTGACTTTTTATTACTGGCACTGGATGGTCTTGCTATCCTTTATTTGGATTGGTCCTCGTGAATTGTCGGTTTTCAGTAATAATGTTTTAGCATTTCTCAACCAAGTCGTGTTGCTTGTTTTCCAAGTGGAATAAGTCCTAAATAGAGACAGGATAATAGAGAAAGGACGGACGAGATGTGTCAGAGTCAGAGTCACTGTCAGTGATTCACTCTAAAGACTGAGTCTGTGACTCAAGGTATGCAGAAATTTCTCGACGATAATATCGTGGACACGGCGACGCATACGCGGATGTCGTTGCTTAGCAGGAAAGAGGTGCCTTTCTTAGACCCGGATGACGATGAGGGAGAGGCGAACCCTACAACTGCAAATAATAGTCATAGTTACGGTCAACATTCTAGTGGTAATGATAGTCATACATTCTAGTAGATAGTTATAAGGTGGTAATAATAGTCATAGTTCTCCTCGGCATCCCTTGCATTCTCACGAAATAGTACAAGGTACAAGGGGGTCAAGATGAGGGGGCCGAGATGCAATCGAGTCGCAGACTCTAACATAGGCGCCCCAACCTCTTTCTTGTAGACCCCAACAGCTTTCTTGCAGATGATGATGCGCATCAATATGCTGAGGTTGGTGCTGTAGTTGAGTCAAAGTCAGAGCAAGTAGCTGTAGTAGATGCAGATGCGGAAACCACGACAGTTGTATCTTCAGACAGAGACCACAACTTGTTGTCGAAAACAGCAGTCGATGTTTTTGAGGGGAATCAGCCATCCCATTTGGCCACCAAGATTTTGAAGCCATCAAGGTCGAGCCCTCTAGCAGTGATAGAACTTCTTGGAGGTGGTGCGAGGAGTACTTCCACCAGGGAAAGCTCCAGGGCACGCGAATTGACGACTACGCAGTTGGGTGATCCTCCGTTTCTGACGATCTTGAATGTCGAATTGTCAGCCGGGTCCGACGCCACGTTAGATGTCGTCGTGACGATCAATTAAGGCTAGTTGGTTGCATTTCGCCGTCCTCCACCGCAGGTCTAGGTGTGAGCAGTGGAAGAAAAACTCTATCTTTCGAAGACTTCGACTTCATTCAGGAAGATCATTCCCCAGGATGTCATGGGAGCTTATCTTCATGAAAGAAGATTGATCAGGCGGCCTATGAAAAACTACGACTACCTTGGAAGATTTAGAAGATGTTGAAAAGCTACCTTTAACCTAAGGGCGATCCAGGTAATGTGGAACGTTTAACGACTGCGTGGGCTGAGCAAACGACTGCTGCAAGTTCAACAACAACCAGTCCTGGCTCTAGCTTTTCGCTTCGCGGAGAGAGTGGGGGAGAACAAAAAGATCACGAAAAAGAAGAAGACTCGCACTCTTTCTTAAGATCTGCAGCTTCGGAAGAGGCTGACCTACAGAAGGCTATGCAAGACGGCAGTCAAGCGTCGAACCCGACTACTTACGGCTTGCCCTGCTACAGACTTGATACTTACTTACATTGTCGGTCAGGACCAGCATTGATTTGCATTCTTGTCCTCTTTACAATAAGAAGATGAGCGTTGCTCCCAGGAGAGCGTAGCTTTCGAGGCGTAGTTCTAAGCACCTCAAGCATTCAGTGCATCAACTATGGGAACGGCGATAGCGTCAGCAGTAAGCGCAAACCCTGACCTTAACAACACGGTAAGCGCTGTGGCAAGTAGTGTACAGATTCCGGTCACCACGACCACGACGTCCACAACTATTATGGTAAACCTCAACATTACTGCTTTTATTCTTTTCGTATTACCCTTAAAGTTGAATCTGAATGAAAATGAATCGAATTATAGAACGACCAAGTTCAAGTTGTAGGCAGAACCAGAACCTAATAAATTGACATCATAGAAGGTGTTTCGAAATAAGTTCTGTTTCGAAATGTGTTCAGTAGGTCCTACACGCTAACGCTACCACGGCATCGACCACGACTTCCTCTTCGAGTACGTCTTCTACGACAACGTCTGAAACATCTACGACGACTGCTAGTACATCCTCTACAACGTCTTTCACATACACGACTACTACGGGAACAGAGACCGAAACTTAAGGGTAGTAGATCACTAGCTCAGACTTCCGAGTTGTGGGTTTGTTCTGCCTGATTTTGAGGACGGTTTGTTCTGTCTGATTTTGATGTGCGTGTGGAACTGTGTTCCAAACGAGGGAAGGAAAAACCCACTCGACGACGGATAGTGAGAGACTCTTTACTTCTATTAAGAGACGTCGACGAGAAGTACAGGCACGACTACCACAGTCACTGGGACGAACACGTCTACGACCGCTACAACGACTGAGACGTCGTCCACGAGTAGTTCATCAACGACCTCTTCTTCATCTACGACCTCTTCTTCATCTACGTCCTCTTCTTCATCTACGTCCTCTTCTTCATCAACGTCTTCTTCTTCGACGAGTACGACGACTACGTCCTCGTCATCAACAACGTCTATCACGAATACAACGACTACAACTACGTCCTCGACGTCATCTGGTACCAACACAAGCACTACTACTTCATCCTCGACGTCGTCGTCAACATCTACGTCCTCGTCGTCATCTACGTCCTCGTCAACAACGACCTCGTCGTCATCTACGTCGTCATCTACGTCCTCCTCAACGTCCTCCTCAACGTCCTCATCTACGTCCTCTTCTTCATCTACGTCCTCGTCAACATCGTCAACATCCTCCAGTACGACTATTATGATGAGGGTTGTGATTTCAGATGACCCAGTTGTATACTTGTGCTATGATTTTACAATTATAATGTCAAGAAGTTGTCAAGAATAACGGATAACGTGGCTCAGGTGAACTTCTTATCAATATAGTTGATTCCTACTCTAACTGAGGCACCTCAACGACCACAAAAACCACGTCTACCACGACCTCGAGTAGCACATCCTCATCCACGAGTACGTCGAGTAGCACATCTTCGTCAACAAGCACCTCAAGCAGCACATCTTCGTCGACAAATATGGCGAAGAATGCTTTCTCATTTGATGTTTCTGAGTCACTTTTTCTCTTGATAGGCTTCTTTTGAAGGCTGTCGTGTTCAAGTTTACCGACTTTCTTATGTGTTGTACTTCGTGTAGAACTTCTAGAAGCTTTACTCCTGCATGAAACCGATCTAATTCAACCACTAGTGTGACTTCGACGACAACGCTAGAGGGGCAAACGACTATTGACGATGACAACGTCGGAGGCGACACTCGCGATGATTCGAGCAGTGATTATGACATTTCTTCTTTGATGGTGTGGTCTGTCCCTTTTTGCAGCAAGTAGCGTTTCCTAAATTAGCATTAGGAATCCTAATATCTACTTTGCAGCAGAAAATCTGCTGCAAATAGTTCCTCAATCACAAGTAATGAGTTGCAAATTATTCAATATAGCACGCACGGGGCATGGGGTGCATGGAGCGCAGATCTCTAAGGGACGCAAGAAGCGCCCCCGCATGGACTCCATGCGATCCATGCACTCCATGCCATGCGAGCTGGCAAACCTTAGAAATTACTCAGTTGTTGGTAGTGCTTCTACGTGCGTACTACTATAATAAGCAAGCCAAAGGGAAAGGTCCATCAACCAAGATAGGTAAGTTCTAGATCAAGTTGATTAAGCCGTGTCTCTTCAATGATGAAGTTCAAGCCGTATTCTAATCCCAAGAGGCGGCCGGGGCAGCAGCGAGTGCTACTATAGCAGCCTTAGTCAGCGATCATGAATTGGCACCTGGGACAGTGACGAGTCTACTTACATTTTCAGGAGTGGTGTATGCAGGTGCGTCAGCCTATCTAGTCCATGCATTGATGGGACGATAGAACAGAGTTTGCAGCCTATAGTGTAGTGACGCCGATTCGGGTATTTAGATAGAAGGGATAACAATCATGAGAAGCACCAAGTAGAAGTGTATCGTTTTTCTACAAGAGCACAGCCGCTGTGGATAGTCTTTGAATTGTACAGGGAGACAACAACAACATTACGATCGCTAGGATTTTCAAAACTTATTTTTTTGGGTTCAACTACATTCTCCTAAAGCAAAGCTTAAGCTGTACAACATACCCCATTTGATGACTTCTTCGTAGGAAAGGCCAATGAGGAAAAAAATCCTGGTCTAATGACACATTTTTCCTAGAACACAATGTTGAGAGAAGATTGCCAAAGGAATCAGAATTTTTGACTATGATTGCCTTGCTGACGAGCTTGATAAGAAAGTTTTGGTTGACCAGTTCCTAGTACAATCCATCGATGTGTGAGTGTCCTAGACGTTTGTTAAATTCTGCGAAAAATCACAATGATAGAAAGAAATTGTCCGACGGGTCCTCGGGTGGCCGCTGAGAGGAACTATGTCGATTTCCCCGCATTATGGAAGGAGCTAGGAAGATACTTGCTCCTGATCTCTACTGCAAGCGGGCGTGAACACTACTATTGATCCCACGGAAGATGATGTGACGTTGCACTGGATGATGAATTGACCTCTCCCAGATGGAACTGGATGTGGAACTAGATCTAAAGCGTTTTTGAGAGTGTCTTCAACGTTCTTTAGGCAGTAGTTTTCTTGGACTGAGGAAGCAAGCAGCGCGATTTGTGATCGTTTTGGTGGCAGACTATATGTTGATAATTCCTATGTAGAAGTGAAAGTACTTGTAACCCGCAGAAGATGATGCGACGTTGTAATGCACTATGCAGGAGTTGGTATCTTGATGTTTTCGTTCTGTTTGGTTTTTGAGGAAGACGACAAGGGAGGGTATATCTTGATAATTCCTAGGTCGTGTAGAAGTGAAAAGTACTTGTAACCTGAGATAAGTAAACTTGAACGTTTATTTTCACCCATCGATAATTCTACTTCCTAGCCCTACAAGGTGAAGGTGAACTACATAGTTTTATATTTATAGCAGCGAAATAACAATGTCAGCTGCCGTCTCTTCCTCTGCCCCTGTGGTCAACCACCTGTCTTCATCGGGAGAACAGGGAGGTCCTGGGCAAAGTACCCAAACACCTTCTTCATCCAGCAGTGCTGCGCGACAATTTTTCGAGTCGTTTCCACCTTTTTTCACACTACAGCCGAATGCAGCGACAAGAAACAAACAACTGCTGTTGTGGCAGGAGTTGGTGCTTGCACACTGTAGACAAAACAAGGTCTACACAGTGACAGCGGGGGACGCGATATTTCACTTATGGCAGATGGATACGATGAGTCGAATCTTTTTAGCAGAAATATTTCTTAGAGAATCAATTTCTAAAAACTTCTCAATTTCGCTTGCTCCATCTTCTACCCCTTCATCTCCCTCTCCCGCTGTCCTTCATCTCCCTCTCCCGCTGTCCGCCGACGCTTATCCGTCGAAGGCTTCGAGGCCCTGTGTACCTTCATGGTGTCCCAAGGTCGAGCGGAGCTTCTTCCAGGTGGTGGGATTAGGGTGCACGTATTAACAATGCGCGAACTGGCGGATGCACTGTACAACTTCGCACGAGACACCTGCAGACTCAACAGCGTTGAAACAATATACAACCTACTAGAAGGGGACGAAACTACAAAGCAAGTTTTTTAAGGCTCGGGAAAGACGCAATTCACTTCCAGTTCCAACGGCTATTTGTCAAAAGAGTAAGTAAGAGTGTCCAGATGAAGAGCGAAGATAACGCATGAGTAAAGAGTAGGAGAGCTTACCCTCTTCTACTGGGCTGGCGAAGAATAGTTACCAGATCTACACAAAAATGAATGGCTCCGGTATTTGGTAACCTGAATTCGATCACAAGGATGCCCTTCTTGTTTTCCCTTATGATCAAAATCAGGCTACCGAATACCAGAACAATGCATGACGTTTTCTTCCGTCCCTCTAAGTCTTCTACGGCTTGCCAAAGGAGTCGGTTTTACAGGCTTTGAGACTACTGAACACGGAAAGGAAAGCAGAAATACTGTCAGTGGCAGAAGAAGGCGCAGAAGATGGCGTGAAATTCTTTGGATGATTGATGATGCGGAAGAGCTTTGAATAAAAGCGCATAGTATGCGTAACCTTACAGAACGTTATTTACTGTACAACCACGCCTCGCGCTCACATCATTTTTCCGAACGCAACCCCAAGTCCCTTGTATATCCGCTATACAAATTCAAATATACTACGGTGATCCCGCTCCAGCACCAGCACCAGCAGGAGACTTTACATTATCATACCATGTGACATTGTGATGTAATCCCTTGTGTAGAAGAAACTGAAGAGGACGAAAATAATGTCCACGTCTACTCCTGTACGTCGCACAGTGTTCTTCATGTGATCCTATTGCACTCCACCATGCAGACGTTTTTGAGGAAGGCTCTGAAAGTGGAGTACATTTAGACCATAGAAGGCTCCCTGTCATTCTGGGGTGAACAAAAAAAGATCAAACTCGACTACTGTAGCCGCGGAAGTTTAGATTTGATCTTCAGCAGAAGATGTAGTAGCGGATCCGCGCGCTTGATCAAGATTCTTGAGAAATCTTCTTGTAGCCTACGTGTTTACTTGCAGCTAGAAGTTTGTTTGTCAATCTCGATACACTATAACTACAACCAAGTCATTCGTTCATTCTTACTCATTCTTTGTCAATCAAACCAACCCTAGGGGAATAGAATGACATCCTCTAGCGGCCGCGACGTGGAGGAATTGAGCACAGAGCTGCTCTGTTGCGATGAGCAGTCGCTACCTGCGGAGCTTCTTGACCACTTTATTTATGGTCATATATATTGGATATACAACCCGCCGGTGATCTAGGAGTATCACTAGGGATGCCAATCAATCAAAACTCAGCATCTGCCATTCTGTCTCTACGGTGACCAAGAATGATATGGAAGGCGCGCTCTAATACACCCTGAACATCGAGGAACTGCGGGACTGGTGCGGAGGTAACCTGGGTGTGGAGAAAATTTTACTCTTTTTCGTCGCTGAAGAAAAGAAGACCTTACTGGCGAAAAGTCAGAGTACTCCCTCATCTTTTTATGGTGCATTTGTTTTTTCAATACACCTAAATGTGTTTTTACTAGGATCTAGCAGAACAGTGCTGCTAGATCATAGTAAAAACACATTTAGTTGTATTGAAAAAACAAAAAGGAGTCGGACAACAAGAGGACTATTTGGAACGAACAGTAGCGAGCGAATCGATTTCCCCCGTTGTACTCTTGTTGGACGATATGTTGAGAAGATATTACCCCTCTAAGGACAACAGAAACAGTACCTGTTCCATCAAGAATGGGTATCGATATTGGAGCGATTGCGCGCAGACGGATCCAGCCTTCTAGATGATGACTTGCTGAGTTTGGGACCGCTTTATGTTCGTTTCCACGAGAGGGTTGCCCCACTGTTGCCGCTCTACAACCATATGATTTGGGATGAGAGTTGATGACCCTCCTCTTACTGTATTATGAGTATTATAAGTTGTTCTCTAGTTTTTAGGTCGGCTCCACCACAAGTATTATAAGTTGTTGAGTTGCTCTACTTATCGCTATCGTTCTCCACTGAAAGAAAGTTCTTCTCTTTTTCAATAGTCAATACTGAGTACTTACAAGTTCTCTATCAGGGCAGACCGTCAGGGGCTGAGTGCGAAGTTTCCTCTCATATTTTTCAATAGTCAATACTGAGTACTACACTAGTAATGAAGCTCGCAATTATTATCTCGTCTACTGTCTCTCTATCCCTAGTATAGCTACTGCTAAATCTTCCTCGGAACTGCCCACGACAGTACCTAGTACTACGGTATCGAGTATCCGCGCTGAGCATGTGTTGAAAGCCGTGTTGGAGAGTAGCAGCTCGGTGAGCAACGACTATTCCTCAGATGGAACAAGCAGTTTGCTAACTTCGACGAAAAACGCCATTTTAGCCGACCTTGAACATCATAGTACTACGTCGAAGCAAGCTATGGCACTGCACACGGACAAGAGTTTGGATATCTTCGATGAAGGAAGTCATACAGGACAAGCGTCGCACTCGCATGTTCAAGGCCACCAGAAAGAAGCTCCAAGAACGGAACAAGATATGAACGTAGACATGTTTCTCGGTGTCGGGACTGCACCTTCCCCACCGCCAGAGCTGATAGAAACTACACCTTCTGAACTGGAGCAACCACCGAAGGCAACATCCGCTGACCTTTTGTCCCTCTTCGATGATGATGAGTTCCGTGGTCACCCAACTTCCACTACGTCGACTGCGTCTTCTACTACAAGTTGTATAACTGCATCTGATGGTGCCAGTACTAGTTGTACCAAGACCCCAGAAGAAGAACCAACTACCACGACTAAAAATCAAGCTCGTGCCAGTACTAGTTGTACCAAGACCCCAGAAGGGGAACCAACTACCACGACTAAAAATCAAGCTCCCAGTACGGATACATCCACTTCTATCCTCGCCGCAGGACATCAACCAGCGACATCTTCAGTACCGGGATCCTACGCTGAGTGGCGCGCACACTCCGATAGAGTGGCACAGGAAAAGAACGAACCTACGTCTCCGGAGAAAGCTCAGACATTTTGGTCCTCAACGTTTGGCACTGGCTCCTCCACTTTTGCATCCGGGTTGGCGACAGGATTCACGACGGGCTTTTCAAAGGTAGCCACTGCTGCGAATAAAGGTGTGTCTGCTATAGCGCAACAAGTGGGAAGTGGGAATGTTAAGGCATGGAAGGAAAGGAGCCGTCAAGTGTGTGTCTTGAATCCTTAGAGATCGTCTATGAAAAACTTCCCAGTTTGGAGAACTCTAACATGCCAGTGAACAGCACTGATGTTCAAGTAGAGGCGTCGAATGAATTGGCGACAGCGACGACTCCGACTGCGCAGATCTTATGGCGGTTGACCTTGACAGAGCAGAAGTTCATCTTTGATTGATAGTCTCCTACTAGTAGTAGCTGTACGCATAGATTAGATTTAGAATAGAGACGTCTTGCCAGTGCCACTGCAAATATGAAATCTTCACGTCGGCTCTCTGACCACTAAAAAGAGGTGCTACCAAAGTAAACGAGCAATCACAGTCACCCAGTGGAGGCAAGAGGAAGCTATCGCGAATGCAATTATTGCCTATTGAAGTGGACGTAGCCTTAGCCCAAAGACTACCAATGCTCGCACCGCATTTGCGAAGTGAGCGGGAAAGTTCTAGACCGGTGCGATTAGGCCAACGATTCGCGTGTGAATATCAAGGCCAACTCGAGGTGGCAGGGACAGTGGGAACTGAGTTGTTAAGGCTTCTTGGTAGAGCGTCAACATCTTCGATGTCGCTTACACATGTCATGAGCGTGAACGTCGAGGAACTTCTACTATCCTCTTTGCCCCAGTACTAAACACTGACGAAAAAGCATGATTAACTTCTTCTCTAACTAAAAGCACGACCACCAAAAGCAATAGCCCTTCTGCGACGTCGAGGAAACAAGTGGAGTTTGTGATAGTCTCCCTAGAGCAGGGGTTAGGCTCACGTGTCGAATCCGGCTGTCTCACTGCTGATACCGAGTATTACGTGGCAGGCCCTCCAATGCCGTCTTCGTCGCCTCTATTATGGTGCTCTCTAGCTACTTACTTACTTGATAGTCATAGAGTGAGCTACAGGTACAGAACTACTTACTTGAAAATCATAGCGTGAGCTACAGAAATACTGACTTTGAAACGTGCTAGGTAAATCTCATTATAGAGATCTTCCTCTGGTCTGTCTTTTTTCTAGTTAGGTCGGCTCCGATCAAAAATACTGTAGAAGAGAATCCATGTGTGAACAAAATAATATGCTTGACCAGGTAGTATCCGAGGTAACATGCCATGTCACTGACCCTGAACGGAAGGGACCCCCTTCAAAGCTCTCCCCTTTCCCTTCGTTTTCCCCTGTTCTCTCAAGGGGTCACCTCTTCGATCTCAGTGACCAAACCAACCCCAATGACTACTGAAAGCTGAGCCTTAATCTAGCTATACTTTCTTCCGACGTTCAAACAAAATAATATGCCCGCTTCCGTTCATGCTACCTTCTGCGGCAAAGCTACAGTCCCGGCAGAGCCGCTACGTCTCCTTCCAGCTCTTCGACTCCAATTTAAGACTATCTGAATTTTTTTTTTGTTTATGGTTTGCGAACAAAGTTAGAAGTTGCACAGATCTCGACTCAAGAATTTGTCTTAGCCATTCCTTAGGTATGCTTGTGATCCGTTGATCGAAGCTATTGCTTAGTTGTATAATCGTCGGTGTACTAAGTTTATTGTCACCTCTTTTCTCAGTCTCCTTCTTCGACTCCAATTTAAGACTATCTGAATTTTTTCGACACCCACTTAAGACATGGACGAATACAAATATTACAATCTCTAAAGTCTAGGCGTTGAGACAGTGTACGAGAACGTGGGAGGATTTATCGCTGGTTTTGTGAGCACGTTCACGACCGAAGGAACTTCGCAAGGAGTAGATCAAAAGGCAGATGCTGAAGAAGCTACAAAAAACGCGGACGTAATAGTTGTAACCGATACAACGAGGGCTGCAGCCGGTACTGACTTACTCTCTGGTGCACAAGAAGGAACTACAACAACTCAGAAGAAAACAGGACCAATGTCTGAAGCACCTAGTGTTTCGCCACACAAAGCGACGGGAGCGGCATGCTCCTCCTCTTTACAGACATCAACATTAGACAGCACTGCAACGACGTCAGACGAGAATCCCACAGCTGCATCTACTTCTGGAGAGGTCATAACTGTACGATCGGAGCCATTGCTGGAATTCTCACCTACATTATGAGAAAGTGAACCTGTTAATGGAGTACTAAAAATTTGAAGCTCTAAAAACAGATCAATGGAACTGTCCTCTCCGATTCGAAAAACTCCCTTTTTCTAACATTCAGTAGAATCGTCCCTGTTTCGGTCGACGATTTGTTGAAAGAGGACGATAAAAAAGCGGCGCCGGAGTCTTTCTACACGAAACTAGCGAAAATGCCCTTGTTCGGTCTGAAGAACAAGAACTACAATAGCAGCTATCAAGAGGACATTTAAGAAACTTCAGTTTACAATAGCAGCTGTCAAGAGGAATCCAGAAAGGACATTTAAGAAACTTCAGTGTTGATGAATTGTGAGTAATATGGAGCTTCTTTGATGTATGGCAAGAAGGACCCTTCTTATGAATCCTCTTGATGAATTCTGTTTTGATGCCAGCAGCAGCGCTAAGATCACACCAATAGTGCTCCTATGTCGTCAGAAGGGCCGAGTGTTGGTGGCGAGAAAAAAACGGCGAAAACACTTTTAAGGCTTATGTTGACTACTTACTCGGGTCACAACGGAACCAGGCAGCTACTCGTAGTTGCTACGTGGTTCGAATGAATGAATGAGTACCATAAGGATTGGATAACGACGCTCAGAGTCTTGGCAAATGAGGAAGAAGATATGGAACTCATGGCAGATTCATAATAGGATCCAAATCCAATCTCGTAAGTCTCTAAAAATAATGTCGAGCAGCGAGCAGCAGACGAAAAAAGGAAGCAATCTGTTATCTGCATTTTCTTGGCGTGGACCAACAAAAGAAAGCACTCACCGATATATCCGAGGCCCATACATTAAGGCAAAGACCTCTATCAACATACACTATCAAGTGTGACATTATCTAATTCTAATAGATAATGTAAATATCTATCAAGTGTAGATGACCTAAGAATATTTTAGACGATCGTACTACACTAGAAGCTGCTTTTAAGGTATCATTTCTAAATACAAAGCACCTACAGCCGAAGAGGATGCTACTTTTTTGAAAGCGGCGCTTCTGATGTGCTCTAGTGCAGTCAAGTAGACTCGAATGCGCTACCGTGGATGAGGTACATGGGCTTCTCTTGCGGAGGGTACGTGCGGGCTCTGAGGGAGCTTCTCTTGCTGAGGGTACGTGCGGGCTCTGAGGGAGCTTCTCTTGCTGAGGGTACGTGCGGGCTCTGAGGGAGCTGTCGTTTTCTCTGATGACTGGTTCTCTGATGACTGGTGTTGGAGATGGATGGTTGGACCGTAGGAAATCTCTCTGACAGTCTCCCTGATGACTGGCTTGAATGGAGATGTGAGGACGATGATGAAGAACGACTCAGGCAAAGCTGTTCTTTCTGGCAAATGCAGTGAATGATAGTCACGACTGCAGTGTGGCAAATTTGGTGATATTCACAACTGCAGTGAATGAAGAGTGTTGATGAATCTAGTATGGTGATGCTAAGAGTGGTTTTGGAAGTTGGATTGCATGATTGCGTACCTGCTCATAATACCCTCTACAAGGGAATCTGAACAACTTGTCTGATTCCAAATCACTTACATCACATTTTTACGCGCCCAGCAACCTTGAACCTTCATCAAGCGGCTGCTGGTACTTTCTCTCGTTGAGTCGGCCTTAGCGTCTGTTGCTTTTGTTTCGGTTTTGAAAAAATGCGTACACAAGAAGCTGCATGTGACATAGTATTGGCTCGGTCAAAGCGAGTGACTGCACACCTGTCAAAACGAGAGATTTTCTGAGACACGATCTGTTGAATCCTCTACACTTTTTCACTTATAGGAAATATGTTGTGGAAGAAATCTCAACCCGTGGCTTGCTAGAGTTTTAGCTAGTTTTGAAAACTAAGTTTTCTCTCTCTTTGTATAAAAAGATTAATCTTTTTTACAGATGCTCAGTCGCATTAGGGACAGTCTTTACAGATACTCTTACTCAGTCAAATTAGAAGATGTCTCAACTTGGTCTGCACGGCGGTGGGGAAACATTGCAACAACGAGGAGGTGGAGGCCTGCAGCAAAATGAGAGTAGGAGAAGTCCACGCCTCGAAGAAGGAGAAGATCACGGCTTCGTCCTGGGAGTTGGACATGACCGTGAGGTGGGACGAGAGCCACGGCCTCACGAGGACCTAGAAGAAAGACATAACAACAACGTCGTAGAAGAGAAGAGTGAGCCTGACAATTTAGAAGGGCAAGATAGCCTGCAGGCTGCGTCTTTTTTCGACGGTCTTCCGACACTAGAGGGCTACTTGGGAGGTCCTCTAGCAGATGTTGGCAGTACATATAGTGATGCGTCAGAAATAGCGAGTGCTGTGGGACAAAACGACTCCTCGGAGGAAGGAAACGGACTTCGCCAAAAAACAGATGAAGGCGCCTCTACTTCCTCGGAGATCTTCGATCAACGCGGTGTTTTTCAGCTTGTCGGCTTACCTGGTGTTGGGAAAACGCGGTTACTGGAACAAATAGTGTTACGAAAAGACAAAGAGCTAAAAGTAGTGGAACAGATAGTGTTAGGAAAGAGGAAGAGGTATGTTTACTGTATATCTGTACCAGTGTCAAGAAGAGGGCGATTTCATCTCATGTGGAATTTTGTTGACTATCTCAGGTTTACAAGCTTATAATTACTGTAACTTTACTAGTGTTCTTACGAAAAGAGATCTGACTCTTATCAAGGAGAACCAGACTTAGGACAACTAGTGTTACGAAATTCTGCTATTTAATGGCTGCTACGTACGAAGAAGAGTTGAGAAAGATGCAGTCATTGCGCAGTTGGTTCACTTTCACTACGCAGTGCTGTGCTTTTCGCCAGCTTCCAGGGGAGACCTACAGCTACTCTCTAACAGAGGACAAAAGAGGAACTTCCACAGTTATGGCTGTACTGCTGATCGTCTGTTATAATTTCATTGCTTCCGCACTTTCTAAAGCAAGCATGATAACAGTTTACCTCGTCTTTCTGCAGGAGGATCGTACAGGCGCTGCAACTTCAAGGTTCAATTACAACATGTTTAGAGTGGCAGCGCTAGTAGCTCTAAAAACAGTAAGAGCCGCAGAAATATCGTGGTTCTTGATACCGAAGGTGGTTGGGCAGATCAGCCTGGCCAAGGAAGATGGTCTCAGGGATGCGACCGTGGTAGCTCTCAAGAAGACTCCGACTTGGGCTCATCTGCGACGTGTGCCAAGCAGGTGCGAAGGAAGCGGATTTTTGATCTACCCGAATTGCGGAGATTCCTTGTGGCAGAGGCTGCCTCAGATGAAACGGTCGCCTCCGGAAAGACGAGCCACGCTTTATTATGGTTCATTCTGATGTAGACCACCATAATCGTCCCGAAGGAGTATGCTATGTGACCATTTTTCTTCCAAAGCGTGGCAATTCATCCTTCAGCGAAATCAAAGCTTTTCATATCGCAGTTAGTCGGAAAGCACAAACACACACCAGCACCATTTTGCCTTTGTGATGACCTGCTAATCTCCGATCTTCTGCTCATTGACAGCTTTGCGTTTCTAGTAAGAAGCGCAGAACAATCGTTGGAAAATATTGCCTCTCTCCTCTTCCAAATGCGCAAGCTGAGTCGGACAGTTATTCTTATGGTGAACAGTGAATATAGATATCTCATTCTAAACAAGTGTTAAGGAAGGTCATGCTAACAATATGGGATCGTTAATATGGGTCATACTTTATGATATGGGTTTACTAAATATCTATGTTATATGTCGTGTTTATGGGTCATACTTTATGATATGGGTTGTTACTATACTAAATATCTATGTTATATGTGTGTCGTGTTTATGGCGGTCATATAATGGGTAGTATACTACTTATGATATAGGCATATCTTCTTCATCCAGCTGGTGAACCACGTGACACAGGGACGAGTGTTGCCATTTGTGCCTCACTTAGAGGAGGAACTGAGGTTGGCGGAGGACCTGGAGAAGCGTTAAGAGTTGTTTTGGGACTAGAAGTTGATCACAGTAAGAATCAACTGTTTTGAGACTAGTCAATTTTCAGGGATGATAATTGATTCCGTATCAATTTTCTGGGATACATAGTTTATTTCCGGTGTCGTCCCAAAGCGTCTGAAGTAACGCCGCATGTTTTAGGATGACTACTTAGACCACTACTAGCGCTCTAAGATCCCAGTCCCACGAAGACGAAAAGTTCACAGAATGACCCGCGGCAGGCTGATCCAGGAAATAACGGCGAAAGTGGGGAGCTTCCACGACAAGTAGAGGAACGTCGTAAGCCAGAGACTAGTACATCGTTGAGTCCTCCTCTGCCGGATACTAGATCATCGAATCATCCTGGGCCAGCGAATTTGAATAAAAGTTATGAACAGAGCTAGTTAGAAGTACTAGATACTGTTTTAATTTATTCCTTCACAACTTAGTTGTACTAACATTACGTACTAGCACTAGGATCATGTTCTTGTGGTAGACTCACCTCGTCCTTGTAAGGTAACTTCCATCTCGCAGTACCGTAAGATAAACCATGACTTTTATCGTTATGATCCGATCCCTTCTAGTGGACTAGCAGAACTCGTCTCTACGGGTGCTACGGACAGCACTCTCAGAGACGCACACATGACATGGATCTCTTAGAATACTTTATAGAACGGATGTAGGATGTATACTTAATATCTCTTGTGGATATAATACTTCGCCCTTTAACTAGGGAAGAAGGCGCCCGGTGCTTTGGCGTGTTTTGAATTCGATGTTTCCTCGGACGAAGAGATGGCGACGGGCGATCCAAGTCTCAAGCGACGAGAGATGGAGAGCACGACTAGCGCTAGAAAGAGGTTGTCTAGTAGAAGTTTTAGACGTCCTGACCCAGCACGCGACAATGCAGCAACCTCATCTAGTAGGAAGCGTGCACGCACACACGACAACGCAGTAGATGATGTTAAGTTATCGTCAGTTTTTGTGTTATTCCACTTGAAGATGGACTTTGATAAACACACATCACAGACATACTTCCACATGATTTTACAACGAACATGGGATGATCAGTGAAATTGACATTCATATTCCCTCTACGTACTACTGTAGTTTTCTTCGCTGGCAGTGCGTAGGTTGTTCATAGTTTTTGCTACTTTTGACATCTCCAGAAGCAGTGATGCAAATAATTCGAATTTTCTTACTCTCCCCCTGTCGCTGTCCCTCTAAAAATGCAAGAAAGCAAACAACCTGATAAATCAGGATTGATGTGAACAAGATTAAGATTCTCTCGTCTAACAAGTCGCGACGAGGAAGAGTGGATCATGAAGCCGGCCTTGGGTCAATTTTTCTCTCATCTCGTGGACCATACTGTGCTGATCACAAAGGGACCACAGCTGACACTGCTCAAAAGCATTTCTATGGAATGCTGATGGAGGGCTGACGTTGGAAAGCACTTTCTGACGTTGAAAGTAGAGCACTGTGGTCCTCCTGAGCATCGTGCTGAGCGTTGGAGGGCGAAAGAGAAGAGTCAGACGAAGGCAGAAGTGGCAACCTCGTAAGATTAAGGCTCGACTTTCAATGGTCGTTGGGGTCGGTCACTGAGATCGAAGAGGCGGCCCCTTGAGAGAACAGGGGAAAACGAATGGAAAGGGGAGAGCTTTAAAGGGGGTCGCTTCCGTTCAGAGTCCGCGACCAATGGGCGCTGAGCTCAATGCTTTCAGCCGATCCCTTCTTTGTGGATGTTGAAAATAGTGCATTCCCATTCTCCATGAGTTGAGAACATTGGGTGTAGTTGTACTTAGCATACCCTACAGAAATGTCGACGCGAATTTTCGTGTCAGAGAAGATTTTGGTGTTGTAGTTCGTTAGTAGAACAGCACTGGTTGTGACTTGGTATAGCACTCCGCACGATTTTGGTATTGCTCGACTGACAGAGCACTGGCGAGTTCATACCAATCTTCGGATCATCATCCTCGCATACCTTACTATCTAAGATTGTTACGATTCTCTATCATCGTAAAAAGCTGAAGAAAAGGTGAGATAGTCGCTCGTAGATTAACTTCGTCTTCTGATCAAACACCGAGTGACTGGGTGGAATATCAAAAAGCGGTATTGTATTGTAGTCAGACGAGTACGAGAGAAGGAACAGTATCGTATCGTTCGTGTAAACGAGATTCACAAATAATGGGACATTGTAGTTCTCATTGCACCTTTCTTTGTAGTTCTCATTACGACCGTACGAGGGACGTTGCTCCTACTAACACAAACACCCTTGCTCTAAGTACTTATAAAGTAGTTTATTGATTGAAGCTGAGGGCCACCCGCTGTCCGAAAATAAAGTTTCATTGGTCGAGCTCGAGTTGATAACTTCGAATGAGTCGGTCTTTTCGAAAGACAACCCTCAATATCGGTCTTCTCGAAGTCCTCGAAGTGATTTCGTAGAAAATCTTGAAAACACGCCTAGAAAATCTTGAAAACACGTTATAGTTGGAAAATAATGTCTGTGAAGAACCTGTGAAGAACAAAGTCTTTACAATGAATCTCCCTCACGCGTACCTCATTCCTACCTCACCTCCAAACGACCCTGTTGTACTTACATTTGATGATATTTGTTAGTCTATGCATTCGAAATCAATCCTCCTGACTCCTACCCGCAAACATCATCTAACTACTCCTACCTGCAAAGATCATCTGAAGAAGAGCAAAGGATAGAAAGGAAGAAACGTTGTAACACCTCTAGACTAGGTACAATCATCATCATCATCGTCATCGTCATCGTCATCACTCCCCAAAAAAACACTTAGCTCACGTCGATCACGAAGGAACATTCATACGAATGAAGATATTCATTATATCTTCAAGAAGCTTATATCAGTGGACTTTTACGAGTACTAGTGTCAGAAATGCTACAGCTCTTTGATACAACAAATGCTACAACGCGCTTTTAGAGGAGAGAATCTGGACAACCACGTCTACAGTTCCTAACTACTTCTCGGACAAGGAGGGCAACCACCTCTACGCCTCGGCCAGGGAGGAGTACTTTTTATTTGATGACTCCTTCTCTACGAACATGATTTTGATTGCGCAGCTTTAAATGTTTATCTTTATGTTTATTTTCTGTGTCAGCATGATAATGATCGAATGTTACTTGCTGAAGACTGCACTTTTCTTTGATGAACCACTAAGACACTTAGAAGTCTAAGTATTTAATACAGTATTGCACTTCGTCAATTTCTTATCGCCCTTGTTTCTACCACTTCCTTACAGTTGGAAAAATTCCAGGTACCTCATGAAGAGCAGGGGGGACCGGGAAGCTTTCTGCCGTAGCGGAACAACCTACCAGCAACAATTGAATTGGCCAAGATCCGTCACTGACTACGTCGTCTACCCACAAATCTGCTCGAAGAATATCGAACGACCACAACGGAGAGTCCGACGACGCGCTTGAGCCTACTAAAGGACGAAACTAGTCTCGTTCTATCACGACGTAACAACGAAAATAGCCTCGTCCTATCGCACACTGGGCCTCCGACTTGTCTCAGGCCTCCGACTTGTCTCAGGCAACTCATTAACATCTTCATAGAACAAGTGAAGAGAAACACCATAATAAAAAGGACATCTTCATAGAAGAGAACCATCTCTTCAAGAACATCATCTTCATAGAAGAGAACCATCTCAAGGGCATCTTCATCATAGAGACGAAATCGCTTGAGAACATCTCAAGTAGAAAATCCCAAGAACATTCCAAGAGCCTTAACACCCCAAGGACCTTAACTTCCCAAGAACCTTGAGAACCAAGAAAAATGACGATGGATCGGCCTTTAGTATCCTCTGCCTTTCTTGGTAGCATGCTGGAGGGTGGTCTTACTCTTAGCCGCGTTAAGGCTGCTCGTAGCCGCGTCCGATCACTCTGCTGTGAGCGTCGTTCTGAATCTCGTTTTGAAGAACGTAATCTTCTTCACAAGTGCATCAACAACAAGGACGCCAACAAGAAGAACTACTGCAGGAGCAACTACAACAACAGGAACCCCGACAAGAAGATCACCAACTGCAAGAAGATCACCAACTACAAGAAGATCTCGTGGTGGGGATGCTCCTATAGCATTTACTTGCTTGCGATATCATTGTTCGACATTGGAGGCGCAGGGGCCTTGAATCGGGAGAAGCACAAAAAGGAGAACACGAGGATCAGCGCTTATGGTTGTATTGATTGATTGGATTGCTTGATAGTCTGACTGATTGATGGCTGTATTGATTGATTGTTGTATTGGTTGACTGTATTTATTGATAGACTGAACAAGAGGTCCATAGACAGCCGCAGCCAATTTGCGCTGGAGGTTTCAGCAATGGTAGTCATACTCGGCAGTCTTTATCTTTATCATCTAGTCGGGATCTTTATGGTTTGTGTCGTGTACACCTGTAGGAATCTTACCAGAGGCGTGGATGAAAGAAAGTATAAAGGTCGATGAAGTCAAGGTGTCAAAAAAAGCATCATGTTACTTTTTGCAGCTATTAGTTAAGACAGCTCCTGCTACTCAGGACAGCTGCATTTGCTTGATGCAGTTTTTACTACTATGGCAAGGACGAAAAAAAATGTAACGAGGTCCGATCCTTGCCATCAAGGCGAAGAGGAAAAGCCCCCACCCCGTCTTGCGGGTTTCTTTCAAGAGGCTGAAGGCCCCTCTCAGGAAGTTCGCGGCCTCTTCAGGAGCGTACCCCTCTAGTTGGTCTACTTACTATATATCAGTCGTGGCCCGCTATAGTTGTATCTACTTATGTTGGACCACAAGAGCACAGGCCTCCGCGCCAGGTTCGTTTCTCAGTGGAAACACAAGCAAAGCCGGAATCTTGAAAGCAAGCAAATCTCTGTAGACCAGCCTGTGACTTATGGCCACTGTCTGGCGTAGTCCCTGTTTGGTTCATTGGGTAAGATGAATCATACATCATCAGCATAAGCATGCCAGAAGGGACCGGACTGAACATGCACCACACGACTAGGATCAGCACAACCGTGCCTAGTCTATGCGTTGATCATTATGGTTATGCGTTGGAAGTAGCACTCATGATCATTGGCATTCGTGTCCTGTGAGATCATCCCGATGACAGTCGAGCGCGAGGCTTTGTGTGAGCCACTGAGAACAGAACAACACGACAGCCGAGAGGCTTGAGCCATACATGACCAACACCCCGACCCCTCCTCAATTGATGCGGGCCGAAGTCCGTCTCACGTGACAGCCTCACTGTGTGTCAAGTCACGGCAATCACATCTCTTGTCTAGTGTTGAGTTTTAGCCCTAACTTGGCTACGGTATGCTAGAAACCGAAGTAAACCGAATGTAATGCGCTATAGTAAGCTAAATCGTCCTCATCTGTTTCATCATCAGAGGAATCACAGTTATCTTCTCTACTCTTAGTCATCGGGTTAGCTACGTGGTGTAGTATAAGTCTACGCTGAGTGGCACTGCGGGTTAGTTTCGAAAGTGGGTCTGCCTTCATCAAGTTGGTAGGACAGAGCACGATCCTACTAGCAGCGTCGCGCACTCTTAGGTAACGTAGAGCATAGTGTCTACTTTTAGGGCGAGCGTCTGTAGCTTTGGCTGTTGTGGTCGCAGACTGGTTGCCTATCCACAATGCAGCATTGTCTAAGGAGGGCGACAAGCCGTTCCGTGTGTGTACCAACTGAGTTGGAAGGGGCCTGTAGAAGTCTGTAAAGTCATGCATCTCAATGAGGACTATTGTGTCAGAGGCTGCAATATACTCACTTTCGGCCGTAGAGTAGGCTCTAACAGTTTGTCTGTTGCTCCTCCATGCTATGGGTGTACCTTTATAGTACATTATAGTACATTATGGATCCACTTGTGCTTCTCATTGTTTTGATGCAGTTGGCGAAACCAGCATCACTGAATATGTTTACTTCTGGCATGTCTCTGCCTTCTGGTAGAAGTTTCTCATATATTTTGTTGAATTCTTCTTCCTTTTCTGGTGGGTATTCTACTCCTTGGCCTTTTGTTGACGCCAGATATTTCAGGATGGACTTTCTTGGCTGCTTTGGCCATTCTTGTTGGCGTGGGTTTACTGACATGTCTAGCCAACGCTGCTACCGGTGCAGAAATATCCGGGCGCGCGGCTACAGCTACCCATAGTAAGGCACCAACTACCTCACGAAAGGGATACCCGTCAACTATCTTCATATCGTCTTCGAGGAAAGTTGTTTCGTCAAAATTGGGCGAGTAAACCGGTTTCCCTAGTTGAGCTTCATACTTCTTAGCAATTTTATCGATGTACTGCTCCGCGCACAGTCTGAACGGCTTAGCTTCACGGCCATAGTACACGGCCGCACCTAAGAAGTCGAACTTTAGCCATTCGAGGCCCCACGGGGTTGGAACTGACTCGACTTCAATCGCACGGCCTGGGGCACGTGTGGAAATGGGGTCTAGTTCGGTCTTGGGCTCATCTTGGTCAGGACCTGTAGCAAGATTGTCATCTACATAGACAGACATCTTCAGAAACTTCCCGGGTGCTTTGCTGCTCGGTTTGCGCCACAATCCAGGCGCAGAAGTACACGGCTCCCAACCAAGACTGGCAAGAGTCTCGTGATACTTCTTGAGCCATGCTCGTGGTGCATCCTTCAAGCCGTATAGAGCTTTCTTGAGCTTCACGACCTCGCATCCATGCTGCTTCGCCCAGATGGGTGGAAGACGGCAGTAGACATCTCGATCGAGTTCGGCATTGAGGAACGCTGAATCTAAATCGAACGGGATCACATAGCCCCCCTCTGACGCAGCAGAAGCGAGGAGCAACCTATTAGCAGCATGCGACACCACGGGAGCAAAGGTGTTTAGCTCTCCTGAACGATCTAAATTACCGAGCACACAGGCTCTTGCCTTGTATTTTCCGCGTCTCTTTCTTGTTAATATGATGGCAATCGGGAGAGCCCGTGACGCGGTTGCTAGCTGCTCGTCAGTAGCTTCTTCCCACGTTTTAAAGGCTAGTAGTCTCGCGTGCTCAATGTCTATGACATCCCTCCACTTTTCAGCTTCAGGACTCTTCAACGCATTGGCTACGGACAATATCACACGTGATTCGGCGACTTCCTCATCTTCGTCTATCTCACACGTGCCACCCATAGCACTTGCGAACAGCGCCAAACTCTTTCTGAGTTCTTCCGTCTGTTTCTTTGTTCTACGAATCCTTCCTCCAGCCTTATCCTTGGCTCCTTTCGGACGTCCGCGCTTCTTGCCGTGTGTATGGCGTTCGCCTGCCACAACGCGTGCGGGAGATAGCGCTTTCGATCTGATCGGACTTCTAGGTGAGTCAGAGACTCGATCCTTCGCTTCAACTTTCCCCTCCTCAAGTGAAACACCTTTAGGAGAGTCAGCCACGTCGGACTCGGCCTTCTCGTCTAAGGTTTCAGCATATAGTTCCTCGGGAATACCGGTCGGCCCACCTGGGGTGCGCTTCGTGCCAGAGAACCCCGATTGCTGATCCAGCCTTTGCACTGACTGCCCAATCAAGGGGGAGCCCAGCGACGACGCTCCACACTGCAAGTCTTCCAGTTCATCGCACTCATAGTAAAGGCCCTTTTTATCTGGCATTAGCCAGTCTATGTCCTTTATTAGGTAATCCTCTCTGAACTTGACATCTAGGGTAGAGTATTCCGCCCATCGATATCCAAGCTTGCAACGATCGCCATGAGCGAAAGTAGCAACCAACCAACCAGACGACTTCGGACAGAGTCCAAGGAAGACGCCGCGGCGATATTTGGCCGAGGGAGAGCTTGGGTTCAGGAGTGTTGGCTCGGATTTGTTCACGAAAGTAAACAAGACAACCAAAGCGGCGGAGCGTGCCGATTTTGCTTTTGGAAGAATTTCTACCAGTTCTTTCATCTAGAGTCTCTATTGGACCCTTTCCGTCGTGTTCTGGCATTTTAGCGTAATTATGCGGAAGACGATCCCAGCACTCACTAGCGTACTCAACACAGTAACACCAAAGACGTCGGTCAACCTTCGTTAGCATTGATCTCACGCTGCCAAACAAGGCCCGCATAAAGCGTCCAGCAGTCCCATTCATTTTCGGACTATAAGGAGCAGCCGGATTGTCTGAGACCCGCAGCGATTGCATGAGTTTGGTCATGTCATCACTACCGAGGACTGGTTCTCCATCCCTCCGGATGGACCCTACTACCTTGTCATCTAGCGGTAAGGAGTAGTCCCGTCGGATGCCTTTTATGACTTGTTCTATTTCCTCCACGCAGTCACTCTTGGGCTTCAGCGGTCGACGAGGCGCCTTCTCAATTACGTCACATATGACAACTAGAACGCATCTCATAGATCTTACTGAGACAGGTTTTATTCCTACAGCAAAGCCTAGTGCGAGTAGTTTGAGGGGTTCGGGTTTGTAGGTGGTCACGTCTCTAGATTTTGCGTGGGATTTTCGTTGTCCTTTAGCTTTATGTAGGTCACATTCAGGGCAGCTAACTTGTAGGCCGTCTATGTGAAAGTGTCCACATCTTCTGTGTAGTTCTAATCTCGTAAGATAGCAACTAGAGACACCTTCTTCAATTGATGCGCAGATCAAACCAGTGCCAGTTTTGTCTTCAAAGAAACTGCATGTGAGTGCGGGTGGCTGCAAGCGTGGGTGAGCTCTGATGGGTAGCACCTGGCCGGTGTCCGTGTGCACGATACAACCACCAGCGCCTTTGAGATTGAACTCCCACCCTAATTGCGAGCAGTTTCCGTCTCCTAACCATGGCAATGCGCGATCTATGTTTCCAGGTAGGGAATCATAGTAAACTCCGTTCCTTAGTCCAAATGTGTTGTTCTTGAGTTTTCCGATTCTTCCGTCTTTAGTGCCTGCGCTACCTGTTATTCTGCAAATGTTGTTACCAATTTCATCGAAATCGTCTGTGTGTCGTGGAAGATATTTGTTTGCACAGCTATCGACTAGAGCTGCGTCTTCTGATGTTCTAGCGTTCAATGTTGTGAAACTATATCCGTCGGGATTGTAACTATCAGCATGATTATCAACATGCGACATGTGGACAATGCCGCTTGGATTGCCCTTTCTGCCTTTGCCTCGAGTACTACTAGAAGAGGCTCCGGTAGTCCAGCTTCCCTGTCCCTGTTGAAGGGCTTGTGTGTTATGCCAGCACTCGGAGGACTTGCGTCCAACCTTGTGACAGCAAGCACAGCGGGGTGGATAGGTATTTTCATTTCCTTTCCCTTTATCTTTCTTCGGCTTTTGTCCGCCGTTTTTCTCTCCTTTGGGTTGGTACCCGTAGGAATTGTAGACCTCGGCGATTGCCTTCTTCTTTTCTTTCTGCTTGAAACGCTTGAGGGCGTTAGCGGAAATGAAGGTCTTACCATCTGCCTTATTGGCCTCTACCTCGCCATCGTCCTCATTCTTATCATCACGAGGACGCTTGTTCGAGGTTTCCTGAACATTGACCGGAAACGCTTTCCCGAAGGGGTCGCGTCGTTCTCAATTTTGTAGGTTCCCTCCTCGATCAACGTTGTGAGACGTTTCTCAAGTCGGTCTCCAATTTGGTCAAATGTCAGGCCATCTTCTTCGTGCATCCGCTCGATGGTCGCTTTGAAGTTCTTGCAGAACAACTCGGGCAACTTCTGCAGGATCGCTCCGTTCTGTTGATCAGCTTCGGGCAGATCTGCATCCGGCGGGAAGACGGTGGGCGATTGGTTCATGATGTCGCGGATCTTTGAGAGGAACTCCTTGACATCAGCAGGCTGGTCGCTGTTGTGGAACTTCGTCAGTCCCTCCGACAACGGCTTGACCTTCATGCGCTGCTCCTGGCGATTGTTCGCGTTGAAGTTCCCTTGATCACGAAGTAGGGCAACAACTTCACCAGCATCCATTTCGTCCACCGCGCCATCATTATTCCGATTGTCGACGAACGACCTGGCCGCACCTTTCAGACTTCGAGTGATTGCGTCTTTCAGGTTGCGCCACTTCTGGCGGATCGCGTCTTCGCGAATGGTGTTACCTTGTGGCACACCATGTGGAACGGCCGGCGCGTTGACTCCATTCGTGTAGTTCTCAAGTAAGCCTAGGCGGCTAGCTTCTGGACGTGCGGCTCGTTGCCACTCGCGCCGGTCGGATTTCTGTCCCAACTTCTTGAGGATCTCCTTGGCCTCGCAGGACATTTTGATGGATTTATTTATTTTTACTACACTACTTCCAAACTTATTGTTACCTTTGCGTTTGCCGCTCAAGGGTTAGACCAGTGTTGGACCACAAGAGCACAGGCCTCCGCGCCAGGTTCGTTTCTCAGTGGAGACACAAAGTCGGAATCTTGAAAGCAAGCAAATCTCTGTAGACCAGCCTGTGACTTATGGTCACTGTCTGGCGTAGTCCCTGTTTGGTTCATTGGGTAAGATGAATCATACATCATCAGCATAAGCATGCCAGAAGGGACCGGACTGAACATGCATCACATGACTAGGATCAGTACAGCCGTGCCTAGTCTATGATTATGAATTGGAAGTAGCATCCATGATCATTGGCCTTCGTGTCCTGTGAGATCATCCCGATGACAGTCGAGCGCGAGGCTTTGTGTGAGCCACTGAGAACAGAACAACACGACATCCGAGAGGCTTGGGCCATACATGACCAACAACTTACCATATATATGTCGGCTAAGTTCTAGACTTAACATAGTTGAGTGGGCAACTTGCTTCGGGTGTGTCTGCGTGTGCAGGGAGTAGGAGTAAAAAAAACAAGACCCAAGAGGTTACACTACCATACCTAGGAGACGACGCGCCTCTTCTAGCTCTCTTGCCTCCCTCGTATTTTATCACATTGACGCCCCTTGCTTTTTTCGTGTTTCTTTCTTTCTCTTTTAGATAGTGGAGGGCAGGCTGAACTCACTTAACAGCAGTGAGCACCAACTAAACTCCCCGAGAGCTGCGCTGATTGTACGGTCTTATGCGCCCCCAGTATGTAACTTGGATGATCTTATATAGGTTAATTAATTGATTGAAAGGGTGGTGGCATATAGTCCTAACGCAAAAAAAAAAAGAAGCTGGTCCGAGGACTGGGGTGAGAAACAGGGAGACCCGGCTTGAATTGAATAGATAGGGTTCTTCTACCACAGTGGCTCGATCTCGACAGATAAGCGAGTAGCCCACGGGGCTAGTCACTGTCTAGCTGTCCTACATCGGCTTCAAGCATAAGGGGTTGGTAGTTTATTCAACTCATACCGTGCCTAATTCAGGATTGTAATTATTTAGTTAGTAAAAAAGTATTCATGGCTAAAAAAGTATGATTAATGGCTAATACTCGCATACTCTAATCTAAATACTCTAACGAGCCCAGCTCTTATCGATTAATACATACTCTAATGCAACCAGGACGAGAACCTTCCGCAAGGCGGTGATACTGTTGTTCTCGGTGAAACGACGTCAACATCCGCCTGGAAGTACAAAGTCAGCACCGTGACTACTTGTGAGGGCGTCGTGGGTTTTCTTCGCGGCGCAGGTGCAACAGACGTCCCAGACACTGACAAAGTCTTTAAGGTTTAGTTCTTTATTTTATGAGAAGGACTGCCTTACGGCTAGTCAGTCACACACTAGCACTCTCTCTGTTATTCTACAGGGTAACCATCGTTTTTTTTTTGGTTCTCAATGGGTCCTCTGGTGGACACTAGTAAGTACCTGAAGAGGCCGTCCTTTGGAAAGTCCGAGTTCGCTCTTATTTGTTTTACAGGTGGGCCCCATGATTAGTATAAAGTAAACAAGAGTCAGCACTCTAATTTTTGTGAGGCAGGGACGCAGTTCGTCCCTGACGCGCTGTTGTTGTTCATGGACGGATGTATAGTAAACAAGAATGCGAAGGATCCGTTACGGCCAAGAACATTTGTAGACTATAGATCCTTAAGTAAATACATATCATAGTGTATGAAATATACGATGGCCACGGGTCAAGCCAGGTGCCCAGCAAGGTTGCGGGGCAGGAAAATGCTGGAGACCGCGGCCACAAACGGGCAAGCAGCCTAGGCTGCGCCCGACCAGGATGGCTGGATGAGCAGCAGCACGCCCGAACGCCCGGCGAGGGGAGTTCCTCGCAGCGAGCAAGCGCCCTGAGGCGAGGCTCTCATGTGCGCGAAGGTGGCACCAGGATGGATGCTCACGCCCTCAGAGACATGGTAAAAGAAAGTGAGAGTGACGGAACTAATCCCAAACCAGTCGAAACACAAGGCCCCTAGGAAAGGCCTAAGGCAGTCCTCGTTCTCGGACCTTTGCCCAGATTGGCTGCGGTGAAAATTTAAACTCTTCACTATTTTCTTGAGGATCTGAATGTGAATACCGTGAAAAATAGCGTACTCTATCATTAGCAGCCGCATCGATGTGGTATATTTCCACGGAAAGGCGACAGGTCTGGGCCTTTCTCATAGCGGTGAACATGTTTGTGTCATCATCTTCTTCGGTGCGTTCGGTTTCCCTCTGGCAGCGTGATGGTGGGGCCCAATCAATCTGCTATACTGTCTTACCAGTTTTGCCTTGTATTGCCAGTCCTATGCCGTATTACTAGTAGAGTCCTATATTATAATTGCCAGTGCAGTGTAGTAATAAGAGTTCAAGAGTGTTTAGCAGGTAATAGCATGGCTGATAAGTGAACAGGCCAACGCCTAAACCACTAAGCCAATCTGTGAAGGAAAGGGAGCGGCTGCTGCTTGAAAAAACGGCCGATAATAGGCCTCCCAAGGTGCTTATATTCGGTTCCTACACTGACCGAATCATACCCTCGATTAAGGCAGCATCCATCTTTCATTCAATGAAGAGAGACTCTTTTGCTTCAGAGGGGAACAAAAAGCCATCTTGTCTGTTGAAAGGCTCTACTCCGGACAATGAATGAGTCAGATCCGACATGACATTACATTGCATCTCAGTTCTGCAAAGAAGATGTGAAAAACTCTCCGCTAGTAATAGCAGCCTTTGGAAATTTTGTGCTTATTCGGATGTAAGCTCTAAGCCTGCAGCTAACCCTAAAGCTAAATCTGGAGGCTCGAACTGGGTGCTGCGACTCTCTGCCGGCGATGATAAGGAAAAAAGGGATGAGGAAAAAAAGTTAAGGCTTCTCAAGTACATTCCTCCTCACTGCTGCAACAAAAAGCTGTTTGAAGGCCTACACCTAGAATAATCAAAAGATAATTAAGATGTTTGCTGCCTTATCTTCTAAAAAGAAAAAGAAAGTGGTTTCTTCTATCATGACTTAAGGATACAGTTCAAGTTCTTTTTGCTTTGGTGGTGTTCTACCAATAAATATCTCTGATTAATTATCATTGATTTTAACATCATCAGTGTTTCGTTCCCACTACTTGGGTTTTGTGTCTTTCCTAGCTAGAGACCTTTCCTAGGATGTGTGGAGACCTTTCCTAGGATGTCGCGGGAAACCTTTCCTAGGATGTGCTTTAGAGACCTTTCCTAGGATATCAATATCAGCGATTGACTCACAAGATTCTCAAATGAGTGTTAATATTTTCAGGGACTCATGGTTGACGAGATTTTTCTACACAGATTCTTCAGACGGAAACTACGACTAAGTTGAGGAAGTACTGCAGCACATGGAAGAACGTCTAGAGTAAAAAAGTGTCGTGGTAGTACTAGAGGGCAGAGCAAGAGCCTCTGTACGTGATCCCCTCATATCCATCTTTTTTCCATGCGAACGTGATCCAAGTCTACCAATTTTTGACTTTTCAGGTTCGATCTTGTCAGGCTGTAGCTCTAAAGATGGCGATGCTAAAACCAGAGGCATACGTTCCTGGTGGAGGACAAGTCTTTCCACCCCTTGCAGAGTCGTGCTGTCAGCCTTATGAAGACACTGCTTTTGCCATCCGATTCGGTAGGTTAGTAGAGTTAGTAGCAGCAGCGAGTGGTAGTGTGTGATACGAAGTACTCTCAGAGATGAGTCTATGTTGATTTTTTCACCTGTCTTTTTCCCGCTACTCGATCTGGAGGGGCTCCTCTACCGGAGCTTCTATTATAGGTCGAAGCTAATACTAGTGATGTTAAAATAAATTATCCTACTAGTGGACCTGCTAAGTAGAACTATGTTGCAAAAAAGATTAAAGTTGTAAGAAGTGTAGTAGCGCCTAGTGCAACTGTTAACCAGACGATCACATCACTGCTTCAACTTTATCAGAGTAGAAGCTAGTCTCACAGAGTAAAAGACACTCTCGGAGTTTATCAGAGTAGAAGGCAGTGTTGACAGTTGCAGAGTCCTCTGTTACCTCTACTTGTTATAAGACTCCTCCTATGGGCAGGACTTTATTAGGGTCACTGACACTCTCCTAGGGACCTCCACAGACAGTAGAAGTCAGTTTCTCCTATGGATCTCCACACCAGACAAGTTCTAATGCCGTGCGTCGGAACCGGTCGCAAAGGCGCAGCCGGCCCCGCAGGCGCCGGCTCCCAAAATGCAACAAGCGGCAGCGGCACACGAATCCAACAAGGAGGAGAAGGACAATTAAGGCCCAATGCAATCCATTTCTAAACAAAGGCCATGTCTCCCTACTTTCTTAGGACTGGGAGAAATGTAGGCAAAAAAAGAACTGTTTTGAGCTCTAAGAGAAGAAGAAGGAGGAAGGGAAATTGCAGACCAAGAAAACCGCCGCGGACATGCCTTAAGGCCCAATGTAATAGATATCTAGAAGCCATTTCTTTCTATTTCCTCTTTAGCTTAGGATCATTCTGAAGAGATGAGAAGAAGAAGAAACGAACTGTTTTGAGCTCTAAGTAGAGAAGGAGGAGGGGTCGAAGGATGACGACCGTCCGAAGAAGCCTGTAGCGAAGGCGGAGCCGAAACCCGCCGGGAAAAAGCATTAAGGCTCAATGCAATAGACATATTTCTAGAAGGTGTTTTTTTTTCTCTTTCCCTCTACCTTAGCGTAGGATCATTCTGAAGAGTGAGGAGAACAAGAAACGAACTGTTTTGAGCTCTAAGAGAAGAACAAGGGCAGGCCGAAGGATGATGGACCTGCTCGGAAGGAGAAGAAGGAGGAACAAGCAGCGGGAGAAAATGATGCTACACCTGAACCTCCGAAAGCCGGTCCAATAATTAAGGAAAGGCCATAGTCGTGAGAGTAACTATAGTTATTGCTAGACTCATGCCCGTAACTTCTCGGCACTTATCTCACGCTCACCAGTCATTTAGTTTCAGTCGTTTAGTCAGCCAAGAAGGTTCTAGTACTAATTTACTGCTTCAAGAAAAAGGGACTTCTGGAAGAGAAGCCTCTAGTACTGTGATATTATTATTTGAAGAAAAAGTAAGAGAAGACTAACTGTATGTATTTTTCTTATACGTGGGTGCGTCGGCGGTGCTCGATGTGCAGTAATCTAAGCCAAAAATTGTTGCATTTTCTTTTTCATAGTTGAGTAGTAGTTCTTCCTCTACAGCATCTAATAGAAGCTATCGTGGTCTGCGTGGGGCTCGGGGTAAGCGTGCGCCCGAGCGAAGGAGGACTGATGTCTCGATAGTGCCCAGTGATTCTGACGAGACTGTTATGCTGTTTGCTGAGTAAGTATAGTAGAAGTTCAAAGTTATAGAATTTGATAGAATACAGAATAATAGTATTAGTATAATAGAATATTAATCGTGCAAAGCTTTATTTGAAAACTCAGACTCACTCCATGGTTTGAAATTTTGATGTTTGTTTTCCTTGACCTTAGAAGGACTTCTCCATGATATTTTGATGCTTGTTTTTCTTTTTTTAACAATTTGAGGCACAGCTCGGTCTAGTAAAGTCACTTATAACAATTTAATGGGCATTCAAAAGCTTGCTTTTTTAATGCGGTTTATTTCCGCCGCGGCAATGTGACTTGGGCCTTGTCGTTGTGTCGTTTCGTATTTGTTCGCCTGCTTCATCGAATGGGCGGGTGAGTGCAAGGGCCCAGTTGTAAGCTTCCACTTTTGCCTGTTGGCTTGTGTTGTGGTTCTGTGTTAAAGTTGACCTAGAAACTGAACACTTGAAACTTGAAATTTAGAGTTTTCTATTTTTCTTGGTCGATGGTCTCGTGGGGATTATATTTCTGTGGTGCGTCGCCGTCGCGCTTTGGCGCCTTTGTTCCTCCGTCTTTCATCTGTCGGCGCGCGGCCGCTTTGCCGAGCCCGGCGCTTTGCGGACGCTGCGTTCTAATTGATTTCGCGGCGTAGTGATTTGTTCTCGCTTGGTTCCGTTCGCTCGCGCGCCCCACTGGATCACCAGGCATCAGGAATTTGGTCTACCCTTTGTCTCCTCCACCTATCTTAATTTGTAGCACAAGAAATAAACCAGCTCAGGCACGGCTCGGCCTAGTAAGGTATATCCTTTTTTGGCATCTTCATAGTCGTGAGTGCTCCTATCTTATCCCATCCTATCCTAGTGCCAGTGATTGCGCCTTGTATATCTGTGTTGTGAAGAAAGAAGATCCGAACCGACTAACACCGTCAGTAGTGGGCCATAAACAGCGCATATTTATTGGGGCCATTAATCCTTCTGGCACTTATCTCACGCTTAACCCGTTATTGGGGACATTCAAGATCCTTGCTTTCCTCTATATACAAACTGGAGACTTAACCCCCGGGGATCCTAAACCTACTGGTGAGCTATACTTTTTAGTGCTGTGGCAGCACAGTAGGCTGGCTCGGCAGACCCAGGTCTTTGCCGGCGCCGGTCGTTGCACCTACGGCCCATAAGTTTGCCACGGAGCGTGGCGGGAGGCCTTTACCTCCCCAGAGAGAGTTGCTCACCATCGTCCGGGTGTCGTTACCCCTCTCGCGGCTCGGCCGGTGTTCGTGCACCGTCGCCCTACGAGTCAATCAACCGGCACCCGCGAAGTTCCGGGTGCTCGCTCTTCGCGTCGGACGCTTTGGTCCGGGGTGCTTTGGCCCGGGTGCGCGGCTAATCCCTCGGTAGTAGCAGGCGTTGTCCCCCCGCTGGGGGACAAGGTCACTTTGAACCTCCAGCCCGCGCTGTCGGCCTACTACCGGGGCTTGAGCTCCCGCTCAGCCTCTGGTCTCGGTTTGACTCGTGCCAGCGGTGAATGGACCGCTCCGAGCCCTTATCTTTTCCTCACCGGCACCTTCCTCCGGAGACCCCGACCAGGCTCCGGCTTCCTGGTGCGGACTTGAGTCGGCGGTCTGAGACTCGCATCCGCCGTCGAGGGGTTACGGGGACGTGTGCCGGCCTTTGCACAGGTTTGCGTCAGGACCTCCCGCCGGCCAGCACCCGCGTCGGTGGTGTGCCGGGGCGGCTGCCGACCTCCACCGCGCTTATCACTCCTGTGGGGGGGACGAACTCCCGGAGCGACAGCGACAGCAGGGGCCGGCAGGCGTTCACATAGTTCAGCCAGCTATAGTCGGGCACCAGTGGACTGCTGAACCGGCTGCAGCTGTGGGATGGTGTTGATGAACAGTCTGTGCTTGCCGTGTCTGGTCATGTAGTCTGCCAGGTTCCATTCGGATTTTATGTAGGCGTGCCACGGTTTGGCATTGTTGTCGTGCCAGGGATTGGCTACGTCTACCGCGGTGTTTGCCACCACCGCGGATTTCCCACTGCATTTGATGAAGTTGTAAAGTGCTGGCGTGTTGTCGATCAGCACTACGAGGTCGGAGTTGCTGGTCCAACTCGGTAGTTGCTTCGCGGCGAGGCTTACCGCGGCCGCCTCCAGTACCTCTATCCTGGCGGTGGCCCGTCGACCATCTGTCAATGGCTGCACTTGGATGAGGGTCTTTCCGCTGTGGTGGATCATGACGTATCCGAGCGTCGGTTCGCCGTTTGGCCCGCCATCTGTTGACGCGTCCGTGAACAGGAAGCTCAGGGGCTTCGCGATTTGTTCTAGCCTGAGTTTGAGCCTGTTCACCTTGTGGGCCATCTTCTCGATGGCCGCGGTGGAGCGCAGGAGGGCTCTCCGTTGCCACCGCTGTTTCGCCAACTTGTCAAAGGTGGCGTCTTCTGTCCATGCGTAAAGAGACCTCGTGATCTCGTTCCCGGCTCTGTTCGCCGCGGACACGGTGATGAAGTTTGCCAGTCCTAGCAGTCGTTGGACTATCTTTTTGCCCAACTGTCCTGCGTTTACTTTTTGCCGGAGCTGGTTTGCGACTTCCGCGACTTGCTGGAGCATGTTGTCTGGTGCCACAACATCAATGCCCGTTTTTGGGCTTGTGTCGTAGTGGAGGCCCAGTATGCGCACAGTAGGGCTCTTTCTAGAGTCCTGCTGTGCTGCGGCTTTTGTCGCGAGCTCCAGCCCCAGGCAGTCGCAGAGGGCTTCGTATGCCTCTATCGCCTCATCCGCTCCTTCTTCGAGGCTGAGGATGATGGCGTCGTCGATGTAGATTGGCACTACTGTGTGCCCGAGCGTGGCCATTATTTTCATGACCAGCTCCGCCACTCTACACCATCTGCTGACGCTGAATTTGTTCCCCATGTTCAGTATCGCCGCGAGGAACATGCGGTAGCGCCCCTGGGTGTCGTCCCAGACTCCAGCCGGATTTTCCTCTGGGTGTTTTGCCCCTACCTGGTAGTAGGCCTTGCTCCAGTCTCGGAGTGCGATGCAAGGCTTTCTACCTGCCGGGCGGGTTTTCATCCTCTCCTCGTTGAGGAGCCTCACCTGCTCGCCGAGTTGGCGGTGCTCGCCGGTGGTCGTGGCTTCGCTTGCGCTTGTTTTTGCGCGGAAGTCTGCGACCTCTTTAGCCACCTGGCCGCAGATGTCCGTGGTGAACTGTGTCGCCGGCGCGTGGAGGGTGAGGCCCTCGGCGCCTGCGGGCGCCGTGTAGCTTTTTATAATCTCCAGGACCGTTCGCGTCCCGTGGGGCCTCACCTTTTCTGACATTTTTGAGAAGTCGTTTTTCCGCCGCTCGTCGATTATCGCGCGGACCTTCTCTGGTTCGACCTTTGGGAAGGCGTGCGCCGGCGTGACCTTGGGGTCCTCTGGGTTGATCTCTTTGTATCTGCCCAGCTGGGCGTCTGCCTCAATGTTTTTGAGGACTTGCCGGAGGGCTTCCTCTGGGAAACCCTTCGGGGGCGCATCGCGGATTTTTACCGCGGTGCTATAGAACTCTTTGAGGTCCTTTGCCTCCGCGGCATTGGCGTCTGCCTTCCAAAGGCCAGCGCTCTTGTGCTCCCCTATTGTTTGGAATCCATGGAGGATGTCGCCCGGTAGCGACGTGTCCGGGTGGCCCGTCAATGCGATGAGTTTTCTCATTGCGATGGCGTTCCTTGTTTTGGTTGTCTGTAGCACCCTTTTTAGGTGCTCTGGCGCCGTAGCGTTTATTTGGTCTGCATTTGCCTGCTCCGTCTGCGTTTTCAGACGTCTGAACAAGGCGGTGGCTTGTTTCCTTCGCTTGGCTACCGCTGCCGGCTGTAGCTTCTCGGCAGCTATCAGTTGTCCCCACTCGAGTGGTAGCTTTTGGCCGTAGGTCTCGAAGTGTAGTTGTGCTCGGACCCGATTGACGAAGTTGCAGACCGCGTCATGGAGCTCGCGGCAGTCTTTGCCGTGCTCCGTTTCTGCTTGGCTGACGTGTAGTGGCGTAGCAGTCGCCATTTTTTGTGACTAGGCTTGGTTGGCCCCTGGGAGGATTTTTTGTCGACTGTCGTCCAGGAACCTTCCAGAGAGCGTGTCTTTTCTCTCACCTAAGTTAACTCACCAGTTAGTATAATCACTTCCCCCGCAAGCTCCTCCAGTGCATATACAAACTGGAGACTTAACCCCCGGGGATCCTAAGTCTACTGGTGAGCTATACTTTTTAGTGCTGTGGCAGCACAGTAGGCTGGCTCGGCAGACCCAGGTCTTTGCCGGCGCCGGTCGTTGCACCTACGGCCCATAAGTTTGCCACGAAGCGTGGCGGGAGGCCTTTACCTCCCCAGAGAGAGTTGCGCACCAGCGTCCGGCTGTCGTAACCCCTCTCGCGGCTCGGCCGGTGTTCGTGCACCGTCGCCCTACGAGTCAATCAACCGGCACCCGCGAAGTTCCGGGTGCTCGCTCTTCGCGTCGGACGCTTTGGTCCGGGGCGCTTTGGCCCGGGTGCGCGGCTAATCCCTCGGCAGTAGCAGGCGTTGTCCCCCCGCTGGGGGACGCGGTCACTTTGAACCTCCAGCCCTTTGGGCCATCCTTTCTCGACGCCTCCTTGGTGCGCCTTCCATCCTTTTCCCGACGACTGGAGGTTCAGAGCCGCCAGGTGCGTGCGTTTTTTGTGCCCGGTACTGCTTTGAGTGCCCCTGAGCCGCTGCTACTGGCGCTCTTTGGCGCTAGGGCCGTCACCTTTTTGGTAACGGTATTCTGTTGAGTCCGCCCTTTCTTCTGTAGCTGCTGCTTGGGGGTGATCTTGATCGTCCGCTTGACCAAGGTGTCCTCTTGGACCGCCTTGGGCTGCACGAAAACGCGCGGGGGTGGGCCCCCCCCGAGGGCCACCGCCTGCGCAGTCCGTGCAGCGGGATGAATTCCGATGCCTCCCACGTTTTGTGGTCGGCTGTGTACTCGTCCCGCATTTTGCTGGACTGTTCCCAGCCCATGTGGGTGAGGAATTCATCCTCCTTCACGGAGATGTTCCCTTGCTCCCACTCGCGTCGCGTTGCCAGTGCGAGTCCCCTCCTGCAGCTGTGCAGCGTGCCGCTGATTCCCTTCGCCAAGCTAGGGAGTATCAGGCAGTGCTATTAGTCTTCGGGCTGTAGCTGTTGGCAAAAAATATGGATAGGCACTACTGCTGAGTATCAGGCAGTCCTGAGAAGCCCTAGGTCATAGTAAGCATCTGACTCCCTCCGGGTGGACGGGGTGCGACCTTTGGTCTTGTTTGGTTCGCTTTGGTGTCACTGTTTCTGGGCCCATATGTTTGCCTTCTTGACTGTAGTGGTGGTTCGACTATGTTTCTCCCTTCGCCAAGCTACTTATCCTGGCCTTGCCTAATGGGAAATCAGATCTCATATCAGCGCCTTCGCCGTGCATCGGGCAAAAGCGACTTCGTGCACCAACTGTTTTTGCGTTGGTGTCGCAGTTGCAGTGGGTTTCTATTATCCTGCCGCGTTGTTTGCGGATTTTGTCCTCGGATATGTGGATGCGCCACGCGTCTCCTTTTTTGGAGATGTCCGTGTCGTCCACAGCCGCGATGCTGTCGCCCCGCAATCCCGATAGCGCCCAAAGGAGGGCCGTTCTTTGGTCTTTTGCCTTTAGCGCCTCGAGCTTCGTGCCCGGTAGGAAAGGCTTTGCTTTCCTCGGGTTGTGGTCTTGGATTGTTCGTTCAATTGCCTTTTCCACGTCCCCGATGTTTCGAGTGTTGGCGAGGGGTCCTTACCTCTAAGGCCGTGTGGGAAGTGTTTTGTCTTCTATGAGTGTGCCTTTCCTTGAGACTTCCTCGGTGTCTGCTACTAGTGAACGAAAACCCCTGCACAAGAAGAACTGGTAGTAATGGCGTTTTTGGCTGAGGGCGGGTGGCAGTGGAGGCTGTCGCGGCTACTTAGCGGGGCTTTAAAAAGGGTGGCATTCTTGAAGCTAAGTAGCTGCGCCTGTTAGTGTAAAAAAGTTAAGTGAGTTTGGTGAGTGTGTGCTGCTAGCGCGATTGTGCCTCTTGGCGTGGTTGCTGCTTTTGGTGGTTGGTAGGCTTGCGCTGGTGGAAGGTGTTGGGCGCGGCTTGTGCTGCTGCTTTTCGCGTCTTGGGTTATGTCACTACTGCTGAGTATCAGGCAGTGCCTTGGCCTTTCGGTTAGGGTTTCCTCTTCTCTTATAGCGAAAGTTTTGGCCTCACTACTGCTGAGCATCAGGCAGTGTCTTGATCTTCGGGTCTTGGCTCTTCTTCCTATAGCGACAGAAGGTCGGTCACTACTGCTGAGTAACAGGCAGTGTCGTGATCTTCGGGTCTTGGCTGTTGGCGTGAAAGGTTAGGCACTACTGCTGAGTATCAGGCAGTTCCCCTGAGGCCCGATGTCATAGTAAGCATCTGACTCCCTACGGGTGGACGGGATGCGACATTTGGTCTCGTAGGTTTCGCTTTGGTCGCACGGCTTCGGTAGTGCCCTATAGTCTGACCTCTTGACTGCAGTGGTGGAAGAGCAAGTTTTTGCCGATGTTTCGGAGGATGGCGGGGCTTTCGACTAGCCGCCGCAGGCCATCCGCGGGTGGCGGTTCTACCAGCCGCATGATGATGCTGGGTGTGTACTGCGCGACTGAGGTGTATCCATTGAACACTAGGGAGGCGGCGAATCTTTGCACCGCCTCCGGCCTCACGGGTAGCTTTTCACCCTTGACCGCTAGCCAGTCGAGGAAGAAGGCGACTCGCGACTTTTTGTTTCTAGTCGTGGAGTCGGCTTCTCCCATGGCGCGCAGCTCATCGTCGTTTAGATCGGCGGCTTTGCGCAGTGCGTCATCCCGTTTCGGCATTTATTTTATGTTATTTTTTTAATAAATTATCTCTCGCTGTTGTTCCTTCTAGCGTTCTTTTTGTCTAGTTAGTTTGTTCAGTTCTCTCGTCTTTACTTACTTCTTTATCTAGGCTGGTTCGTGCGGCTGCTTAGGCGAACCTCCGCCATGGTTCTTGGCCTCCTGCCGTATCTCATGAAGTGGTCTCCCCAGCGCTAGACTTTTTTACTTACTCGTAACTTCTTCCCTCTCTGTTTTCCCTCTCTTTAGCTTGACGAGATGTAGCTCGTCGCTCCCTCGAACACTGCGCCGCCGCCGCCGCGTTTTCCCTTTCGGCCACCAGTCGTCACTGGTGGCTTGATTTGTTTCCTCCCTCTCAGCTAGAGCGCTTTTTACTCTGTCAAAAAGGAAGAAGTTATTGCTCCGCCACTAAATGAGTAATGGTCTGGTGCCCCTGGTAATTTGACCAGAGGACTTGCGGCGAATGCTTTTGCATTCTGTTTTTCGAGGATTTGTTGTCCTCGAGGCCGGTAGCCTTTTTCTTCCAGCTAGTCGCGTTCTAGCTTGTGTGTGGCTCCTTCCACCACACCGCGCGGGAGCGTTTGCTCCCAGCGTGCTCCCCCACGTCTTTCCCCAGGAGGATTTTTCCCTCCACCACTATCGACTTATCGGCGTCGATCGCGTGGGCGGCTGTTTTTGCGCTCGTTCGACCGCTTCGATTTGTTACGGCCACGATTGTCTTTTTCGCGACTATCGTTGCGATGCCGTTGTCCCAGCGGAATCGCGTTTGCGTCGCTTCGCTGGGGTCCTTTCGGTTGGCGGCGTGATCGGCCGTTTTTGGCCTTCATCGCCTTCATCGGCTGGACTTTCGGTTTTACGAAGTCTTTCGGGTGGCGGATTGCTTCTTTGTCCTTCGCTGCCGCTCGTTTTGCCGCTGTGCCGGTTGGCTGCTGGTTAATGTTTCGTCCTGCCAGCCGGGCCGAGAAGAGGACTTCAGCCAGCTCTTTTTGCGAGCGGATCACTTCTGCCCACGTTCTCTTGGCGATAGTGATGTCTGGGGGAGGACGGTTGCGGTCGATAAGGTGGCGGTGTGTGCATTCCAGGCGTTGAGCGTCGTTGCGACAGCCTGACTGCACCGCGTGCGCTTTGTGCGCGTGGAACCAGTGGCATACCGCCGGCGGAAGCATGAGTCCCATATTTTTCAGGGACTTCAACGCGGACGGCTCCACTATAAGCCGGCTTGAGGGAAGTGCGCGTAGTATGTGGTGCGTGTTCCTCCCTTCGCGTTTCGGCGCTCGGCTAGTACCACGTCGACACGTTTGTCGAGGCGGCGGTTGTGGACTGGGTCCATGGCCGGGCAGAAGTCTGTTTTTTCCAGATCCAAACCCTCCAACCAAGTGTCGCTCGGCATGGTTGTTCCCGTGTCGTCGTCCCCGCCGCTGTCGGCGTCGCTGCCGAACGGGTTTTGCGGGCCTTCGCTCGCCGATCGCTCTCGCGATTCGCTTCGGCGGCGGCTGTGGCTACGAGAGCGCAGTGTGACTGTCACACGTTCGCCTCTCGGCTTGCCTAAGCTCGCCTCCGCGTCTCGCATGGAGAACATTTCATTTTTGATTTCCTCCATGTTCTCCTTGAAGAACGCTCTCTGGACGGGCGGTTTGATTTTTCCCCCGTCCTCCTCGTCAGTGTAGCGCGCCTCGTCGATGAGGTGGAGACCGAAGTGGTTGTACCAGGCCAGCAGGTTGAGCATGTATCTGCTCACCAGCCCGGTCTCCCAGCGCTTCATCTTCTGCTGGAGCGCGTCGAGGCTGCGGGAGCCTTCCTTCATGAATCCCAAGAATACCATCATTTTTTTGATGGCGATTTCTGGGAAGTTCTCGTTGAACTCGGTCATGAAGTCGAAGGGCTGCAGGTCGGTGGCGCCGTTGATGGCGCTCTCCACGCGGCGCAGCGTCTCCCAGCACTGGTCCAGGTTGCATCTGTCCCAGTAGTCAGCCGGGACGCTGGCGACGACCTGTTTCCGGGCCAAGTTCTGGAACGCACTGTTTGTGCGCTGCAGGTTGTCTCCGTTGAAGCCTGCGATGGCGCAGTTTGAGGCCTTGGGTTGGTTTTTCCCCACCTGGGCTTCGCCCCAGATGCCTGCGGCCGCGTACGCTCCGAAGAGCAGCGCCAGCGCCTTTTGGTTGAGGCGTTGGCCTGCCGTCGTATTCAGGACGCTGCTTTCGTCCACGTCGAAGACGGAGCGGAGGCCGTGCTTTTCCACGTGTTTTAATAACGCGGCAAGCACGTGGCTCGCCTGCTTCGAGGCTTTTTCTCCGTTCGTGAGGAAGCAGTTTTTATACTGCTCCTGTGCGTCTGCGACTTCTTCGCCTGGGGTTAAGACGGAAGGCCAGACGACTTTCACCTCTGTTCTCTTCTCGACGGCGTTTACGCGTCGGTAGACGAAGGATTTTCCTCCTTCGCTAGCCGGGCGCGTGTCGTCATAGGAGAGGACTTTGTCCTCTCCGCTGCTGTTCAAAGCCGTTGCGATGGCCTTCGCGGTCTTCTTCGCGAACGTTTTGAACAGGGCCGCCGTCTCCGGCGGCTCCTCTGAGGACTCTTCGCTTTTGTCGGCGAAGTCTACGGAGTCCTCCTCCTCTTTCTTTTTGGCTTCGAGCTCCGCCTTGCGCTGCTTCTCCTCTTCTTCGAGGAGCTTTCGGCCCTCCTCCTCGTGCGCCTTGCGGACCGACGTCCACGGTGTCTTGGCCGGCTTCGCGTCCCAGTCGTTGAGCACCTCTTTGTTGGTGCGCTCGATCAGGTAGCGGACGATCACCTCCTTTTTGGCGGTCTGCGCCGGCACTTCCGCCAGGTTCAGCTGCGGGCTGTCCTCCCGGAACTTTCGTTTTTCGGCGAGCTTCGCGCCGGCTTCAAAAGTCTCTTTTTTAATCAGAGACTTCGAGGCCCAGGGTTCCGCCGTTAGTTCCTCGTGGTATGCGCCCAACCACAAGTGGAACCGCATCAAGGTGGTGCCCTGTTCGGTTAGGGTAGGTTCCACCTTCCCCCACGAAGCGCGGGCCCTCCAGGTCTTTCTTGACCGTGTCGATGAATTCCGTTTCCGGAAGTTCACCGACCATCTGTCGGAGTGCTGCAATCCAGTCCTGGACGTTTGCGCAGAAGATGAGTCTATCCTCATACTGCGTCTTCTCCTCCAGCTGCTTTTGCAGCGCCTCCATGGCCTCCGCCATGGAGGGGTGAAACAGTGATCCGTCGATCAGTTTCAGAAGGGCTTTGCCCTTCTCGTCGACGTCCTCGCTCCCCACAGGATTTTTGCCTGTGTGGATGACGAGGTCTCCGACGCTTTTCAGGGAGGTCATTTTGTTTTTTGTTTTGCTGAAAACCAGAGTGCGGGGGCACTGCTAGTCACTAGTTTCTAGATTGCGACTATACGCGCACAGAAAGTCCCTGGATTTTTGGGAAAAAGAAAGACTTTTGACCTGCCCAAGCTAGATTTCAGCTTGAGGCTACGAAAATGTGCTGCCACAAGCGCCAAACCCCCGCGGCGATTTTTGCCCCGCGAGGGGATGGCGCGCCGCGCGCGCGGCGGAACTCGATTTTTACGAGCTCCCCAGCACCCCCCACTGGGCGCCACGCGCATGCCCACCGCACCGCCGGAGGGCGCGTTGGCCCTCCCGCGGCCTACGCACGAGCGCTTTGGCCCGCGCGCCGGCAGCCCGCTCCGCTCCGCTCTGCTCCGCTCTGCATGTGAACTCCGCCCCGTGGGTGTAGCATTAACGCTCTCACCCGACCGCGCCCGAGCCTCCCGTGGAGGCGCGAACCGAGGTTCGCCTTCGCCGAGATGCGCCATTGCATCGACCAGCGGCGTCGCGCGTGAGTGCATTTTTTGCACCGCACACGACGGGGCTCGCGGGGCCCGTTGCCCCCAACCCTCTCCCTAGTTGGTCCCTCAGCCGACATTTTTTGTCGACTGTCGTCCAGGAACCTTCCAGAGAGCGTATCTTTTCTCTCACCTAAGTTAACCCACCAGTTAGTATAATCACTTCCCCCGCAAGCTCCTCCAGTGCATATATAAGGTTCTACTAACTTGGCAAAATAGAACAATGTCGCTAGCAGAATAGAAAACACAACACTAAGGGAACCGAACACAACAGCGGATATCCTACCCTATACACTTTTGATGTAGTTTTAATCGTAGTGCTTCTAGTAGAAGCGGCTCCTCCTTCGCTTCTAATTTCGGGTACTACGGGTGCTGTAAAGTGGAGTAACTCGTGTTGCTTCTCGTGTTGTGGTGGTGGTGGTGGTGGATGGAGCCGATCAGGATGATCACGCTGTAGTGCTGGAGGAGGGCAGTCAGGATGATGATGATGATGATGATGATGATGATGATGATGGAATGCCGGAGTGGTGGAGGACTGGGCGGCATCACCAGTTTAAGAGGCAGGATGTTCTTCAAGTGGTGGAAGTTTGCGGGGCAGGATGTTCTTCAGTTGGTAGAAGATTAAAGGGCAGTAGTTATGTTCTTCAAGTGGTCGAAGATTACAGGGCAGGATGTTCTTCAATTGGTAGACGATTAAAGTGCAGTAGTTATGTTCTTCAAGTGGTAGAAGATTAAAGTGCAGTAATTATGTTCTGCAAGTGGTCGAAGATTAAAGGGCAGTAGTTATGTTCTTCAAGTGGTAAAAGATTAAAGGGCAGTAGTTATGTTCTTCGATTGGTAGAAGATTAGGAGGCAGGATTTACTTCAAATGGGGAAGTGTGACCTTGTTGTAGAACGTTGTAGATACTACTAGTAAGTAGGATTATCTGAAATGTACTATAGGCTAAAAAAGACACTGAACGAATCGTGACACGTCGAGTTATCGTAATCTAGAAGTGATTTAGAAGAAAAATCATAATCAAATAATCAACTACGTATTACAACAATGTTGTATATCATGAAATTTCTTTCTTGGATTATCAATCATTTCATATTAAATGGAAATGCACAAAACAAAAACATGTTCTTGCTGCCTGAGGATTATTAAAATGTATACTATGCTCAGATGTTGTTGGTATTCGTCGCTAAGGGATCAGGCAGCGTGAGTTGTCACGTGGTTCGCAAATGAATGAATGAATCAATATTATTCTATTCTTCGCTTGTATGTAATATATTCTTGTTCGTAACTAATTCTTGTTCGTATTCGTAACTCACTGATTGTTGTATAGTTTTTTTGGGGAAGAGACTTTCTAAGAAGATATTGAGTTACGATTTATTGTTTTTCCTAGAATGAGAATGTGCCTAGGAATGATGTACCTACAACGTACATTCGTTCCCTCATACGTAGTATCTATGGAGGAGGTTCGTCATTAGAAATGGTTCGTTATTGATGGTTCGCTATTAATGGTTTGTCGACTGTGAAGATCTTCGCGTATTTAATTGAGACAAATTTGAAACGTGAAGACATCAAACCAACTTACTAAACATGTACCAGTACAGAGAACTAGATCAAATATGTACCTACAGAGACTGAAATCTGAAAAATCTGAAAGACGAAATATAACACGGGCTTACATGACACGCACACAAGAGAAAGGAGCAATAACAATATTGAAACACAAAGAAAACGACCATGAGCATGATAGATTCTTGTTGAAAAAAATCAGAAATTTTATTTTGGAATGTTGAGGGTTGAAGCAAATCAATGTAGAAGTTGATGAAGTATTGATGAGAAAGAAAAAAATGCTAAGCGACGTGATGGAGCAAAATCTCGGATGAGGAAACGTCCGCGACATCTCTCTCACGTTTCGGTGTTTCAACGGAAAGAAAGTGCACATTGAGTTGTTCGGTGAGTCTTCAAAAGAATGCTCCTTGACCTTTAAGTCGACACACTTAAGTCGACGATGCACAATCTTCACACAGCTGCTCTGGTTTGCTTACCAGATCTAAGGCACCTGAAAAAAACTTGCTTACACAAAGTGTTTTTTAGCAGGGTGGTTACTCTCTCTTTTTACTTAGGAGAATATGAACAAGGTTGTAAACAAACTCCTGTAAACAGCGCAAAAATCACGACTCAGCAGAAACTAATATAGGGACTCTAGAGTTACGATTATACTTCTTCTAGAAGTAGTAGACAGTTGTATTAGTATACTGACTACTGGTTTCCTCTCCACCAGCACGTTGGTCTCGTAGCGGTTTTACAGTAACTAACTAGCTAACAAACTAAGTAACTAACTAACTAACTAACTAACTAACTAACTAACTAACTAATTGAGAAATACTAACTAACTGAGAAATACTAACTAAGAAAAAACCAGGTTCGTGACTTTGATGTAGTTACCAGCATAGAAGTAGTCATTACATTCACATTATTCGCACAGAATGGTCGTGGTCTCAGGTGCATCAGCACCTGGTGTAGCACCTGTTGGGGGCGTCGCGCCTGAAATTATCGACGATGGCGAGAAGAAGAAGAAAAAACGACCCGTAGTCCCGACATTCCCGGTTTGGTCACGCGAAGATGTCGAAAACTGGAGTAAATGTGTTAAGATTGGAAAGATTCTGGGAAAAACATTCTGACCGATTGATAAGGGAATGAAGATTGATAAGAGAATGAAGATTGGACTGAATGAATGAATGAAGATTCAGATTGCTAAGAGCCTCCAAAAGGCATGTACTTGTCTATGTCGTGGGAGTGCCGTGCGTAGGACCTTACTTCCCTTTCCATTTTTTCTGTGTCTGTTTTAAGGCTCAAGTTTCATTGGCCATTGGGGTTGGTCTCTGACATCAAAGAGGAGACCCCCTGAGAGAACAGGGGAAACCCAAGGGAAAGGGCGGAAGCTCTGTAAGGGGCACTGTCCCTTCAGCATCAGTGACCAATGAATTTCGGCCTTTAAGTCTGTTGTTTCTCCTTTTCATTCTGGTAGCTCCCTTTCCATTTTTTCTGTGTCTGTTGTCCCTCCTTTTCTGGTGGCTCCGTGTCCGTAGCTACCAAGCATGCGAGGATTATGATTTCCCATGCCAGGATGATGATTGTAGTTTAGCTCATACTCCAATTAGGCCATTATCGCTGCATGCCAGGATGATGATTGTAGTCTAGCTCATACTCCAATTAGGCCATTATCCCATACGCTAATTAGGCCAGCGACAAGAGAACATCTGTCTACGCCTTGCGTCAGTGCGTGGATTATGTGCTACATTTCGCTGGTTTCCCGGATGTGGTTAAGTTACCCGATGACTTCCTGGGAAACAGTAAGAACATGCCGTACAAATTCGTGGAGCAACTGGCGGAAAAAATCGTGCCCACAGATATGGTGGAGGATATTGGTATAGATGCTTATATCTATTTTTGGTAGCTTTGGTAGGGCGAGAGCAGTCGTGCTGTAGTTGTTGCTGGAGAAGACAGTGATAGTTCATCTTCTGGAGAAGACAGTGATAGTTCATCTTCTGGAGAAGACAGTGAGAGTTCATCTTCTGGAGAAGACAGTGATAGTTCATCTTCTGGGTTGATTTCGCATGAGAACCTGCTGGGCGTAATGTTGAGACGAGAGGACTAAGTTGTAGACTTGTAAGTAGAATCTACATCGCTGTTGTTGGGAGACTGAATTTTTTTCAAACGTACCCACAAAAATACAACTTCTTAAGGTGAGGAAAGTGCGATTCCATTATCATTCACGGCGCCGCCTGCAGAAGCCTACGGGCTAACCCACAAGAAAACTCGTGACAACGCAAGAAAGGCATTGGGTAATTGGTTTTCGCAGTTATCGCAATCCTTAAAGCCTTTCGATTTGTGTGACACAGGCTTGTTGCCGCATTTATGCCTCTGGCTTGAGGGGCTCTATTCCTCTTAAGGCTACAAGAAATCCATCTTCAAAGGCATCTGGGTCCCGTTTTTAAACGGAAAAGGGGACCCAAGAGGCTGCTCAGGATGGATTTCGCTTAGTTCTAACCCTCCCAGTACCTCTGCTTGCGACACACTGCGACAGTGGTGGCAGGTCACGTCCTACTGGACGTCACAGATATAGTCTCGGAGTTGCAGACGCAGGTATTATAAGTATTTGATTACATCAATTGGATGACTGTAGTAGTGGTACTGCATCTTCATCAGTGGGATGAAAATATGTAAGGCGAGAAGCAAACTACTAGAACTACTTTTCTGAGTGTTTTTTATAGAAAGCTTTCTGTCAATCCTCAAATCCTCACCAGTTGGAAATCTCCGTACGTCAGCATGAGGCTGAGAGCAGTGTGAAAAGAAGGCAGTACCTAAAAGAAGACATCGCGAACACAGAAAAGGTCGCAAAGGCATTGTTGCAATTACGTCGTCGGGCTTTTCGTGTAGTTTCAGACAAGAATACAAGAATGATGTTGGAAAGGCAGTCTCTTCTAACTACTCAACCTAAAGTTTGACGCTATGTCAACCTGCTAAAGCTTGATAAACATGAACGAGGTTGTTACTGTTACCTTTTCAGCACCCATGATTTCAGGACGTCTTCAACATTGCGCTTCTAATCCTCTCCCGAAGTCATTTGCTCGCGGATTTTAAGAAAACGCGATGTCGAGATCACACTCCAGCAGTCAGGGCCGAGGCGCACAGCTATCTGTACAAGTTGATATCGAAGGACTTGTCTTAAGGGTTGGAAGTTGGCATCCTATCATCTCATTGGAGTGACACCTCTCTCGAGGGTTGGAAGTTGCCCTATGAGCATCTCTATGATTTCGTCAAGTAGGAAAGCCATAGATACGCGAGGGAGAGCGGTCAACTTTCAACAGCTAACTGTCGTTGTTCGATGAGGAGGTCGCGGCACTGGTTCACTGGGCCCTTTCCTTAAGGGTTGGCTGTATAAGTTGAAAATCTGTCGTCTCTATGCCTGCGCATATCTGGATGCGCAAGTATTCGAAAACTCAAAATAACCGAGTTACTGACTGAAATAAGGGGGGTAGCTTAACGCCAAGTGGTTACTCTTCCTTCTCATGAGTATCTCGGTTATTCTGATCAGTTACTTGCTTATTTCAGTTTTTCGAAAATTTTGCGAAGAATAAAGACCACTGACTAATTAGTAGATATGCGAGCCTTCTAATAGATCAATTTGATGATGACTGCTGATTGATTCATCTAGGGGCCCCCTGACTGGGTACGCTACTACTACTACTGACGAAGTTTCTAACTTGCGACGCTTCAGGTAATGCGCGACTGGCCGCTTTAGTTGCCATAGAAGGCTGGCTCCTAGCGTACGATGGAGACAGGAAAAAACTCGATCAGTGGGAGGCAAGGGAAGCAGCCAGAATACAAAGATGGCAGATAGAACAAAGTAAGTATCTAAATGATGTAGTGGTTGTGGGAGTCTTATTTGACCTTTGTTTTATAACTTAGTGAATTGATGTTCTTGACAACCAGCACAACAAATTAGAAAGCGTCTTAGGGTCAGTTCCCATCAACGTGCTCCAAAACTACTAAAATCAACTGTGCTTCAAAACTCTAAAACTTAGATCGTAAAATCCAAGTCGCAACAACCGAAGAAGAGCGGAGCCAACTTCAACAAGAGGTGCCAACAGTGGAACAGCCAGCTTTCCTGCGCAGTTGGAGTGACGATGCTGCAAGAGAGTTTTTCGAACAGTTTTTGCAGATTATGACTAGACCAAGGTCATCCACTTCGGAGGCTATCTACTTCGTCGTCCCTAAGTAAAGTAAAGTAAGTACCGAACATATATAAATATAATAAAAGTAAGTGGTGCTAAGTAAAGTAAGTAAAGTAAAGTAAGTACTTCATCTTATAGCTCTTACGACGGCTGCATGTGCTTCAAAGTACCTCTTCGTTACTCAAGAGTATCTTAGTTACGGTTACCTATACCTCCACCTCCCTGTCTAATTGTGACAACGCGAAGTATTTCCATGAGCGGTGCAGTGATACTGATGAGCGCGTGTCAGTCCAGGGGATCAAGCTGTGCAGTTTGGTTTGTTCTGTTGGGGATGAGTATTTCAACGACGATGAGTTCGACTCCATTGTCACGCTCGTTCTATGTTTATGGGTACAAGAAGAGGGCTCCCATTTTCAGAGGCATCTTGGTCAACTCATACTCTTTCTGTAACACTAACAGTAACAGGATTCGTCATGACATTATGGATCATAGAACCAGTAAAAGGCATCTATGGAAAGGAGACCCAAGATGCTGCTCAAAATGGGAATTTTCCATTAGTTCTAATATATTAAGGGTGATAGATGATCTAGATGCAATTCATTTTTGTTAAGGGTGATTGGCCTCACATCACAAAGACTTATATTGCTTTAATATAAAAGAGGGGGCACCAGGACATGACATGACAAGCCCAAATACAACTTATTTTGACAAGTGTAAATTACAACAACACTTGGCGTTTTCTCCCTGTTTCCTTCTTAGGATTCATTGGGAAAAATGCAGCCCCAAGAAATTGAAATGAATTGTTTTGAGCGCCAACTATGTGCGCCAACGAAGAAGGTGCGCTTGCAGGCGGCGCAGTTTGTGAATCAACACGTCTTCAGCGATCCAGGGATCGAGGACATGGATTCGCTCCCGCCTTGGGCAGCAGACGGTGTGGGAAATCTCGGAGTTATGAAGAAAATTATACTTTTCTTGTGTTGAAAATAGCACGTCGTCTACGATGCATGTTGCTTTCCTGAAGATGTTCCTTAGCAAAAATCAACTGAACCGAACCACGTGCGTCGAAGGGTAAACATATACCGTAGTAAAGAACGTCCTCAAGAATCATCTCAATCTCAACATCTTCTAATAGAAGAAGCGAAAATGTAGACAACGCCTCAAAAAAACAGTTGCAGCTGGAAACACGTTTGCTGATGTTCCTCGAGTACATTTGTATGTACGCACGAGACGCCAAATCGATTGTGATTCTTAAGGCTTGAGGAAATCCATCTTCCCCAGCGAGCATCCTGGTCCCGTTTCTTAGGGGCAAACGCTAGCTCTAAGATGCACTCCAAGATGGATTTCTGCTAGTTCTAAGATGCAAGCAGTCTCGGCTTTCTGGGGTCGCGCTAGTTGTCTCACCGCATGGAAAGTCATGGTGTCTTTGCTATTTCTCTGTGAAGACGGCGCACTAGGAGGCGACGATGGAGGGGGAGGCGGCTCGAATAATGCTGTGGAGCCTTTGCCGTTATGATTACAGCTTTCCTTTTTCTTTTTGTGGTTAGGGCTCGTCCGCTGGAACTATCTAAAGTAAAAGTATAGGGCGTTTTCTTCTTACTTCATCTTATCGTTACCCATTTTTCCTGCTCTAATCCTAGTCGGCAAAAAGGTGGCACTTCTGACGATGATGGAGGCGTCGATCACGCTTCTGCAGAAAGAGCATGCGCAAGCCGTTGCGGGCCAAAACGAAGCGGAGAAAAACCAGACGAAGGCTGACTTAGCTTTAGCGTGTGCCCAGGTGCTGCCAAAAATGGGACAGCTTTTCAAATTGATGAGCTCCGAGCGGTACGGCAAGCTCGTTCTGAGTAATATCTTCGAGATGCTCTTACGCTTCATGCTCGAGAACAGTCAGACAGTTTCGAGGCAACCCTTGAATCCAGTGTCGACGATATGCGAAGCGCTAGAGCAAGTCCTCGACGAGAGTGGTGCGGGAGCACAAGGCAGCCCAGCGCTGTTGTACTTATGGAAGGAGGTCATGAGGAATCATGTTACTGCTATAGAATTACAGAAAGAGTATGAGGTTGTAGAGGTATTAAAGGCGTATAAGAAAATCTAGAAGATACTAAAGGTACTAAAGGTAGTAGATCATCTAGAAGAAATGGCCCCTCTATGCATGACAGCTACAAATATTGTACTACAATTTCTCACCTAAAGCTACGTGCAGTTCTGCAAAGGTGCCACTACTCTACCTGAAAACAGCGAATCCATATACTGAAGCTTGTGGACATTTACCACCTGTTCTCGTACTCGTCTGACTACAATACCTGTCGTCTCGTTCTCGTCTCGTACTCGTCTCGCACCGCTTTTTGATATTCCACCCACTCACTCACTCACTCACTCACTCGGTGTTTCCTCCTTCATGCGGCGGCAACTGCTGCCGTTGCTATCGGCACGTAGCTGAGCTTGACCAAGAAGGGAAGAGCGCGTTGATGGTCTGGCTGAATTCGAAGCGAGGTCAGATGAAAGGCACCTTGGAGCATCTTTGCGTAGTACCTACAGGTTGGGTCCCAAAGCTTTCGGCAGACCCAGATGAGGAACTTCTCACAGGCAATTTCGGTTCGGGTGCGGTGGCTGCACAGCGCACTCGACGACGGGAGATGGATGTGCCTCGTAACGAGTCTATTAAGGCTTACCGCTGAAGCATCCTTAGCGCCGTCCTTACCGGCTCCTTTTCAAGGGGGAAACAAGGGGCTCAGGGATGCGACGCGGTAGCTCTAAGTCCAGACAAGACGCTTGGATCCGTAAGAGGTTGTTAGATCCTCTCGTCGCAGCTGCAAAACCTTCTTCAGAGGAGGAAGGGAAGTTAAGGTCCGGACAAAGTATTTCATTTCCATAGTCCTCACTACAATTTCACTGCATAGCAATACTGAAAGTCCTAGGCTCGTCTTAGAATTCTGAGCTTACACCTGCGAAACTACTGAACGCGCAAGCTCAAAGAAAGCTCTAAGAAAGGAAGACAACGACAAGGAACCTAGCAGTGCTGGTGCCGTTGCAGCGGAGGGGAAGCAACAGGAAGAAAATGAGGACGCCGATGAGCCTGGCGGTGGCAATAACGGAGAGTCGGCTATCATCTTTACTCAACTTCTCGAACGTGCAGTGGAAATCAATTCGAATATTAAGGCTGTGGAACAATGTATCGCTATTGTAGAAGGCTTACAAACATCAATAGAGTTACATCATGGACACTAACGTCACAGTTGTGTTGTCTCGTGAACAATGTAAATGGATAGAAATAAAGTAAAACAGCCTGCGACCACTACCTCTAACCTTCTCGGCACCTTCGTTTCCAAGGACATGTTGGAGCACTTCTTAGCCATCTTGCGATTTGATGAGGCTAACCGCCTTCCGAGGAACTTGCTAGTACCGCTGATAAAGCTCTGCCACCACAGCATCCTTTCGTATGTTAGCAGTCTAGCATGTCGCAAATTGGAAGCAGACGAAAGACAGGAGAAACCCTCAGGAGTGTCGGATAAGACGGCGCTGAATAATTAAGGTCAACATTTAGTGTTCATCTTTCTCGGCATCTCGGTACCCTTTTTCCTCGTATTATGCCTATGAAATGATACAAGGGTAGTAAAGGGGTCAAGATGAGGGGGCCGAGATGCAATCTCGCAGACTCTAAAACAACGTGAAAAATCCGGCTTTGTTCTGGCGAGACTTGGACAAAATAGCCCAGAAAAGCATACAAGCATCTGAAGGTTATGAAGAAAACATCAGTCTGGTACAGGCTAAAAATGAATGGTAGTAACATTACTCCATTCGAAAATCGAATACACTCAAACTGTAATTTATTCTTTCGATCGTCTCAAAGAGCCAACATCTCCTCTAAAATCTAGCCGATCAAGTAGCTGCAGCAGCCGACAACAAGAAATCTTCTAAGGCTCCTGCTGCTTTTGTGGTAAATTGCCGTCGGAAGAACGAGTACTATACTGGAGCATCCGACGCACGGGTCAAAAGATTAGCGTTTGACATACTAGAAGAACTAAATTGCGGTGGCTTTGTCCCTTAAGGCTGACTCGGAGACGCAAGCACATAATGCTTTTGAAAGATTTTATTTACCACATCATGCTGGACTTGCTCGCGATCAACAATCACTTACATCTGGGTCACAACATCATAGCTTTATTATCATTCGTCAAGAACCTTGATGAAGATTATTTTCTGCTTGACGAACATCAACTACATTGACATATCATACTCAGCACTACGATAGTATCAGGAGTAAGTTTGAATACACGTGGTCGTGCAACTTCTACACCGTCTCCGTCTTATGATACAGTCTTCTAATTCTTTGACCGTGATGTGGAGGACTGTGAGGAGCCACAAATGTCTGCTCAAGTCTCTACCTGGTTCGCCGGCGAAGAAAAAGCAGTTGCAAAATGCTTCTTTGACTTCAGGGAAGCCTGCGTTTCCCACATCCTGTCGCAGCATCGAGACCCATGGGTCAAATTCCTTTGTATGGCCATCTACTTTGATGGCTTGCAGACACAGGGAGCGATGATAGAGGTCATGCGCTTGGACGAGACGTTGTTCACAGCGGACTTTACTAGTGGTTATGGTGAGTTATTACTGAGTTTATCTTTATGTTGATTTTTTTGTATGTAAAAAAAATCTTTATGATGCTCTGCAGGAGAGACGGTTGTACCTTCAACCTCTAATCTTATTTCTACGATAAGAAGACCTTGCGGCTGGATGGAAGAAAAGTACATGAACGCATATTAAGGCTACCGCTGATCCTCATCGCCATCCCTGGCTCTTTTCCTATGAACGTAGAACGTGCGAGGCGATCGGGTCGCGCGCGACAATAATAATATAGGATAATGAGGATTATAAGCCAAGGATGGACCCAGGGATGCGAACGCGGTAGCTCTAAGCATAGGTGAGATGTACGTGTACTGGCTCTCTCAAAAAGGGCGTTTAGACGCACAAGCAAAAGTACCGCAGGTGGATGAACAAGAGATTTTATGGAGAGTTGTTGGGATTACTGATATTAGCGTTTTTATTGTCGAAAAACTATTGTAACACTTTGCTTTTCTTTTTCTTCCCTAGATAGGTCTGCTCCACCGCAAAAGATATTAGCGTTTTTTTTTAGGTAGTAAGTGTAAGAAATAATAGGCACAACTGTGAATGTTGTGAATGTACCTGAGCGAAGAAACAATCGATTATAGCACGAGCAAGAATTCTTGTCAAGGAGTAGGAAAAAGTGACTCTGAAAAACTATTGTAACACTTTGCTTTTCTTTCTCTTTCCCAGATAAATCCAATTTCGACGAAGTCCTTGATGGAATGAACCTGATTTATTAGGCTCTTCAAGTTGGATCATTGTGAATTTCATCGGATTGGAAGTTCGTTATACAAATTATTTGATGAAGTTCTGTACTAGCTGCTTTTCTACTACGTTTCATTTTTAAGAAGCTATACTACAAAGACCCATCAAATTTCGACGAAGTCCTTGATCATTTAAGCTTTTCAAGCTGGACCACTTCTAATCCCTGCCTCCGTGAAGAATCCTGTCCTGATCTATCAGAAGCATGAGGTGATGATCTGGACGTATCTTTTGAATTTATTCAGTGATCTGCGACGTTGTGTCGCGACTGCAGAAGACCAGGAGGGGCGCCAAAGAATCGTGCAAGAACTGGTGACGAGCGACAATTAAGGGTAGGTTTTTGCTGTTCCTGTTACCGTTTCTTATGGCCCTCCTGAGGGGCACAGAAACATAACAAACGGGGCACAGAAACACCGAAAGCCTACCGCTAAGACGAAATCATATACCCTTCCAGCGACATGCTCAACCGATATATCCCGGTCAAAGAGAGCAGTTTGCGAAGTAGTGACTCTTTATCTACTTGCTGCAGTAAAGTAGAACTGTACTTTCTTATTTAAGTAATGTGAATGTTGAACTCATCTACTTTCTTATTTATTACTACAACTCTACTTTCTTATTTGTTATGCCTTGTCCAAGAGTCTTCACCCTCTTGAAGAGTCTGCACCCTCTTAAAGAGTCTTCACCCTCTTAAAGAGTCTTCACCCTCTTAAAGAGTCTGCACCCTCTTAAAGAGTCTTCACCCTCTTAAAGAGTCTGCACCCTCTTGAAGAGTCTTCACCCTCTTGAAGAGTCTTCACCCTCTTAAAGAGTCTGCACCATCTTCTCCATCATCCGGGGTAATCTTTAACAGGTGTCCAACGTGCTCTAGTGCCAGAAGACAGTCTGAGTGCAATAGAATTCTGCTTCTCCAAGGCTTGTATGGTACCCGTCGCGGCTCTAGGAGAGCCTAAGGAGATCGAGGCGACAGGACTAGATCCATATCCTATTAAGGCTCATTACAATGATAATTTTCCATTTTGTTCACTACCTCTTGCTCATAGCTCACCATTATTCAACTTCTTTTCCTAGTTAGTTTGGTTCCACCCATATTCTTCAACTTGTTCGTGCCCTATCTTCGTAGAACAAGCAAGATTAATATTCCACATCCCCTTTGTGTCTTTCTAGTACTTGAGTACTTGATCATGGATCGCTCCACAGTCTTCTACTGAGTGACCTGGTTGTCCGTTCTTAGAAGCAAGTGTCATGAATCGAAAGATAATCGTCTAAAGATTCACTTCCTTTGTTCAGTCTTAGCTTTGGTTCCGTATTTTTCACTTATCTTTGACTCTGAGCTCTCCTCCTCTGTAATCCTCCCTTTTCAGCCGAATCCAATCCTCCTCTAATCCTCCCTTTTCAGCCGAGTCCAATCCAACAGCGGACAAAAACTACGTTCTCCAAGATCTAGCAACCATCGGCGTGAGGGATGTATTGACGTTTGGCGTGGCTGCCGTTCGTCTAGTGGCCGACTGCGAGTCAGAGCACATCATGATGGGACCCATTGCCCATAATGTAGGAGCACAATTGGTTATGGCTGTGGGTTCTTTAGTTCTATTATGACTTTAGTTCTAGTGGGTTCTAGTGGTGGGTTCTTTAGTTCTAGTGGAGAAGGTGGTCTAGTAGTTGCAGAGGCTTTTGGTCTAGCAAGACGATGGCTTCAAGATCGTAGATTCTACCTTTCCATAGGCCTTGTGGTCCTGAATCGCCTATAGGGCTTCGGTTTTGCTTTTGGAAGAGGTCTTCAAGATCGTTCAGGAATCATAGAAGTTGTCTGCGACGCATATAGTGCCACGAGTAAGTTTGAAAAATACACCACGTCGTACAACTTCTACACCGTCTCCGTCTTATGATATATTTACACGATGCACTAGTCCCTGTATTTTTGGTCTAACTCGTCTGGTTCAACAATTTTGCTGTTTTTTGTTATAAATCTACGGGGTAATGCTGTTTTTTGTTATAAATCTAGGGGGTAACCTTGTGCTAATGTCTGCTTGTTCTAATAAATCTTGAATCTTGAATCTACATATCATGTCTACTTGTTCTAATCGGCGCCTCTTGAAAGATCTGAAGGGCGTTCACACTGCCGTGCGCGAGTTCCTGCTTAATACCAAGCGAGACGCTGAGAAAAACGCCGCTTCGTCACCGAATCTAGCACAACAATACTTACGGCTGCTTTTCATCCATCTCATTCTCAAGAAGCATCCTAGGACGTTTCCCTAATGAGTCTCCGGAGGAGTCTCATCGCGAGAAGGATCCTAGGGATGGAGGCTCCAAGATGGAGGCTCTCCAGCTCAAGATGGATCAGGATCGTGAGCAGCTCCTCTAAAATACTTTTTCTTTCTGTATAGTGTGACACAGCACATACTGGAGGTGTGCGTCACAGCGGAAGAAGGCAGACTCACCTCAGGTGGAGGAAGGGGGTGCAACTATAATTATGGCTCGTGAAGAACACTCATCTGAGTGTACTATGTATTAATGACCCAGCTGCGGGGAGGTCGTTGCTCTCGGAATACAAAAAAACTGGGATCACCCTTTCGGCGTTCTCGGAATACAAAAAAAAAGCGGTGCCCTGTAGAGGCACCCTGACTGACTGACTGACTGACTGACTGATGTGTCCTCTCTGTCATCTCAGGCACAAGCACCTGGATGATTTTTTTTAGTAGAAGACAGAAATGTGCCAGGAATCTAACCTGCGTCTTCGTACCAAGAGGTAGAAGAGTTCCTGAGCGAGGTGTCGAAGACTTGGGGGGTAGGACCGATGCATCCTACGATGCAGACCGCTATGGCAGTGCAGCTTGTGGAGCAGATACTACTGCAGGCTGAACAAGGATTATGGTTTGTAACTCTCTCCGTCATGAAGAGACTTTAGTTTAAGTCTCAGTCAGCGGGTAGAATTCGTCCGGGTAGAATTCGTCAGGCAGATTGCCGAGTAGATTCGTATCAATATCAAGTCTCTTCTTTTAAAGCCCGAGTGCACCGTCTGGGACAACAAGTTGTCAACTCAGCACGACACTTTATTAAAATTATAGAAGCAAGTAGACGCATTTTTATCTTCTTCCTCGGTTAATTCATTCTATCTCGAAAAAAATAAAAGCTCTAAAATTTTCAGACGAGTTGGATGTGGATCTGGTCGTTGCCACCTTGACACCGTTGTTGCGTTTCCTCGCACCGTCTTACCGAATCCAGCTTGCGCACCACTTGCACACGAAGCTAACACTTTTGACTGGAGCGAATGCAGTCATAAAGTTTATGCTGGATTGTAGATGAGGTTGGAAGTTCTTTTTCTTGGTTCCCATCTTCAGGCAACTCCTTCTGGGACCAAGATGCCTCTGAAGATGGATTTCTTGTAGCGTTAATTGCAGCTCTCTTTTTACCGTAGTTAATACAGCTCTTTTGAGTTGTCACGTGGTTCGCAAATGAATGACTCAATGAATGAATGAGTGAATGAATGAATCTCTTTCCTAGAAGGTATTAACTATGCATGAATCTCTTTCTTTTTACCGTAGTTAATACAACTACGGTGTAAGGCTTACGTAGAGGGTTCCCATCTTCCCACGCGGTTCCTTCCCACGCAGCACCCACGTCGAGGTCTTTTTACTGGTGGATTCCATTTCCATTGGACTTCAGAAAATTCCTTACGTATAGAAGCCCTTTTTTTCAACGCCGCTTCCCAAAATACTTCTAAGAGAGTGACAGACTTACACGCAAAATTGATCAATTATGCGCCAGGGAAGGCGCGCGCTGCCGTGTCAAGAGCAGCCAGGGAAAGTAGGGTCGGTGCCGCGGCTGGAGAGCAGAGGGTAGTAAATAATCTTGGTTAGGCCGCAATTTCTTGCCGATCCAAGCACTGTTCCTTATCCTGGATCCTGTAATTAGATCACGAATGAAAACGAGTCTTCTGTAAATCATCACTGCAAACGAGTCTTCTGTTAAAGAAAAACAACTTTTTACATCAAACAAGGGATCTTCCATATGACAAATCTGGATCTACATTATGAACCACACCTACACAGCTCCAGCTAAACGCGACGGATGAACTAGCAGACTTTTTTGATGAAGAGGAACCAAAAAAGCGGCACTGGTTCGAAGAAGAAGATGTGGCTGTACTCCCTGGATCTAAAAAAGTCAAGAGAACGGCGAATGATGATTATGACCGACTTCCCTCTCTTTGAACAAGCAACAACAACAACAACAGCATTCCCTGTTCTCGCTTAACAACAACATGTGTTCCCCGTTAAAAACTACAACAACATTGTTTCAATCGTCTCTCGTTCCTATACTGCCCAAGCTGCACAGCCAACCCTATGTGCCCAAGCTGCACAGCCAACCCTATGTGCCCAAGCTGCACAGCCAACCCTATGTGCCCAAGCTGCACAGCCAATCCTATATGCCCAAGCTGCACAGCCAATCCTATATGCCCAAGCTGCACAGCCAACCCTATACTAACCAAGCTCCTACCAACCTCCAACCATCTTAAGCTACCAAGCTCTAACTTCTCGAATCTTCCCGAAGCAATCGAGCAGGAAACAAGTCGAAGAGTGCGAGTTCTTCGGATTCGCATAAGCCTCAAGCCCGCATGGAGGACGTCATGGACGATGAGGATGAGCAAATTGCCGGTCAAGAGGATGATCTCTTGGCGGATTGAAAGGCTATAAAAATTTTATAATAGGGATACTAGGAGGGATAGGAGATCAAGAGGATGATCTCTTGGCGGATTGAAAGGCTATAAAAATTTTATAATAGGGATAGGGATAGAAGGGATAGGAGGAGATCAAGATACTAGGATAGTGACAAGTTGTTTGTTGTAGGATAATTTGATGAGACAATTTTCATCTCATCCATTCTGAATGTCTGTCTCCTGCCTAAGCCAAATTGATGAGACTTACTCTATGGGGAGTACTTTTTTATCATTAATACCGATGTATCTTACTGTAGTTTTTACAAGATTGATGTTGAGGGAACTTGGATTTTTGATCGAACAAGAAACTGTTCTACTGCACTGGTTAGCCTCACAAGTAGACAATGATAGCTACAGAAGAGGAGTGTTTGCTTTCTCTGCGCCCACCACTGCTGGTGCGTCGAACTCTTCGAAAAACTTGTAAAGAGGAAGTGAGAAAGACGACGAGGAATCTCTCAACACTTAGAGAAGACGTTAGAGGTGTCTTCTTCGCAGAGAATCACGCTTAGCTTGACACTTTCATTACGCTCTTTTTAAGTAGTTTACGTATATGGAATCTTCCTGATAACTGCAAGACCTCCTTCATGACTCTTGATGATATATAACTGCAAGGTGAAGAAGACCTTCATGACCTTGAGTGAAAGAAGTCTGAATGTGAGCAGGAGGGCGCTGCCTGGACTCCTTCCGAAGACCAGGTAGGTGTCGCGACGTGGAGGCTTATCTTCGGGACGTCGAGGAGAACAGCATCAACTTTTTGCGTGTCTACAAATAGGAAGATGAAGAGCTCCTGCCTGAAGACAAATAAGACCACGAATAAGAGGACAATGAACTACCCGAACATGATCAGGAAAAATAGTGCTGCTGTTCTTGGAGTTGGTGTGGTTTTGCCCTGCCTTCTCGTTCTCCCACCTCTAGTTATGGGCAACGTCAACCCATCTCTGACGCCACTTTTTAACCAGTTTCTACTTGAAATGAGCTAAAAGATGTTCTAAAAGATGGGTTGTTGGTGCATCTAATCTCGCTCTACTTCATACTAGTTCTTGTTGTGATTATATAGTGGTGGCATTCCTTCGGGGATGCAAGAGAACGAAAGAGAGGCGGCCAGCCTGGGGCGTCTTCCACCTCCCCCATTGCGTGCCAGGGCCTCGGCTCTCGTGAGGTGATGAACCGCCAGCGGCGCAGCAGGAGCGAGGGGCGCGTTGGCTTCCGTGCTTCGTTTCTTCTGGGTATCCAAAGCGAGGAGAGCCCCACAGCCTCGGCAGGCCGGTGCCGCCTCGTTTTCTTCCAAAGGAAGGCAAAAGGGCAAGGCCATGGCTGTGAAGCCGTGGGGAGATTCGGCGGGCTGGTTGGCTGCGCTGGGTGGTTGCTTCCTCAGCCCGTGTCGTGTGGTGTCGTGTGTGCGGTCTGGTGGCTCGCCTCGCCCTCGCCGGGATCCGTCCGCCCCCCTCCGCCATCTTCCCTTGGTTGTCAGTTCTTTGCACCCTCCTCGCCTGCGGTCGTTGTGGAGGGTGGACCCCAGCCACGGACCCGCGCACCGGTCGCCAGCCCCTAGCCCCTGGCTGGCAGACAACGCGCCAAACCTACACAGAGCCTCCGTTTTGGCTCTGGTCGCTCCGCTCTGGTAGCTGAGTTGAGGAGGCCAAGGCGGATCTGGTCACTTATGGCGGGGCCCCCCTCATGAACACCCGCCGCCGGCTCCGCAGCTGGAGTTTTTCCCCCGCCAGTCTGGACCCGTCGACGGCAAGGCCCCCTGGAGACTGAACATGGGTGACGCCCAACCCTGCACGGCAGAACCGTGCAAGGCCCCGCGCGTTGATGAGTCCCCAGACATACAGACGCGCGTCTATCTACTAGAAAGAAAAAGAGCCCTTATCTTTCTTTAGATCTTAAAAGTACTACTTTTCTTCCACTACTTGTATAAAGATAAGCACTCTCCTCCGCTTTAGTCAATATCCGACTTTTATTGCAAGAAGAGTACTAGAGGGACTCACGACTCGATCGCATTCTCGCTTGAGGTAGTTCTAGTTGTGTTGATGTGCTGCCTCTAATCGATTGCTACCTTCGGGAATTGTGTTTTTCTGATGGTTACGCTCTTCTGCTTCAAGAGGTAGTGTGCGCTCTGCTACTTCAAGATGCATGTAGTGGAGGGATGAGGGAGCCCCCGGACTGGACGAGTACATGCCGGAAGAGTACTGCAAGATGTAGAGGGGCTCCTGTTGGTTCGACCTGCCGATTAATATCTGCCAATTAATATCTTCTGATTTGCTCCTGCACCTGCAGAGTGCGACGGACTCGATCAAACACAGAAACTCAAATTCTTTGATGAAAGTTTTCTTCACATTTGTTCTAACCTGACGTGTCGACTAACGCGATCCATCTCTGAAATTAAGGCAACAATGAATTGCAAGTAACAGTAAATCAACAAGTAGATGTAGAATTACTGGACGATTTCTTAAAACACGTTCACGTATGCAGACATGTACACAGCAGAGGATACTGACAACATTATTATGGCAGTTCTCTTCTAGTAGTAGGATCCCTCATCTTACACTATCAGCAACGACGAACAGGCAGTCGAGATTTAGCCACATCTCCTCACGTCGAGACTTATTGGTCTTTGTGTGAAGCAGGAATTATCTTCCCTGTGTTCGAGGTTCTACTATCATGGAGTTTACTAGAACACATGAGACAGACGTGTGTGTTGTAGTTTCTACTAGTTTTTGCAAATTAATAATTCTAAAAGCGTCTTAACAACGAGAGTTTTTACTATGATGGAGTTGGAGAGTATAAAGCAAAAAGAGGCGAGCGAAGAAAGTCTTCGATTTGAAATGCAGTTGTGTGCCTGGGTTTAGACACAGAAGCAAAGGCTTGGCTTTTTCCTCTTTTTAGTGAAAAAAGACGAAAATTCAAATTGTGCCTTTATATTACTTTTTCTGATTCTTTTCATTCATGTGAAAATAGGATAGAAAATGTATGTAGACGCAAAAGTTGTTGAAGTATAGAAAGTGCTGCGTCCATCATTCAATTATTTGCATTCTGTAGTTTAGACCTGTGACTTATCATTTCTTTTATCGTTGATCGTACTCAACAACTTACCAAAAAAAGACGCTTACATTCTGCTCGGTAAACAAAAACTAAAGGGCACGTTCGATAATTTCAACTGATCAAACATACAACCAAATTATAGCTAACACTAAGAAATTCATCAGATCATCACGACTCCGACAGTCACACCTATCTAGCACTTTCCTGTAGTTTAGAAGCTAGAAATAGTCTTCTAGCAACAGTCTTTCTTGTGGCTTACAAACAAGGACGACGAATATCTCCAAACACTCTCTAGTAATCGGAACACTTTGTTGTACAATACCACTTTGATACAACTCTGAGACAGCAACTTCTAATCTACTAGTTTAACCGGTACTATACACAGTCACAGTTACCTATATAAGTACTTTCTCTGAACTTTACAGTTACCTATATGAGTACTTTCTCTGAACGTTCTATGCACAGTCACAGTTACATACCTATATACTTTCTTGTACAGTCACAGTTATTCGAAAGCTCAAAATAACCGAGTTACTAACTGAAATAAGGGAGGCAGCTCTCTCAACATCAAGGCTATCCTTCCTTCTCATCAGTATCTCGGTTATTCTGATCAATTACTTGCTTATTTCAGTTTTTCGAATACATACCTATATACTTTCTTGTAGTTTGGTACTCAAACTTTCTCTGAACTTTCTTGTAGTTTAGTACTCAAACAAGGAAACAAGATGTGCACTCCCGAAGTGAAGCTTGTCCAGGACGCGGTGAGTGCCGTAGTCGCTGGAAAAGTTGAAGACTACATGGCGGTTGTGGATGACAACCTTAAGTTTTGCGTTTTAGGTGGTCTGGTTCCTGCCGGCAAGTGCTCGGGAAATACCAAAGCTGCCTTCATGGAATGTGGAGCGGAACAAGGTACTGCGCAGTTGTGGTTTAGGCGTTGGCCTGTTCACTTATCAGATAGAATAGTCCTAGGCACTGGAGTGCTAGACTCTTAGCCCTGCTATGACCATGTCAAATGGATCTGGTCCTGCTATGACCAATGTACTACTCCAGGTAGAGCACAGCTTCCTTGTAGTTGTAGTTTTTAGAGGTGGACAGATGAACTTTTATACTCAATTACAAAGAAGATTCTTAAGTAGAAGAAATGTAAAAATAACACTAAGGTGAGTAGTTCCGCCTGCTAAAGGACAGACCTGCAGTTTGAAAGCAGTCGTACACAAAATCGTGCGAGATGGAAAGATTTGTTATGGGAGATGGTAGTTTTGGACTAGTTTTGCTCGTAATCGTAAGTCAGGGCAGATGAAGTGTTCTAAATTTTTTTTCCCTAGACCGCTACATGCAGCTACGATTATCATCAGACGGACCTCTGATCATTCGGAAGCTGTTTGAGGCACCAACCTGGTATTCGTCGTGCAATGAATCCTGGCGAAGTCCACTTCTGAATTTTTACCATCCCAACCTTCCCCACTTTTCTCTTCGCCATTTTCATTTCCCCGAAAAATACCACATTCTGGACCAACGTGCTGTGTGCGCTATCACTGGTGCCAAATATGAGGTGCCGGAGGGGTTAAGCATCGTCAAAGCGGCTTTGGGTGGAATGGGTGCTGGAAAACCAGAGGAATACTTTAACCGCGTTGCGCCGGCTTTTGATTTCGATGTCTTAGGGTGCTTTATTCCTGGTGGGGTACCGTATACTATCCTGAGGTATAAATATTTTTTACCTTGAGCATTGTATTACTGTGCTGAGAAACTACAGGTAATTTATAGTTTCTCGTGATCTATTACATGGTTGTGTGCTAGTAAATTCGGATGTAATCATCTACTTCATTCATCTTCCGTACAACTCCCATACACGACACCACAGTCCCAAGGAAAGTACTTCGAAACGATTCGATTTGTGCCGAATAGCTTCTGCGGATATGGGGAGCACGTTACTTTCACCTGCGAATGGGAGATCAAGCTTAACTTAAGGCATGGATGTTGACTTACCGAAGAATTATAGCGCCTGGAAGTACTGAAACAGTGAAACAACATGGATTAAGGCCAGCTTCTAGTTTTGTCCATCTTTCTCGGCATCTTGGTACCCTTTTGTTCCCCTGTATTCTTCTCATGAAATACAAGGTCCAAGGGGTCAAGATGAGGGGGCCGAGATGCAACCTAGCAGACTCTAAATGGACATGCTCGGTAATTCTTACTCTTTCTACAATTGAGTAAGAAAAGAATCAATCCAATTCCAATGAGCATTCGTCTGTACTTGAACAAAATGGCCACTAAGTCGGTACCCCTTTCTCCTAATGACCGCTCCTGGCGGCGACACCACTATGACTTTGCAAGCCGTGGTCTATAAAATGGCTAAAGACGGCATGATCCACCAGAAATACCACACGCTTTGCCAGTACCACGCCAAGAACATCGAAAAACTGTTGAATCAGAACTGAGAGGTTAATAGAGTTCGTCGTGGGGGTTTCAGGTAGTTGTACTACTGCGCTGCTTTTACTTTTAGTTTTTTTTGAAATAGAGTTCTCCCAACAACGACCTCTTGCCAGACACATCAATCAATCAATCTTCCTTGACGAGCAGGAGTATCTCATCATTATTTCAGATCTGCTCAATGGAAAGAACATTTGCTTTACTAATTTTTCACGGTCGTCAATATTACTTTGGATTCACTTGCTGTATAATCATTACATTCTCCTGCAAGCGCTACGGAGAAAAAAGAGCAGCACCATGTGAGTCTTCTCTTCCTTTTGGACTCTACAAAGAAACAAAGCTCTTATCGTTATGAAACTCAATCGAGTCTGTCGCTGTCCAGACTCTGGATAAACTCTGGATTAGCGTTGATAAAACTACAGGACAACCTTTTTCTTCACTTGTTTTTTAAGCACACATTTACATACTTTCTTATAAAGTTGCAGGCCGCATAGCCTCATGATGAGAGAATCCTGCATCAGAAATGAACAAGATTCTATATCCAAGATAACACCATCTCATTCGAAGAGAATAAAAGTGCACTACTAACTAGCATAAACACTGTAAATCCTCAGTAATAGATGCATAGAAGATGAAGTTGCACAGTCACAGAGGACAATACCATGAAATGTATGTCATTGAATTAAGGTACTTAAGAAAATCCCGGGTTTTCTGTTTCCCTTATGGTTGCAATTTTCATGCATTCCTTCTATATAGTCATCTATGTGCACCAAAGAACAGCTTGTTGAATTGAAAAAGTAGTAGAGACACGTCAGCGTTAAAAAAATGTTGATGAAAGTACAACAGGTTTCGAAGAAAAACCAAAATTCTATGATACTCAATTGGAAAAAAAAAGTAGAAGGTGTCAACGTGGTAGGAGGTGTTGCATTCTTCGGTAGCTAAAGGCCTGTTCTCAGGCGCCAGATCGTTGGAATCCCATGGTGTTCGAGAGGATGTCTTAAGGCAATGCATTTGGGATCGCTCTTCCAGAGCAAAGTCCCAAGAAAAGTTTGCCTCTGTCACTGTGTGGTCGAATTTGCTGTGTGTGTGTCCGTCTGTTGGGTTGTCAAGTCACTCCTCTTATCAAGCATCCGCTAGCCTCGTCCTGTTCCTCTCTGTGGTGGTCGTGTTCGGACGATCTGTGAATATTCTGCTACGCGCTCTGCAGTCTGCACTGAACTTTGTGCGAGATAAATTGTATTGTATTGTATTGTATGTTCCTCTTTGGCCAGTCTTCCGTTTGGAGCATAATTGAATGATCGTTAGGCTCTTAGTCTTTCACCAAAAAGGAGCAAGATTCTAGTTCAAGTTCGCGGATAGTTCTCATAACTTCGTTGGATGACTCATTCAAGAAAAGTAGATCAGATGGCGTCCGACGTTGTTTCGCTTGCCGCCGCGAGTGGAGCACCTCCACGTAAACAGCGAGCACGGACAGGACAGCTCTCTTTCGTTCTCCGGTTTGCAGTTTTACTTCTAAGTTATACTTCTCAGATCCACATCTTACAGACTGCAGCACGAGCGAGTTCATCGTCTGAGCTTGTGTTACGCGGCGTCCGCGCTCAAGGACGCGAAGCAGAACAGAGGGTGAGTCGCGCTTCGTCTACAACTAGTTCTTCTACAGATATGAAAGAAAAAAGTGCACTCACACTCAAAAAAAGTGGCTATTTTCCTACTTAAATCCTAGCCAATTTCTTGAGTGTGAGTGCACTTTTTCGTTTCATAACAGATCAAAACAGAGGAAGGACGAACAGGATAGAAACTCTCAGCAGGAGAGGCAGAGGCGCTTCTGCTCCACGCCCTTCTTTGTTCGAGTTTAGAGAAGTACGCCTACAGCCATTAGCAAATAATGGAACGCCAGCGGTGAAAGAAAACGGCAAACCGCTGATAACACGCGTAGACTTCATTCAGACTTTGGCCTATCATCATGAAGGATGTGAAGTAGAAAGTGACGGTCGTGCAGGAGAAGTAGTTTTGGAGTGTGGACGAGTCAATAATGACAGGTGCTGTATTGATATTAAGGAAGGAGGAGCAGACGGAGGAAAAGGTAACAAAACAAAAGATGAAAATGGAGGGACCTCCAGCTGCTCTTCGTTAACGGACACTGCTCGTCCTCGCTCATACTCATTATCCGAGGCATCGACAGCAACGTCTTCTACTGTAGCAGGAGGTTCTCCGCCATCAGTTCTTCTTGGAGATGATGGCACCGCGACGTCGCCAGATGAAGATGCGTCGCAAGCAGTAAGTGAAGCTGAAGACCATGCTACAGTACGACTACCTGTTGAACAAGATACGAGAAAGCCTGAAGGAACGGAGGTCACGAATCGGGCTTCACGCTCTGCATCTTCAGACGACGAAATAATGGCCTCGTCTAGCAAGTCCATGATCACCAACGTGAAAGAAGTCAAATCTTCGAAGTATTTCTCCGAGACTGGGAAAACGTCTATCTACGATCCTGAGGTGCAAAGGCGACTAACCAAGAATCAGGAGAAAGCTTATTAAGGGTCTAGGTTAAATGTGCTTTTGTTACCGTTTGTGATGGGTCTCCTTCTAAGGGGGACAGCCATCACAAGCGGGATAGACGAACACCAAAAAGAACCTACCTCGTCTAAGCTTACCCTCTACTGGAAAAAAATGGGGCAATCCTTAAAATACCACAAAGATTGCAAAATTGTCCGAAGAAAAAGAAGGATACGCAAAGATTGTGGGAGCATTTGCAACTGAATTTAGCGGGAAAAGATGGGAGAATACCGCCACAAAGAGTAGCTGTGATCAAGCTGAGGCCGAAAAACGCACCTCTCAGTTGTCATCTTGAGGTCGGACAAGATAACGGTTTGCCTGGTGCTGGAGGAGGACGGAGAAGAATGGCGACCTCCACTTCTGCGATGAATCGAGAGGAAGATGGACAAGGACCACAGGATAGTCGCACACCAAATGTAGACGGTTACGGTGATATTGAGCAAGCGTTTGCAGATATTATGGACCACGAGCAACACGCAGAAGTATTCAGAGCGGAAGAACTGGCCGATGAGGATCGAAGAGAACAGGAAGATGAGAGGCGCGCAACGACTGTAGGGATAGACGAGCACCACGGCACTTCTTCTGCAAAGCCAATCATAGACGAACACCCTCCTCGATCGAAACGGAGGAGTCCTCCGATGAGAAAATTGACTGCTCTCTATGCTGCAAATCGTCTTGCTGTTGTCGGCTTGAGGGCAGAAGTGTCACTGCATCTTCATGCGGGATTGAATCAAACGACAACTACATCGGCTTCGAGGCACCAGTTGCCGGTCGTGACGAATGGAAATCCATCTCTGTCTTCGTCTACTCAGGCAATAGTCGATGCTGCTGATTCTTCGGCTGGAAGAGCGACATCTACAGCGTCCTCAGCAAGGGATGTAGGAGAAACCAACATCAACAGCATAGTGTCACCAAACTCTCCTGACTCGTATACTGCATCTGGACGGTGGCGTTCACACTGTAATACAAGGCCTTTTCAAAGACCCAGAGCATCTGGTGGCGCTGCACCAGCGTTTGCGGTGAAGCTGCATGATAATCGTGCAAGAACACTCAGTAGAAGTAACAATAAGGCGTCATCTACACTAACTTCAACTATATCTGGAGCCGCGGGAGTTCTTGGAGTCCCAGTTTCAGGAGTCCCAGTTTCAGTCGTTCCACCACCACTTAGTTCATCTACAGCTGTAGGTGGAGGAATACATGTCTTGCAAAAAATGATGAAGAAGCTAGCGATTTGATAGCCAAAAAATTCGTATTATCAGCTACGTCGTTGTTTCGTAATGTAGAAGACGTAGTTTCGTCTCGTGTGTAGAAGTCTGCGAAAATGTTCTAGTTATTCTCATTATTTTGACATTTTGACCAGCATGATTCATCTTCAAGAACCGAATCCCATCGACTCTTGAAGAAGTTGTGTAGCTCTGAATTGTCCCTGCGAACCAGATGTGCATTATTTCAGTTTTCGTCATATTCTCTAAAATGCCTCTCCAGAACGAGTACGAACGAGTACAGAAGTTGCTTTTCTGGAGAACATCAAACCAGAACCATTTGTTCTTGCCATGATAGATAGAGCTTGCAAGAGACGTAAACTGCTCCATTGCCACTGAAGAGAGAGGTGTGCCCTTAGAACGTACGTTTGAAACCACCTTGATGTCATCTGTTACAAATTAGAGAGATCCTGTCATCTGTGTTTTTCAGGATCTCTCTGATTTGCGCAAGTAATTGTCGTCAGTCTCTCTTTTTGGTCCTCATCATGCATCCAGATCTATCGAGTGTCCGCGTGCAGCTTCAACGCTCAATGCGACCTTAGCGAGCCCTTTACACGCCTCTTCGTTGATTTTCTCGGTCCACTTCTAAAAATCAAAAAAATGAAACGCAAATATAACCTATAATTTAAGCGTAAACCCGCACCAAAGAAAGATGGCGGTTGCCATTCCCCGCTCTTCTCCGCTGTACCTCGCCTCGGCGAGCATCTCAGCAGCGGTCGCGCTTGCCGTAATCGCCTTCGTCGCTGTGAAGTACCAGAAAGTCGTTCTCTTCATGCTCCACCCAGTCTTCATGGTTCTCGGCGTGGCCTTAATGTCAATGGGCATACTCGAACAAGGCAGTGGTGGGGGTAAAGTCCACGTTTGGCTTCAACAGGGAGCCGCATTGTCATTCTTCCTGGGATGGCTCTTCATGTATCTGCAGCATGAAAAGGCGGGCGTGAGTCACTTTGCGGCGAAGTCGCCATGGTGGCACAAGGTCTATTACAGATATTTGCCATTGATCAGGCGTGGATCAGCGCGAGAATGCAATGAGAAACTAGATATTAGTACCTGGATGTAAATGTGAATAGATTTATTTACAGTAACTGGATAAATATCTAAATCAATGATAGATGTTATATCTGATAGATGTTATTTAGCGAAGACAATCCCAATCGTAAATACAGTCCCAATCGTCGAGTCCACTACCACCTTTTCTGAGCACCATCCTCAGGTCCACGTCTACCTTGGCTACACACTGGTGATCCTGTGGATAGTTCAGATAGCTGGAGGAGTGATGAAATACGGCAATTTACCAACTAAGAGCGTAAAATGGCATGGAATTTTGGGCCAAATCATGTATGCTTTGAAGCTTCCGATGTTCCTGCTGGCGGCGGTGATGAGTCTTTTTATGGAGCAGGAAAAATGGGATTCCAAGTTGGTTCGCGAGTGTTCACCGCTACGTCGATGTAAACACTTCCCGTAGGTGTAGTGCAAGCACTAGTTTATTCTCATAATTTGATATAACAGTAGTTTCACCTGATTCGGAATTGGAAGATGTGCACTTGAGAACAGTTGGGCTCATCTGCCTTCTAATGCTCGGTCTTCCTCCGGTCCCCAATACCTAACCGAAGGTCTCTTTATGACTGGCTTCGTCGGCATGCACGGCTTAGTTTTGGGTACCTTTTGGAAGTACAAACTGGAGCAATCTAAGGGAGACTCTGGCGGTGCAGGAGAAGACGATGGAGCGGGCCTTGATAATCCTTACGGCACAAGCGAAGATGGCGAGACAAGGCCGTTGGGGTCGGTCGTGGTTGGGAGGTAGTGCTCCTGATAGTAGACAGTGCGTAGCGTAGCCAGTTTGATGTTTTACTAGGTGGACCAGGTCGCTCGTTCACATTCTTCACAACCATACTAGCACGTTGAAGTGATCCGGACCTGAGATGCAAACTCCTGCACACCACTCTACGACCAGGTCCGGCGCCGGCGGCCGGTCGCCCGATACTAGCATATGACGTTCGTTCTGGACACGTTGGTACGGACGCTGCGGGAACATCAGAGATTCTTTTTGACTGCAGCCTCTTTTACTCTTTTTGGATGCAGCTACGACCAGTATCCTGCTTTCCGCTCTTTAGGACAACGCGCTATTTGTACTCTACTCATTGGCCTTTGCGCAACCCTAAGCCCTAAGCTTCTCACGCTACCCAGATTCGAAGAAGTCACTGGGATTCTATCTCCACGACCTGTAGAATTGATTTTTTGGCTGTCTTTCTGACATGCTTCTTACAAGTAACGGACAGAAGATCTTTTGTTCAACATAAGTACGTATATTCACTGCTTAAAAAGATTCTGTGTCTAAAGGTCGAAGACGACGCGATGGCACACGACGAAGTGTATCGTTATTGTATCCAAGACTATTCACGGTGTTGCAAGTACTACCGCTGTCTAATACCGGTTGCGCCGATGGAGACTCGTCAGCCAGCGGTCCATCTATAATCGGTCATCGGTTTGATCTGTCTGCAATTACATATGCGTGTCGGTCACAGACATAGAGAGGTGCACTGGTGTACACCCCACATTTCCCAGCCCACCACGACTGTGTACAACCCTAACCGATAATATTCCTGGATTCTTATGAATGTCCTCGCAATTGTATTCTATGTTTTGTAGTGTGAAAATAGTAATAGTCGCCTGCAGGAGTGAGTCTGAATACTAGATAAAGATAGAAGACAAGATGCGCGAGCTCGCCCCAGGGCCACTTCTACCCGAGCAGTGGTTCCAGTCGGGTAGAAGTGTCCCTCCGTCACGTCTTGACCTTGAGCATCAAGGCACTTCCACTTCTTTCTATACGACCATATCGAATGGTAGTACTAGTAGAAGGAGCGCAGCGCGGACGAAATCTTTCCGGAGACGAGGACTACCATTTTTTACGTCATCAAGTGCGTCATCTACCTCATCAAGTGCGTCACCTCCGACGACATCTACGAAATCATCATCAAAAAGTACATCCTTCGTACCCATCGACGGATTTATGCCCATCATCGTTGACCTTTTCGCCGCTGTCGGTCGAGCTGCTTTCCAGGGTAAAAAAACTCTAGAGATTTTTTTTCAAAATCCGACCAAAGCCATCGCTTCTGGCTCAAATCTCTTTCCCACAGACGCAATCACGAAGACGAGTGTGAAGCAAGCGGCTCAGAAAGTCTTAACCCCAGAAAACATCGCGAAAGTGATTCCGGCAGTCCAAAACCCGCGTCATTGGATCGCACACCATAACCACGACCTAGATCAAGGCATGAAGTTCATGGTGCAGTCGAATATGAAAGGAAAAAGTGCACTCACAGTCACACTCAAGAAATTGGCTAGGATTCAACTATAAGGCTAGAAGAAATCCATCTTCACAGGCATCCTGAGACCGTTTTCAAGGGGGGAAATCCATCTCTTAGATGTTCTAATTGGATTCAAGTTCTAGTTCACAAGTAGCGAGGGAATAATTTCTTGAGTGTGACCACGAGTGCCCTTTTTCTTTTCATATCGAAGTCAGGGACGATACTGTGGACGGACTTGTTCAATACTTACCGATTTGGCTGTTTTTCGGACAATTTCCATCAGAAGTGGTGGTGGCATCATCCGCAATTACGACTAGGCATGCCATTATTTGAGACAAAAGTGACGCTGCAGAACGACTTGACGGGAGAAGTGAAGTGGGATGCAGTGTACAATTTGGCGGGGAAGAGTTTTCTCAGGTAGTTGTACCAATCGTTGGTAGCGCTTTTGGTTTTGTTTATATCCTCTCTTACTAGGCATCTTGCCGAATAGATTCAAATCATCATATCCTCTCTTACTAATTGGGGAGGAGCACGTAAAATCGTGAAGGCTCCTGTTGGTATCTAATCCATCGTGAATGCAAAGTTAGTCGCGTCATTCTTTGATTTGCTTAGCCTAAAATCTTATTACAAATCTCTCAAACAGACACGACGCCGAACCCATTGGAGGCAAGCATCCGTTTTTTCTTCCAGATTGGTGCCCTGGACCAGCGGGTGATAACACAACGGCCCAAACCTGGACCTTAACTGTACGAAATTTAGGAGTGAAGCCTTTTCCGGAAGTGGATGTCGTTGGAAAAATGAGATTTATCCAGTACCCTTTCCCCTTGCTGGAGGCGAATTACGTGCATGAGGCGGATATCGACAAAGATGAGTTGAGGACCAGGAGCTTTGGGTTAATGTTCTAGAAAACTTAATGTTCATCTAGAATGAATGTTCTTGTGAGCTCCTAGTTGTCCTATGAGAAGCGCAGCAATCTTTACTGTGTTCATGGTCCTCGTTTCCTGCAATTTTTAGAGCAATTACCTGGATGGAGGTCGTGTGCGGGAAAAGAGTGACGTCACGAGCTCTACTCAACATGTACATGAATCTGTGAGATTATTCATTTTCGTGATTGAAAACGCAAAGACGAACGCCAACATTCAGAGGGTGTAACTCAACACTTCCACGCTTTGACGCTTTTTCAATGCTGCAAACTACAGGAACTTTCAAAGGTCACCTTTGACTTCCCATCTTCCCTCTTCTTCGTCCCTTTGCCTTTTCTAAACTCTGAAATCGAAAAACGGAATGCCAATTGGAAGGATCACGAACGTAATGCCTCAAACAGAGGCTAAGATTCCAATACTTTCTGGATAATGATCCTATATTTTTGTGTATAAAAAAAAGGTCAACAAATTATCTGCACATTGCCCAAATGTAACTTCTAAGGACAAAAACGCAAAAGCAAAACGTTGTACGCATGAATGATATTTTTCGCAGGATGTTGTGCAAAAAATTGTAGTTCTTGTTTCTGTACTTCAGCATGCTTTAGATCATGCCACTGAGGGAAACGTCTTGTTCTAGGTTCTTGTAGAGTGCAGCTCTAGATGAACCACTACCACTCATTTGCGCAACAACCCTTGACTGAAAGTTGATTTGCCAAGAACTGAATCAAACAAAATGTTGCATCGGAGAGAGCGAACGCAGTCTCCACGCGGTGGGGACCGGCATGTGAGGATGGCACCTAGTGCTATAATATCACCTTCCGAAGCAGATGTGGAAGAGATCACACGGCTGAACATCACAGACAGTAAAGACAGCCCTAGTGTGTCCACGCTGGGGTCGCCAGCCAATGGTTATGATGGTAGTTCGCAGAGTGGAGTTCCCCTTGGTGGACAAGGAGAAGATACAACAATGGCAATGGCTGGTGGTGCAACAACATGGACCCACAGCACAACGGGCACACACGACGAGCCTGAAGCGCAACAACAGCATCTTCTTGGAACATCAAATCCACAAAGGGAACCGAATGTGGTGGGTGCTCTCTCCAGCACGCCAGGCTACAAGCGGCAGCGCCTGACGCGCATGCAGAGGAAGACGGCGTTGGGGATCAATGTGAGCATAAACATAGAACACGGAGTCCCTTTGAGCGGAAAGATCGTCATCATACAGGAAATCGATCAATACCGAGGTTTGACATGGATAGCATGGGTGCTGCATTTGCTGTCGTCGACGGCAATCTTCCTAGCGAGTTATATGTGGTACAACTCTCTCTACTTCAGTAGGTTCTGAACCGATGGGTAAGTACAACTCTAGTACTTTAGGTTCTGAACCGATGGGTACAACTCTGGAGTCTTCTTCTACTATGACATCAACTTCAACGTCAACACTATGTAAAAATGCTTCTTGAAGATAACAGTGTGCAGGATCATTCACAACCTAACCTAACCTAACCTAACCAACAATCGACCCTCTGCACAAACATGATCCAGCTTCGGTCCTCTCACTGCCTTTCTCTAACCTAACCAACAACAAGCGACCCGGTGCACAAACATAATCCAGGTTCGGTCCTCTCACTGCCTTTCTCATCACTGCTGTGGTGCTTTACCACCTTTTCGCGCGTAGACAGTGGTTCGTTTGGATCAGCTGCTATGCTGAGATTTCAGTTATCTGGATCACGATAATGGGCCTCCTGCACGCAACCGGCTACTGCGACGAGCGACCGTTCCTGTGGAGTGCCGCTTCGAAATCCGTAGGGATCCTCTGGCTCTCAACAGTTGGCTACCTAAACGCGCATCGCCATTTCTACACTTTCTATCACCAAGAGTACCGAAAAATTCGCACCACAATGCGAGTTCTGAAAGAGCACATGCGGAGATCGTCGGTCCTGACGGACGAAGAAAGTAGTGGGACAGAGGATGCTGGTAGAACCTCAAGTGCAAGTAGTATTAGATCATCTGCAAGCTCGCTGAGGCCTCAAGGAACTTCTAGAATCACACAAGCAAGAAAGCTGGATCGAGCTTTGAGTGGAGAAAGCCTGAATACATCTTCTGTTGCACATGGTGCTGCAAAGCCAGTACGAGATGAAGAACAGCTCGCAGCAGTCGATGCTCCAGGCAACAACAGGAGTAGTCTCGCTTCTACCATCTCTTCTACTAGTACAAGGTCAACAAGCCTACTAGCGATGCAAGGGGCGCTGGAGCCGAGTTCTTTCGATACAAGGAGCACTACATCTAGTATGGGTTGTTCTTCAAATGGGTCCAAAAACTCTTTTGTAGTCGAAGGTGGTATCATTCAGTCCGTTCTTCGAATGGGAGGAAAAGTGGAGAACAAGGAGTCAGAAGCTGCGAATCCACAAGAAGTTGACAGCGGTGTGGATGGCACGACTAGTAGTGGCACGGAGTTGAGAAAACGGAAAAAAACTGCAGCTCTTTTTAAGACTGGTGATGAAAGAACTACTGGCATTGGTTCAGCGAAGAGCAGTCCTCCTGCACTCCCTGGCACCACAACTAGCAGTCCAATAGGAGATAGTTGTAGAGGCGAAATAATTTCTGCAGGACAACAAGAAGACGACGTCCGGGACAGTCGTGCCTCTAGGCCCAGCACTTCTAGCGCCAATAAGGGGAGTGGCGCTTCTCAACAATTCAGAGAGATGGAAGCTTCCATCCAACAACTCTCGCAGCGCGCTCAGGAGCAAAGGGAAATCTTTGAAAAGCAAGCGAGAGATTTGATAAGCAGTGTACGGAGGTGTGCGCAATTCTTTGAGAAGAATTTGCGGTCGGTTTTTTGTTATGGAGAGACGCAACTTACTGTAGATTTAGATTTAGTTACTAGATTTACGGTCGGTTTTTTGTTATGGAGAGACGGGTTACTAAATTTATATTTACATTTATCTTGATGATCTTTTTGTCATCACTCATCTTGACTATGATTTCAATTTTTTACGAGTTCCTTATTCTGTGAAAATCAACAATAGACAACAACTTACTATATATTCCGGCATCTATCTAATACTCGTACCCCTACCTGACCGATTTGCTGGGGCAAGTAAGCTTCCCGCGACCTCAAGAGCCCGTGGTGTTTAAATTCGAAGGCGAGGATTTGCATGAAATGTCAAGGATGAAGAGGAAGTTGCGCCACCTAGACGACCGCATTTACGTCGGCGGATACTACGCAGAATACATCCTCTCAGCTTTGGTCCCGAGTCGTGTCTACAACAGCAAGCCTCTGAGACGTTATTTGGTCGTGATCATGGATTTAATCCTTCCCGCTTGTTTCCTGATGGCAGCTTGTCGACACTTCTACGTCTTTATCATGCACCGTGTGAAATTTTTCGGCAGATTGGAGACGGATCCAGTATTAAGGCTCAATATATTTCATTTCTACTACAAGTCATTTCTCCCTATGATTTCCTTCTACTTAGGATCATTGGGAGAAATGTACTAGGCAAGAAATGAATTGTTTTGAGCTCGAACAGTAGTGATTTTGATCAGGGAGATCGACACAGCGTTGAATCCTTATTTCTTCCTGGAGGGGTACATACCAGTCTGGCTGACGGATCTGAACCACTTGCTTTTCTCTCGCCTCCTCGAAGTGTGCAACTGGATCCTGCACATGATTTGGCTGTTTGTGATACCCATGGACGAATTTTTGACGTACCTGAGAGCCAGATGGAACAGCATGCGAAGCTTCTTGCTTCCGTTCAAGACATTGCTGTTCGATCCGCTGTTGCAGCTGGTCTACGTTTTGCATGACCTGTCGATGCAGTTTTTGCCCAGTCAGGGGTCCTTTCCGGAAGTAGCTACCGTGGTTTCCTACATCTTCGAGATCATGCAGACTAAACTCTTCTGGGGCGTGCCGGTGTCAGGCAGGTCTTTGGGCTGGTGGCGGTGGGTCTCCGACAGCTTCCTAATAGTCTACGAATACAGCGGCTTGCAGATGGTCGTCGACCGCTTTATCGTGCCACTGTTTGTCAAGAAAAAAGACCCAGAGGAAGAGGAAGAGGAGAATAGAAGAAAACAAAAATCCGTGGAAGCAGATATGAGGTCAATGGATGCTGGTTTGGAACAACAGAGAGTTCAAGAAGTAGAGCGCCTGCATGAAGAAGAAACTGAGGATTCCGCAGACACAAGCACAGATATGACCCACTTTAGGAACAGCAGAGACGATATACTAGCAGCTGCTGACCACCACGAGGAGCACTTATTGTCTTCTTCAAGTGGTAAGGGTAACAACGTACAACACCTTCCATCCCCAACATCTGGCGCTGCACCCGGTCCTGCCTCAGCAGGGTTATACAACGGTGAATCTGGAGATTGGGGAAAGGAAAGTGGCGTTGGGGAGGATACACATCTTCTGGTCGAAGCTGCTCAAGAGACGACCTACAAGAATGATAAAAAGATGAATCAACACGAGGACCATATTATAATACGAGGACCCCCACCAGATAGACCCTCAGTCTCGTCGACCTCTACATTTGGACAAAGTCCACCCGGAATATGCGCAGTATTCGACATCGAAGCAGACTCGTCAAGTAGTGACCCATCGCCGACGGGGGAGAAAGGAAGGAGGAAACAAGAACAAGAGAAAGTAGCGGATGAAGACGGGCAGGGACTTCTTAGTACAACTGCTCCAGAAGGAGGTCATGATCTTGGAGGAGGTGGAGATCAACAAACTGTTGTGCTTGCAGGAGCTGGAGCGGCAAACTCGGCAAGCTTTAGTAGTCGTGGAACGGCAAACTCTGCAAGCTTTAGTAGTCGATCGTCCTCCAGTTCTGCGTCGTCTGCGGCCGTCCATGATCATTTTGGAACTCATGGCGGCGATCGCATGGGGAAGCATCAATCTACCAGGCCTTTTGGGTTGCATCCAGTGTCGTCGTCATCATCATTGTCTTCAACCAGTAGCGCGTCAGAGCAACCTGTTAGAGGAGATCCTACAGATGCAAACGAAGGAGATCCAGATAGGAGCCATCATCACGGGCTCTCGCATACTAGCAGTCTCTCTAGTAACTACAGCGGACGAGGTGTAGGTGCTGGCGTAAGTTTGACGAGTAGCAATGGGGGAAGCATGACCATGAATGGCAACTGCGGTACAACTAGTAGAGGATCTGATGCAGCACGTGCGATGCGTTCTTCACGCTGTGTCATGAGCACTGTGATTGGAAGTATCCACATTGCCCCCAGCAGCACCCTTACTATCTCGACCTCGACTCCCCCACAACCTCAAGCACCTTCACAAGCTCATCCGCCAGTTGTCTCGACCTCGACTCCTCCACAACCTCAAGCACCTTCACAAGCTCATCCGCCGGTTGTCGTACCACCGCTAAAGCTAGACACTCTGAATCAGAAGAAGAACATTCCTTTGCTCAGCAAAGAGGAGGAGAGCTTAAATGCTGATCTAGTACACGACGATAATCAAGGAGGTGGCGAAGCTGAGGAAGAAGACTTAAACCATGGGATGCGCTTAGGCGGTGGATTTGTGCCGACACCACTATCAACACCGGCTTCAGTAGAGAGGTCCGGCGAAAATACAGCAGCTGTGGGTGATGTGGGATCATCGTCTAGTAGTAGTAATCATGGTAATCCAGTTACTAGTATTACAGTAGACCAAAGCACAACTTCTACACCGACTAGAGGAGGACCACTTGTTGGGTCTGCACCAGCATCGACGAATGAAGATGATATCGGTAGCAGTGCCGCAGCGAACAACGTCGAGCTTCAACCTGAGTCAATAATACCTGAGGAGGAAATCGAAGTAGCAGCAGTAGCAGCAGGCGCAGCCGACCCTACTTCTGACACAGGCCAGCAGGGGACACGACATCGACCTTCGCCACAGAAAAACAAAAACAAAAGGAAGAAGAAATGATAGCGTTGACGAAGAAATTTCAACGATCTGAACAACGATATCTTTCTTTACTACATAGATACTACAGGAGCTCGTGCCTGTCTAGTACGTATTTAGACTAAACTTTTTCATCCTATTCCTTGGACTCTTAGTTGTATAACTATGTTACTTGTCCTTGACTCACCTGTTTGCTTTTGTACTACCATATCCATACCTTGTATTAATTTTCCCGTTGGACTATCACCCTCCTCTGTGTGAGCCAAGGTGTTGACACTTCGCACAAACACAAACTACATACATTTGACGACGTTTTCATTTACCTTGTTTGGTAGTGCGACTTTTTGTTGTGCTACCTATTGAAATTTGAAAAAATATACACGGTCCCCATTTCATCTCATCGTGCTCCTTTTTGAAGATTTATGACGCGCAAAGGATGCGGATGCGCGTGGTCGCCGAGACCAACACTGGAGAGAGAGAAAGAAAGAGGAATGCCGAGAGCACTAAAGTGCGAGGAAAATGAGGAAAGCCACGAATGTGGATCTTCACGTGAATAATAAAGACTCCTGCCAACAGATTCTCAGCACTGCCTCATAGTCAGAAATCTAAAGAAAAATAGAATCGTCCACAGCGAATGGCCTACAACACCACAACACCACCACCAGTTGATCGAGGACCACCATGTCGATCACCGAGCACGCCTCCACATGGGAGGCCCACAAGGAACGCGGAAACGATCACTTCCGGAAAAAGGAGTACAAGGAAGGAATCGAAGCCTTCTCGAGAGCCATCGATTTGAACAAGAACAATGCTGTCTTGTATTCCAACAGGGCAGCATGTCATCAAGCCTTGGACGACTTCTCGAAGGCGTTGCAGGATAGCAAGAAATTATGTCTCGTCTTGGGCCTTTCTTATGTTTCAGAGATGATTATATTTATAAGTAGTCATAAAGTAACATAGTAAGAAAGTAAGATAATTGCGAATGAATGAATAATTATAAGTCATGTCGGTGGGTAGGATGAAGTAAACAGGAACGTCCTCAAGCATCTACTCGAAAACTTAGAATAAGCGAGTTGCTGACTGAATAAAGCGTTCCTCATATTCTAATTAGAGGTAGGTTTTTGGTGCGCGCTTACCCCGCTTTTTATGCCTTTCTCCCTTAGGAGAGGCATAAAAAGCGGTAAGAAAAGCACCTTCAACCTACTCTTAATACTTGTTCCATCTCGTCTATAATAGCTCCTGTAGAAGTAGTTGAAAAAGTGAGAAGTGGAGGAGGAAGATTTCCTTCCCCCACAACTACAACACGTTTTCCTTCAACCTCCACGACATCTGGTGCAAACGACTTGAATAAAGCGTTCCCCATATTCTAATCCCAGGGACCATCCTCGACACCTCCTGGTGGAAAGCGTTCCTCATATTCTAATCCCAGCCACCATCCTCGACACCTCCTGGTGGAAAGCCTGGAGCAGGCGCGGCGGTGCCGAACACGCGCTGAAGAAATACGGGGATGCGAAAGCAAGTTACGAGACAGCACTGAAATGTCTCAACGACAAGGCAACCAGCGAAGAGGGGCTTCGTGATTTGAAGATGAGTAGTAATGACGTAGTAGCGAAGAGGAAGGAGTTGGAAGGGGAAAGGAAAAAGTGCGAAGATGCGATATTGAAGGTAACTAGTTTATTCTAAACGCTTTATCATGTTCTTGGAGAGAGAAATCCTCTTAGAGGATCGAAGCGGCATTGGAACTTCCTTTTCTATGAAATCATCAACAAATCATCAACTTCATTAACATATTATACAGCCTTCACCGCTGCTCCATGCTCCCCTCTTCTACTGCTTTACTCCCAGGGAAGCATGGCTGGCGGCGGCGTCGCTTTTACCGACCTCCAAAAAGAACTACGGGCATCTTTGGAACGTCTGTCTTTAGACCAGCTTCGCGACGAGGCGAGAAACGCTGGCTTAGTCGACGTGAGTAATCAAGATTCCGCAGATGAGCTCATCCGATTGATACTAGCTGCTGACGCAAAAGCAGCGATGGAAGAGAAAAGGAGGAAACAGTGGGAAAAATACTGCCCATGCTGTCCGAAGGCGACGAGGGCGGATAAGGTGCTAAAACTTGGGGAAGATGTAGTTAGAACTTCAAGAATTTTCTGGTCGTGTGGACGAAGAACAACGCTTCTAACTACATCTTCCACAGCTTGAGAGATGTAATCAAAAACGTTAGCAGAACAATCCCCAACTCCAGTATTCAACAAATAATGGTATTCGGTAGGTTGGCTCTCCATCGGAGGTACTTTCCAACTGGTTGGCCTCACAAGTAGAGACTAATAGCTAAAAGTTGTGGAAGATGTAGCTAGAAGCGTTGTTCTTCGGTTCTTGTTCGTCCGCACGACCAGAAAATTCTTGAAGACCCTTTTTTACCTTACTAGTATCATCAACATTCAAATCTTCTTCAATCTCTTCTTCTACAATATCTTCACCACCTAGGTCGCCCCCGCTCAAGAGACTCAGGGTGACATGTACCTCCAGCAGCGAAGAAAAAAGATGGACAGATTACTGGCCAAAGACGTCAAGGAGCTGAAGAGAGTGTGCAAGAAAAAGGGCATCGAGTACGAGAAATGGTGGGACCATTAAGGCTTTTATTTTTTACCCTGCTAATGTTGATCCAACATATTCAGAGAAGTCATCCTAGGCGAGCTGGTTTGGGTTTCCAGGAGAAAGTATCCTATCTCTGCTTCTCTAGGATCATGTACTACTACCATCTCCATCTCCAGATAGATAATTAGCTTAGGGTGAGCAGCCGCGCTAAGACCAAAACGCATTGGCGGATGCGATTTTAACATTAGAGGAAAGGCAAGCGGCAGATCCGGACTACATTCTCCAGAGAAATCTAAAGATCCTTGGAGCAATATGCTTGGTAATCGCTGTCGTAGCGATTGTATTGATACTGCTTGCGGCGTGATAGAGCCAGTCGTACTAGACACGCTAACTACAAAAGAAAAGTGCCCCTAATGCACATTTATTACATGATTGATTGTTGTTCTTATCGTTTCGAAGTATATTTCCACCCATGCGCATCCCGCCATTTTGAAGTGGCTGTACAGTACCGTCGAAAAAGAGTGCTTAGTCTAATGATCGCGGTTGCGTAGCTGCTCGGCGTTTCTCGGGGAACGCTTTTGCCTACATGTCTGCTCACTGTGTTCGCCAAGATTTTTCCTTCAGAAATAACAGAGTTGCAACAGAACGCTGGAGTGGCTGTTAGTTTTTTCATGAACAAGAAAAAGGCTAGAAGGTACAGGACGTGGCTGTCTCTAGCAGTGAGAGACTTCCTTTCTCTCTTCTGCGAGTGCGAAATGCTTGTAGAACATGGAAAACGATGAAAGAAAATATCGTGCGGTCATTGCTTAGATTTTATCTTCCTTGGCACTCTGACGTTCGTAAGTGCCTCTTAATCGCACTGAGCTACAGACACAGGAACACATTCTGTGGCCCAAATATACACAGTACAAGTCTTGAAGGAATGAGCAACTACTTACATGAAGATACATGGGCTACTATTAAGACTCAACTTTCATTGGTCATTGAGGTTGGTCACTGAGATCGAAGAGGGGACCTCCTTAGAGAGCGGGAAAATGAAGGGAAAACAAGGGGAGAGGCGCAGGGCCCTTCTCTTTCCGAATCAGTCACCAATGAGTTTCGCCGTTTGATACTCACTACTACTAGCTAATACTTATACTCCTGTCGTGAAACTAAGAGTAATGTGCTAGATCTAGAATGACATTATCAACAAGATTTTTGCTAATTTTTTGACAATCAAAAAAGAAAAATGGACGATATCGACCGATATTTGGAGGCCATCGATAATGCTAGTGGCCCACGAAAGCCCCCAGCAAATGCAGAGGATGTGGTCAGGTATTTTCATTTTGTCGGCTTTTTGAAAGAACACGAAGTACAGCGCGAACAAGGTCTAGTGCAACACACTACAGTGCCACAGGCCTCAACGATTAGCAGCAAGGACGCCGCAAAGGGGCACAAAACCGGGACAAAGACCGGGCCCCGTAGCTGGAGACGCCACCCAGTCAAGGAAGCTGCACCAGGGAGAGCAAATGGGTGGGCATCAGTCGGAGGCAGCTTGGCGGCGCCGGCTTCGGCGTCATCTGTAGCACCCACATCGCTGAGTCTGGCGTGGTCCATGATATTACCGGTCGGCAGGTCTCTCGGCCCACGACCATGCGGGCCCGCCGCTCCAAAATGTCCGGAGCTTGCTGCGTGACAGGTGGCACCGGGAGCCAGTGCCGCGCGCGCGTTCTGTTGCCGTTGGCTGGGCGGTCCCTGACGCATGGGCCCTGCCCTGCGCACGCCATGGGCCACTGGAACTCGACACCCCCGGCCTCCCAATGGAGGAGAGGGGGAAGGCCCAGAACGGAGAAAGCCACGGACCTTGCGCGTGGCGGCATGGTTTTGGGGCTGTGGGACTGTGCTCCCACTGAGTGCGACTCGAAACTGGTGCCGCCCTTATGCCGCGGCTCACCTGGAAAGCTCTGCAGTACAGCAGTCGGAAGGCCCGAGAAGCTGAGACGCCACCCCGAGCAGCGGGGGCGCAGGGCCGAGCCCTTTCCCCGGGCACGCAGAAAGTAAGGACGACCAGCAAGGCCCTGGCGCCTTGCGTAGGTGAGGCAGCCCCTAGCCTTTCCCGATCTGGTCGACAGCCCCAAGGGGGCCGTCCGAGGCTGAGCACCTGCGGCAAGTCAATGCGTGCAGAAGTCCAGGCATTTGCGGACGGCGTCGGCGGGTGTCCTGCTGCTTTCTTCAATTTTATTTGGCTAGGGTGCGCGGGTTTCTTGAGGGCTGAACAAGGAGAAACGCGCTAGGCGGCGGGGCTTGTGTGTCTTTGGTGAAGGTGTTGCAACATGGCGCAGACATCGGCCGGCCGCTGCAAGAAACAAAACGAAGCAAGAACGTGCGGGCTGCTTTCAGGGTCTCCACGTAGGACGGCGCCACGCGTCAGCCAATGGCGCAAGGGGTGCGCCCATGGCAGTAAGCTCTCTCCTAGGCCTTGGCTCTACGGTCGGGCGAATCGTTGCGGTGTCTGCGTTGCAGCGCAAGGTAGGCTGGCAGGGCTGCTGTCTCTCTGTGGTGCACAAGGGTGGCAGCGTGTAGGCCTGGCCCCGATGACTGACGGCCCTCCATGAGAGGGGTAAGGCTTCTGGGGTTGCCCTTGGTCTTCTCGTTGTGGCTTTCGTCGTTCATAACTATCCGCGGCGGAGTCGCGTAACTGGGTGAAAAAGTATCCACGCAAGCAAGAGAGAACCTCGGGCCTGCCCTTTTTGTGTTCGCTGGCGAGGTGGTTTGGGGCCTGGGCTGCGTTTGCTTCTGTGTCTGATGGGTCAGGAGGTCTCTGCAAGCGGTTTCATCGCTTGGGGTGTCGTGGTGGTTCGGGTGCTGCGCTCCATTTGATGCATTATCTCCAAGGCTTTTATGCTTCTTTCTCGTTTCTCATTCGTCTTTAGCGAACAGTGAACAAGAGGAGCAGAAGTTCCATGCGATGCTTGCGCGGAGTGCTGTAATGCTATGAGTACTTATTCTACGCTTACCACCTCCTTTCCACAACACAGGGACGACGATGATCCTCCAGCGGGATCGTACCCAGTTCGGGAGATTCACCTGTACGCACGTGGAGGCAAAACAACGCGGACTACTTACACGTATCAGCAGCCTCCGACCCATAGTAGCCGGGCTGGATGTGGTGGGGGAAGTTACGTAGTGGACCGTTGTGATATAAAAATAAGTTTAACTTGTTGTAGCTGAGCGTGGTACCGTTCGGACGACAAGAAATTGAAATTGCTCAGATGAAGCCTCGCGCTCGCTCCCCTGCCTTCTTCTAACTCATTGCTTATTCAGCGGGTGGCAGAGGTGGCGGATACCGCGAACCTTCTGACAACTACTATAGCTACAATGGGCCACCACTTCCACCTTCAGGGGGACCGAGCAGTAGAAGCAGAGGCCCTGATATTAAGGATTTCTACATAATATCTTCCACCTCCAGGAGCAACATCTTTGACCTTTTTTCAATTTCACAAGTGGGCAACAGGTCAAGGATGCTCTACTCAGGAATATAAGTATATAGCGCTGCGCCTTCTAATAATGGGTATGATCACATGACAGACTCGTCTGACCGAGATCGCTATGGAGCAGGACCAAGCTCAGAGAGGGGCCGTCACTTCTATCCTTCACGGCACTACGACGATGACGATTACTATTACAGCAGAGCCGACTCGTCAGCTGGAGGATATCAATATCGTGATGGAGGTGCTAGTACTAGAGGCAGCTATCCTCCTCGAGATTACAATTACCCACCAAGATCATACGGCAGTGATCGTGGCCCGCCTCCACCAGGTAGAGGAGGAGGAGAAAAAGGAGGCTATTTTTACGGTAAAGGTGATCTTCGTGATCGTGGTTCTTCCAGTGCTGGCACTAAGGGTGCAACTTCCTATCATCAGTCCTCGTATGGTCGTAGTTACGCTGAATCTGGGGGAAAGGGCGAGCAGCACATTCTTATGAAGATTTATAGTTTCATTTTTGCTTGTATAATTATGCTTGTGTCGCACTAGATGTGATGTAGAACGCACGACTTCACGCATAAAAATAGTCTTACATCTGGGGAACATCTTTTGTATCCGATTTATATTTATTCGATTTTTGCTTGTCTAAGTCTAAGTAAGCTTCCTTGTGTCACTACTACACTGACTAGGACTTGTGTCGCGCATGACAACATCGAAATCCGACGACTGTGAACGATTCTGAGGTTGATGTCATTCCACGCTAGAAGATAAATTGTTACTACTAGAAGTAGGACATGGCATGTGTATGATCTTCGATCTGACTTTTGCATACAATATATTATAACATGTAGAACAAGATTCTGGTCCAGCATCTCCCTCTTTTTCTAACCTCCACCTCTACGCGGCACCTCCACTCGTGAACGGGACACCGGTGAACCGCCGCATAGAGGACGCGACGCCGCTGAAGGAAGAAGAAAGACTGAACATCTTGCATCATCCCTACAACATCAGCAATATGGTTCAAGTTCTGTCCGACCGCGACCAAGGGGATAGTAGATACATGCAACCGACGACGCAAGAAGCCTTCAACTTCGGACCTGTGAAAAAACCTCCTGGTAGTGTTTTTGCTGTGTAGGTTTATTTGTAGTCTTGGTTTGTTGCTGTCAGCATAGGTTCTGGTTTCATTCGAGACGTGATTTGGTGTTTTCTTGTTTCTCCACGATTGCAGCATAACTTGAGATCATCATTATAGATACAAACATAGATAGAAACATTCATAGAGATTTTTACATTTTCACTAGAATTCTTGAGCTGTTTTTGAGTAGGAATGAATAATCATTATTCGTGACATCAAGTTATGATTTATCCCTATAATTATGTCGTGACCTCTTATGACCATCGGCTATCCCTATCACGGAGGTGGCGCACTAGAATTAAGGCTACCGCTAACGCATCCTCAACACCATCCTCGGCTTCTTTTTCAACGGAAAAAAGGCTCGGGGATGGGCTCAAGGATGCGACGTGGTAGCTCTAATAGAAGATGCAGATCTTGGTCGCGAAGTGGAATTGGCGCTACAGGATGCGATGTTCGACATCAGAGATTCGTGCGACGATCTAGCCGATTTGCCGCCTCCTCCTCAGCCTGCGAGCTTGGTAAACGCCTTGATGGAAGAGCAGCAAGAGAGAAATGCGAAGCTAATGCCTCAAGGTATTGCTCAACCACGACATGCACTCACGCCTATTCTTGGTGGTGGTGTCTCTCTTGACGCACTTATTGTTGGCGGGACGAATGATCTTAATAGTACAGCTGGTTGTACAGTGCTGCTGCCAGGAACAACTACTAGTACTGATGCAACAAGTTGTCTAAGTCTATTAAATTCTAGTACAATGATAGGTGTTGGAGGACTAGGAGGAATTCATGGAGCTGCTCTTGGTCCAGGGGAGCAACCTCAACCTCTCGGAGGAGGCATTGTACGGCCTGTTTCGCTAACTGCTCAAACAGGCGGAGGAATTGGTCAGACAGGAGGAATTGGTCAGACCACAGGTTCCCTTATCCCGGTTTATCCAGGTGTGAATTGTAGTTCTCCCTTAGCACTCAACAAGGATCACATCTTGCCACCTCTCGGTCCTTCTGGCTTGTTGGAAGTTGTACCACAAGCGCCATCTTCAGTACTGAAGCCACTACAATTAAGGGTAGGTAGTTACAGGTGCTTTTGTTACCGTTTGTTATGGCCCTCCTAAAAGGGACAGCCATAACAAACGGAATAAACGAACTACACCAAAAACCTACCTCTAATACAACTACATCCAGGACAAGAAGGTGCTGCAACTGGAGCAGCTGGAGGAGGTGCAGCAGGTTTAGGAGTCCCACAGATAGTACAACTACAACCAGGTGCCGGAGCTGGTGGAGAGCAGGCAGGCGTAGGGGGTGGAGTTCAACAACAGCAGCAGCTTCAGCTTTTACAAGAACCAGATGGTTCATCTTCATTACCAGTTGAGGAGCAATTCCATGGGGAGCAATTCCATGGGGCCCCAAAGACAGAGGAGCAACAACGATCCCTCAATTTGATGCTTCGTGGTTTCCTGAGCCAGTGTGAGGCCAGGCAGAATACGACGATGAGCCAACAAAATGGAGGGGCTCTCTTGTGTTTCTACATAGGGGGACAGAATTTTCTGAAAGTGTTGCAGAAGCGAGATCTGACAGTGCTGTACGACACGTTGCAGAGCCTCTACGACGATAGAATTTTTCCAGGGGAGAAGATTATCAAGGCGAGGTTGCAGCAACAAGGTATAATATCTTCAACTTTCTTGTAAATGTTGAACCTTGAACCTTGGACCTCCAATTAGGAGTTTAGGATGCATCTTCTACGAGATCAAAACTCTACTGCAACGTGTACAGATGTATTTATAGAAAAGAAAGTGTTTCAAGAAGAAGTTGTCCTTGTCCTACCAGTATCTTGATGGGAAAGAAGTTGTCCGTGTCCTCTTCTCAGGTGTTTCAAGAAGTTGTCCGTGTCCTCTTCTCAGGTGGCCGCGAAACTCTCCTCGAGAATTTCCTTTCCTTTTACAATATGCTTCCCGGCTACAAAGTTACCTTCAAGGATCCGAGTACATGTCTCAAAAACGTCAAGCGCGACCCCGATGACCATGAAACAGAGGCAAAATTGACTCTAGAACAAAGAGAAGATGGCGCATACGTTTTGTTTGAGCGTGAACCAGCCGGGTTCAAAGGCTTCGTGGACCCCACGTCTACTTTAAGGCTCGCATGAATGCATCTTTGGCCTCTGCATCCTTTTTTAGAGTAGTACTAGTATGTTAATGTTTATCCCACGTCTACTTTAAGGCTCGTACCAGTGCATTTTTGGCTTCTGCATCCTTTTTTAGAGTAGTATGTTAATGTTTGGCGGGGAGTATTTGATTTCATTTTAGTAAAGTAGTACTTTTAAGTAGTAGTACTACTCAATCAGTAGTAAGGGAGTATTTTCATTTTCTACCCTGCTGCGAAGATACTAGTGACTCTTCAAGAATGCATTCTTCCTGCGTGAAAGAGAAAGATGAACTACTACTACGGAGAGCAGGTCCGTCTTCTAACTATTGAGGACGATTATCCCGAAGATCTGTGGATCCATTTTCGCGAGTATCTAGAATCGCTGCTGACCAGGCCAGCGACGCATGGCCATAGCTACAAGAAGAACAAGTATGGAATCCAAGATGCGGCCTTTCATCGTGGTCGCTATGGGATGGCGCAAGAGTTGCACAGACGGCAGCTGGGCTTCTTACGCGATTACACGATTGGAGAATTGTGTCACTTAAGACTTCACTTGGACACTTCTCATGCCTGTTCGTACTAGACAATTCAAATAGGTCTCCCAAAATGATCTCCCATAATGGGGTAAAGCAACATCTTGGACCTCCATGCGAGGGGGAAACGGGTCCAAGATGACTCTCAGCCTCGGTTCCCGGAAGGTCTAACTCACATAGTGGAGCGCGCAATTCAGAGGAAAATTATTGTTATGGCTTGTGATTGTGATTGTATCTACAGAGTAGTTTATATCACGCATGGTGCATGGAGTAGCATGGAGTGCATGGAGCGCAGAGCTTTAAGGGGCGCAAGAAGCTCCCCCTTTAGCTCCATGCTACTCCATGTGATCCATGCACTCCATGCCGTGCGAGCTGTGAAACCTTATATATTGCTCTGGTATCAGTAGTTGTCGGAAGACACGAATATGCATCAGTAGTCGGCTTGATAGATGGAAGACACGAATATGTATCAGCGAGGACTTCTTCTGCAATGCTTTGTCCTGGGATCGATTTTATTTAGAGGATGAGAATGACGAACTGAAGAATATTCATAGATATGATCAAAATCTTCTCTAACGCTTCCTACGAGAACTCTATGCTCCTACCGGTTTCGGCGTGTAACAGTTTCAAGAACGCTAGGATTGGCGCTCCAAACCTGCAGAGTCGAATGGTCTCTGGCGGAAGACACCATCAACAACATCTGTACAGTAGTGTCGTAGGCGGCCCTTCACAGCAAGGACAAGGTCAAGGAGGCCGCAGTGGAGGTGGATATGGTTATGATTACTGATAATTCATTTTGCATTTGGTAATGTTGTAGTTGTGGAATAGTCTGAGCATTCAGAGTTGGGAAAAATAGTAACAAGTACAACGACAAGGCTTGATGGTCTCGCAACGCGTTGTTTGAGCACGATGAGCGTGTTAATTGTGTCCTACCGCCTCTAACCCTCCTCCGGTGCTCCTCCGCCACCAAGTGCGCCACCCTCCTCGCAAAATCAGTACTATGGTGGCGGGAGCGGTTACGATCGATATTATGGCGCAAGCGGAGCCGGTGGCGGTGGAAGCGGTGGCGCCGGTGGAAACAACTATAGCTTAAGATTCCACGAAGCAATCGTCTATTTTTTTCAGATACGCTGCTGCAGCGTATCTGAAAAAAAAGTAAATGATGATGCAGTGCATCTTCTTGGAACTAGTAGCCCCTAAAAAAGTAAATGACAAAGCAGCTCCAACTCCGTCCTCCTTGGGGCGCTCTGCCCGCCTGTCTCCCTACACTTCGCGTGCAAGAGGCGGAAAGGCACCCTATCCTATCCTATCCTATCCTAGGCACTGTATCCTATCCTACATCTTGATCCCAACATTGATCAACTCCCCTTCTCTCTTCTAAAGGACGCTGCAGTCAACGCACCAGTAGGTCCTGCAGCAAATTCGGATTTCGACCTGGACCCAGAAAGCATCTACAACGTTGCAGATCATGAAGGTTATCGAGATCACTACGACCGACATCGGTTTGAGAGGCATGGAGGTAAGCAAATATTATATATCTTTTGATTTTGTTCATGAGGACAGCAGATCAGGTGGGGGGAGTCCCTAAAACGACCCTCTTGCATACATGCTACAGATTTGTTGCTGTTTTTTCATTCACACCTATTACTTATATAGACGAGCAAAAAATTTGAATCAAATCTCAACCATCAGCTCACGAACGTTGTGGCAGTGAAGACTTTCTTGCGAAGATGGATCCTTCTTGCGGCAACGATACCCCATACGTCCAATCCATGGAGGAGTTAAAACGATACGTAGTTTGCTTATTAGATGCGTGGCCGGATGGTTTCAATTTGTCGGTGGTGAAAATCAAGATTCGGACGATATTTTATGCATCATTTTCTCTAACTTTCTTGTTCTGTTTCTGCTAATTCTCTGAAAACTTCTACAAACTGCTTTCGTCCTACTCTGATCGATCTCCTGCTTTGAGGTAGTTGTAGCCTCTGATCGAGGCTAGTGTAGCCTACTGATTCGAGGTAGTTGTTCGTCCTACTTAAGTAGGTAGAAGTAGCCTCTGATCGATCTCCTGCTGTGAAGATGAAGTTGTAGCCTCTGAAGATCGATCTCCTGCTTTGAAGAGATGATTCTAATGTTCCCAAAAACTGCTTTCCGAAACGGTCTTTCACGAGACGAAATTGCTGGACTTGATGAAGCATCCGACGTTGCAGGAAGTGTGCAAAGTGGTGAAACTGAACAAAGGTTAAGGGTTGAGACATTTCATTTTTACAAGTCTTCTGTACTTGAGATTGCTACTAAAAAATGAAACGCTTCAACCTTTAAAAAGGCTATTGGCTGGAGCCGAAGGGGGCCACGTACAGTGAGTTGCGGGAGATTTTGAAACGAGGTGAGTGTCAGCCGGTTCTCACAGGGTTGGAAAAAGAAGATTTTTTGTTATGATTGAAAGTGAGTAAAAGAATGAAGATATTGAGGATATTATTATCTTCTTATCGCTTCTCAGTTTTATCTCACTGGCTTTTCTGATGTGTTGATATAACTTCGAGTTAACAAGGCGCACAATTATGTGGAGTCAGCGCAGACCTTTTGTCGCGCACAGAACGAAAGAGTGAATGAATGTAGTGGTTGTGCTTGTGGGAGGTACGTTCGTCCCTTCTGCTAGAAGTGCTGGCGTCTTGATCTGAGTAAAAAGCTCTCTTAGGGCGGTCAGTGTGTAAGGAGCGGACCCGTCCTCTTCGAGTAGCCACCTTTATCTTCTAACAGAGCCCGACGACAACAAAGGGAAAATTGAAGCATGCATGGACGACGCGTGCGGGCTGAATAGCTGCTCCACTTCTTCCACTTCAACCTCGTCGCTACAAGACGCAAAATCACACTCGAACACCCTACTGGTAAGGCTACAAGAGATCATGCATCTTCTTCTTCACAGGCAACATCGATCTTGGATGGTCCTCCCGTTTTTTTAAAGGGACGAAAAGGAGACCCAACAAGATGCTGCCGACGATGCACTAGTACTTCTCTTCGTTCTAATACTATCAAACGAAGACGATGCCATACCAGTCGCGCAGCCTACCTTTAAACCAGTACCAGAGCAAGTGGTGGAACCGAGCGCAGGGGGAAGCGTGTATGCGCTATTTTGAGCGTTGCTCCTGGAGGGGGTATGATACGACAGTGAAGCTCAGGCTTGTTTCTTTGATGTTGATACGACTAAGTTGATACCAATCGATTCTTACTTGGTAGGTAAAAAGTCAAATGTGAGGGTGAGCATTTGATTAGAAAGATTAGGACTCCTTCTCGTGCAATCTATCAACATGATGAATGTGAATCCAGTGCGTTGCGCCAGTAAATATTTTTTTCCAGTTTACAATTTATTACAACTAATTATACTTGCTTCTGGTCGTTGTACTTCTAGTACTCAGATTTAACCTTATGAAGTAGAAGATCTACTTAGAAGATGAAGCACTCCGTCAGATAAAGAACTACAAGTAGTACTTAGCACTTGTCCAACCATTTTGGTCTACCAAAGTCACACTAGACGCGTCTTTGCCTGATTCCTTACATACCAGAACAACTACTTGAAGAATGGGGGGAAGGGGAGGCAGAAGATGCTAAAAAAAGCTACCTGTTCCTGAATGACATACCTAAATCAATGCTGTCGTCCGCAAATATTTACTCAACCGAGTTGATGAGTATTGTGTTTTTATGGATGTGATATGGGGTGATGAACTACTAGGTACTTATCTTCAAGGTGCAATTGCTCTCAGTTTCATTCAGCACAAAGTAACATTACTTCAAAGAAATTAGGGTGTTGATAGAAGCAGGTTCTGCTAGGTTAAAAAGATCAAAGATGTTGAGTCAACAACATTGTTACTACGTGCTCCAACAACAAGATCATGACTCCTGTAATCAAACACATATAGTAGGTGTTTACTCCAGTGTGTGATCAAATCGCACGTCTCTCTATCCTCAAAGCGACCGACTGACAACTGTGAATTTTTTTTGAATTCTTTTTTTCAGGACAAGACCGAATCTTAGTGGTGTCACATATATATATTTATAAGTCCTTCCTGTAGTTCCTTTCTGTACAAAGTGATATTTTCAAAGTGATATCTTCAAATTTTCCTGATTCTGTACAAAATCAGTGGTTAGTCAAGTAGTCTGATTAAGTTGTCTTTATAAGATTGTTATAAAAATATATATTCTCAGAAACAGAAGTTCATGAAAAAGAACTTATTATAGGTAGAAATCGAAGATTTGTCGAAAATATATCATCAAAAGACACTCAGATTCATGATGTTATCTACGAACATGTCTATGCTAATAGGGGCTTCAACTAAAAATGTTGTGTGATAAAGTTAAAGACCTCTGGCGACCTTGGTTTATACTGACAAGCAGTATTTGGTTTCGTCAATGTTGAAAAAATAATTCGTCTTTAAAACAACCCCTTGGTTGTTCTCAGCAGATACGAGGCCGAGGGAGTACAACTTCTACGAGTGTAATTGAAGAATCAACATTTAAGTAGATTTAGTACAGAAGTTGCCCAGTGGAAGTAGCATACTTTCGATGGTCGTCGTGATCTTCATCGTGGAGGCTGATCAAATATACAAGGAATGAAAATGATGTAGTTGTTGGCTTTGAGTACCGGTAGTTACCCGATCTCTTCAAATATGAGAGAAGGAAAATCAAAATTCTTTATTGTTCACGAAAATTTTCACCACGATTCTTCATTGTTCAGAAAATGGATTGAAAGTATCACGCTTGATACGTGGTTTTAATGCTCCGAAGAGGTTGGTATTTTCGAGCTTGAAAAGAGGATTGTGTGTGGTTTTAATGCTCCGAAGAGGTTGGTAGAGCTTGAAAAGAGGATCATGTTTCGCGACGTCATTTCCGATGGTGCACGTGTCGCTCGTGTTGCCTTACAATGGCTCGAGAAGCCGGCAAAGGAAGCTCTCAACCTCGCGCGAGAGGGTGGCAAGAGAGTCGACCAAAACCTTGGGAAACATGGGTTCGGACCTGTGGGGGGTAGTGGACCCGCCACTGCGGTTTTACCCGAGAAATTCCCCAGCATGGCGAAGGCGCTGGACAGCGTTCCTGGACTTCTGAATACCGCAATGGTGCAGGGTGTTAAGTATGAAATTGACTTCAAGTAGATCTTTACAGTTGTAAGTTGTTTTTTACGACTAGCTGCTCTCCTCTCTAAAAGAGACTGTTCTTTACGACTAGCTGTTCTTTGCTTTACGACTTGCTTGTCCTCCTCCTCTCTAAAAGAGACGAACAGATATTTAGGTAAATATCAAGACAGACAAGGATCTTTTATATCAAGTTAGACGTTGGAGGTGGTTGCAAGTTAGAGGACCACCAAAGTCCTCGCACTCTTCTAACTTGCAACCAGCAACGAAGTCTTTACCAAAGTTGTCGCACTCTTCTAACTTGCAACCAGCAACGAAGTCTTTGACGTTTTAGATGTCGATATGCGAGTCGTAGGACCGGAGTCGCCGAATTGGGTCAAGGTGTGCATCATCAAGAATCGAGAAGCCTTGAAGGAAATGCAAGCTGCGGTTGCTGCGGGGAAAGGGAAAGGAGCGACAGGAGTATGGCTTAGAGATTAGACTTTTTTTTGAGCAAAAATACTAGATTTACGAGGTCCTCTTCTATTGAGCATCTCCTTTTAAAAAGGAGTGTCTATAATTCTACATCACCACAATCTTCGTCTTTAATTTCGTGTCTCTGGTGGTACCGCGGCGCCGACGACTATGGTGCGGTCTCGAAGCGGCATGCATTTATCCGTCAAAGACGTTCTTCCTAAACAGTTATGAAGAATGAGAATGGATTCTAAAGATGAAGGACCTACTTTGTAGTAAGTACACGACTGCTATATCTGTTCTCTTTGTAGTTCTTGAAGTCACTCAGCTGGAGCTTTGCAAGTGGATTCTACAAGATACTTCTATCGTCTACCCTGATGGTATCTGATATATTTTTGCCGAATAGATTCGCATCGTCATATCGTCCCTACTGGAGTTTAAAAACCCGTCTACAAATACTCCGAGTAAATACTCGCGAACTTGTTTACTCGGAGTAGTTGTAATCAACTACTTTCTTTCCTACGAAGGATCCATGACCTAACCTAACTCCTAGGAAAGAAAGATCGCTTCTCCCTTCATACAAAGACGACGCCTCCAGAGACACAACGAGTAGCACAGCACCATCGCAAGAGAAGGCAGAGGCGCTGGCTGGTGGGGAATTGCTGCAGACCTCAGATCCGGCTTTTCTTAACATTAAGACTTATAAAGAAACTCACCTTAGTCTTACTTTTACTAGCCAGCATCTTAGGCCTCTTTCTCAAGGGAAAATGGCCTCCAGGAATAGTTTAAAAACTTGCGCGAGACTCACCGTGACGAACAATCACGACGCCATTAGGTCAGTCTGCACTGATCTGCGTGCGAGATTTATTGTATTGCGCTACTATTCTAAGGTCAAGATGGCTATGGTGGATGCCGTCTCGCACTACGAGAGTATGTAATCTCCTCCCTACACATACTGTATTGCGTTGTATGCTCCGGAGGCTGGATTTCTCCAGGCTCTAATAACAATCTTGACGCTGATGAAGAAACCAGGAACAAAGCGGAAACGGGTTTCACAAGAAAGCAGGCGAGAAAGTTCGTTCAGATGATTAAGGCTGGATGTTGTTGAAGGTGGTCATTGGTTTTCTTTGGTTTTACTACAGTTTCAGGTTCTTGGCCACATTGGGCTCACTTCTTACTTGTATTCAAAAAGCGGCTTCTCGCGCCGTTATTTCCATTTCTTGTCCTCTACGTGTTCCTGGTAACACTTACATACGCATAGTTCTTGTACGCGAGGGTGCATCTTTTCTAAAACCTTGGCAGAAGCAAAGCGTGTGCGCCTGGGCGATATCATCCTGGAGAAGTACATTGACAATTTGGTTTCTGATAGTAAGCTTCGACGAGTTTTGCAACTGCCGGAGGTTTTGGAAAGAAAATTGTACTACGATATCGTGCGAACGACATTGCAGATTTTTGAGATCGTGATGCTTGGCTTAGACGGTGCGGATGTCGTGGGGCATCAGGTATAAGCTTTTTTGGTAGTGGAATTTCGGAGCAAGCAGGCTTGGGCATTTATAAGACAGGTAGCATCAGCCGCAAAGGGCGGCGTGGAGGTGCGCTGGGAATGATGCGGCCCCGCGCACGAGACGAGGCTGCGCCTCGTGCCCGTGGGGGCATGGTGGCTACTCGTGAGGAGATGGGACCGGGGTAGGTCCCGGCGGGAAGGACGAGAGAAGCCGGGCCCAGCAGGAAGGCGGGCGCGGACCTACTCAAAAGGCGGCGCTGGTGCGCATCGGGGAAGAGGCCAGGCTCGCCGTGGGGGTGGATTGGCCTGAAGAGTTGGCCGCTGCGGCGTTTCGTTTCAACAGTCGCTCCGCGGCATCGGTTGGGGCGTCAGCCTCCACGAGCTGCCACACCTTAGGCCGAAGCGTGACTTACGAAGTGACGGAGGCACACCCAAGCCCGGGCGTGCAGCTGCAAAGAAACGCCCGGGCTGGCTGGTGTGTTTTGGGCAGGCGATCACGCTTGAGAAAATGGCACACAGGCTTCGCCGAGAGCTTTTGCAAGTGTGCACTGTTGTGCCCCAAGGGAGACCCTCCAGACCGATGAGGAGGGACGCGCGGAGAGGCTTCTGGAGGCGATCGCACCACAATGACACAGGGGGCGAGCTGGGCAGTGCAGTCACTTGCTTTGTTTTCCCCGTCCAGAAACTGCACAGCCCGGAGAGGATCTAAGAAGGGCAGAAAACGCGGGAACTTCGCCGACCAGGAAAGAGGGCCCCACCTCAAGCAAGGAAGAATCTGCCAAAGCTTCTCCAAAGGAGCAGCCAACCAGAGGGAGCTGTGGGTGACGCTCTCAGGGGGCCACCGCCTTGCCTTTGCTCGGGCGCGCGGCGGCGCGAGCTGCCGGGCCTTTCCCCAGGCGGGGGGCGCTGCGAAGTGGCAGCGTATCTCCTCCACCAGCGTGAGAGACTGGCCTGAAACATTTTGGGTGTCTCTTTCTTGAGCTGGCCGGAGGTGGGGGCGCTAAGGTAGGAGCTGGTGCTCGTCTTGGTCTGTCAGCGGCGCCGGTGGTGCCAGTTTGTTTCTGCTGGTGCTAGATTTTGGACGCCAAGCGTGACTGCGCCGGCATGAATGTAGGGGAGCCGCGCTGCCGTGGTGTCTGCGGCCCAGAAACCTACCTGAGCACAGGAGCCAGACTAGCGTGACTGCCAACCGAGGGGCGCATCACGCAGCGCGTCGCTCCTGGCTTTCTTATCATTTTACTTCGGCCGCTCGCTCGCTGCCTTGCTCGTTGCAAGCAAGCGCGCTCCGGCTGGGGTGGGTGGAAAGAGTTATCTCACTGGTGGCGCGGCTCAGGGCTGGCTCCAGTCGTTGGCTAGGTTTTGCGTTTGGTATTGTGGCTTGTCTTCTAACATCTCAGCCTGGTGCTTTCGGTGTCTTTGGTGGTGTCTTTATTTTTGGCGCCACCTGCTATGTTCTCTCGCTTGTTGTTCTTTCTTTTGTCTAAAGAAAGGTCCAGCTTCTTGGTAAAAAATGTTGCCTCTTCCCTCAGGTTGCCGTGAAATTCAGACTCCAAGAATATGGGGAAGATGAAAACACTACGAAACTCCTCCAACCTTGGACCAGTGTGAATCAAAGTAGAGTGGAAAAAGTAATCCGACATCATGTCGAACGCACGGAGTCTTATGGCAGTCTCTTCAGTATGATATTCAAATTGTTTGTTATTGTTTCTTACATTCGTAGAGGGAGAGAGACTATTTCCAAGTGAAGAATGCTTGTTGCTCCACTTCCAACATTGCAACTCTGTCTTCTAATGTTAGCTGAAGAAGATCCCTGTGGGACTTCCGGGTAGCGAGTTGGAGACCGATTTCATTGTGAATATTTCCCGAATAGTGATGCACTTAATGACCGACCTTTTTTGCGATTCGAGGATCCATATCCGATTGCTTGGCCACGAACTGAAATGGGTGGCGGAACCCATGCCAAGGGAGGAGCTGGATAAGTTCTTGGCTGAAAGACCGGCAACGCCAAACAAGGAGTCCTTCAATCCAAAGGCGGTCAAGCTTTTTGTTGGTACTACTGTTTTACTAGTTCGATTTCGATCGTTGTGTGTTTGTATACTCTAGTCCTATGTTGACCACGGGATTCTTATATCACAGAAATTGAAACAAGAGAAAGGAGAACTTCCGCAAGCATAGTTTTAAGAAGAAGAACAACATCAAGAGGAAGCATACAGTTGTAATATAACCACCACTCATCTCAGAGGAGCTCCTTTCTTGTGACGATACCAATATCGTCTGGGTTCCGGACAGCGTAGAGGCCAAAGTCTATGAGCACGTCCTCACGACCGTCATGTGCATCATGGAAGAGGTCCTGAGCAGCAGTGAGATTAGTATCATGGGACTGCGATTCCGGTTCTCGCTGATTTCGTTAAGGCTGATTCCGGTCTCGCTCTTACCCCAATCTCTCTTCATGACCATCCTGGAGAGTCTTTTCCTGGAGAGTCTTCTCCTGGAGAGTCTTTTCCTGAAGAGTCTTATCAAGGAGAAACCAGGCTCATCAGGATGAACTTCAAAATGGGAGATTTTTAGGGTGAGCAGGTCTAATTTTCGCCGTATCTTCCTTGAAAGCGGCAGAGATGACGAAGTATGTGGCAGGTGTAGGAGATGTGACTGGCGGATCGGGGAGCTTTGTGACGAATGGGAGTGCGAGTGGAAAAAAAAGTTATGGAGGGGACAACCTAGTATAGGTGTAGGTGAAAGCATCACAACATCATAAGATCATATAAGATATTGATATACTCGATTATGATCGCAAGCTCCAATTCCCAAATGGTAGAAGCAACTATTCCACTGGCCGCACCACTCCACCTGCTTCTTTACTAGGTGGAACGGCAGGAAGCACCGATGGTGATGCTGCGCATTTTGCTTCTGAAGACGTTACCCCTATTTTATGGGTAGGCTAAAGGTGCTTTTGTTACCGTTTGTTATGGCTCTCCTAAGGGGGACAGCCATAACAAGCGGGATAAACGAACACCTCCAAAAACCTACCTCTAACTATTGTTTTTGGCTCAGAACCCTCGATGCGGCAAAGATTGGCCGACTTGTACTTAAGGGTTACCGAGTCGCATCCTTCACTACCATTCTTGACGTATTTTCCAATAGGAAAGAAGTCAATGATGATCTGAAGAATGTAATTGCGCAACCCCTAATGTACAGAGAAGCCAGCGTCTACGAGAAGCTACTCCAAGAACCTGGCGACTCTTTAGTGATGCCCTATAAAGCGACCCCGGAGGACCTCCAAGCAACAGCAGGAGGACCAGAACAATCAGGTTCATCGGGTGGAGGTTTGTCTGCATCTGCAAGTAGTGCCGCTAGTTCTTTAGTACAACAGCCCAGTGCATTTGTGAGGAGGATCAGTGGGGCTAATAGCTTAGCTCCTGACCACTCTAGTACAGCTGCACAGGATCATGTTTCAACTACGTCTTCCGCAACCTCATCTACTGACACCGCAACAAGAGTCCTGCGGCGTACTCCTTCGGTGAGTAGTTTGGCGGACCAAACAAGAAGAGAGTTCCAGAAGTTGGCGGCACAAGATCAATTGTTAAGAATAGATTCAAATCATTTCTTTGTAGATTAACTCCATAGAGGTATACATAATCTTCTAATTATACCATACCTCCTCATCCTCAACACCATACATTAAATATTATCTCCTCATCCTGATCCTCAACACCATACATTAAATATTATCTCCTCATCTTCTAAGCCCCGCCCGCTTCCTCCAGGTGCGACGAATGCTACCCAATTTCCCGATTGAAGTGCCTTTCAGGATGATAAAGGACGTGGAAAGGTACAAAGACTGGATGCCTATGTGCACCGGTGGCGAGATATTGGAGAGAGACCACGGCTTGGTGAAGAAAGTGCAAGTGGCGTTTGGGATCGACACAAAGACTTTTTTGGGGGTACTATTGATAATCCATCTATCTCATAACATCCTGGTAGAACATCCTGTATTCTCCCTTCAAAAGCTGAGTACTCAAATGAAGCCTCTAGGACTCTCCACCTAGTAGATAATTACAGAGTAGTTTATAGCACGCATGGTGTAGGGAGTAGCATGGAGGGCATGGAGCGCAGACCTCTAAGGGACGCAAGAGGCGTCCCCTGCGATCCATGCCATGCGAGCTGGCAAACCTCACGAATTACTAGTGAGGGGCTTTACTAGAATTTACTACAGCACTACGTATGTATCTACTCTTCAATCACAGGAGCTTCGAGATTGTTGCTTTAGCATAACACTGCACAAAGAATTCACAACCTAACAAGATGATCTTGAAACAAGAAGATCTAACCTAACCTAGCACAAGAGAGCAAGGGCGATATCACACGAGCCCACAGCAGATTGTTGTCGAGTACGTAGCACTTCAGAAAGAATTCACAGCATGAATCTTGAAACAAGAAAATGTAACCACCTATAAACTGTAGGTCCTCGGCGACAACGTGACCTACGAAATAAGCGTAGAAGAGCCGCAGCAAGTCAAAGGAGGCGTGTGGGAAGCACGGGTTGTAGCAGACACTGGCGCTATTAAGGCTACCGCTGAAGCATCCTCACCATTATCCTTGGCTCTTTTTCTACTTGAAAAGGAAGCCAAGGTGGATGCTCTCAGGGATGCGACCGCGGTAGCTCTAACACTAAGGGATTCGCATATGGAGAGCGCCTAGTCTACGATTGGGTCTTCATCATGCGGCCAAGCAAGCAGAAGGGATCATCTTCTGGATCTGATGGTGCTGGTGAGTCTTCTTTAGATGGCGGCAGCTACGATACTGAGGTTTCGTTGAATCTTTTTCTTAAAGTGAATTCGGTGTTGTACTTGCCAATCTGGGACTCGTTGCAGAAGGTGTTGACCCAACAAATGCTCCAAGCTTTCGAAAAACATGCTTCGACTATAAGCGGTGGTGGTGGTGAGAGTGGTGGTGGTTCTGGTGCTAAAGCAGACACAAAAGGAGGGGATGGAGCTTCATCAAAGGAGAAGTGAGGAAACAGTTGTTTGACCATGCCATTATTAGGCATTGAATTACACTCCGTACATTAGCTACAAGGCATAGACAGAAAACAGTTCTTTATAGTTTTACCCTTAGGAAATAGTTTTACCCGAAATGGAAATACTTTGACTTACACATCGTTGAAGCACAAGAGGTGGCAGTGGACTCGCCAGCGGTGTTACAGCCTTTTGCTACAAGGCTTTTCGATCAGAATTAGTTTTTCCAAGTCGGTCATTCTGATTCTTCGAGTTACTTTTGATCCTTGAGCGTAAATAAAGATGGAGTTGCTCTTCATGTATTATCGTTAAGGGTTACCACATTGCATTCTTCACATTCATCCTTGACTTTTTTTCCAGTAGGAAAAGGGTCAGGGATGATCTGAAGAATGCAATGCCGCAACCTCTAATATCGGTACTTTTGTCGGTCGCATATCAGATATGAAGAATTCGTCAATGAAGAATAGATCGCTTGAGTAGTTTGGACGACAATCGGTCGGTTGATTACATTCAGACTTTGTCTCTACGGGTGTTAGGAATGACACTAACACGGGCATACACATGACATGGTTTTATGCCCTCCACCCCGCTTTTCCCAGCCTGAATGTCCTCGTCCACTCAGCGGTTGTTTTAAGCCCTTTTCCCAGCCTGAATGTCCTAGTCCACAAATAGGGAGTGACATCACATTGATTTGTCGAGCACCATGTGGATTGAAGATGTATAAATATTGATTCAAAGGAGCAGCTCCTGCATCTAGGTTTTCTGATCTAGGTACCATTGTTGCTAGGCTCTTCAGTAGCCGTTGAAGTCTGCCACATCGGATGGTAGATCCCAACCTAGCCTAACCTAAGATGTAAATTGATTCAAAGGAAGATGGGTCTTCTTTCCGAGCTCGCCCATCTGGGTGACCTCTTTGCGAGACCCTTTTGGTGCAGGTCTTCCTCTGCGAGACCCTTTTGGGACTACACAACTTTTTGGACTACACAACCTCAAAACCAGCAGCAACAGCACAGCCACGAACATGCACATCCAGTCAGCAGTAGGAGTAACTACAGTTGTTCGAGTGCGACGCATTCCAGCACGAGCAGTTCGTTCATAGAAACGTCAGCAGGCGCACCGCCGCCACCTAAAACCGCTCTACGAAAACGAACAAAGCATGAACTTGTTGCCAGTACCAGTTTTGTGATGCGTTTTTATTCGCATATGGACAAAGCAGCGGCAACGTCAACGTACACAGAAGGTGAGTTAGGAGGCGACAACTGGAGTGCGGACAAGGCTTTGACTCTTGGTAGTGGTTATTTTATGGCTCAATTTTCACTGGTCATTGAGGTTGGATTTGAGTCAGGGTCACTGAAATCGAAGAGGGGACCGCTTCTTGAGAGAACCAACAGGGGATATAAACTAAGGGAAAACAAGGGGTTTAGGGTTTAGGGCCTTTTTCCTTCAGAATCAGTGACCAATGAGTGTCGACGTTTAATTATTGGTGTAGTTCCGGAAAACACGCCTTGAGTGACGTAGTGACCTACGCAGGAGAGTTGAAGCATAGGAAGAAAGTGTCGGGCGTCAAAGTCTTTTGGGCCTACGCGCCAGGCAAAGTCAGCATAAGGACAAGCCCCGACGGTACATTTTTTTATATCAATGATCTCCTCAAGTGTAAGAAAGAAAGCGTGGTCCATGATGAACAGAAACTACAAGAACTCTACTTTCCTTTTCTTCAATCATCCTAAGTAAACGAAAAGGAGAAAACTTTCTTTCTCTTCATCCATCGCCAGGTGTCCACTGGTCAACGATTATTCCGTTCCACTCGAGTCCTAGAGCGGAGGTCTCCTACGAGCAAAACCTGCTCTTTGACAAACAGCGGAACGTGAAAATGGTAGCCCTAGACATGACGACTCCAAGGCCTTGGGGATTCTATGGGATAAATCAGATATCACTTTTGAGGTAGTCGCGCTTTTGGAAACAATTGATTCCCATTACTTATTCCTAGAAAGAATGATTTCTCGACGCATGATTCCAGTGCAGAGCAGAGGCGTGAGGACCTAAACATTTGAGACGAACCAGATTATTCCTTTTGTGTACTACAACAATCAAATTTTGTCTGCGCCGCGTCAGCTTCGGGGCGCGTCAGTCTCGTGTAGCGACTTTCACTTGGAGACCTAATAATACTAAGCGGTGTTCCGACCTACGTCGCTATGTGTACTTATATTAACAAGCTGGTGGCCGGCGCCTCCACTGACATGGTATTTTTGAAACGCATCCACGTTATTCAAGGAAGATGCAACTCTTCTGTAAGAAAACTCGGTTTTTGACAGCGATGAAAATGACACGTTGCACAGATGGTGAACATAGATTTTGACGCATGTGTCGGTTTTTTGTATATTTGTGAAACTAACTAATTATACAACTACGAAAAAACGTAAACGGCAGCTGCACCTTGAAACTTGAGGTGGAGGAAGTCGACGCATTTATTTCGGTACTTAGCGTTAGCAGTGTCAAGCAAAAAGTAGTGTCACGACCCTACTGAGATCCCCTCCGCGTTCGGAGACAAAATCTGAAGATGGTAAGTGCAACCTTATTTCGAAGAAGACACCTGAACAACGTTTAGATTTCATGATGTCTTGTCTGTCTGAACCAGGCTGCTGTTCATCAAAATTGACAAGTATCCCCATTCCAATATAACGTACTTAACCCGGAGGATGTTGTACTAGCAACCTGTTTCTATTCACGGTTCTTAGCGACTTCGAATACCACGTGTATCGATCCGAACACGTTGTCTGTTGTATCTCCACTTTTTTCACTCTCTCTGAGTAAGTCCAAATATAAGAAAGGTAACCAACATCATCTTGATTTAATATGATAATTTCAGCTTGTTCGTACTTTTAAAAACCAGCTGTTGTAGAAAAAGAAAGAATTTCCAATGGGCAGAGTAGCCGCAGAGACTGTCACGACGAGCGGCATGGCTGGCTGTCTCGTGGGAGATGGTGGTGCAGGAGCCGCTAGTGAGATCTTCAAGCAGGAGAGGCTGCACGCCGACGCTAGAAGAGATGGAAAAGTTGAGGCACCCACTCCTGACCAAGATAATGAAAAGTTGAAAGTACTACTCGATTCCATCGCAGCGATCCTGCTACGTCAACGGGATAGTAGCAGTACCACGACTGAAGGACGGGACGGACAAGAAACTCCTGGCAGTATTCGAACATCAAAGTGCATAGAAAGAAACACAGTAGAGCATGAAGAGGATTTCGCTGCTGAAGGACATCAAGCAAAAGGGTCCCGAGGAGATGAAGATGACAAGTCTCAGACTTCTGAAGGTATGCTGAAGCTCATCCTAAAGGTCGTGCCAAGGTTGTTGGGGGAAGCACGCAGACTTGGGTCTACAGACTGCTGGGTAACCTTGCCTCATACAGCAGAGGTGACGTCAATCCTAAACAGCGATGCAAAAGCAGTACCGAAAAGGGCGCAATTGTTTACGTAGTTGGCTTGAAAATGAAATTGAAAACGAAAACATCTAGACATCATTGTGATTTCAACTTGATTCGTTAGGGTGCGCTGGCTTCGTCCTCTGATAGTCGGGATACACAAGAAAGTGTGTGAGCCAATAGTTGAAGTCATCCTATTTTCTTTTTGAGTCGTTCTAATTCCTGGCCAGGGAAGGAGAGAGAAGGCCGACGAAGACAAAATCCAGTTTATCAAATGCATTGTCCTTGTTGTTACAGACCTGTGGAATTACGCCTCAATTTGGACGAGGACTTTTGGTGGTTACCACCGAACAACACGAAAAATGATGATGATGTACGGGGTAAAAACTACATCAAGAATGTTGACGACGAGAGGATGGTCGACACGAAGAACAAGATGATAGACGATGAATCTTCAGGTTCTGGCCGCACGCCATCTCTCAAGCGAACAAGAGGAGAGCGCAGTCCAAGTAAGACGATATTTGTTGACGGTTCATCTTCATCTTCAAGCGAGAAGATGGCTGGTGGTCGTCCTGACTCCACTGCCGAGACTGACGTCGATACAACTGTCGTTCCTACTTCAGGACAAGAACCCGTAACGGCTCGTCCAAAAACAGGCATCCTCAAGGTCTCAGAGCAGATCTGGGTGCCTTTGACGGAAGATTTAGCCTTGCAGTACTGGCAGAAGAACGATCCCGCAGGTTACGCCATGTGGGGAGGTGAACGCCCTGACCTGGATGAAGACGAGGCAGCAGAAGTGGTTAAGTCAATGTTGATCTGTGCTTTTTTCACTGGTCGTGTACAACTAGAGTAGTAAGATGATAAGTACTTCTGAAAAAGGAAAGCTTAGCAAGAAGATACTGAAAATAAACCATAGCTCTTTAGTATGCTTTAACAAAAGTGTGGAGGACCACGTCGCGGGTGAGAATACATTAAGTAGTAGTGTCAGTACCTTTGGGTCAGTACCTGCTTTGGTACCCCGTTCCTGGAAGCCACGTGACGTGGTTGGCGAGGAAGATGAGTCGTGGAATTTGCAGTATACGAGTGATGTTACGCGCGAAGAATGGACTGGGTCCTCTGGGAGGGCTGCACAGGCAGAGGCAGAACTACAAGCCTCACTAAGAGCAGAAGAGGAGAGAAATGCTACAGCGTCAAACGGAGTTGTAGCAACAGACGAGATCGTTTCAAAATCTTCTAGTGAAGAAGCTGGTCATGCAGGTGCAGCTGGCGTTGCTACAGTTGCGTCTTGTGGTGCTCATGTTGCAACGAAATCGTCTTCAACCGGTGAAGCTCCGAGGTCTTCTTCCTGCGAACAAGCACAACCTGCCACTACAGATAAGGAAGAAAAGTATTATTACGACTCGAAGAAACTGAAGCATGAATCACATGATGGCTTTGATTCTCTATCTCACCTAGGCCGCGGGTATGAAAATGCATATGGATCTTTCAATCATTTTAAAATAAATATAGGCCCTCTTCTAATGTCCTCATGGTTGGTCTCATTCAGACTGGGCTGAGTGGCGGTCTCAAAGGCGTTCGGTGGAACTCGGTATTTCTATCGAGGAAGCGCGCCTTTTAGTGGCAGAACGTCCGAGCTGGACGGAGAGGCAATGGCGTTCTTACGTTGCTGAGCAAAAGGCCAAGGTGAGTAGAACTGCGGATGTGGACGAAAACGAAGCAAGCAGGAGTACGACTGCGGATGTGACACTGGAGGAAACGGATTTGGGGAAGAAAGAAAATAACGCATTCGTAATTTTTTTGTGGGGAAAGAGTATCGAGTATGTTTTAGGCGCATGCGTTCTGGGCAAGTCTCTGAGAAACAGTAAGACGAAGCACGATCTCCTCTGTTTGCACACGAAGTTATGATGTAGCTAGTGGTGAATATGTGGATGTCGAAGCAACTCATCACTTCTAGGACACAAGGGCAAGGGGAGCAAGAGCGTCTAGGAACAACTTCAAACCCAAACGGAAGCCTAGGCATCCTATCCTATCCTATCCTATCCTCTCCTATCCGAAACGAAAACGTCAGTTCTGTAGTTGCTCTATTCTAATGAACGAGGTTCCAGAGCTGCGCTCGTTGCGGAGATACTGGAGAACACAAAGAATAGAGCACGTGGCAGCTTCGGACAAGGCCCTGTATGGTGGTTGGCAAGAGCAAAGTCGCTTCGCGCACGTTTTCTATGATCATTTTGTCACTGGTGGAAGCTTGTAGTTGTAATCTGATTACTTACATCAATGGTGATGATGTGAACGTGAAGTGAAACAAACATCACTCACAGTTCGGTTCTTTTACGATGATATTGGTTATAGTCCCTGTGATTTCATCCTTTTCATGTAGCTTGCTTTTCACCCCGTTGTAGCTTTTCACCTTGTTCCTCTTTCATGTCTTTACCAAGCTCCATGCGTTGCGACTGTACGACTACGAGAAAGTCTTGGTGCTCGACATCGATATGATCGTGAAGCACAACATCGATCATCTTTTCAATCTGCAGACGCCAGCCGCCATGCGCAGGGGGGCAAACAACAACTCGCGCTATCGTCATGGGGACCCGTTAGACGGACGGGCTTTCTTTTGCCCAGAGAACCCAGACGAAAAACTCGACGACGTGAACAGCCTTTCTTGGTATCAGGGCACGGGGATCAATGCAGGTAAGTATTCGGATTTGTATAATGACATGTAGTGCTGGTCGACAAAAATCCTTTAGAACAAGCATTGTGACTGTGCAGGTACTTTGACACAGTGGTCGAGAAGCTGACCGACCTTACTGGAACTCTCGTGCGTGATGAAGTTGAAATACCACGTGCGAAAGTTGTCTCCTCTTCAATTATGAAACATCTTCACAGGTGTAATGCTATTCCGACCAGACAAATGGCGATACGAAGACGTGTGCACAGTGGTGAAAAGTTGGCGACATCCCGAGCACATCTGCACTACAGCACCCGAACAGGACTTTTTGAGCAGGTAATTGAAATTATACTTGTTGCGTTCCCTTATTCTTTCGCTCCGACAAAGTTGAAGATCTTTTTACTTCGTACTAGATTCACCAGCATGCGGCCGCTTGAGCATCACTCCCAAAATGTCCAGGTACTTCGCCGACGCGCCGTGGTACAACATCTCAGTGCGGTACAACTTTCAGCTGCACCAGGTGTTTCACAACCTGAATCCGTTAAACGACGCTGCCCGCAAGCGATACCTGTCCCCGACGACACGCGAAAAAATTTGCGTCATTCATTACTCGGGTGCCTTGAAACCGTGGCACCACGTGTGCGATCGTGCACATCATGATAAAAGCAGTGATGATTAAGGCTACAAGATATCCATCTTCCCCAGCATCTTGGTCCCAGTTTCAAAGGGAAAATAAGGAGGCCCAAGATGCTGCTGCAGATGGAGACTCCTCTTAGTTCTAAAATGATTTCGCCCAGACGTGCTTGGATGGATTCGATACCTACAAGCTGTGGCATCTAGGGGAGGGCTGGCAAGACGAAGCCGTTCAGAAACAGCAAGGAGTTCGACGCGACGAGGAGTCTGGACAGCTTTTTGACCTAGACACAGGGGAGAAAGTGAACATGGAACTATTTATGAAAGAAGTAGTTGTATTCACTTTGACATGAAGTAGACGAAAGTAGCTCACTCTTTCGCCTTGAGCTTGAATCGGTAACACCAGAGAACATGCTCAGAACATCACATGAAACAAAAATCTATTATCATTATCAAGTTTCTTAAGAGTAGCCAAGAGTGTGAGAATGATAATAGATTTTGGCTTCATACATCACCCCCTTTTCATACCTTTGAACGCTGCGTGTCTCGAAGCCATTAGCCTGATTGAAGACGCGCATCAATACTGGCTCTCGGTGTGGCGCCAGATGTACACCGAAGATTTCAGCCCTTTGGAAAGAAAAGTCTTTCGCGTTTTGCATCGAGAAAAGGTCCCGTGGTTATGATGTTGTGACTGTGAAGCAGCAGCTTCTTGCACTTATCACCAGTACTAGAAAAAGGCATTTGGATTTGACCTTGATTGAAGATACTCCTTTGTCCTGCTCTAATCTGCGCCCCGTGGGAGGAGGAACATCGCCGACTGCAGATTGAAGAGGCAAATCGAAAAGGCGAATCGAAACTGGACTTTATTTCACAAGCGGAGAAGATTAAGTATGTTGAAACATAATTTTGATATTTATAGATGATGTGTTTGAACGGCGCTAAACAAAAGTTTAGAGTGGGGTTCGCAGATGAACACCTTCAACTCATGTTTTAAGAAGAGCACGAAGCTCAAAAAATAGATATTCTGCGCGATTGGCGCATGATCAGACCTTCTCGCACGCAGCTACATACAGAGTGGGTGCTGCTCTAGGATTTCATGTGCTCTAAGCATGACGCAAGTAGATCTTGGCTCTCATGTACTATTAGTATTTTTCTTATAAATATCTTTTATTTTTTCCGTTCGCTTTCCAGCAGTAGCGCTACTAACTTATATCTTGAGTTCCGATCTTCTGCTTATATCATCCATCCTTGATGAATAACGCCTGCATGTCCGTTGATTGTCAGAGTCGATCCTTTAGAATATTAAAATTATGGAACACCTATGCTGAAGTACTTCTGCCCCGCGACCCCGCGGGCTCCAGTCATGGATCATTCCCCATCAATCTTCTTACCCAGCAGGATGAATATTTCTTGCGCCTCTGATACGCTTTCGAAGTAGAGGCTCTAAGTCTAAGTCTAAGCCTCTGACCACCGAGGTCGGGTGCTGTCAGCGTGGCAGCCAAAAGACTCCCGAGGAAAAGGAGCAGGAAGCAGTTGTAGCTCTCCAAACGCAAGGAGAGATGACAATCAAAGATCCAATCCAAAAAAAAAAATATTGTGATGACGATGAAAGACTTGCTGTCCTCGTAAAAATGATTCATAATTAAGTAGGGGTATGGAAATCTGGCGTTTTTCCTAGTGGTCATTCTGGAGGAATCGAAAACAAAAAGCAGGAAGACCACTAGGAAAAACGCGAACGCCAGATCTAGCAAAAAGCCAAAAAACAGGAAGCAGTTGTAGCTCTCCAATTGGAAGTAGTTGTAGCTCTCCATCATTATAACCAAAACTCCATTATAAACATAGTCGGGGTAAGTGACTCTAACTTCAATCTTCATGATCTTGATCAATCTTCAATGAATCATGATCAAGAACTCGTCAAATTGTAGTGAGTGATTGATGAATGACAAATGAAAAAGATGGCGCCGTTGGGGTCAGCAGCGTCGTCGTTGGTGCTGACAATGATGAGGCGATGTCTCTTTATTTTCCTCAGTGGTCTAATGGACTTGCCTCTTGGCGAGCTTAGCCGTGCCTCTTCCATTGCAGTTCGTGGTGTAGTGCTACGGCCCTCCTCACCAAGCTCAAAGAACCGTGACGATTACAGCACTCCGGAAAGGGAAAGCAGCGATCTCGACTGCTCGCCAAGAGCAAAAAGTGCGAGTCTCGCCAAGAGCAAAAAGTGCGACACACCTTTTACTTTTACAGCCGAAGATTTAGCAAGAATAGAGCGCATGCTGAGCCGCGCTGACATGTTGTTGAGTCGCGCTGACATGTATGATCCACCTCCGTCTTCGTCATCTAATGAGACCAGTTCCGCACGACCACCGGTGATTCAAGGTCAATGTCAACATAGCAGTAAGACGAGGAAGAAAACCTGTTCTGAAGAACACGTAGAACCACGGTTTCAAGAACCTATGGACGAGGTGATCAGTAAGCTTAGGCGCCTGGAAGTTCAGGCTGCAGCAGCCAGGGAGCATCTGAAAAACGACGCGAGGCTAGCCTACGCGACGAGCTTGATACGGTATCTTATGAAGACGAGCATCAGATGTTGTAATAGACATCGAAATGGCCTGCTTTAGATGCTGTTCATTTTTGGTGGAGAATAATGGAATGGGTTTTTAACTTCTAATGAGTTGAGTGTGTGCACTAGTATGTATCCACTTTAATTAGCGGGCCCGGAGTATGTATCCACCCTATAAAGCTCCATAACTATAATTAAGCCTAAGTGCTATTGTTATTGCAGGAATAAACTTGCGTTGTTCAGATTTGAATCTCCTTTGTTTGAGGTGTTGCCTCTCCTTTTCCTTTCCGTTTCCTCATACAGTATCTTATGAAGACGAGCATCAGAAGTTCGGACACAGTCCACAACACGTCACTTCTGTACCTGTGACGCCGTAACTTCTTCAACCTCCTGAAGTCTGATTTTTAAACTTATCATCGGTATTCGTAGAGGCTTATCGGAGTATATTATGGACCACGTATCATGTACAGAGATCAGTTTTTAAGAAGTTGTTGCTTTTCGCTCGCTGTGTTGATCTTCTTGTTGTTCCTTCTTTCCGCTTTTTCAAGGTGTTGTCTCAGGTACGGTATCTTATGAAGACGAGCATCAGAAGTTGTAACACAGACAGTATCTGTCCTTATGAGCAGCGGGTGCCTGTGCGGCTCGTTGTGAAGGATCCATAAAACCTAACCTAACCTAACCTATTTGGTATGTTGGGAAGATCTTACTCTTACAATTTACTTATGCATAAAAATTTGGTACGGTATCTTATGAGCAGAGGAACGAGAAGTTCATGTTGACTGGGTACATCTTCAACTAGTGATTTGAATCATGGACTAAGTTCAACAAATCATCTAAGTCAAACGGATCTGGAGTGCGTCGATGGCGCAACGTAGTGTGGTGCGTGATGGCCATCGTTGGGACTACGTATAACATCATCGTCACTGGCCCAAAAGTACTGGATCTTATGAAATTCTCGGGGATATTAGCAGAGGGGTTTTCGGAAATGGACCACGTGGACCACGCATTTTCAGACGAGATGATAGTTAAGGCTCAAAATAATTTATTTCCAAGGGTCTTTCTTTGGGTCCGTCTTTGGGTACCTTAGTTTTCATTTCCTTTTTGGGGATCTGAAGGAATTAACTGCAGAAATGAATTGTTTTGAGCTCTAAGATAGGATCAACAGAGTCGGAGTTGCTGGATGGGCATGGAGCTTCAGAGAAGATGCTTCTAGCATCAGAAAAGTCCTGCTCTGACTGCTCTGAGTTGCCTTATTTGGAGAAGATGTTTACCTTTCCTTCTACTTCTACGTCGAATCGTCACCTCGGAGGGCAGAACCTAGGTGGGGGAGATCAAGAACCAACACAATGCCTCGTCTGGGATGACGACGAGGCGGGCCAGGAACAAGAGAGGTGCATCAGTTTGTACAAATGCCTTCGAGAACATTGCACAACTGATTCTGCGATGGAGGAGGATCAGGAGATGGAGGAGAAAGAGGATGTTGCTTCATAATTCGACATCGACGATGGCTCCTCTGCCGAGTTTAGTAATTAAGTACCAGAAGAAGCCAAGCTTTACAACCGCTTGTTACGAGTGTTGAGTGTAGTGAGAGAAGCTTTTGATGTTCCTACCCGTTCCTGCCCTCTGTACCCAACAAGGTCGAGGACATCCTGGACATCTTATGATCAAGGACATCCTGGACAACTTATCTTACATTCATTCGCTCATTCTCTAATCATCTCGATCCTTCTACTGACATAAAATGCGTAGTTGTACGAGCGGCGTAGGGCACGATCAGTGAGATTCGTCTGCACCTCTTCTAGCTCGGTGACGAGTAAAGTAGATTATACCGAGCTCGGTTGCCGGTAATTTACAACATCCCTGCATCTTCTTCATCTATCAACACAAGCATACACATGATACTGATGAGAGACATTGACATTCTTTATTTCTGCGAATATTTTTCAAATGTGCAGGGGACCTGCGAGTGTGACTCACTTACTTCAAAAATATGCTGCACTTTCCGGCGTTGCGGACCTTCTCTGGGAATGAAGGAGGTCCAGGCTGTGAGGAGATAGATGACTAAGTAGAATGTTTTTGCGAAGCCAGAAGGCAGTGCGAGAGGGAGAGAATGAAGGAGTGCTGGGGAGTTGTTCGAGTGGTAGCAGAATGAAGAGTGCAGACCACTAGGAGGGTGCAGCTGCAGCAGAGAGATTGAAGGAGATAGAGTGCAGCAGAGAGATCGAAGGAGATAGAGGGATTGAAGGAGAGTGCAGCTGCAGCACAGGGATAGAGTGGTGTATCTCCTATTTCGAGAGAGCTCTAGGAACTTTATTTGTAGGAGTGAAATCATCTATTAATTTCTCTAGCTACTATGGATGGACCTAGACCTAAAGAAGTCTGAGTAGGTCTTGTATGCAAGGTGGCTCTTCATGATCTTCATTCTCTTCACATAAGCTGTTACAAAGGTAGCAGCTGTACGATTAAGTAAGTAGCTGATTTCGTCAACAAAATTCATGCCCCCGTTCATCTTCCGGTGTGTCGTTCCTAAGAGGATGCGACGGCCGCAGTTCGTAGCAGCCATGATGTGGTTGCTCGTTCTTCACGACCTCTTTGGTCAGGTGTGGGGCGTAGCTGGAGGTCCTCTTATGGTTTATTACTTGCTTTCTGAAGATAATACATTTAACTTGTTCATACTCGTCTTGTTGTGTAAAACGGACTACTACCACAAAGAAGGCATCATCACAAGATGTTTTATTTGATGCGTTTGCGCCTCTATCCATATAAGTAAGGTTTGAGTTTGAATTTGAAGGCACATGTACAGTCTGTTTACCGTGCGCAGCACGTCGTGAGCACTCAAGTCATAACTATTTTTTGATGCTCCTGAGTGACTTGGGGGCTCATCTTTAATATCTTTAACTTGTTCATACTCGTCTCTCTAAGAACTCCTCTGCCACCACAACAAAAGCAAAGGATCCGTCCAAGTCCTCTGGAGAGGCTGACATCGCAGACGACGACGACGACTGGGACGACGATACTACACAAGACACGACAGCACACAGCACACACACGCCAGGCCCTGAAGAGGCGCTTAAACATGAACATCTCGACGGTCTTAAGGCTATGCGTTGAATGCAAAATAAACTTAAGCAGAGGTAGTTGTACTTAGGTTCTTCTTCCTACCTAGGGCTCCTACTAAACGTGAACGATAGCTTCAAGTACAACCATCCAACGTCGTGTTGAAACAAAGTACTTCTGCTTTCTAGCGAATATACAGAATAATTTATAAGGTTTGGTGGCGTCGTGCATGGCATGGAGTGCATGGATCACATGGAGTAGCATGGAGTAGCAAGGATTTTGCTAGCACCCATGCACTCCATGCGTGAAAATTTTGCATGAATAACTAATGTGATTTCCTCCAATTTAATGTCGTCGTCGTCCTCGATGTCATCGTCGTCATTTGTGGAGCAGGGGCCGAGTTCGACAGTGCCACTCAGAACGAACATGAACTATTGGCTGGGTAAAGAAGGCTACGGTTCCGGTGGGATTAATGGCGGAATGACATCAGGTAGTACTTCTTAATATGATGGAAGGTCGTAGTACTCGTCGTCCACGCCAAGTCTTTTTGGTTAATATGGGAAGGTCGTTCCTGCTCCTAGTATTAAGTCGTCGTGAATTTGAATATTATTAAAGGTAGGCAGCTACAGGTGTTCTTGTTACTGGTTGTTTCGCCTCTGCTAAGGGAGACAGGCATAGCGAACGGGATAAACGAACACCAAAAGCGTACCTCTAATATTAATATTCCCACTTAATAGATCTGGCGCACTCATAGTCTTCATACCTATAAAGAGTTGTGGTGCATGATTTTCATAGAGTAGCTGTACTAGTAGAAGATCCTGTGGGGTCGAGTCCCGTAGATCACACATGGGTCACGTGCCAGGACGTCGTAGTTGTACAAGTAGAAGAACGTGGTCGAGAGCTGTACACTAAAGAAGATCCCTGCTAGTTCTGATTTTCTTCAGCGATTATTTAGGGATCAAGATATTATCTCTCTGGGGATGGGGATCAAGATATCATCATGGGACGAGTCTTTCCTACTAGAAGTAGTTTTTAAGCCGCGGAACAAGCCAAGGTCTTCAAGGAGGTTACAAAAATCTCTATGCTCCTCAAACAGGACGAGTTTGGGACCCAAACAGTGGCTCAGGCCGTGGCGGTGGTCCTCGTGGTGGCGGTCTTGGCGGTGGTGGTTTCGGTACTGGAGCACCACGGAATGATCTTCGTAGTAGTGGTACATCACAATCACAGCCTCAACAATCACAGCCTCAACAATCACAGCATCAACAATCACAGCATCAACAAGTACAACAAGGTCCTAGAAGTACAACTAGTCACAGTCAGGTGACCACAGGTCTTGCACAGTGGTACGAGAATAACCCTCATGACGATAGTGACCTACTAGCCGATGACGTGGCTAGGGATCACCTGAGGTCGATAAGGGAGCAACTCGGATTCCTGGACGAGAAGATCGCTACTGCGACGAAAAAGCTAAAATTAAGAAGATGCAAGCATGACGGAACATCCCAGTTAGGTCGCTGTCCCAGTTAGTTCTACTAGCCTAATCCCGGGCAAAGCACTTCCTGTTCCACCAGTCGTGTGACAATAAGCGTTCTTGGAGTTTACCAATTATAGTACCCCATAAATAAGGGATGGCCTCTACTGCCTTGAGAGTTCTTGTCACTTCTTGCTTGGCCTCAACAGGGTAGACCTGCGACAACAGGGTAGACCTTCGACAGTGCAAAGACCAGACAAAAGTATGCACTTTGCGGAATGCCAAAGCCGCTTGCTTCTAATGAACCGTATCCAGGCTTTTTTCACTTATGAGCAGATACGTTATAGTTGATACAAGTTCGATCAGACGCATCGTCCTATGATCCTCGATGAAGGCATCTTATGATCTTTCATCGTAGGAGGTGCTCATCAAGTCACGCTTTTTTCCTCTTCCTCATCAAGACTAAAGTACATTGATAAGATAAGTGCCTACAACAAATATTAAGATTTCCTCATCTTCAAGACTATGACTGAAGTAATCGAAAACTGAAAATAAGCGAGTTACAGACTGAAATAAGACGGGGGGTAGCTTTTAAAGGCTACTCTGTGTTCTTCAGTATCTCGGTTATTCTCGGTTGTTACTTGCTTATTTCAGTATCAGTTTTTCGTAATGAACAATTGAAATACCCATGCATAAGCATAGAGATAAGTACTTAGGCGCGAGAAGAAAAATAAGGGCAATTGATAGCAGTTCTAACACTTTGCTTACGGTTTGACGGGTGATGTGAGCAGATGAACATGTGAGCAGGTGACTTCGAGCTGGGCTTGGAGAACTTTCCTTGGCGATCCCCGTGCGTCGAGCAAAGTCCACCCAATGGCGATCCCGCACCGAGCATCATCTCGCTTAATTGATTGCAATTGCTTGGTTCGGCCGGTGCTGTTAGCGTCATAGAGATAGATACCCTACAGCCAGCTTTACTCCTGGAGGTGCATGATGCTACTACAAAATTCGAAAAAGAAGATACGCCACTGCTGGCGTCGCGGCCAGTAAGTGCCCGTATATTCTATTTCTATAGACTAGTGTAGATAGCCATACTAGCCTATGTTTCGGAATAATATTTATAATAAGTAGTTGATGCTCCTTCATCATGAGAGGCAGAATATTACAACGCGAGGTCAAAAATATTTGTTTGTAAACCAACCCAACGGATTCAAACTTCTTGGGAGAATGAACGTGAAGGTGAAGACTTAATTATTGTGGCGCTTATCTGCCGCTTGACTCGTTATTGGGAGGATGAAGAGGTCAATCACAATTTTCATTTTGTTGAGGGCATTTGAATCGATATTTTGTTGCGGACGCCAGCATCTTATTTCTGACGAAAGGGAACATCACCCACTGGTGGCGCGTGAAGCAGAACTCCCACGGCCCTTGAGATGACAGCCAGTGAGAGAGAGAGTCATGAACAATATGCTGCTAGAGAGAAAGCAGTCCTGTCTTGATTATAAAGAAGAGGAAAAACAAGGCGGCAACAGCTCGATGAAAGTCGAGACTTAGAAGTTGCAAAAAAATGAAAGTCCAAAAGTACAGCTAGTAGAGCCCTCGCAATTAGAAAAAGGCATAGAGACGAATCGAAAATTATAATCAAGGAAGTTCTTGCGAAATCCACTCTGATCCAGTGAGTCATTTATGGTCCACTACCTACAGTATAGAAAGAAGCTCCGTTAGCTCCTTGAATGTCGATCAAATTCATGACTGAAGAGTTAGAGCAAGAAAACCGAAAGAAGAGCTTTAGGAAGCTCTTTGAGTATGTTTCTCCTTTTCTCTCTTCCGTAATTAAGAAAGAGAACACCGGAAAAAGTTGAAGAGTATTAATCCGTGATTTTTGAATTTGTTGAATATCAGCGAAAAGAATACCAATAAAAAAGCCATTGAGGCTCCTTAGCAGTATCCTGTATGAATAAGGAGCATGCTCAATTATTTTGGCATCAGTATGTAGGGGAAGGTAAAGTTTGTTACTACATGCTTGCGCATGCATTATGTTTTTGGTTTTTATCATGCACAAAATCTAGAAGGTTCAGATTGATCTTAATGCATTTTATTTCTGTATTGGTCTATTTGATTCGACCGAGGAACAAAGGAGCAGACTGATGCAGATTTTCTTACTGAGAGCATTTCAATTCAAACTCATCTTACAACAGCCTCCCTTGCTCCGTGTTCAGCGGTCTTTAGCCATTTTTTATCCCTGGTTCTATATTTCTTATTCCATTCATTTCTAAGAAGTTGAAAAAATCTTTGCCAAGAACTATTTTAGTCAGCCCGTTGGCCTTGTTGCTAGCAGATGGGAAGTATAATGGTCGCACAATATTCCTACTTACAATGTCTCTTATGAAACACTCCCTAATGTCTAAGTGCTTTAGTCTGCTAGCTGTCCCGGATTTATTTATAGCATACTTAAGGCCTCCCTGATTGTCAGCTTTCAAAGGAGGCGGGAATAGTATTTTTGGCTCCGGAAAATAAATACTGAGCCAGCCTTGTAGTGATGTTAAAACATAGTAAAAACGTAGAATGGCCTTGGCTCCATCTGTCATACCATATAATTCGGATTCAGTCACTGACGTAGCAATATTGCTTTGCGTGATAGATTTCCAATATATAGGATTGCCATTCAAATTCACTACTATGCCTGAGATTCCTCTTCTGCCTATAGTTCCACCGAAGTCAGAATCCGTCCAGACAGTAAGGATTAGTTTGTTTTGGAGTTGTTTACTACGATTGAAATACTTCAAAACTCTTCGAGTTCTTAAATATCTAAATATACGCTTAAGGGCTAGAATAGATTCGCTGCTCGCTTTAGCTTTTGCGCAAAGCTTTAGAGGAGTCACGATATCTATTCGAGTAGCACTTGCTAAATACTGAAGACAACCAGTAAGCTCCTGCTTATGTTTTAGTAGTTCTATATCTTCAGGCGTGGATGGATTAGGCGCTTGAAGTAAAGGAGTAGAGACGTGCCTACCTAATTCTCCACCAAATCTTTCTAGTATTTTAGTAACGTAGTCATCTTGTGATAGAGTGAAGTCGTTAGTTCTTAAATTTCGAATAATCTTGATCCCTAATAAGTCACATATCTCCTGGGTAGTATTCTTAGTAACTTTCTCAGGTATTAGTTTTAAAAGAGGGCGAAGCTCTTCATGTAGTCTCATAACTTGAGCTTTTGGACCAAAAAACCAAAAATTATCTACAAACACTACTAGGAGGACGTCTTCTTTTTGCCAAAGGGTTGGCTCGCATGGATTGCGTTCCCATTTAGCATTAGTTAATATCTTATCTCTATGATCTGACCAAGCACGTGGCGATAAACGTAAGCCATTGAGAGCATATAGAACTACGCCATATCTATAGCCTAAAAGTTCTTGGAGTCGTTTATCTAGGTCAACAATAACAGGGATCGGGTATGGACTCTGAAGGAAAGCGGTTTCCGCATCAGATGACAAGAAGAAGATGTCGGAGCACTGGCATGCAATACACAAGAGCATACGGATAATGCATAAATCGGGAACTTCTGCATAAGATTCCGCGGGGTCACTAATTTTATCCATATAACCTAAACAAACAATTCGAGCTTTTTTAGTTCCGTCCCGTTTTATGGAGAGTAATAATTTGCAGGGAATACCTCTGAACCCTTTTGCAAACCATTGAATAAGTTCTTTCTCCGATGCTCTTCTGAATACATGCCAATGGGCCTCAATCTGTTTTCGAATAGCAGCAGACCAGTCAGGTTGCGTTAGATCGTAACCTGCGCAGTCAGCTGTAATTGATGCAACTTTGAAACAACACTCGTACTCACCTTCTTCCCAGTCATGACAAAGGAACGGGAAAACAAGAGAACAGGCTACCTCATCTTCTAGGGGGTCCTGTATGTTCTTCTTGCAATGTTCCAAAATGTCAGATGCAATTTTTTGGAGGTGCTTTGCTTTGACTGTTGAAATTTCGGGGCGTTTCTCAATGATTTCCCTAATTTCAGTCAAAGCTTTCGCCCTGGTTTGTTTACGTTCTTTCCAGGCTCCACGTGTAGGACACTTTTTTACTTTGGCAGCGATCTTTTTCAATTCTTCTCCGTGCTCTGCTTTCGAGCGATTGTAGACTTGAGCTGTGTAGTCTTTTGTAAGACGGAATGGCTTCTGATTCTTTTGGGCGTCCCCTCCAGAATCAGTTTCCTCAGGATTCTCTGAGCTGACGCGGTTAGTTGCAATTGCTTCACCACTAAGGGTCCTCTCAAAAGCAACGGGGGTTTCGTCTTGCTTTGGTAATCCTGGCGTCTTTTGATCTTCCGGCGGGTTTCGTTTGAGGGACGCGCCTAGATCTTTTTGACTACTGGCCTTCTCAAGTTTGATTTGGACTGGTGCCAGCACTCGTTCTTCCACCCTTTGATTTTTGTCCGGAGCTACTCCATGCGTTTTGTAGATTACACGCAATAACGCAGGAGGGAGATTGAGCTGCTCGAGTACTAAGTGCCTACGAATATGGGAAGAGTGTATACGTTTGAAGTTGCCATCATGATCCACCACGAATGTTACAGAATTATCGTTCACCTGCCGATGAATCAGCTTCGCAGGCCCCAGCCATGCCTTTTTATCTTTGTCGAAAATATCGACAAGATCTTCTATCTCGAGCTGATCAGATTCAGGGAAGAAATTCCGTTGGGTCTCAGTTAGCTTGCGCATGCTGTTCACAAATTGCTTGTCTCTTTTGAGTTTTTCAATTTGTGCTCTTGCTTCGCATCTCGTCTGATATGCCTCCCCTATGGGCTCCAGCGAGATTATAGCTGGCTGAGTAGTTTGATTTTCTGGATCTTGCGGCTCTAATTCATATGGGTTCGTGGCCCATTGAACTTGATAGGGGCAGAGTCCGTCAAGAGCCCTGGTGGGTGTCATGTTGATTGCGGCAGTTGCCTGCTCCACGAGTCCTGCGATCCTGCTAGGCTGTTGACCATAGATATAGTATAGCTTTTCGAGCACAGCTCTGAAGGTTCTGTGCCTACGCTCAACTATACCATTGACCCAGCTAGATTTCGGAATTAAGAACATACCATATCCATGCAATTGAAGAAATTCAAGCACTTCTGAGTTATCAAATTCCTTACCTTGATCACATAGCAAATTTTTGCCTAGAATTCCTCTCGTTTTTGCAGCTTCTAAAAACTCAACAGTGTCTTTACCTTTAGGGTGATGCTTTAGAGTTTTAGTAAAGCTAGCTCGAGAATGGAAATTGATAATATGCAATACGGCGTATTGTTTACCAAGTGGGAAAAAAGCATCAACGCTAGCAAAGTCACTCAGTGATAGACCATCGACTCCACCTACTTTGTGATGAGGAAAAGCATAGTTACGCAATCTGCCTAAGTTATGCTTACAGAATTGAATAACTAATGAGCGACTTCTTTGCGTATTTTCCACTTGTCGAACGACTTCCCAAAGCTTTTGAAACGTCGGAAAACTAAGCCGTGTCGCGAGTTTACAAATTTGCTCCATCGAGTTTTGTTGTCCAGTTGTACTCTTCTGGCCAGTTTTTCTATATTTCTTCGCAGGCTTAGGCTTGTTCTGGTTTAGTCTTTTCTTCTTCTTTTTCTTCTTCTTCTTCTGCTTGTTCGACTCTTGCTCCATCTTCGGCTGTACTGCTTCTAAAAGTTGTGAAGAAGATGAGTCCACTTGATTTGTGCTAGTGCTGCTGGTAGGGGTTGACTTGTTCAGATTTGTTGCTAGTACTAGTGGCGAACTAGTTTGATTCAAGTCGTAAACGAATGCACTTCTATAGTTCTCTGATTCTTGGTCTTTTATATGTGGGATACTTTCTCCCAGGTATGCTTCGATAGTTCGTAATCTAGTTTGCATTTCTTCATTGAAGAACTTATATAGGACGATAGTTCTTCTCTGCCACTCTTTGCTCATTCTGGGAATTATTTCCGTTATTGCGGCAGATACGCTCGTACTGTCCAGATCGACTTCGAATGGAGCTAGTTCTGGATCATAAGAGTATGGCCTCTTGTTAGCGTACTCGTCATGACTTGCGTGGGCTAGTCACAGGTTCGCCATGAGGCTGCTTACATCTTGCACTACCATCGCACTCGAGTTTTGTAGTTCGCGCTTTTTGACTTTTAACTTCATCATTAGCACGCCGCAACGGATCTCGAGTGGGCATCCCATGCACTTGCCGTTTACTAAATCTGGAACTATTCCGGCTTGTAGCATTTTCGTCATCGAGAGAATTGTCTTCCCACCTAAGGACGCCACAAAGAGAGTATCCGGAGTACTCCACGAATCGTCCTCGGCGATCATCTTTCCTTTGAGCGTAGCGACTGCTCCGGTATCACTTGCTGTCGCCAAGTTTTGATGACAATACTCAACTTCCCAGATGTTTGATAAGTCTCCGGTAAGATGTTGAGACGAGCCAGAATCTAGGATTGCCCAGATCTCATTGCTATTCTGCTGATTCACCGTCTCGATGTGATACGAGAGCGCTTGAGCGTTTTGTTGATCTAAAGTAACAAACGTCCTGCCCTTGGTCCATGTCGGCACGAACTGCGGAGGCTGCTGCAGTTGTTGCTGATTAGGCTGCATCTGCTGAGTGCTCTGCGTGAAAAAGGCCTGAGCACCTTGTTGCTGATATGGAGTAGCTGGCGCAGTCGGCTCGTACGCATACTGCTCTGGATTGTAAGTAGCGTAGGCCGGAGTGCTATAGTTGTACTGTAGCGCTTCAGTCGACTGGTCTTCAGCATAGTAGCTTTCCTCAGCGCCTGTGAAGAAGTTCTGAGATGGATTCGAAGAAGATGCAGACGATGTCGTGGGCCAAAATCCTCTGGCTTGTTGTGGATATTGTCCCTTGCCGCCTTGTTTCGAGGATTTGAATCCTTTTCCCTTGTTCTTTGACGTTCCTCGAAAGTTGCTACTACTACTGCTGCTCACATTACTGCTACTGGCGAAAGGATGTCTTCCTTGATTCTGTCCTTCTTGCGATGTACTCCAAAAAGTAGACGACGACTTATTGTCTTTTCCTCGTTTGCCATCGCCTTTCTCGCCTTTCTTCTTGTTAGCATGGTGCAACTGTTCAGCTTTTGCTACAGAATTGGCCAGTTCTGTCATGGTGGTCGGCTTCTCCATGATGATTGCATTTTTGAGACAGCCGCACGAGTTACTTTTGAACATTCGAAGCTGCTCGATGATCGGACATTTTTCGACCTGTACACTGGAAGAAATAGCTGCCCATCTTTTGTAGAACGACTGCGGTCTTTCGTTCTTTCCTTGCGTCATTGCTTCCAACTGTGACACGGCGATATCAAATGCCTCGTGTTCCGTCGCGTAGGTGTCTCGAATGTGTTTAACTCGCTGCGCAATTGATGCTATTTCCTGCGTTTCGGCTCGATTCTTAATCTCGAGGTATCGATTAAGCGTCTGGGCGTGTTCAATGCGCGCTTCGATACTCTCACACACTTCGGCGAAAGTATATTTTGAGAGTGCGAGATTGATCCAAGAGCGGAATGAAAGCTTCTCATCCTTGTATTTGGGCACGCGCTTCAAGTCCGATGCTTCTTCATGATTGGCGTGACTTGTGCCCTTTCTTGAGGCTTTTGATGAAGCAGCTTGCTCATTTTGTAACTCTTTGCCTTTGATCTCCAGCGTTTCTCTATCGTCTTTTATTTCTTCTATTATTTTTTCTTCATTAGTCTCTTCATGTTCATGATGTTGAGCTTCATCAAGTTCCACTATTTCAGCCTGATCATTCAAAAGGCGACGCCTTTTCGTTGTCGAGATTGCTGTGCTACCTTGATCAGCAGCACCAACTCGTTTAGCGGAGGCTTTTACCCAGACCTCTCCAGTTTCTGGATCGGTCCAAGTATTTTCTCCACCAACCATCATCTTGAACGCCACTGCCTGAGAACACTACAAAGGAAGATACCAGCTACCTACTTCTACTGTTCAGAAGTACCTGCTCACTGCGAAAGCCCTTAGAAGGAACCACCTCGAGGAAGCCGGGCGCGTGATTCGTTTCCTATTCGTTCCCGAAATCGTTCAGATTTTTGACCTTTCAGCATTTTCCGGCAGCGTTTTGCGGGTCGTTATTTGGTCTATGGACTTCGTTCGGGAATGTGAGCGCCCTGGGCCTTTTGGTCGTGCTCACTGCAGGCATCTGGTGGCAGTTTTTCCCTGATATTTTTCTGGTTGTTGAGGTGTGTCGGGTGAAGGTCTGCAGGGGTTTACCGGTGGCGTCGTTGCCCTTTGGTCGATCGGGTTTTCGTTTTTGTGTTTTATCTCTTGGTCTGGTTGGTGTGGTTTCTTTCGTGTTCGTCTTGATGTTTTGTCTAGGTGGTCCTCTTGTGCATGGGTTGGGGTGGTTGTGTGTTCTCTGGTTCTTGTTGTCTGGGGCAGATCTATCAGGGGTGGGCCGCCTTCCTTCTATCTTCGACGTCATCGCGTGTGTGTGATGGGGGGCAAGCGCAAGGGCGTCGCCGGAAAATGATGGCCATGGGTTGCAGCGTGACCTTGGTTGGTTGCCTTGCTTCACCCGTAGGTAGCGGCAACGACGCGCCCGCCATGGCCTCACACATGACACCACCGAAGACCCTCAGCCACGGGCCCCCCTTTAGATAAACAAGACTCACACAACAAACAAGAGGAGCCCCCTGGCCTTTCCCCCTTTGTTAACCTTCCCCACCCTGTGTGCAGATGCAATCTATCACCGCAGGGCTTGCGTTCTTGGTTTTTCTGCCTTTCCTCCTGTGGTTTTCCTTCCGGTTGTTTTCTGCTCGTTCACGGGCCCCGCCTTGCGTGGTGGTGTTTGTCGGGTCTACTGTCGCACGGCAACCGAAGGAGACGGAAACGAGTAAGCCCACCGAAGGTTGGGCACGGTTTTCATGCATGGCATGGGGCCCCTCCGTCTTGGGACATGTCCAACCAAGTCGCGAAGTGGGGACGTGGTTGCGTGGGGGGTCACTGCTTCCATCCCATGCGCAGCCACGCAGATGAGCCTCCGCGGGTGTGGGTTCTATCTTGAGTGTTGGGCCAGGCGATGTCTGACCGAAGAGGGACAACGCGCGCAACCCCTACCCCAGCAGCCGTCTCCCCCTTGCGCCCATGGTTCTTGCCTGGTGTGGTGGGGTTCCGTAGACTTGTCGACACCTGCGAGGCCAGCCGGCTGGGCACCTATTAGGGGGGAGCGTGCTCCAATCCGCGCACCACTTGAGCCGAACAAGACGCGAAGGCCCCCGAGGTTTCATCCGGTTGCGGAATTCGATGGGGCTAAAAAAAAACCAAAAAAAAACCAAAAAAAATCGATTTTTTCTTATCCTGTTAAGAATTTCCTGTCTTTGCATTTTTCTCCAAAAAAACGCACCAAACCCACTCTGTAGACCGATCGGAAAAGCCAAAAACACTAAAAAATTTTTTAACGTTTTTTGTGTTTCTGTAAGCGGTCCAAAGTGCCACTTTTTGGCGCCATCGCTCCCCGATTTTGGCGACGTTTTTGTGCTCTGTGTCATGCAGGTTTGGAGACTCCGGGACCCACAAAAAAGTGGGTCCCGGAAATTCCTTTCAAAATTCGTTTCAAAATCGTTTCAAATTCGTTCGAAATTCATTTCAAAAGGGCCAGAAAAGCCGCGGAAACCAGTGCGGTTCCGCGGTCTTTTCTGGCCCGCTTGAAATGAATTTCGAACGAATTTGAAGTCATTTCTTTGACGAAAAAATCGCGAAAAATCGCAAAAAAATTCCAAAAAGAAAAACCTCGCACGACCTCGAGGCAACCAACCCCCCCGACATTGAGCCCAAAAAGCACCCCAAAACTGGGGAAAATTGTGGCCAAAGGTCACACCGTGGACCGACTAGAAAACGGCAAAAAAGTCGAAAAAGGCGCGCAGCTTCTCCGATCTCCTTGACCGTCCTCCGATTGAATCGCACAACGCTGGCGCACCGTTTTGAAGCAAAAAGCGGAGACGCACAGTGCGTCTGCTAGTGAGGTCAATGGCCTCGGGCCCTTCATTTTTCCCCTTCAGGACTCACCCGGGCCCTAGGGCGACGCCTTGGCCGCCCCTTCTTCATGCCCTGGCTGACCCAGCCCAAGCGACCCACATAGATACACACGCACGCCTCCGCCCCGGTTGGTGGACTGACACACAACCGACCGGCCCCTCCGATTTTCAGACGTCCCACCCCAGAACCGGCCACCAGCTACGATGAATGAAGAACCACGAACATGCGAACCCGTCCCCGGCACCCTGTGCACCCGTCGGCAGTCCCCGACCCACCACAGCACACCCGCGAACCTGGTCCAAGTCTGGGAGCTGCTCTTACACATGCCAACCACCTGAAACAACAAACAAGCAACAGGCACCAACATGAAGGCACCCCACCACCAAACCACACCACCCAAGGGCACGCCCGCGAACTGCGCCAGAGCCGACACGCAAGAGCCTCACAGCAGCACCCCGCTGCCGAGAAGCTAGCACCCCGATGCGCCTGGCCCCTCGTGGGCTTGCAGAGTGCGAACAAAATGAAGAAAAAACCACAGACGAAAGCGCCAACACCTCCAGAGCAAAAAACTAACGAACGAGCAGGAGCCCACTGCTGAAGAAAAAAAACCACACACGGCCGGCTAAACAAACTGACTGACACATCCACGGGGGTACCCCCTGCGCCGTTGCCGTTATATATTTTAGGCGCCGGGCACCACACACGCACCCACACCAAACACCCACCCCAGGGGGGAACTGACTGCAAGGCCGGACGTGGTGACCCCTACGACCGAGGCGACGAGGGTGCGCTGTCATGGTGTGGGAGTGTCGGCGCCCCGTGCTTGTTGCCGATTTTTGTGGTCGGTCTCCCTCGGTCGGTCCGTTAGTGGCAGGCTTGGGGATTATGAGCAAAGCCCAACGAAGTTGGGGGGTTGGCTATGTTCCTGCCCCACAGAGGAGAAACCATCCCAGCGACGGGCCCACAGGATCGAGATGAGTGACGCAGGGCCCTGCCCGATGGTTGGCCGCCGACCTCTGGGGGCCAACTACCTCCGGCGCCGTCTATCTCTTTCGCAAGTTCCGCACGCAGATAAAGCGCGTCAACAACCAGGAAAATCCCGGAGAAAGTGCCCCCGTGTGGGTTCTTTGTGGTAATTTTGGAAGCCTCAAAGAACTGCTACCGGCCGAACGGAATCCACAGGGCAGACGAAGAGCCCGAAAAGGCCGACAAAAGTGACGGCGGGCCAAATTCCTGAACGATTTCGGAAACGAATAGGAAACGGCTGAGAGGCTTAGGAACCTCGAGGGGGTTCCTTCTAAAGCCCCAGAAGTTTCCGCGCTTGTTTGCGGTTGGCTTCGTGTTCGGCGCTCTTCGTATTTGTGACGTATCGCCAACAAGAACAGGCTAAGGCAGATTCTGCTTCGTGGCGCGCTATCGTACTGATGTCGCGGGAACGGTTGCGACCCAGTAGGTTCACAAGTTTCTGTGCTTCGTAGCGTAAAGCCTTCGAGGTTGCTCTCCCTTTCTGCCTCTTGATGTAGATTGGCGCGATGTAGTTCAAAGTGGACTCTTTGATGAAAATTGGTGGTGTTTGTACTTTCCAAAGACAAAGGTAGACTAGTAGCTTGTATTCGAGGAAAGATGTAATTTGGTGCTTGCTGTTGATGTTCTTCTTCGATTTGTTCGAGTTGTACAAGTTTACTATTGTCTTCCACTGTTCTCGCACTTTCTTCTTCCGTGCTTCAAAGTCGAGGGGAGACTTGCCAAAGATGCTCGGCAGGATGTTGCCGCCCAGTAGAAGCTGAAGCTTATTTTGGGTATCCCAGAAAGGACCAGCGGCATCCAACGACGAAATACCGACTCGATAATTTGGCGGGTCTGGAAGTTCGAAGACCATACTTGATGTCTATGCCTCTTCTACCTAAACAAATAAGCGCAGTACTATAGTGTATTTGGGCTCATAACTCTGTCGATCAAATTCATGACCGAAGAGTTAGAGCAAGAAAACCGAAAGAAGAGCTTTAGGAAGCTCTTTGAGTATGTTTCTCCTTTTCTCTCTTCCGTAATTAAGAAAGAGAACACCGGAAAAAGTTGAAGAGTATTAATCCGTGATTTTTGAATTTGTTGAATATCAGCGAAAAGAATACCAATAAAAAAGCCATTGAGGCTCCTTAGCAGTATCCTGTATGAATAAGGAGCATGCTCAATTATTTTGGCATCAGTATGTAGGGGAAGGTAAAGTTTGTTACTACATGCTTGCGCATGCATTAAGTTTTTGGCTTTTATCATGCACAAAATCTAGAAGGTTCAGATTGATCTTAATGCATTTTATTTCTGTATTGGTCTATTTGATTCGACCGAGGAACAAAGGAGCAGACTGATGCAGATTTTCTTACTGAGAGCATTTCAATTCAAACTCATCTTACAACATTGAATACTGCCCGTTGGCTTCGACATAAGGCCAGGGTGGAGCGCATGAAGATGCTGCATCATGGGAGGCGCAGTCGCGTCGAAAAGGACGATAGAAAGTGCAGGAGTGGCATTTTTACAACGAGGGAGCATTAGTAGAGAAAATGCAGTCGGATCAAGACCCAGGGGAAAAAAAGTACATGCATCCAAGAGAAATTGTTCAACATAACCTTTGAAACATCATGAGAAAAAGACGAGGAGAATCAGCAGGAAGAACAAAGAAACAACTAGCACCTGGAGTCACATCCAGCACAAGGTCGATTCTAGTTTTGATAAGATATCAATATTGTGATCAACATGAAGGTTCAATAGTATACACAGATACACATTATACATATATGGGCCAAGTAGGCAAGGCGCTAACATCTCGTGGATTTTCTTCACGAAGAGAGGCTTCGCTCAGCATCAAGAGAAGACAGAGTGATGAAAATAGATCGGTTTAGTCCTGATCTGTCAAAAAAAACAAGTTTTGGAAGAGAGCAGGAGCACGCCCTGTAACATCAATTTGATGAGACGCCCTGTTGTAACATCAATACCAATTCTTGATGAGGTTCCCTATGCCTGTGCTTACCCGCCAACGTAGTTGGACCCCTCAAAGGTTATTTCCTGTCCCCCAAAAAATATGATATTGTGAGAAACCCCACCAAAAGTTTTTCCAACGACTCTCTCGCAACTTATAAGTACTTTGATATTAGAGCACGTCCTTACCTCGGACAAAAGACGCTAGGAAAATCGAGTTCACCTCTTGAGATCTAGTAAGTAGCCGTATAATTTACATAGGGGACGATGAAATAACCCTCATTATCAGTACCAGGAGCAAAATTTTCCAGCTTAGAAGGTCTTTACTAAGCTACTTTTCTGCCTATGAGGTTCCTGCTCTGAAGAGTCCCAGTAGATTAGTAGGTCTCTGCTTTTTAGAAGATGGCGGCAGTTCCGCCGCACGCTGTCAAGGACAGCTTTGATTTTCAGGATGGCTTCGCCCAAAAAACGTGCATGGACTCCGTCAAGGAAATGGGAGTGAATCAAAAATTACGGTTTCTTCGTATAAACCTAGAAGTGACATCTGACTTCACATTCATAGCTATCATACCTTTCTGTTCCTGTAGTCCTTCGCAGCTGCCACAGCTAGTCACCCCACCTAGTACCCACTTCTATTTAAATAGTGCGTAACCTAAAAAATTGCAAAATTCACAACCCAAACTAATCTTCAAACCCCACCCTTTTCGAAATAAGATGTATGTACCCCTAGAATGGGTTTACTACTACTACTACTACTACCTCCTATTCAAATAGTGCGTTTTCTAGTGCGTAATGGTCCCCACTTCTATTTAAATAGTGCGTAAAAACCTTCCCACTCTAACTTCTAGCGGCGAAAAGACACCTGTGCGAACCTATTTGTGTTGCTGTCACGATGCCATGGAAGGGAGGGCTTGCGTGCTCTATAACTTCCTATGTGCGCCGATTTGCCTCTGTTTTCACGCCTTCCGAATTTACATCCTTGGCTGCGTCAGCATTCATTTGAAGAGAGGTAAGTACTTCGACTGTTTATTTAAGAAGGTAACGGTAAGTACTTCGACTGTTTATTTATAGAGTAGTAGAGAAGTGACCACTGTCTAACCCCAAGAGTGGGTACATTCATTCATTCATTCATTCATACTACTTAGACCGCTACTCTTACTTTCTTCATGATATCCTATTATCCTTAACAACATTGACGTTCCTATTACTGGTGGAGCACCACCTCTATTATTTATAACTAGTACTTCTAGAAAAAATAAATTTTTTGAAAAATATGCGTCAGGTTTCCTCCGATTTTGCTGTTTCTGTTGCCGAGCGTGCGATTGGACATGCCAGTGCTTCGGGTATGTCTTCACCTGCTGCGCATGGTCATTCGTGGACAGACAATTTCCGCCATGTCCAGCCTCAGTTGGGAATGTAGGTGGCGATTCCGCAGCATCAGGACAAGCAGCGACAGAAGCAGAGAGTGTCCTCTGGCTCAGGGCAAGCACTTTTGGGGTACTTTTTTCTATACTGGGAGTAGTGTCCTCTCACGCAGGGCAAGCACTTTTGGGGTTGTAGTACTCGTTAGACTTTTTTCTATATTTTTGGGAGTAAATAGTTAGTACGAATGTAGTGACTATATTGGGAGTAAATAGTTAGTACGAATGTAGTGACTGAGTAAGAGTAACCGGGCTCTTTTGATGACGTTCCATTCATTGGGTTTCGATGGTATAAAAGTAAGTAGCAGGAGGACGACGTCGTGTTGTACTGCCGACGAGAGGAACCAGTAATCACAAAGATGGAGCAACCACCATATTGATACTTCTACCTTCCTTCACCTCTATGATCGGGGATCTTCAGAAATGAAACAAACACCCGGACATCATTTCAGAAAAGCAAAGGTGCTGGTGGGCAGAAGGAGAAGCGTCCAAGTTTTGTGGGCAAGCTGTACGACACTCTGGTCAAGGGCAAGCTTTCCTTAAGGCTCCGGGCGAAACTGAATGATCCACTCCTTGAAGGCATCAATCGCTCAGAAGTGTGAAATAATACAACAATTCTTGGTGCTGTTATCATATGATCAACAAGATGATAAAAGGTCGTAAAGGCAAAGAAACCTTCTAGGTAATAAACTTGCTTCTTGACTCTAACCTGCGACTCCAACATGCAATTGTATCAAGATGGCGTTTCTGCGACGGATATTTTACAGGGGCAAATCGGAGATTGCTGGCTCATGGCCGCCATGGCCTGCATGGCGGAAAGGCCGGGAGCTATTGTTATGAATGAGAAGGTTTTAGATTTATAAGGATTGTGGTGCACTTTTACACGCCTGGACTGAAGAGTACTTTTCCACTTCGACAAGGCTGACCTAGGAAGTCTAGCAGGAGGACTAGGTTTGAATCGATTACCGCTAGAATCATGCTGTGCTGTATGCATCATTGTCTCCTTCTTTCCCCACCTTTCATATGACACAATCTGTTCCTGACGAAGGAATTTGACCCTCGTGGCATGTACAAAGTGCAGCTCTTCGATGGCACAGCAGATGCCTGCAGAGGAGCATGGAGGACATTCACTATTGATGATTTTTTATGGATGAAGAAACATGTTCTTGTTGTTATTGTTAACATGATAGGAAGTGCAAGCTTTATTTTTATTAGCATGTTAGCCACTAACTATAGTCGTTTTTACATAAATGGAGTACTTGATTCTTTTTTTTTTTGTTTCCTAGTTAGGTGTGCTCAACTCTTGTTCCACTGGCAATCCCCAACAGGATTTTTCCCCACGGTCATAGAGCACCTTCTAAGGCCAATCCCCTGTGACAAGAACGCTTGGAATGACGGAAACGGTAGGGCCAAACCCAAATTTGCCCAGCCGAATGGCGAAGAGCTATGGGTTTTGCTGCTGGAAAAAGCGTTTGCGAAACTGTGCGGGTCCTATCGCAATCTAGAAGGCGGAAGCACAATTTGGGCACTGAGGGCGATGACTGGTAATTCATTGGCTTGGGGTTATAACCTGTCAAAGTTAGTTCAGAGGTCACAACTTTAACTATATCTATATTATTTACTTACCTGAGCCAACTCCTGTTGTTGACCTCTTTGGACAATCTACAACTAGCTCCATCGATCTCAGTTATCCATTTGCATTTCTATCTGTGCAAGCTCAACGTATATATAAGGTGACCACTGCCGCTGGTACGAGAAGGAGCGATCTGGAGGTACCAGATGGAAACGATGGGACTTCAAAAACCTGGAGGACCCTCATAAGCATCCTGTCTGCAATTAAGGCCCGCTTTTATCCATGATCTTTCTCGGCATCTCGGTAGAGTCCTTTTTCCTTGTTGTATTCTCATGAAAATTCTTCTCATGAAGATTACAAGGTACTTAAAAGAGGTCAACAGGATGAGGGGGCCGATAACGATATGCAACCTAGCAGGAGACTCTAATGCAAGCACTGCATGCGACCTATCCCAAGGGACAAGAGAGGCGGAACGTTGAAAGGGACGGATGAGACTTTGATTATGAAACGTGTCGTGGTTGTGATTGTGAAGGAATGTGGTAGGCAAAAAGGAAGTAATTATAGGCTTGGCCTTGGAAATGGAAACTAGCTTTGCAGCTCTTGGAAATGGCACCCAACCTTGTCCCAAACTTGGCCGAAATGTGGGACACCTTGTCCCACATTTCGTCCACGCCCTTGGAAATGGCATTCTAAGACTCGCGTTGACGAAATGTGGGACACCTTGTACCGCTACAACCGTCGTGGCTCCGTGCTGTGCGCTAGTGGCGCACAACGCATGGATGGCTTGGTGAGTGGGCACGCTTATTCTATCCTCGATGCTCGAGAGTTCAAGGAGAGCAGTCGAACAGGACCGTGCACTTTGTTACGGGGGCAATAAAAAGGATTCTCTACATTTTTGAGTAGGTAAGCAGGAGCACTAATTTGAGTAGAGGATTTATTACACAGTAGGAGCGACAGTGACGGTGTCTGTTTGAAGGAAGAGCGATCAGTTCTAATTTTTCGCCTGGTGAAGATTCGAAATCCTTGGGGAGGAGGTGAGTGGAAAGGCGACTGGGGAGACTCAAGCAGCAAATGGGATGACTTCCCGGAGGTGCTCTTCACTGTTTTGAGGACTGTCTACATCTAGAAAATAAATAAGAAGGGCTTCCAGTAAGTTCGCAGAGGACAGTAGGTTAGTATACGCGTCGCAATGTGCATGGCGGTAGGCGAATTACAATCAACCATCGAATGCTAACGCGCTGCGGCCCTGCCCACGCCTCGGGCCATTGCCATTGCTATTGGCCATAACCATGAAAGAGGCATTACCCGCCCGCGTTTTCGCCCACGAACAAGCGCATGTGCCATGCAGCCCTCGTCGCGTAGGTGCTCACAGCCCGCGCCAACATTGAAATAACCCACTCGTTTGAGTTTCCACGATGAATTCGAAAAACCTCCCACACATCTCGTCCAACAACACACCTCGTCCTCGTCCATCTCCGTCCAACAACACATCTCCTCCAACTGTCACCACCCTTTTCCACACAGGTCAAGAAAAAGATCCATTCGGACAAAAATGATGGCGCATTTTGGATGTCCTGGGATGACTATTGCGATTACTGGGATCGTCTCGGTATCGCAGATCGAACCAGAGATATTCATTCGCTGCACTTGGAGTTATGTTCCGTCGTCAGTGTAGACGTAGAGTTCATGTTTCTACAAATCCTTGAGTAGTCAGAGACAGAGTAAGACTGTGAATCCTCTTCATCTCAGGGTGTGATTGGCTCTGATGAATCTGGAAGATCTTCATCCAGCAGGTTTTCTTATTTATTATATAATATAGCATATCGTTCCATTCCCTTTTACTCTTCCAGCAGCACCAAACCGCGCCATTGTTATTCTTACAGCATATCGTTCCATTCCCTTTTACTCTTCCAGCAGCACCATACCGCGCCATTGTTATCATTACAGCATATCGTTCCATTCCCTTTTTCTCCTCCTTCTCCCCTCCTCGCCCTCTAATCTACTATGACCAGAGCGCGAAGTGGTGCGGTCCGACTAAGGGAGCCTTGCGTGGTTGCTACGAGTACTGGTGCTGTCTCATCGGATGCCGCCGTTTGTACTGTCCGAAGCGCTCGAGTACTGAGAATGTGGCTTTCGACGGCAAACATCATCCGAACATGTGCGGCTGTAGGAAGAGCACGTTGATGGATGCTGTGTAGAAAACGTAGTACTATTATACATAGCACCAGTAGTACTTAGATTTAGAACTACATATCAGAAACATTATTGTTGATCACCACGATATACTTGCTTGATCTTGAACAGATGAAACGGATCAAAAAAATAGCGATTGCAGACGCCATAGAACTGGGACGCCATAGAAATACCTATCACTGACGACTGGGACGACAAACAAAATTAGCAAGAATGAGCATGTGAGCTGCATAGACGAATAGGACATAGTACCACCACGCATATTATGTGAAGACCATTTACAATAGATACTCATCACTGCCACAGAAACTTTGAGCTTACCCGAACCTTGAGTGCTACGTACTGCAGAAAAGATTCAGAATTACGCCTGACTCTGGTCACAGCTGACTCGAAATTAAAACCCGTGATTTCCTACTTAGTTCGGCTGCCTCCACCACTCTATTATCTCCTACGTGTAGCAGCGAGAACAAGCCGAGAAGTGATACCATTTTGTGCCGATGACATCCTTACCGTGCACGACAGGTGGCACTGAAAATTTCTAGCAACAAAAGCCAAGACCAACGAACTTTTGAAAAAAACAACCTTCCATACATGAAGCACATCGTAGTGCAATGCAAATAAAATGACACACAGTACTCGTAAATGTTGCCGCTGAAGTTTTTTTTTCGTTAGGACTATATGCCACCGCCCTTTTACTCAATTGTGACATTTCTAGCATAAGATTAACGAATTACACACTGGGAGCGCATCTATTGCGAGTGTTCGGGAAGTTGGGAAAGACTAAGAAAATACAGAAGTTGGCTTCAGGACAGAAGATTTGACAGAAGATTGACCATACCGACACCTCTCACCGACCCCGCTTACCCCCTCGCTTGCTTTTGTCACCTACGGGGGACGATCATCCTCCCGAACTCTTCTCTGCGCCCACCCCAGCTCGTGCGCTGGCCCTTTGGCCGAAGACTTTGAAATTGAAAAATTGAAAACCAGGGTTGAAACGGTTGCCCTTTCGCTTTTGCCTCTTTCAGGGAGACTTCTTGTTGTGGGACGTGTATGTTGAGTGACATTCGGAAAAAACAATGGGTTGCCAAAGAAATCGAATTTTCGTTCAGTTCGCCAAGCTTTGCAAATTACTGTGCTACTCTCCTGTGCATGAACAAACCCAACATACTGAGAATTTTCCACCAACACCTAGGCAGCCAAAAATGAGTTCTGTACTTTGATGTACTGAAAAAAGAGTTAGTTCCCCCTCTCCACTGCTTCGCCATGAGTGCTTATCTCGAGGTAAGACAAACCTCGTCTTCTCTTTCCTCGCCTCCAAGAGGTTGAGAGCTGTCTCCGGCTTTCTTTGGACCTAGATACTACCTACGTCCTGCTCTCTATCATAGTATGCGAGTACCTCCCCTACCCGATCACTTTTTCCACCTCCAATTTTCCGGCTTCCACACTACGTTGAATCTATTACTACATGGATTCTTCTCACCTGCTCCCAAACACACCTCCACTACCTGTCGCAAGTGGCATAGTTGCGCTTTTTACACTTTCAGCTGGGTCGATTGGTTCCGGAACCGGTCCCCAAGGAAACAAATGCCCCTTGCCATCAGCATTCTGTGGGGTCATGGTGCATATCGCGTAGCCGATACCGATAGCGCCTCCATAAGCACCCAAGAGGCAAGTGTATTTCATGAACTCCAGAAAATACCTAGAACAAGTAGTGAGAGTTTTTTGATAACGATATTAAATACAAGAACAAGAAGACTGTCTGATTCAGTTTGATATTGCTGTGTGGTAGTAGAATGGCTCGAGTGCTACTCTCAGGCAAGTTTCATCGACTTACTATTCATCAAGAATAGACGCCACGGTGAAGAACGTTCGTCGTGAGAAGAATACATAGACGCCACGCTGAAGAGAGTTCGTCGTGAGTAGCACTCTAAAAAGTACTTGATCATTAGACTCGCTGTCGGGTTTCCTGGCGCCAAATTTACTTCAGTCTTTACGTTTCCGTCTTCGTCCGCATAGACATCGCCAGCCGGTGCAACAAAACCCAATATGAGGGAGGAGAACTGATGTTTTTGATGACGAAACCCAATCCTTCTCCTTCCTCTCAACTACATTCAACCTCGTTTATAATCATTAACATTAGCTTTAATGCAGGGGTGAGTACTCTAATCGACTATAATCTATACCTCTCACCATTATTATTACAGAGTAGTTTTTACCAGTTGCACTATCGTCGTCCATGTTGCGAGGTACATGCAGTCTTGAGCGTAGCCCTGCGGTGCGCCAGAAAAGTTTGTTAATTGAAGCGCCCGTAGCCGACATCCTAGAAACAAAACCGCCAGCATTGGTGCATACAAGACGGCCGTTCTAGCTGTGTCGAATGCCCTGACGGCGCTAGAAGCGAAGTACGGTCCCATACATTGTCTCAAGGACGTCACGATAAAGATACCGCAGGATGAAGAGGTGCAGAGGGATGTAGGTGTAGGACGATTGGGGCAGGGGCAGAAGGATGTAGGTGTAGCTACAGATCTAGATGTAGTGGGTACATGTATATAAATTAGATGTAGTTCTATTTTGCTGCTTGCTGAAGGTCAAGTCCTGAGCAGGGTAGGACCTACAGGTGGGTCGATCTCGATTACAATGAGGGAAGATTTTGAATTCAACAACAATGTCGATACTAGTACTAAGATTCATGGTCATGTACTTACTTCAGGTTTGACTAACTTACCGGCCAACTTTGAAGCAAAATTTACTAAGATTCATAACTGTAGCAACTGTAGGTGTAGTTTGTTCATAACAGATAAACAATCAGGTAAAGCACGGTTAGGATCATCGTGCAGCGAAGCGCTGGCGAGACTGGAGGCGTCGGCGCCACTGGCTTTTCCAGCAGTAGGATGGAGGCGAACACCGTGACTGCTCCGCTTTCTTAGATGATGGGATTTGCATGCATCTAAAGATCTCTGGTTTCTAGCGCGGTGGTCAATCCACTTCCTAAAATCTCCGTTCTTTATTGTACTACTTCCTTTCGCTAGTACAGCACACTCAGATGAAACGGCCTAATGCAGCTAATGGAACATCGTAATCTTCATCACGACCTGCCTGTATTAGTATCCCTATCTAAAAAGGTAGCCATAAAGGTAGATACCAACCAAGCAGGTCCAACGTATCAATTGCATCAATACTTCACCAATGGTTGAGCGCATGCGGAAGCGTACATCTCCTTCACAGTTGCCCTTAAGAGCTTCTCCTCCAAAACAACAACCGCCGAGGAGGTTAGAGGTGGATCTTCGAAGAAATCCTTGTGATAGCTACTCCTTGAACGATTGCGATGACTGTTGTGAAAATTCATGTTATAAATATCTTCAGAAGTATTGATGAAGTACTGACTTCTGCTGTCTCATGTTATACAAGTACATGAGTACTGTTGTGATATGCAACACCAGTACCGACAACGAACTGTCTGTTGTGAATGTGATACAACTAGTATTTATAATCAACATCTTCGACTACTTCCAAATATAGTGGCATAATCATCGTTGCCGCCAAGACAAGTTCCATGCTGCCTGTACACACTGTCATCGCAATCTTGGCCCACGGTTGTACGCTTGCGTTCAAAGGATCCAATTGAACCGCGCGCATCCTGGCTCCGATAAAGAGTACACAGAACATCGGAGCCAGAGCGACTACGGAAGTGCAGAAAGGGTTAGACAAGAAGAGGAAGGTGTAGCTAGGAGGTGGGATTGTGCATGAGTTCAGTTCGTGTTGGTTGTGTGGGGGCGGGCATGAGTGTAGTTCGTCGGGGGTGGACACGCACACGACCAGGACGTTTTTTATAGAAGGAGGAGGTCATGATATTATTGTACGACATTATATTGCTTGTTGCTTGTTGGGAAAGGGTAGACAGAGGCGGATTCATTTCTGAGACTGATGAAAAATATCCTGATGATCCTCGGCAGAAGTATGATCCTGATCCTCAGCTTCTTCTTCATAACTTCCAACAGCGCAATGCACTTCGCACACTTCGGCGAATTGATTTCCTTCAACAATGCTAGAAGGAAATAGACGAAGAAAAAGGTACTGCACATATCCAAGGTTGCTTTCACGGAGGTTGAGGGCCAAGGAAAATCTGCATGCTTCATGTCTGCTCTCGGACCCCAGATTTCTTTCGGTGGCTCCATCATCCATGCACCGGCTTGGAGGGAGGAAGTTAGAGGAGCCACATTTAGATACTGATACAACAAAATCAACTAGGTAGTACAACATGTACATAAGTAGCCAAAAAGCCTAAAAAGAATAAGAAGAAGGATAAAAAAGTACAACATAGTAAGTGGCATACTTACAAAATGTACATAGCTACTTAAGTACTTACCTCGTGTACGTGTCATCCGCCCAGGTGCCCTCATGATCCAGCTCTGTAACTCCTACTCTACGAACAATTCGAAAAATCCTAATGGCCGCTTCATAAAATGATCCCAACCCACATTCCACTCAAACACGCTGTTCGAATGAGCAGGATAAACGTATTTCCCCACGATCGAACCCCCGAAGGTCCTGTCGTTTCGGCCACAACTAGGTTGCCCTCGTCATCGACTTCAGGCAGCTTGTTGAATAACAATGGTGTCAGGAGAACCGGGAGATTAGAGCAGCACGTTCGGTTGTAGGGCATCACGTTCACGATCTACAAAGAAAGGACTTTCTTAGAACGATCAGAACAACTTCTATTCTAGAAGTAGCTTTCAGGAGTTCTCCATTCATCTACCAAAATTATTTGTTCTGTACCTCCATTCATAATACAGATAATACCAAAACTATTTGTTCAAATACAAACTTCCATTAATTCTCCATTCATAACAACAGTCTGCAGGACAATACACGCAGTTGTCAACTCCATCATCTGTTGCATCCAGGCAGGTGGCAGTTGGAATTTGTCGTTTTCCCCACCCGCTAGATGCACTGCGCGAAGCCGGATTGCCAAGAAAAACACACACACCATTGGCACGAAGTGGAGTGTAGCGCGTGCGATTTGGAAAGCAGAGGTTAGACGAAGGGATGGAAATATGAAGTGTTGTACCAGCCGCGCGTGCGATCAAGATCATTTTTTTCATTTGGAAAGCAGATATTCGAAAAACTGAAATAAGCGAGTAACTACTTAAAATAAGGGAGATACTGAAAGAAGAGGAATGCAGTCAAGACTCTTTACTTATTTCAGTCAGTAACTCGCTTATTTTGAGTATTCGAGTACTTATGTAATATTAGACATGGAGAGACGAGGTCGAGGAGGATGTATACAACTTCTACTACGGCTTCCCCGCCTGCATGTCTTTGCGAGCGGTCGTGTAAACTCCTCATAACTTCCATCCACTCATCTAGTTGTTCTAGTACTCTTCTAGTTCTTGTTGTTCTGGTCTTAGCTAGCCCTTCTAGCATCTACTGTTAGTATTCAGTGCTACTGTATGTGTACATGACCCACAAGAAAGTCAAAAATTTTCCATATCGGTCATCCATAACAACAAAGCTGTGCTAGGTCTGCCACCAGCGAAGACATCCTTGTAGGTCTTCAAAATCGCCACGCCTGCGATAATGAGGAAAAACTGACCAGTCAAGATCAGGATACACCGCAATGACGGAGACACTGCAGGTGGAGGCGGGATGGTTGTAGATGTTAGAAGAGCGATTAGTTGGAATTTTTCCTTCAGGCGGAGGAGGGATGGTGGTGGATATTATAGAAAAATCAGCTTAAAACGACACTCTTTGTAAATATCGAAGGACTACCTCCACCAGTAGAGCCTACTTATTCATTCTTGCTATTTTCAGCATATGGATGCACCATCTTCATCAAGCAAGGATCGACTAATTTTTCACTTTCAGCCTATGGATGCACCATCTTCATCTTCGGATCGAAGAATCTACTGTAGTCATAAATATGTCTCATGCGACACCGAGTACATGCTTTCTCCATAGAGAGGCGACCCGTAGCTGTACCCCAACCCCGGCTTTTTCATGTGCTTCGTCGTATTGTCATGTAGCTCCCATGGTCCTTGTCCCTCTTTTAGAACTAAGCGAGACCCATCTTGAGCAGCCTCTTGGGTCTCGTTTTCCCTTTAAAAACGGGACCAAGATGCCTCTGAAAATGGGAGATTTCTTGTAGCCTTAACTCTTGTTTCTGGTTCTTCTGGATGAGGACCTCATCTTGAACATCATCCAAGGGATCCCGCACTCCTACTTGCAGAAGATTCGTCGACGACGTTAACGGAGCGTGCTGTCTCTGAAGAAGGTGTCTCGTCGGCAATTCAAAGTCATCAGGTGTCTCCTCTGCAGTAAGCAGTGTTGCCCGTTCTTGTGTCTGTTGGGGTTGAAACGCTCGGACAGGAGACAACGAACAACCACTGAGTAGTAGAGTTGAGACAACGGTGAGAAGCACAGACGGTCGCATCTTGTTCCCCGTCACCAGCATGGGTGCCTTGCATTTGCGAGATTCCTTCATCTGTAACTTACCACGCTCTTTTTACTGTTACTTATATATACCTTCTCTTCTTGCATCAGACCGGTTGCTTTCAAGGTCAGTCTCAATCTACTTTCTGGAAAGGATCCTTACTAGGATCATCCCTATTCGGCTTCCATGACGATTGCGCTCAAGGGCACCGTACTGAAGTACTAAACTGTCTTCTAGTAGTACTACTATCCCGAGGAAAGAAATATTTTACGTTTTCTCTCTGTCCTCTCTTGTCGTGATTTTCATGGCGCTATACAGAGCACTGAATCATTATCTCATGAAACAACTCGTCCACCAAAACTGGCGCGGCAGCAATAACGCCTGTAGTGAGTAGCCCATTCGAAGAAAGAAGCACGTCGTATTTGTCAAGACCTTTGTAAGAAACCGAAAGACAATGCGAAAACCCCCTCCCCGAAGATCCCAAAGCGAATAACATGCACCCCCGACTACATCCACGACAGAGCTACAAGTGACCGGATTCGAAACTTCGTTTCTTCGTTTCGTAAGCGCCACCCAGTCCACCTCATGGCCATTCTCCACCTCATGACCATTCTTCACCTCGTCATTATTCACGTCGTTCTTCACCTCGTGACCATTCTTCACCCCATGACCATTCTTCACCTCGTCATGATTGATATGCCTGACAAGAGGTGGACTCGGGAGAGAAGTTGCCAACTGCAGAATGCAACGTAGGGGCCCATAACTACTGTTTGCGCTTCATCAGCAGGCGCTAGCGCAGCTTGATTCACCTTGATCAGTGGACCTTGATCAGTGGATCCTTCTCTAGTACGGAAGAAGCAACCGGAGTCGTTTTAGAACTAGCAGAGATTCATCTTGGTCTGTTTTCCTCTAAGAAACGGACCCAACAAGATGCTGGGGAACAAGAACAAGATGATTTTCCTCGAAGAACCTTAATTGTTTCAGTTGCTGCTGCTGCATCCGCGTCCGGCGCTGATGCCGCAGCTCCTGATCTCTAGCATGTCTTGTTTCGTCTATCTCCATGATCTCCAACATGTTCTTGTTATCTAGTAGTGTAGTTGTATTAATTTAAATGCAATATTTAGTTCTTGTACAAGCCACACTGAGTGGGCTAATTATAGATAAAATGATACATATTTTTATGGTTGACGGTCCTCAATAAATACCACGACTCAGGTTCACACGCTCAACCGCTCTAGGACAGACTTATTTTCTTGTGCTTCTCTCGTTCACTGTTCAAAAAGAAATGAATCACGGACTTCTCGACTTTCTCAATTGGGTATCTTTCAACAAGAAGTTGAAAAATAGCCCAGAAACTTGCTTTCAAGTTGACCAGCACGTCCTTTCACAAATTCGAAAAACTGAAATACAAATAAGCGAGTAACAGACGAGAATAACCGAGATACTGAAGCAAGCAAGAGTAGCCTTGAAAAGCTACGTGCCTTATTTCAGTCAGTAACTCGGTTAGGATAGGATAGGAGGCGATTCGCCTTCCACAGTGTGACCTGCATCATCGGGCGAACATGTGCAGCCGCAGAGGGACTACGGTCATTTCGATTCAGTCTAATAATATGTACTGCCTGTAAATCCTTACCGCTTGGTAAGATAATTTCGAAAGAGTTTACGTCGATAAAAGTCATTGTGTTCAGAATCTGGCTTTCTCCATTATAAACTTGAAGTCGAGGACGAACGGCCATCCATGAGAGCTGCTAAATATTCGTGTGAATGATAGTCATTATTTTTTTGTATCTAAATCAATCCATCATGAATATGGAACACGATGAACAACCTGTGATTATTTTTTCATCTCATGAAGACTACTTGAACTTGAACTTTTGCAAACTGTGCTTGACATGAAAATCAATAACGAGCACAAGGTTATGATAATTATCGATAGCATTAACATTATCCTATGTGTAAATGTATCTTGTAGTGATCTGAGTGGTTCCTCACTCTAATCTACTTACAGTACTTCTATGGGAGAACGAAGTGAATTGATTATCGCCTGCCTCTCCTTGTTGATGTTTTCCATTTTTGATAAAATCATGATAATACTATTGTTCTTGAAGTTGAATTTGAATCATCAAAGTGAGCTAATCACTCTAAGTTCTACGTCGTCTTCGTTTCTAGATTCTAAGAATCCTTGTTCCCTAACGTCAACGACGTTAGCTTTTTGCGACTCCGTCTCCGCTTAGCCGACATTGTGAATGTAGTTGCCGAAGCTGGCCTTCATGGCGGTCTCCTTCAGTGCTGCAGGTTAGAGCGGGTCATCAGTTGGGTAATTTAACTCATCTGCCTATGGAGGAAACATTGAGCAAATACGCTCCTTCTGTTTACTCACTTTCATATGCGCTGGGTATTTATTGCTCAGTTGTAATTTCCTGCTTCAAAGCATTTACTAGTCTACTGAGCTGGGACGGTTGTTTATCGTCTATTTCGATGAACACGACTACACACTCAAAATTTCAGCCATAATCAGACACCGTTGGGTGCGCGAAGCATGTGTGCGCAAGCTCTGCGCAATCTCTGTTGTACTGCATGGAGTTGACGGCTGGCATCAAAATATCCCCAGCATAAGGCGCGATGATATGGCAGCCGAGGATTTTGTCGTCGGCAGAGGTGAGCAGCTTGACGAGACTGTTGAGTTGTTAGTGAGTAAGAAGCTTAACGAGGAGACTGATGAAATTGGTGGATGGTGGTGGTGGGAGAAGATTACACAAAATGAGGTTCTGTTGACGTCTCAATAAACCAAGAATTACCCTTGTGTCTCATCGTTTGCTCTGGCTCGACTGTTGGCCATCAAAGGGAACTTGGCTACGCTGTAGGCTGTTCCTTCGTTCTTTAGTTCCTCTTCGCTCTTACCCACCCAAGCGACTTCTGGGTAGGTGTACACCACAGATGGGACTGCGTGGTAAGACACCGGATGGCTCTTTTTCGGCTTGCCGTTCTTCACCTTGTCGGCGATCTGCTCGGCGGGGGATTAGAATTTGGGAATTTGCCGCTGGACGAGAGAGAGAGAGCGACGGAAGAGATGAAACCAAAACTTTTGGTTGGGTTTTCAAAAAAAGCCACGTGCTGGGACTGTTGACATAATGAAGATCGCCCGGAACACCTTACCTCATGCGTAGAAAAGGCGCATAAGCTCAAAAAATAAATATGCACGAACTTATAAGTTCTATCGGCCTTGGTGAAAAGCTTCTTTCTTCCAAGTGGATTGACTACAGAAACACAATTGAGGCCTTTGAGTGATTCTACTCACTTCTCTAATCTGATTAGACTAATCAGCGTTTTTACTCCTCCTTCTCATAAACGTACACGCCATCTTCTTCGGCTTTGTGCGCGAGCATAGGACCAGCAATGCAGTCTCCAATAGCATAGACGTGGTCGGCCCCTTCAGTAATCAAATGGCCATCGACTGGAATTCTTCCTGCTTTGTCTAGAGAAATGCCAAGATTCTCGATGCCGCAACCAGCGGTGTTAGGGATGCGACCGGTGGAGATCAAGACCTTCATGATGTTCACAGTGGATATGTTGAGGTTTTAATAGAAGATGCGTTCTTGCTCTTGTTGTGTATTATGGAAAGCACTTCCTGTGTATAGAAGGAGTTGCTGTTTTTATTTCAAATACTTACTTCTTGCCTAAAAAACAATTACCTTCTCACTAACGGTCTCGGTTTTTTCTTTCGTTTCATTGTGTTCCCACACGATCTTAACACCTCCAGGCGCACCCTTCTGGACGTCGATCACTCGGGAGTTGAGGTCAAAAGTCAATCCCTGTTTCTGGAGGATCTTCTGGAAGTCGCTGGAAATTCCATTGTCAGCTGGACCCATGATTTTCTGCAAAAATTCCACGACGTGGACCTGGGGTGTCCGATTGGGTGTGAGTGTGTGGGGAAGGACTACTTAATATGAAGAAGAAATGATGACATTGAAGATGTAGTCGTTGACACTAAAGGGGTAAATCTACTATTTCGTTAAATGAAACATAATAGGTTGTTCAACGAAGTAGATTTACCCCTTTCCCTTTACAGGCAGTTGAATATGAATACAAGAGGTTTGATTGATTGATTGATGTGCTTGACAAGAGGTTGATCTAAAATTGAGAGGGGCTATTTCTTCTCCTTCTTTTCTTCCTTTTTGCCTTCTTTGCCTTTTTTCTCATGTCTTCTCATGATGAGATCCACAACTCGCTTTGATCGTGCTGAATAGCACAAGAGGTTTTCTTCACTGTAGACTATTTGTACAACCTTGTAGAACAGAAGTTTAAACCTTGTTCTGAACAAGGAGTTGTATAGTACCTTCGCCCCCAGTCTGCTCCATACGGAACCAAGTTCCAAACCGATGACACCTCCACCAACTACTGTCATGGTCTTCGGCACTGACTGGAAATCCAAAGCTCCCGTACTTGAGACGATGTCCTTTTCGTCGATCAGCTCCTTAGGGAAACCTGGCAAGCCCGCAACCTCCGACCCTACGGCGACAATGATTTAGAAGAGGCCAGAGGCCGGCCACAGGCCAAAGTTAGTAGAGCTCCTATGTATGAAAATGAATCCCCTTTGTTTCACTTCTCGGCCAGTTCATTTCTTCAGAATGATCCCGAGAAGGAAATAAATGCTACAATGATCCCAGAATGATCCCAAGTACGTAGTTGGAAATGTACTATACCAAGCCTTAAATGATGTTATCGGCCTCGATGGTCTCTTTTGCATTGCCAGCGGCGTCTTTGATAACGATAGTGTTTTTGTTTTCGAAAAAACCAAAGCCATCATAGTCGGTGACCTGTTGTTTGTTTGAGAAATGAAAATGAAAATGGTACCAGATCAAGAGCTGTGTATTTGTCAGAGAAAGTAGTGCTATTCTTTTCACTTCTCCTGCTTTTAGACATACTGAGGCTACCAAGGACAGGCTCGCTCTGTTCGTCTTCTTAAGTTCTCAAGAACGTAACTAAGCATGCGGCTTATCCAGGAGGAAAATCATAATACAATTACCTTATTCGCTTTAAACAATCCCTTGATTCCCTTCGTTAGGCCGTTGACGTTCTTTTTCTTCTGCTTCATCATCGTTGGCACGTCGACTGTGATATTCCCATCGATGTTGATCCCGTTCTTCTTAAAAGAGTGCAAAGCATCATGGTACTGATGGGATGCGTGCAGGAGCGCCTTACTCGGTATACAACCGACGTTCAGGCAGGTGCCTGGATGTTCTTGTTGGTAGGGAAGGGATAGGGAAGACACTTTGAACTCGATATGAAAACAAACAAGGGGACAACCTACGCCTACCGCAACACCAGAAAAAGCTACAATTACAACCGTCAAAGAATAATCTAAAGTAGAGAAAATTTGAAAAAGTCAAAATCGCGATGCGAAAGAACTATTATGCTGACTTCAACTTCCAAGTCCAACAAAGTGAACGTGAAAGTAGTTTCCCTTACCTCCAAGCGTTCCTCTCTTCTCAACACATGCTGTATTGAGTCCTAATTGGGCTGCTTTGATAGCTGCTACGTAACCTCCAGGACCGCCTCCGACGATCACACAGTCGAATTTCTTTCCGAAACACTGCGCGGACTTACGCAACATTTTGTTCTTTTATGCTTATGGTTGATTACTTTACTTAGCGATTCTGAATCCCGAAATGACGGATTGAAAAAATATACGACTTCCTAGGACTAAGAAAAAAAGAGGACCTGTTCTTAGATTTTTTGTATTTTTCAGTTCCAAAGTTCTTTGTTGAGCTACAGCGTATACGTAATCGGCTTTTTAGTATATGAAAAAATGTCAGTGACAGTGTACTATGTTTGAAGATATAACTAAGTGCTTACTTGTAAGAACTTTTCCGTTTCGATTAGTCGACAAGAAAAGAGCTAGTATACTTACTTCCTACTGCGACCACAAAGATGAACAGAGTAAAAAAAAACTGTAATGTGGAAAGGGTTGTGCAACCGAACAACCGCTGGAGGTGGGGGTCGGTAGGTCAACAAAAAACTCATAGAATCTCTGAATCTCGTAAATCTCTGAGAACTGATGACTGCTCTCGTTGCGTTATCGCCTCTCTCAGGAAGCACATGCCTTTGTCTCTCCGACAATAGAAATGGAACTTATCGTGACCGAAAAGTAAGTTATCTCTTCTTTGTTCTCTCGCGCAATCAATCGCATCAAATTTTTTCTTCTGGCAGTCTTGCAAGCCAAGCTCGAACATCGACTCCTGTCACAACTGCGGTGATTCTGGCTGAAAATGGATTTATATGGCTATGTATGGGATCATTGGATGAACAGGAGGAAGGTAAAGATTTATAATCAAGGAATGCACGATATTAAATCTAGCTCAACATGTTCTTGGATGTGAACTCAGGACCTTTGGCCTCTCCTCTGCAGTACCCTTTGTAACGCAGTATTCATGAGCTTTTGCGTGCTTTCCTTCTCGATTACATCCACTTCCGGCTTCCAGCTGACCTTAGTAGGAGTTTGTCCTCCAACATTGCCATCTCCTGTCGTTGCCATGATTTTCCTCGTTGATTTCTGTAGCTGCGAAACTACCACACTATCAACTCCTTTCTTTGCTTTATTGGCATGTCCGTTTTTCGAAACTTGTTTCTTCCCCTTCAAAAATTAGCGAAGAGAAAAGCCCAACCTTACGCCAGCAACCCAGTATGGATTCCCCTTGTGTAAAAGGGGAATGAGAAGAATGGGCTGTGTAAAGGGTTATGTTTTTCTGTGCCTTAAAAAAAAGCTTCAACATGTGCTTGCTCTCGTATTCTGGCTTCTAATGCCTTATTCCTCGCACGCTTCTCAGCTTGAGAGAGAAACTGCTCTTCCGCTGGTTCTTCTACTTCTATTGGAGCTGCCGGTCGCTGAGCAGGAGCCTTCTTCTTCTTCTTCTTTTTGCTTCCCGGAACGCAAACGTCCACATCTGCAATTTTTTTCCTCGTGAGTGGCTTGAACGTCCGCTCCGTTTTGTCGCTGTGCCGCAAAAACTTCACCATTTTTTGTTCTTTACGTATTCTATTCGTATCTTTAGAAGGTCTAAAGAACAAGAAGCGAAGTACAATACGACACAATACAACTTATCTCGCACAAAGTACAGCGTTTTAACTGTTCGTTGGTGTCTGTTCTTGTATTCATTAAAAAAATGTCGACGACGGAGCAGTTCTTTATTGACTTGTAAGATCGGTGGTCTGACTTAGTAGAGGATCTGGTTCTGGATGTGGATCTTCTTCAGAAAGAGGAGGCAAAGAGGAGTACTAGAGAGCACGAGGAGGTGTTGTTCAGTAGAGAGCATTTCCATTTCCATTTTCTAGGTCCTCCACTATGAATCATAGAAGTGATCATGTCGCAAAGAAATATTCACGAAGGTATTTTTATATCGTTCTTCACCACGATCATAAAGTAAGTAGTATGTGGTGCGGAACAAGTAGAGACTATACTTTGATGTGAGCGTCGAAGATTATGCTCAACAGAAATGAGAATGTGGCCATGTTGCAGCTTCAAGTTCCATATCCGTGTGATCATGTGTCTCATGTGTCCGATGGGCGATCTTCCTCCAAAGACTTTTAGAGGTGCTTCTTGTCTTCAGTAGAGTTCTCGATCTTCTTCCAAAGACTTTTAGAGGTGCTTCTTGTCCTCAGTAGAGTTCTCGATCTTCTTCCAAAGACTTTTAGAGGTGCTTCTTGTCCTCAGTGGAGTTCGGGATCTTCTTCCACCGAGTTGTAGTGCACCTCAGCCCAGAAGGTGAGCCACAAGATCCTACTACTCCTCGAACGAGATCTGCTTCCGGCATCATTCGGTCTTGGCTTTACACTGATAATCGCATCGGTTTCGTAGCTCGATCGTATGAAGGGGAAAATATGTACATTATACACAAATCGTCCACAGATTGCGAGGGAAAATATGTACATAAGTACACAGACATATCGTCCACAAAGGGAAAGGGCGTGAATCATAGAAGTAGATACTAAAAAGCGTATTCGAAAAACTGAAATAAGCAAGTAACTACTGGAAATAAGGGAGACACTGATGAGAAGGAAGATGGGTAGTCTTGATGTTAAGCTACCTCCCTTATTTCAGCAAGTAACTCGCTTATTTTGAGTTTTCGAGTACGATCATGAAGCAAAGAAATTGATTTAATTTTCATTTTATGAGCTGTAAGTATGATGTTGCAGTTGCGATTGCGAAAAGCAAAAGGAGCAACAGATGAAGTCATCATGCCATACTTATCAGTTTGATTTCGCATCCGAAGGCGTCGGCGGCTGCTTGAAGAGTAACGTGGTCTCCCCAACTCCCGTCTTCCGCCATCTTGACTAGATACAGATTAAACGACTCGTCTGGGCTAACGTCTTTTGAGGTCGAAGAAGAGGAGGTACCTGGTGGTGTTGTGTTTTGGTGATGTGGAGCTTGAGCCTGTTCCGTCGTTTAACTTCTATCTTCTGCATTTGTTTGGTCAAATACAAGTACGTAGTTCATCAAGTTGACGATGTTGTACTTTGCAGCTTACGAGAACAGGAGAACAAAGAAAAATCGCAAAAAAAAACTAGTGTTACAAAAATGTCGAAGAAGTTTTTACCTCAGTCAGAATACCTACATAATCCCTGTAGAAATCTGCATCCGTCTGCAGTCGTTCCAAGACTTTGTTGCGGATGGCGCCGTGATGTTTCTCATTGCCGTAAAGCTGATCTGCTATGGCGCGAAACTGGCAATTGCCATCACCTTGGACGTCACGCTCTCTCAGTCTTGGCTTAGATATTAGTGGAGACGAAGCAGGGGCTAGACCAAAGTGTGACGTGGGTGGTACTACCTAGTAGAAAGAGATAGAGAATGAGAAAGTATTTATTATGAAGAACTACAATGGATATATTTTTAATAGAAAAGAATCGATTGAGGAAAAATCTAGCTCTCTTGTCATAACATAGTGAACAATCCGTGCCAGCAGCCTGTCGTGTGCTTCTCCACGTCGAAATTCGCGGGCTTCGAATTCCAGTAGAGATCTTTCGTAGTTAGAGAGATTCGCCTGGTTAAGTACCAACATCTAAGAAGGGTCTTCGTACTAGTGGTAATTCTAAAGTAGGAGTCTCCTGGTTAAGTACCAACATCTATAAGAGGAGGAGGTAGTCCTCGTAGTGGTAATTCTAAAATTGAATCTCCTGAGTGTAGAAGGACTGTAGTTTTAGTATAACACTAATATTTCTGAGTGTAGTAACACTAACATTTTTAAGGTAGTAGTTCCTGTAGTACTACTGCAGAGTCTTAACATACACTTCTGCGTCTGTCAAGTCCGGATTGTAATCTCGAAAAATGCTGTCCAAGGTTCGCGGCTGGTGTGGAATCTGCGTCTGTCTCGCCAAAGGCAAACTTTGCTCTAGAATGCTATTCTGTGGTTGAATTTGTGGAGAGCTTGGGGAGGATGCTGTTTCTCCTACACCTCCCCCGAAAGGCGTAGAAGGTTGAAAGTTGCTCATCTTTTTTTTAGTTTTATGTTTCTCTTGATTGATTGTGGTTGAAAAAGTTCTGAACCTTAAGTTCGTTACTTCCGGTTCTGCTTCTGTAGTCTAGCCTAGACTCTCTAGGTAGCTAGTGGTGAGTCAGCCAATCAGTTTGCCTCCGCAGGGACTTTTTTTTTTTTGTAGTCCGAGAACGCCGAAAGGGTGATCCCAGTGTTGTCCGGTGTACCTGCCATCATATTTTGTCCATCACAATCTTCAATCTTCTATCACTATGCCATTTTGTTTTCAGGCTTCTTGCGCTGCAAGAATATGTCTTTAGAGGACTACTTCCATCAAGTAGATGCGTTTGCAACTTGAACTTGACTATCAAAGAACGACGTCGTCATGCATCAAGCCGTCGCAGAGTGCGCGTGCTTCCTTGTTCCCTCTTCCATGCTTGGACTTGGAGCCACAAACAATGCCAATCATGAATCAATACTGCATTTGAAAGAAGCGAAGTGTTGTGAGGTTGATGAGTCATCACCACACGCTTCTGGTGGTCATCTTATGTCGCTGATAATGAGGATGAGGACAATGGTTAGGATTAGGATGTGATCCGCCATCCGCAGTGTTTAGCTGCTATGATGATTGTATTTTCAATTTTTTGTACCTATTCAGTAGATAGAGTATGTATCAGAAGTTCTCCAGGACTGTCCTTAGTTGGTGTGATTTTTCGTACATACAAGTCATATTATAGTACTGAAATAAGTACTTTTTCATTCTGTACAGTACACACATTTCATTCATTCATTCATTTGCGAATCACGTACTCTCACACACACCACTAACTAACAACAAATAAAAAACAGTAGTGATTCTTACTGTGTGTTAATGATTCCGTTGGACGTTAATGTGAGGTAACGACAGTATTATTCATACCCATATTAATTATACAGATCCAACCAACGTTCAATGATTTAAGATCAATCAGTTTGTCCAGGGGAAGAAAAAGCCTGATAGATTGATTGTTTAACAATATATGTACCAGGGAGGGATGCCCCCCCCGTGCATGGAACATATATCATTCCTTCATGTTCATTCATTCATTCGAACCACGTAGCAACTACGAGTAGCTGCCTGGTTCCGTTGTGACCCGAGTAGAGACACTCCAGCTCAAATTAACAGTGTAGTTCATCTCAATTCGAAAGAAATAATCATCACAACAAAACGTGGTGAATATCTAAGGCATTATCCCGAGAAGGAACTGGATTAAGGAGCCCGTGAAGATGCCCAACACGAGCGCACAGTTCATCACGGGCCCCATCATCCCGTGCTCCACGTCTGTTTGTGCTTTTTCCCCGCTCCGAATAAAGCAGTTCGCCGTGAAGTGCCCGTGAGTGACCGTGAAGGATAGCACGACAACGATGTGAAGGGGGAACGTGGCGGCGCCCACGTCACCCGCGCGGAAGAGGTAGAAAAGCGGAAGACCGATGGCACCTCGGAGTACCACTGCGGTCAGCAGATTTGCCGTCGACTCAAAGAAGAGGTTAAAGGTTCTTGAAACAAAAGCAATTTTTGCAATTCATTTTCTAATAGTACCAAAAATCTCTAAGAAGTTTGCCTCCGCACAATCAGGTCTTTGTAAAGAACTTGTAAAAAAAATGAAATACTTAGACTTCAATGCACCTTAAAGAAGGGCAACTTTTCCCCCCTCGCCGGATCTCGTTTGCAGGGACACGTGAAGCCCGGGAGAAAACGGCCTACACCATCGCCCAGGGTCCAAACGATCATCAGAATGTTGTCTTAGAACTCTCCCCTATTCATCCCTGTGGAAATCCCTCAAGCATATGCGTGGTCAGTATCTCCCTCGTAATACAAGGGGCGGGGCGCATATGTTTGACTTTGAGGGATCCACCCTATAGAGGACGGAGATGAATTAGGGGAAGCCTTAATTGTAGTATCCTCCAGGTGGGAGACTGGCGGCGTCTTCGAACCCGTCCTGGATCTTCCACACGAAGACCTGACTAGGGAAAACCGTGAACGTGATGGCCCACAGGAGATAAAGCGAAAAGACAACTTTCCTTAGAGGACCTGCTTCTACTTGTACTTCCGGGAATTATCCTTAGAGGACCTACAGACATACCTGTACATACTTCCGGGAATTATCCACGACCTCCTGGAACAAAGTTCTAATCTACAAAGTTCTAATCTTGGAGGACCCTTTTCCCTCTAGTAATATTCGAAAAACTGAAATAGCCGAGTTGTAACTATTGAAAATAAGGGAGATACTGAAAGAAGAGGAATCAATGTAGTCAAGATTCTCTTATTTCACTCAGAAGTAGCTCGCTTATTTTGAGTTTTCGAATACTTACTTACACGGAGGAGGCTCCTCAAATCAGGAAGATGCTTCCCATTAAATAGAAAGTCTTAATCTCCAGCTATCCAAGAGCAGAGACTGGAGCGGCCGATTATCATTTCCGTCGGCTTCCTGCCCGCCCTGAGGCTGTTGAGCGTGCTTTTTCACCCTTATTTCGTGATCAACATGTTGAGGTGGTTTGCTTGTCGTTCCGGAGTGGTCCTGCTCGTCGATGTTGGTCGTGTGGTGGTGCAATAGAAGGGGGTCTGGAATGTCGCGAAGCACGTGGCGATAAAACGTGGCATAGTAGACGAAGCAGAGGGCCGCATTCAGAATGAAGAGCATGTGTCCGAATTCTGTGGTTTCCTTCCACGAGGGTATTGCGGTGAAGAGCAGTAGGCAAATTAGAGCTCACCCGAATCCATCCTGGGATTCATCTTGGAGCTTCTTTCCTCTTATGGGGCAGGCCCAAGATGCTTCGGAAGATGGCTTCATAGGGTAAGCCTTAAGCAAATCGTCATAGGCCAACCGGCTGAGGCCATGCCGCACATGTAGGCAAGACTCGCGGCCGTGCTAACCTGCGTGGCGGTGAGCGCAGCGACGCAAGCACCAAACCACTGCAGTGCGAAGCCCATCGTTACCAGCGAAAGAACAGCTAACGCCGTACTCCTAAAGTGAATCGCAATCGACATCAGCGGAAAATAACAAAGGGCCATTACGGACAGACTTCCAAGGAGCACATTGTGGAAAGTCAAGCACCGGAGCACTGCCTCTGCTGTGGTCGGCTCCCCTCTCCTCGTCGCAACCACCTCCGGGGTCGTGGTAGATGTGGGGCCGTCTACTGTTGCTGGAGTTCTTGCTGCTGCTGTACTAGATGAAGGTCTTCGTGCGCCAGCATCAACATGTTGCTCTTCATGTAGTTTGCGGCGCAGGTTATTCGCTCCAGTGTAGAAGAAAATACCGAAAACCGATGCAAAGGCATACGGCAGGGCCATCATTTGTGGCCACATGTCATTTTGCAACTCCACATCTTTTAGAATTGAAGGACGTCCATCTTCGCACTCGTCTTGGTTCGCGGTCGCGTCTTCCCTTTGACGAGAGCGGGACCAAGATGCTGGGGAAGATGGATTCTTTCCGTTTCTTGTAGCCTTAATTTCAACAACATCACGAGTCGTAGGTGCGACTCCACACCGGCGAGCTGGATAAACCCTCCAAAAAAGAGTGTGCCGAGCAGTGCCCAGGAGACGTCCCGCTCCTCCAGCACCTCCGAGGTGAGGGCGTTTCCACTTCCAGCTGCTCCTGCAGGTGCAACGTCGACTACACCGGCGACGAGGGCCACAGCGCTATCTTGATTCTGTGTGGACTGTGAGGAGGAGGCCTCAGACTGATACGTACCTCCAGGACCTTCATCTGTGCCAGCAGAGGTCATCCTTCTCGGAGACATGTGCGTAGTCTGCTAGCTGACTAACTATACTATAAATATCGTAACCAACTAGAGCGGCGACATGGATGTCGTCTAGCTGACTAACTATAGTACTATCTTAAAGATATCTTCTGACCAACATGACCTAGCTGAGGATCTCCAACTAACTAACTATTTATAATAACACGACCAGCGTGTCCACGTGCGCATGCTTGGCGCACCCTCCTTGCTAAGTTCATCGCTAATCAATTACTTAGTACTAAGCCCCCGCTTCACGACCCTCCTTGCGAAGTTCATCGCTAATCAATTAGTACTAAGCCCCCGCTTTGATTTTTGTTTTACTTTGTCATTGTCTCCTTCTTTCGCTTTACTTGTTCTACAACTTTGTCTCCTTCTTTCGCTTTACTTGTTCTACAACTTTGTCTCCTTCTTTCGCTTTACTTGTTCTACTTTGTCTCCTTCTTTCGCCTTACTTGTTCTACATTGTCTCAGCATATTTTTATATTTTCAACTGCTTTTCAGAATCGGTGACTTCATCAAAATAAACGTTCTTTTTCTTACCAGTCCAAGTCCAACTCGTTGAATCAAAAGAGTAGTGCATTGAATGAATGACATTGCCGTGTTCTTGTGTACTAGATGCACTGCTTCTTGTGTACTAGAAGTATGGTGTATAGTCACACGTCTTGGGGTGAGGGGCTCGAAAAAGTAAAGGATGACATTGGGATTAATAGCATATTTTGTAGTGTAATTGTAGAGAAGATATCTGCTCTGCGTGTTAGCTGTGGTCTGGAGATGCAACGCTTGGAGGTGCTATGGCGTTTATGCGACATTTTTAACGAGCAGTAAACTTTGTAAGACTTGAAGATCGATGGAATGCAAAATAAATTGTCCTCGATATATTGATTCTATTCAACAAAACTAACACTAAGGTACTAAATTTTATGAACCTAGTACGGGATGTCATGTTACCTCGTGACCCATCCTATCAAATGGTACTGAGGTTGCTTCAGCCGAATTGTACAACATCATCTATTCTGCTTCCATGTCATCAGCTTATTCAGCTAAAAAAACAAAAAGAGCGGAACTACACAAATTTTAATACAATCAAAGTGCAATATCAATTATAACTCGTAGTCCTAGTAAGTATCAATATTAATCACTACAGCATATTGATGTGGTAATGCGAAGTACAGCAATTCTGGAATCAAAGAAGGGGATCGACGAATAACTATTTAGAATTCTAATTCTTTCCATATGATAATAATTGAAGCCGTAGTACTGCTACTAGAGAGGAAATCCAAGTCAAACTCTTTGTTGTAGATAAATACTGACTCACTTTTAGCCCAAAATATACCGCCTAGAAGAATAAATAGGAGTAGTTGTCCACTAGTAGGCTACTTATCTTCGCTACGAGAGCTAGGTAGCTGAAGAGTTGTCCACAACTAGTACTTATCTTCGCTACAACGACCATCTCATTCTGCCTCCATCAGTTTTTTTGCAATCGCATGCAAAGCATCGGCTTCCTTATTCCCATTCTGAAAGAGTCCGAGTTGCTCTCCTTTTTGTATTAGAGCTTCCCTATATTTGTGGAACTAGAAAAAAGAAAGACCTAGTAACTAGAAAAAAGAAAGACCTCCAGAGGAAGATAGAAAAGAGATCATTTGCGAAGCCTTAATTGTAACAGTTTTAGGATGATCATCTTCGAGGAACTCCATTTCTCGTTTCGTTGAAAGGATGCTGGATGTAGCTGTTCCTGTTAGAGCTGTCCGCAATTCATCTTTCAAGTGCATCCTTGAAAAGTATGGGGGAGTGTTCGCTTAGGATACTCCTCCATACGTAGTTCCAAGGATACGTCCAAAGATGTATTTTTAGGTACAGCCTTAATCCTGGTTCTGTTGTTGCTGTCCGTTGTCCTTGTCTCCGGTCTCCGCTATTTTGAAAGCCATGAGAAAACTGCGTAGAGGCTTCAGAACTGCTGTGGTCGTGGCTGGCTTTTCCAGGGACACCTCCGAGCGTGAACGATCCTTTGTTCCTACCGTAGTACTAGAGGCTTCTGCTGCTGGTTTTTGTTCTTCTGCTTTTCCTGCACCAGGTACACCAACAGAGGATTTTTGCTCATCAACTCTGTTTTCTGCTCCTTCACTACCTTCTTTCGTTGCCCCCTGATGTTGCACCAGTTGTACAACTACTGATTCTAGTTGTGGAGGTGCCACAGAAGTTACAGACGGCACCATTGTAGACGATGCGGTTGTAGTTGTAGGAGGTTGTTGTTCTTCACTCGTCGATGTTGTACCTGTGTTCACCGAGGTTGAGGCTGATATCGGCGAATCTAGTACTACGGGAGAGTGATCGGCTTCTTTCGTCGTCTCTGCTGCTCCAGCTAGTAGTCGTGCATGTTCTCCGTCTGATTCATCTGGTCGTGTAGCTTTTACTTTTTCTTTCATTGTAGTTGTGCCAGCATTTGCATTTCCACCTTCATGTACTGCAGATGCGACTGAGACAACTGGGATGTTTGATGCTGCAACTGGAATGTTTCCGGCAACTGCAGCACTGCCACAACTGCCTAGTCCACCTGCCGTCTTCTCCTTGGCAGAGGTCGCTACATTTGCATTAGCACTACTGCTTGCAGCAAGAACAGTAGGATTGCCACTGGTTGTAGGAGTACTGGCTCTACTACCACTAGCGGCCGCATTTTCACCAAAGATGAGTTTATATAGATCACGATTCCGACCAGCGCTCATGTCTATTTTTCCTGAGGCTGGCCTTGTAGGGTTCATCCCGAGTTCTGCAGGTGAAGATGCTCTACCATTCGGATCTCGAGAATTAGGATTCATCTTGCTTGCGGAAGTAGTAGTTCCCGGTCTGGCACCCCTTGGGTCCCACGTCGAGCCGTGATGGCTTGCTCCAATAGGGTGTGACTTTGTTTTAGGTCCTCTAGCACCGAAAGTAGACCCGAAAGGACCGAAACCTCTCTGCGCGCCACCACCTCCTCCCGTTGGACCGGCACTGCTTCGACGGTTAAAAAAACTAGATTTAGTCGGATTTTGAGTGCTGGTGTTGTTTTGCTGAGCTGTCGTCTGAAGAAGACCACCAACTGAAGTTGAGCTGGAACGATGCCTGGGTCCGAACACCTCTTCTAAGAGTGAGGACGTACTACTAGAAGATGAGTGATCTCGTAGTTTTACGACGGCTGTCGGACGTGGTTGCAGTAAGGTAGACGAGGATCCAGCAGCGCTGCTTGTTGAGGCTGATGCTTGAGGATCAAAAGTACTCAATTCAGCATTCGTACTGCCACTTGCACGACTTGCATCTTGATGCGGAATCGTGGCCGCGTCTGCGTTATTCTCCTTGTTACCACCACCTAGCGCTTGTTGTTGATTCTGTTCTGCTCCTAGGAAGAGGTTGCTAGCAGAAGACGCACTGCTCGCACTTCTATGCGACATGTGACTCCGCCCTCCATTAGAGGTACTACATTTTTGGTGTTCGTGGTTTATCCCTGCTTAACTGTTTTTATGCCTGTCCTCGACCTCGTCTCCCTCAGGAGAGCCATAACAAATGGTAACAAAAGCACCTTTAACGTAGTACCCTTAACTGCACCATTCGCATCCACATGAATTCCCGCACTTTGCATAAACGCCTTATTCATGTGCTCTACTAGCTTTTTCTGCGCAACCCAGTCCTCGAAACTGAGAGTCTGCACATGTTTGATCTGAGTTCCCGCAGGTAGGGGTTTGTTGCCGACACTGAGACTGCTGGGAAGGCTCTGCTCATTTTCGTGCATGAAGGGGGGTATGAACGTAGTAAAAGTTGCCTGAAACTGGCAGAAACCGTTGCCGCGATCTGTCATTGGTTTGGAATTGGATATCGCGATGGTGATGGTATAGATATTCAAGTCGTGAGTAAGTTTAGTCTTCGGCGGACTTCATTTTCTATTTCCTATTCTTTTAGCTGATTGTATTTGTACACTAGCATCTGGTAAGAAATCTACGTGTGTAGCATCTGGTAAAAAAGGGGAACGGATCATTCGAACAACGAAAACCCATGCTGGAAATACAGTACGTGAACTAATCAATCTTTCTATGCTCGTTGCCCATGACTTTTTGTTCAAATCGTTATGCAACCGCGTCGGCGTGTAGCGCGAGGGCTTCGTCGTGAGACCTGTTGATGAGCCAGCAGGCTTCGTTGGCGTATTTCCCGGCAACTTCACTGCTGAAGTCGGAGACGCTTTTGGTACGTTGTACAAGTAGTTGCTCAGTCCCGGTTTGATGACCTCGACATTAGAGGATGAGCTGCTACCGCTTAAAATATTTTGATGTTCTGCCAATGTGCTGGTGCTCATCCTGTTTTGCATCTCCTGATGATGATTTCCACTATCGCCCATCTTCACGCCGTCTCCATTGTTCGTGTCTTTCGAAGATGTTGTAGCCTGCGCTATTGCTGTTAGGGGCATCTCGTGTAGCTCCTCTACAAGTGCCGGACCAGTTGCGGCAGGATCGTTTGAAGAACTACGAGGACCTGGGTTCTTGTTAGACGACGACAGTTGGTGATTCGCTACCACCTCCTCAAATTGCGAGATAGAACCAATCTGACCTACTCCGCGACCTGAGAACATATTTCCAAGCAGCTGGCTTGACGACAGGAAAAGAAGACTTCCTAACCCGCATTCTGGCTCTGGCTTTGGACTTTTGCATTTATTTTTCAGCGTACTAGATCTAGCGCCCTCCTCTTCGACTGGGACTACAGCTCCTGCGGGGAGTGGAGTCTCGAGATCGTCGTTTTGGAAAATGTGCTCCTGGAAAGGCTCCTCTAGTGGCTCTTCGACTTCGACCAACGTAGTTGGTTCAGCAGTTGGTTTGTGAGTTGGTTCTCCTGCAACAGTAGTAGTTACTACTTTTTCGTTGAGCGACTTTTGCGGGACAACTTGAGTTGATGTACCTTCGTCAGCTTGTTCAGCAGGCTTGTTGGCATTAAACTTTTGATTCTTCTCCTCCTCTACCTTAACTCTACCACCAGAAGTTGTTCTTGAAGTGTAAGTAGTGGTCTTGTTGTTAGCATCCACAAGTAAATCTGCAGACACGCGTCTTGCTTTCCTCCCACGAGAATTTTTGAAAGTGCATTAGAGGTAGGTTTTTGGTGCTCGCTTGCCCCGCTTGTTATGCCTTTCTCCCTTAGGAGAGGCATAAAAAGCGGTAAGAAAAGCACCTTTAACCTACCCTTAAGTGCAATCATCTACTTCAGGAACGGGCAGACTAGAACGTCCTTGATAATTCAAATCCGATAGACGTTTCTCTTTCTGTTTTTGCTCTTTTCCAGAAGATGAGGGCGTAGTCGACTTTCCTGGTGCCACTTCTTGTTCTCGTGTCGTTTTTTTATCAATGAAAATTATAGCTTTCTTGTCCTGCTTCTGCTTGCTGTCGTCATCCTTGTCCTGCTTGTTGCTCCTGCTCGTGTCTCTAGGAGTATTCGAACGTCCCTGATAGTTCAGATTCAAGTCCGAGAGACGCTTTTCTTGTTGAAGATGTTCAGCACTTCTACTAGTCGTACCAATCGGATCATCCTCCCCCCCACGTCCAAGACTCGAACGTCCTTGATAGTTTAGGTTCAATGCGGACAAGCGCGCAGGCGGGACCGGAGCATCTTCACCTCCTTCAGCATGCTCAATGTCTAATGACACCCTTCGACTAGTGCCACTCTTTCCCGAAGCGGCAGTGAACCTATAGCCACTGTTGCTAGCAGATCGATCTCCTGCTCCTCGCTTCATCGGTTTGGTACCTCCTGTTGAACGAGTAGTAGATGTTGCATCTTCCGATTCATGCATCTTTCGCCAAGGAGGTAAGTTACGAAATGCGCAGCCACTGGATGTTCGGTCTCTGATGGTCGAAGTGCTAGTTGCATCTTCTTTCAATTTGGACACCCGCGTTACAACAACATGATTTGCAGCACTACTCGACGATGATGATGAATGAGAAGAAGATGTAGCGTTAGCAGAAGATGATTTGTGTCTTTTTGCAGCAGCTTCTTCTTCTGCTTTAGCTGCCTCGTCGCACGCCAGCGCTCTCTGTCGTTTCCACCATGAGTCCAAATTCCGCTTTTTCTTAACAACACTAGGCTCCTTTGCTGTTCCACCCGTTGCAGCAGCAGAGGTGGACGAGGTGGCAGCGCTAGAAGAAGCTCCAGAAACTCCGGTCGGAGCTCCTACTTGTTGTAGTGGAGGTTCTGGATCATCTCTCTTCTCGTGTTTTTAGAGCTTGTTTTACAATCGACATTTTTGAGCCGGTGTCATACTGAAAGAAAATTATACTTCATGGAGTGCATTTGGATTTCAGCAGGATACCAATTATATTTAGCTGATATTGTTCTATCTAAATAAATTAGTGTCTGATATTCTTCTATCTAATTAAATAAATTACTTAGTGTCAGATGAGCAGAGGATGATGAAATTGAAATATCAACAACGGAGAGGACCACGACAACTCCCTTTTTATCACTAAAAAATACAAGAAAACAAACCACTGCCCATAAAGCGTTTTCAAAGGCGATATTCTGTCATTGCCTTCGCCCCCTCTGCCGGGTCCGCCAACAGAATTCGAATTTCCATCTTTCTCATCTAGTTGCAACTGCCTCTTCACGTTAGGGGTTGAAAGTTGACCGATCTATCTTCCATATCTATGAAGACAACTTTCCTAAGTACTTGAAAAGGTCAACTACATAGATATGCACATACTTCTAAAGGGGTCAACTTTCAACCCTTAATCACAGGTCGAATCAACTCAGCGAGGCTGCGCTCCGCCGCGTCCTCGCTTTCGCCTAGCTTGCCTGCCAACGGCGTAGCCACCCACCTCTGCTTTCGCGCCTCTGGACTCAAAAAGCGACTCATTGTTAGTTCTTGATGTTGAATAAAGGTTGTCTTACTCTTAGTTGTAGTCCGTCTTTGATCACGATGAAATATTCTTCGAGATTACTAGGAGGGTAAAATTGGTGAGGATGTAGTAGAGAATAATTTGATGAACGAACGATGTTGGAGAGAGGGTGCTTCTCCTCTTCCGCTTTTCCGATTGGTTTTACCTAAGTACACCCCTTCGTGCTGCAAACTACGAGAGGCTTCTTGGAGTCGGAAGTAGAAAAACTCTCCTTTTGTTCATAAAGCTTTTTTTACTTTTTCGGAGGGGTGAGCTTACTCTTAGGTATTCTAAGTACTTACTCTCTTTCCACACTTTGCTCTCATGTGCCTCTTTTGAGGATCGAGGAGCCTGGTTGTACTTACTCTCTCTCCACGACGACGCTCGACAACGACGTCCCTGGTGACCCTGTGTCTTCTCGTTTTCTTGGGAAAATAAGGACTGAATAAATTGGAAAAATAAGGGCCTCGTTCACTCATTATTTGGGAAAATAACAGGGCCTCGTTCACTCATTATTTGGGAAAATAACAGGGCCTCGTTCACTGCTTTGGGAAAAATCTTCTCTTCACACTACGGAGAAGTCTAGCGACAGAGTCTCGGGAGCTCCATCATGTAGCAACGAGCATCGTCATCATGTAAGCATTGCGAGACATCTTCATTTTTATCGTGTCATCATCCGGAGAGAATGTCTGAGTGCTCATATTCTGAGATCCGAAATCTTGTATATGCATGACTTGTTTTTTCATACTTATGAACGAAACATTATTTGTGAGGAAAATTATAGCGCTGTTAGCTCTGCATGTGGAGCAGGCAGCCATATTCTTAGTAGTTACAACTACATCTTCAAAATCTTAGTGTGTGCATCATTTGAATAGTTATTCTTCTAGCATCTTCTATGTTCTTTGTTTGTTTGTTTTGATGCGCTCCGGGCGACGCGTACGATCTTCTATGTTCTTTGATATGACGATGATGAAATAATGCATATGAAATCACATGCATGTATACCTATGCCTATGAAGAGCATAATTAAAGAATTTCATTAGGTTCTCGTTCATTGACGACCATAAAATATGAATCCTCTTTGGCTACTAGGCAGTCGTTTTCTGCTCCCAGGAGAATAGAAGAGAGGGCCTTCATCGTAGCTATGGAACTGCGAATTGATTCTTAATTAACATGATAGGCAGTAGGTGGAAAAGTGGCTCAACATTGGAGATGCAATTATGTTAGCTTAATTTGTTTGTACGACTTAATTTTCCCCTGACCGGGTAACAAATAAGAATTATCGGCTTGTGCTTGGATGACTTTAATACAAAGTGACATCTACTGTGAGGAATGAGACCACACTGTGATCTAGCAGCGATGAAGGCTCACAACATAAGGATATGCGTAACATCAAGCGTCATATTCATCCTCACGCTTCTAGATGCGTGCTTCATCACATGATTTGCGTGCTTCTTCACACTAGCATTTTGACCCTGTTCGTAAACTTCCAGAGCACTGCATCTTGTTCCGACTCGCCTATCTGGACCAAAACCTGCGACACCCGCAACACGTTGCCCCCACCCGGACCATCTTCGTCGTCTCCACAGCCACCTCGTGAGCGTCTCTTGAAGAGTTTTTTCAAACAGCATAGACCACGTTGGAAGGGCAGCGGACGTTGCCTTCCTGATCCAGAAGCGGCATTGGAACTTTCACCACGACCACAAGAGCTAGACCTACCTCTTCTAGAAGTTCTAGTTGCTCCATCTCTGCATCGATCGTCTCTACGCTGCACAGTGATGCGTCCCCAACGTCTGCCCATAGCTGGTTGAAACAAATCGACTTCAACGCGATGCCAGTTGTTGACTAGGTTTTTACTAGTACTATGATGGGAACAAGAAGTGGAAGATGGTGGACTACGAGCAGCTGTCGTGGTTTGGGAACCTACAAGAGTTCCAGGTTGTGCTCGTTGCTGTTGGCCTGTCGGTCTGCTTACGAATGAACCAGTGCAACAACGAGTCTCTTCTCGTCTTGGTCGAGAAGCGTCGAGACACGGTTGAGCTGCATCTCCGCTTGTAATAATTGGTTGTCGTGGTGTAGTGAAGGTTGATGGGCCGTCGCTTGGAGTAGCAATGTTGTAGTGAGGTGGAGACTGACGTTCTTGCTCAGCCTGCTGTTGCTGCTGTTTGGCTAGCTTCATTTGTTGACTACATTTAGACAACTTTTGAGTGAATCCTCTTTCATGTGCGAGCCTTTCTTCTGCAGGACCTATGACAGGTGGATCTTCAAAACTAGTGTACTCTGTTTGACGTCGCGCTGCATCTCGACGTTCAGCCCTTCGTGACCCTCCACATCGTTTCGTTCTAGTTGTAGACTGCGTTGCTTGGCTACGTCTGCCAGTAGTACTCGGCACATCTTCACGACCTCCTGAGAAACTGGAAAAACTTGTTGCGTCAGCACGCGGCAATGGCACAGCGTCTGATGAAGGACAGAGAATGCCGCCAACAGTTCCGTCAGGGGATCCAGAGAGACACTGGGAATCAACAGGGACGCTGACTGAAGGCAAGCCTGACCCACTACCGGTATTTGCAATCATACTGCTGGATCTAGATTCACTTGCACGACTGGCAGTAGCTCCTGTACCTGAACCAGTACCTGAACCAGTACCGCCATTGCCTGTACCTGTCGTGGTGCCACCATGCCCTTGTCCTACAATACCTCCTTGTCCTTGTCCTACAATACCTCCTTCGTCAGCTAGCAAATCCACATCATAATGCATGTGTGTTGTCAGTGGTTCTGGAGGTTGCAATTGACAACGAGGCCAAGAGCTGCGGAAAGCTCGATCAGTGATTGGTGTGTAGTTCACACGATCGCTGAGGTTAGTGGTTGAGACTGGGTCTCCAGCGTCTTGCTGGGAAGTCTCTACTGCACCGTTGTGGGGAGCACCACTTGAAGCGCCGTGTTGTTGCTGGAACTGTCCTCCTCCCGCTTCTCCTCGGGAAGCAATAGGTAGAACAAGTCCTGCTACTCCTCTTGCATCTTCTTGTTGATGCTGACCTGCTCCCACGACGGAAGCATTTGCCGACGTAGGTTCGAGCTGCGAGATGGTCGGTGGAGGTGCGCAGGGGATTAAGACCCCTGCCGTGCTCCTCTGGGGGTCATAGAAAGCTTGGTTTGTTAGAGTCTTCTGTTGTGCATGTTGAGGGTGGGTCAAACTGACGAAGACGATGTTCACTTATCTTAGTAGAATGACAATGACGGGCATCAATATGCATATCGGCAAACTGGTTTGAAGACATTTATTACTACTTAAGTAACTTTATTGCTTCTTCACTACACCAGCTTGTAGCTACCAAAGCATAAGTGTTGTTGCACCATCGCTTGTGTATCGTTTACTCTCTCCACTACAGAGCCAGACACTGGATCTACTGGATTTTGTTGATAAGCCTGTAGTTCTTGGATTTCTTCTGGGCTCATTGGTTCCATCATGCTTCCACTAGTCTGCGTAGCTAAAAAAGGTTGAGACGCTTCTGGAACGGTTGGGCCCACCGTTGATGGCATCGGTGAGGGGATCATCATGTTTACCCCGCTACCCCTATCTCCAAGAAGGTAAGAACTCGATCCACTGGCACTCCGATCACGGACACTAGCTGGCGTAGCTGTTGTTCCGGTTGATATCTGTAGTTGGTTGAACTGGGTCGTGGTAGTCCTACTTGCTCCTGTGCCGTTTCCTGCTGGTCCACCTCCCTCCAAGGAGGATGTGAAGGAATGGGTGCTACAAATGTTAGAGGTATCTTCGGGAATTGTTCATCTCAGGGAAGATTATTTGGGTCCCTTTTTCCTCTTATCTTTCTCTTCCAGTTCCAGATGACTCATTTGGAGATGATGACTTCCAGATGACTTAGGAGATGAATACCCCACACGCTACACCCAACATAATACTGCTAGCGTGTTGTTGCTGTTGGGTGCCGAATCCCATATCCAATCCAGCACCTCCTGGCACTGGGCCGTCTCCTGGAGCGCTGATGAAACTTGCACTTCCTCCTCCAGCACCACCTACAACGCTCCTCGCCCCTCCACCAATGCTAGAAAGAAACGACTCACCTCCTCCAATTCCAATTTTTAAAGCGCAGCCTTCATTGGTCACTGACTCTGATGAACGGAAGAAACCCCCTCCAAGGCTCTCCCCTTTGGTTTGAAAGGTGAGAGAAAGTTTCCCTCCATTTACACAACGAAAGTTTCCCTTCATTTATTTCCGCTGTTCTACTCTCAAGGGGAGGTCGCCTCTTCGTCTTCGATTTCAGTGACCAACCTCTACGACCAATGAAAGTTGAGCCTTAATGATGAAGCCAAAGAAGCAGCAAGGCTTCGTGCACTTGGGCTAATACCGCCAGCATGGATGCCCATTAGGGGGAGTCGATCTGCTACCCGTTCTAGCGAATGAAATAAAGCAATAATCGAGTCCGTACTCCTCAGCCCCTGATCGATGCTGAAACTGATCAGATGCGCTACCATGGAAGGGTCAGAACCACCCTCAAAAAAATCGAGGAAAGTGTCGTACAAGTCTAGTCCTCGACTGCTACAACGGCCAGTGGATGAAGGGGCACCGCTGGGAGGTGCAGCGAAAGAGCCGATGGATATTTGTTCCGTTCTTGGAGGTCCTTCGGGGTTTGTTGTGCTGTAGTGTTTTTTGGTCGGAAAAAAGTAAAAGTGAACAAGAGTTGAACTAGAGTAGGTAGATGTAGAGTGTGACTGGGAAGAGATGAAAGTGAACAAAGGAACGCATTATGTTAAAGCGTTATTGATGTTTTTCATGAAGAATGAAGTAGATGCATACTTTGATAATCTTATGACACAACTACTAGCAGGTCGTAAGTAAGCAATACTAATACACGGCCCCAGAACTGCTCGATGCCGCATATGCCCCTGAGACAAGCCAGACTACCGCAAGCAGGCATGAAAAAAGGCAAGTAGAGAATGACTCCTTCATCTTGATGATTTTTGTGTTGCAACTGGGGTCCAGTGAAAGTGTGGTCTTGTCTCAAATGAACGGAGAGTGAAAAAATGCTTCTCCTTATATATTCGTGAAACAAATCTGAAGATCAGTTACAAACGGGCGAAACGATTCAAGACTTCTACGATTAAATTTCAAGGAAGAAGAATGTCGGACGAGTGAAAACGGTTTGACTTAAATTTCTTCTCTCAGTCTCACCGCGGTATATATATTTTTCTATGAAGTGTTGTCTGGAGCTGGATAGAAGAGGGATCAAGATCTGTCGTAAAAAGGTGCAGAAGATGCACAGAAGGACAACTTTATTGTTGATAGGTTCCATCTGCGGAGAATTGATAGGTTGCATCTGCGGAGAATCGAGGTCCTGCCTTGTGAAATCAAGAACATGTCCAGAGGCCACAAAGAGACTTTGGATCATTGTTCCACTCAGGAACCAGCAAGCCATCCAAGACAGGATGTAATGACCACACCAGCCTAACAATCGTGTGTCTTTCTACTTTCTTCGATGTGCTTGTGAAAGCACGTGGAGTTAGTTCTTGTTTTTCAACAGAACGGCAGGGGACGAAAGCGAATCTTCTATAAAAATATTCTAAGTATTATAACCTGTTGTATGTCGTGCACGGTCATGTTGGTTATGGGAGGTGGACGTAACGTTTTAGAAATGCGCAGGGAAGGTTGAGGACGCTTAGGACCTAGGAAGTAACAAGAGTTTAGGAAGTAACAAGTATCTTCAGGCAGCATTAACTGAAAAAGTATCAATAAATATGTATCAACAAAAACCAAACCATAAATAAACAAACGTGGCGGTCGTGATATGATGAACTCTTAATTATATCCGATATCTTGATCTTCATCGTCGAGAGTAGAATTTGTCTGGATGGCTTTGCCTTATCGGGCTCTGACTAAAATCATCTTATTTTCTTTCTATATTAACTGACTCTGAAGACTCTGCTAACAATTGCAACATCTGCTAACAATTGCAACAGGCTGAGGACTCTGCTAACAACTATGCTGGGTGACATCGACTGGTATTCACTTATCAAAACTCATCGACTCACACGCTCAAACTTGTTATGGAAAAATGAGAACGGACTCTAATGAACTTCACTCTAATGCATCTACATCTACATGCGAGGTGTACAATATCGACAGAAGTCCAAGGGCTTTAATCAACACAGCAGCTAAGCTTTTTTGCATCACAACTATCTTCATGAACGGTACCAACAACTAGCCGCCCAACTTGTACAAGTAATAAATATAGCATGTTCTTGCATTCGATAAACTGAAGTAACCGAGTTTGCAGCTAGGGAATCATCTCAGATACTCGGTTATTAAGTTTAACTTACTTAATAAGTACTCGCGTATTTTCAATTTTCGAGTACTCTAAGCTAAGCATCATACATTCCTAATACACGAAGTACTTCTAGCAACTTTCCTCATCCCTCCTGGATGTCATTGCCACGGTCGACACAGAACCCTACAGCTTCCTCTAGGGTTCTAAAACCCTCCACTTCAGCTTGATGGCAGAGCACTAGCGGGAATCCTAATTCGAGAATTAGAAGAGGGCCCTCCTGTCACAGCATAGCATGAGTCTCACATAGTCTTACATGTACTCCTGTCAGATAAGAAAGATGAAAGTGTCAACATTGTCATCTTCCACTTCCTGCTGTCAGTTTCCGATGAAGAAGAAAGACTTGGCAAGGAAAACTGTAGTTGTACCTCTCCTGCTTGAATCATCTACCACTTCGAGGACCTGCCGTAACAACAACTGCGATAGATTCCAGCGTGGCTGCCCATCATCTTGTTGTGGTGCGAAGGTCTGTATATCTGGCACCCCCTCGGATCCCGAACTATCAGTCAATGACACACTAGCAGGATTGTAAACGGCTTCAATCGCTTCATTTCGGGTATGAAAGTGGAACGTGTAAGTAGTATTTCGTGGAGCATTTGGGTGGAAGGGTTTGGGTTTAGGGTTGGGAAGGTGTGGTGCATCTTCTATATCATCCTCGTGGAGGAGTTGTATCAGAATTAGCTTCCAAGTCAGAAAAAACGGCCATAGGGACAGGGAGGTAGGGGTAGTAGAGCAAGAGAGATGAAAAGTACTCTTAATAAATACACTCACAGATGACAGATCCTCTTTGATACAAATTTCTTAAGGTCAACATAGTAAGAGATGAGAGAAGTACTTAGTACAACTTTTTATTACATCACTGACTCACAGATGATCGAGATCCTCTTTAATACAATTTAAGTTCCCATGGCAATACAGCTTGTTGTCGTCCCCATCCTCATCCGCTTCTGGTTTCGCCATAGTTACAGAACCTATACCGTACTTTACTACACCTCGAGTTCCAAGTGGCTGTGGCTCCTCTTCTTTTCTCTTGGCAGGGTGCGGTCTGGTGTTAGAGGGATGCGTACTCTTTAGAAGAGAAGAGAAGTGCTTGTACGTACTACGTACTAGCCATACTTAGAAGAGAAGTGCTTGTACGTAGTACTAGCCATGTGGTGTTGGCAGAAAATCAAAAAATCGAGCAGACAGTCAGTGTTGACTGTTGACTAGAAGTTTTTAATAGTATAACACTAGTAGCTGTACGGTATGAGTATGTATATCAATCTGAAAGATCTTCTGAATAAAGATGAACAACGCGGTTCAAAAATCCTCCATAAGATTCCCACTCCCAGCTTCATTCACCGTGGTTTGCATCTTTCTACCTGCTGAGTCTGTTTGAGAAGTTGCTACTTCAGCTAATCGATTCAAATTTTCTGCTGACATTCGAGTGTCTGAAGAGACAGATGGCCGCTTACTAGGGGAAAAATTCGTGGGTCTGTTACTGTTTGTGTCTGAGGGAGAAGATGTAGTTCTAGTTGTATTTTCTTGTTGACCTCCACTTCTAGTACTATCAGTCAGCACCAGCGTACTCCTAGGCGCGGAATGGTTCTCAGAGAAGGTAGGTGGAGGCCTTTGTATCGCACTGTTTCTTGTTGATGCACCTCCACTTGGGGTACCTCCAGAGTAGTTGGTTGATCCTGGTTCACTTCCACTACCAGGCGGTCCCGCAGAGGCTGCGCCACCGTTGCCACCAGGCGTTGGCTGCGCTAACGGCTTCGGATATGACGTCCGACTCTTCGGCATAGAAGCACTAACATTGATGTCATCGGGATCTTCTCCCGCTCCTATGCTAGGTCTCCTCTCGCCACCAGTTGCTCGATTTATGATGGTTTTCCTTTGCTCGTCTGGGGAAAGAAGACTCTTGATGTAGGCAGCCTCTCCTCGTTCTGGAGATGTGGAGGAGACTGCGGAAGATGTGGCTGAAACGTCCTTGAGCATGTGCGCGCGCCACGCTTGTTGTCGACTGCCATAGCGACGACGCGACTCAAGGTCTTCGTAGACGAGGGTGCCTGTAAAGCACAAGTGTGAAGATAAAGTTGAAGATGATCATTGTGTAAGTTGTGTAGGAGTTGCTGATCATGTTACATTTTTTACAGTACTCATCAAATTCAATTCATCGAGAAGGAAGTGAAGACACTTAACTCAAGACACCCTCTCTACTTAAGTAGTACCAGGCCTACTTCTGCTCTCTACCACTCGATAGTTTGGTGGTATTGATTCGCCTTCATGGTCCTTATTTTCGGCACCTGCTAGAAGAAGACCCCCTGAAGATGCTTTTGTTCCGCCATTGGCACTTGCACTACCAGTAGCTGTATTTACAGTACTCGCTAGTCGTTCTGATCTTCTCGATGGTGAACTATTCTGATCTGTTATTCCATTCGCTTTCCTTACTAGAGCCCCGTTTTCTGATTGCAGTGCTGCAGCTAGGAAGTCTGAGATCTTCCTCATGTAGCTTCTCGGTCTCTGGCTATTGTGGTCTGCACCCTCCACGCAATCATAGAGCTTGTCCTCGCCAGCATACGCTTCCCAAAGGTCTCTGGAATGGTGCGGTGGTATGAAGTTGTCATCAGCGCCAGCGATGAAATAAGCTGGGACATAGGATCTGCTCACGTTTTCTATTGGCTTCAAATCGTCTATCTCGAAGCCGGCTTTTTCCTTGACCGTGCCACGAAGGAAATGCAAAACGCCGTCGACGATGAGAAATGAACGGAGTTAGGAGTAGCGGGGAGGAATTCTTGAGCTTTGTTTGGGGGAACAAGAGCGATCGAGACCACGCATTTTCATGGCGTAACCGGTGTCTAAATGGCAGCAACACGATGTGAAGAGCGAGCTAACGCTAAGTAGAATATTCTCAGCCCTTCATACAAGTGAGGTGAGCGTTCCGGCTTTTAAACCAAGATATTCCCCGTTTTCCACTAACTCCTGGCAAAGCGTGCGCAGTCTCGTAAAGGGAGAGTCTAAGACCTGACGATAGATAAAGAGGCAAAGAAATATCATACGCAACGCATGGACTACGATAAACAAGCCGAGGCTCCCCGCCAAGGTAACAAAATCCAGCCAGTCAAAACAAACACACAAGGCCACAAGCACGAGGCCGCCGGCACATGCACTAAGTAGACAAAGGGGCCAGGTCAGAAGACTGTGCCGCGGGAAGACCAAGCCACCCAAGAAATTATCATACGAAGAACAAAGACACGGCGCCGCGGCTTCGTCTTGCTGGCTCCGGCTAATTTCGTCCCCCACGCTTTCACTTTTTCGCTAATGAGACAACGCTCACTGCCATTCTCTACGCACTTACGCGCCCAACCGTTTCAGAGCCTCACCCGGTGGGGCTGCTCTGCTCTGCCTTGGCGGTTCTGCCTGTTTCCCTGCGTTCGCCAGCTCTCACTCTTCTCCGAAAGTGGGCTGCAAACGTTAGGCGAACTGATGGGAGGCGCCGGCCACGAAGTGGCAGCGCCCGAACTGAAGCCAGCACGCTGTGGCCCCTGGGGGTGCCCGCTGCACCTTTGCGGCGATGGATTTGTTTTGCTAAGCCTCGGCGACCAAGTTGGGCCGCGAACCCCTGCGCGGCGGGGATGTACCTCGGGCGGGGGCCTGTTCCTTTTCGAGTGTTTCCCCGCCTTCTGCTCGGCGCGCGCGTCCCTCTCGAGAAGAGTCAAGGGCGCGGAGCGGCTCTGCCCACGGGCCGCGCCCTTGCAAACCGAGGGCGCCGGGTTTGCGCGAGGGTTTTTGCGCTGAGGGATTCTGGGCATCTTTAACGCCGGGTGGCTCATGCTACGTCGGGGCACGAAGATGCTGACAGACTAGGTTATATTACCAAGCATGCCAAACTGTGGTCTCTATCAGCGTGTAGTAGTGCTGTGACTGCGCCCATGCTGCGTCCCCACAAACCTATTGATCCGATGTATCCCGTTGTTCGCAGATACTGAGTCACCGTCTGTAGATCGTCTTTTTCGTAGAAGCCAAGACTGACATAGTCACCGTCTGATAAGCCACTACCAGAAAAGTCGAAACAAAACAGTGTACAGGGAAGAGGCAGGACGACCTGGTTTGTATTCATTAAGCGGCAGAAATACACGAGAAAGCTGTGGGCAAAAAGTTGTACCACGATGAAGAGGACTCCAGATAATGATAAAATGGAAATCGATGTGCAACGATTCAATTTTACCTGCAGCCCAGAGTTACAGTTAGCACCCAGCACTTTAATCATATTTACTGACAGAAGAAAGAGAACTACCAAATCCGAGCAGACGAGTGAAAACCAAGTAACAATAAGTACTCACCTCCAATGCAGTCATCGCCTCCACCCGGCTACTTGAGTTTCCATGGAGGTAGATGACACAAGGCCATTTACTATCCGGGTCTATCTGCGCAGGCAAAAAGTGCGAGCATTGAAGCCTATGCCCACGCGCGTTTACTAATTCGAGGTCCTGGAGATGATGTTTTTAGGGACGAGATATTCATATTTATAACTTCTGACTTGAGGAAGAGGACAAGAACTACAAGGGAGGAGTAGAAGCAGATGCAGACCACAACTTGAAAAAGATGACTGCATGCGGAAAAGTTGTATTGTTTATCCATATGTAGTTGGCGAGGAGAATCATAACGGATGCTCACATTGTGAGTCATATATTTATAAGTAACAAAGAGCAATTTGATTCATTGGCATCCTTCGAAGTAATACTCCTCGAATTCGAATACCTACAACAACCTGTACAACATAGTAGTAGTACTGTCAACACAAGAACTCTAAGTACCTTTCTATGCCACACTCTCTGTCCTGTTCTAAACCTCTTAGGACCAAGGTCGTCAAGCGTATAGGTATCCCTTGGTGGCCGTATGATTGCGTCGACAGCCCCATTGTACGTGGCAGTCAGCGATGCGAACATCTCCGTCCTCGTGCTCTCACGCAGCAGAAGTTGGCTTTATGTTGTTCACGCAGCAGAAGTTGGCTTTGTGTTGATGCTCTCACGCTGGCTTTATGTTGTTCACGACTACTTTACTACCAATTTATTTCGTTGTTCCATGTCGTGATTGTTCTAGGAATATTTTTCGTTCTTGAGTACGATATTCTACTTTATCGCGCAGGAGGACCAAGAATTGCTTCTACTAGTAGTCCTGCTTGTCGGAGGACGTAGTGGAACAGTCGCCGAAGGCAGTTCTGATCATTGACAGGAGGTTCTTATCGTTGAACGCAATTTCCTACACCTATCGCGCCTTTGTTGAACGGCGATGGCCAGAATTTAAGCATCTGCAGCAACTCCTGTGGTAGCCAGAACTGATGAAGACTCTGCAACTGCGGAAAATATGAATCGCAATCGTCGTGCCTTGCAGAGGATCAACACGCCTTAGAAGTCCTCTTGTTGAGCTCAGTGAGCTCACGACTTGCTTTGCGATGTCATTGTGTTGCTCCTTGAAAATTATGGGAAGAAGTCTTCATTCCGAATTGGGAGCAGAGATAAGAAAATGAATATATAAGAAGTGGTAAAGTAGGCGTAGGGGTAATCATGAGTCAAGCTTTTGCTCGTTGTCGGCTTCGACATGATTGGCACCACATCATGTAGTCTTAGTTACGAAAGTTATACATAGAAGAGGAAGTAGGAGGTAAAGGGAAACACTTCCCACGCCAATCTAACTGAAAATGGATGCATCTAATCAACACATGCGAAAAAGAAGAAAATCAACATAGTATCATAATATCAACAAAGAAATACAACAAAGATCTGTGGTTGTGGTCTGCAAGGCAAATAGAGTTCAGATAAAGCGGGAATCAATCGCCTAATCGTTTTTGAAAGATACTCCGAAACATGTAAGATAAGGGGTTTTCACTAATAATTGTGCTGGTCATCTCTTCTCATTCTCTTTTTCTACATATGAATGCTGCCGCAGCCATCTATTGTGTCCTCTCAACATATGGTCCCCCATTTTCTTGTCGCGTAGTCGTAATATAGTCTTTTACGCTTCTTCGCATGATGTGACAGATTCAAAGCGATGGTGATAGAAAGTGGAGGCACATCTTCCATCAGATGAACACCAATCACTAATACCGTGGGGAAATAAGTGCGTTGCGAAAGCCTGAAGCTGAATCTGCTGCAGCTAGAAAGACATAGAGTGCGAGTGTTGCGTGCCGCGTATGAGTATGAAAAGAACGGAAAACCCAGATGGAAATTAAGCAACTCTAGAGATCCTCTTCACCATCATCATTCAAAAGACCTTCCTGTAGAATCTTTTCTCTCGCTCTACTTTCCGCGAATTCGCTATGGGGTATAGGTGGAGGAAATGCACTTATCCCGCTGTGTTGTTCCTGTGAAGGAGGTGGTGGTGGAGGAGGAGGTGCTGTACTATCAAGATTTTCAGTGTCATGTCTATCTTGATGCGTATGTTGTGTCTTGTGCAACTCATCAATAGTCCTTCCTCTACTAACGTCATTATCTTCATTTGACGAGTCGCCATCTACTGGAATCCCACCAACTCCAAAACCAGTGTCAGAAGCCAAGTCAGAACTCGTCAACCTCGCTTGTCTGCTCTTCTCCAAACTTCCCCTACCTCTTCTGACGTCAGTTTTTCTAGTTGATATTCCACGAGAACTGCCTCCGCCACTATGATTAGACCTCTCGTCCCCTATTCATTCCGGTTGAAATCCCTCAAGCATATGCGTCAGTATCTCCCTTGTATCTATTGGGGTGCATATGAATGTTTGAGGGATCCCTATAGAGGAGATGGATTAGGGGCAGCCTTAATATGACCTCCACCGCCTTCTGCACCGGGCGAGCCGATCCCTCTAGCATCTCCAATGCCACCCATCATCCTAGCCTGTAGTTCTGCCTCCTCCCTCGCCAGCTCGTCCATCATGAGTAGCGAAGCTGCACGACTCTTAGCGCCTTTTCCTGAGCCGTTAGTACCAGGAAAAGGCTTGTCACTAGGTTCGTTGACCCCACCAGCCATTCCAAAAAGCAATTCTAAGGGTGCAGACGCGTTATCATCGAGGCTTACTTCTACGGTTTTAGGCTCTTTAACTTTGTCCTGATGGGGAGGTGGAGATGGCGGTGGAGGTGTTGGTGCGTCGTTTTGTTGTTCTACTTGTTCAACAGCATCTACTTGACGTAATCTCTGTTGCGGACCGCGATGGTCTCGGAGAATTCGTTGTGGTTCTGGTGATGGCATATACTCTTTTCCTATGATGTTGTGCTGGCTAACTGAAGCCTCGTAATCTTCCCCATCATCTTCTTCTAGATCAGCATACAAAAGTGCTTTTGTTTCAGGACTTGTACTTGGAGGTTTCTGTCTAGTCCTCCCAGAAGTAGAAGTACTAGTTGGGTTCTTTGTAGTTGCACTTTCTCTTTCTGCTTCATCTGGTGTAGGACGAAAGGTACTACGTTGATCTTGCTGATGATCTGCGTGGGGGTCTGGAAGTCTGAATGGCCTTATGTCTGCATCACCGACAGAGTTGGCACCGACAGGTCGAATTTGAGCACCAACTCCAGGTCCAGAGCGAGAATCAGATCCATGAGTACTAGAGCCACCTCTACTTACTTCCCCATTAGAAGCACCAGTTACCAGTAGTCCATCTCCACCACCACTCCTTGCCTCTTCAAAAGGGTTCCAATTCCATGGTGGCAATAGCTGCATCTCCATATCGCGATATAGAACGGCTTTCTCCACTCGCAAGTCCATGCCTTCGAACAAAGAGCCTGCCTCCAAATTCTCCACGAAATGTAGTTCTTCTATCGGCATTTTTGCTGTGCTGACTATTTGCAGAAACCGCGACCCTTTGGGGCTCACGACTGGAAGGATCTCATGTTTGCGCTTGCTGTTGGTGCCTCCAGTCGTGTCGTCACTTTGTTGACCTGCTTCTTGACCTCCAGATGAGGAAGATGCGCTCTCTCCAACGTTATCAAACTCCGCACCCCCACTCAACGCAGCTCTTGCACGCTCTGTCGCTTCCAGATCTATATGATCAGAGCCTGCCTTAGGTTTCACGGCCACCCTGCCTTTGAAGAGCAACTTCCCAGTTTCATCCTGGAAATTGAAACTGACGTCTTCCCGCTCTGCTCTATCCAAGATTAGGTCAAATTTGCCTATTAGAGGTAGGCTTTTGGTGTTCGTCAATCCCGCTTGTTATGGCTGTCCCCCTTGGGAGAGCCATAACAAACGGCAACAAAAGCACCTTTAACCTACCCTTAAGCCTACTTTCGCATTTCGTTTGTCCAATCCCCAGACAGAACGCGCGTGAGAATGGACATCGAGGACTTCGTGTTTTGATTAGAGCTGTCCGCAGTTCATCTTCCAAGTGCATCCTTGAAAAGTATGGGGGAGTATAGTTTTTCCCTTAGGATACTCCTCCAGCTCCCTACGTTTCAAGGTGCATGCGCCCAAAGATGTACTAGGTGGTACAGCCTTAATTTGATGTTGGGGTACTTGAACTTAGTGCAGCTTCTTGATGCGCTTTCGTTCCACTGCTCGGGGAGCTTCCTGCGAGACTAATACTTGGAGAAGACGATGAAGATGATGAAACAAACCCTCGCCACATGTAGGTATAGACACAGTCAGGCAACTTTGGACCGCAAGATGCAAAGCTGTCGCAGCTTGACAGTTTAGTCCTCCTCGCATCTTCACAAGCCGGATAAGCCACGGCGAGTTCAGTGTAATTCCCACGATTTGATGCAAACTTGCCCAGTGCGATGACGAGGAGGGCACGGCGTTTGTTGATATTCGGTTTAGATGGTGTTGTAGCAGAAGAGTCCTCTGAAGGCTTTCCGTTTGAGGAAGCGAAAAACTCGATGGGCTCCCAAGAAGTTGTGCTAGTAGAAATTGAAGAAGACGAAGATACTGTATTAGCAGTAGTGCTTGGGGACGTTGTACTGGACGATGCAAATCGCTTTCTAAACGTCTCAGCATCCGCAGACGCGTAAAACTGCAACGTGTCTGCGTGTGTGATCTGCAATCCAAATCGATTTTCGGGAAAGGTGCGAAAGAAATGGGAAGGCTGCTGTGCGGTCACTGACACAGCATATGACACTAGATAGAAGAGTGTCGACATGCTCCTGTGTAGTTTTCGCATCGTCGGTATTCGTGTCATTTTTTACGTTGGGTAGGGTATGAAAATTCTTTTCTAGTACATCATTTCTGTTCATGTCAAGCTTTGATTTATATTTTCCTGTCCTCGCCCTTGCCCTTCGTTTTTGTCTTTTTTCAAGAACTCAAGTTCAACAGGCAATCGTCGGTCGCACTTTCTGCTTTTTGAAGTTCAAGCTTCGCGCTCGCGGACGAACAAGAACGCCACTAATTTTTTACCCGCAGCATGCACTGGAGCGAAGGCAATCAGGTAGACCTGCTTTTGCACCGTCGTGATATTTTCTCATTGTACAACTTGCGCAGAGAAGTAGATATTGCTCAACTTACAACAAATGACTCCCTAAACATCATCGCTAGCTTTGTAGCGATTCAATATTTTGCATGAGCAGAGCGCGTTTTCCCAATACGTCACAATCATATGCTTGGCATAGGAGGCTTGCGGGATATGGCGCTTTCACACATGTGGCGCATGTTGTGTCCTCAATATCAGCTAGCTCTCTCCTCAATTCCTGTGTCCTTTCTAAGAGCTTGTTGGGTGCAGCAAGACATTTGGGACATAAAGAGTTGGGTGCTGCAGAAGTGCTAACTGAGTGGTCTACTTGTTTTTGTGACTGGGAATAGAAATTGAGAATCGGTGACGAGGATGATACTTCTTGGTTCCTCTTTGAGAGTGAAGAAGACCTCCTGTTTCTCCCTTCATTACGCGTTTCGTCTTTTTCATCAGCACTATCGTCATCAAGAACAACAACCTCATTTGGATCTTCTTTTCGACGATTTTGTAGTGCAGCGCCTCGTGCTCGATCTTCTACTCCACCACTACCGCCAGTCCCCCTCAGCATCGGCTTTTTACACATCTTACACGTGCTTTTGATGAACTTTGACAATGGTCCTCGATTTTTTAACAACCGTTTATCACTTACTGGCGGAACCCAGGATCGCACGTCTTCTCCCACGAGCGTGAACAACCTCTGCAGACAGGGCACTAATTGCTTATTGATGTAATATTCGGCATCGGGGTCTGAGAACTTTGCAGGCGCTCGCGCTTTGTCGAGCAATCGACCTGGCCCTTCCGCAATCCCGTATGCAACTCGCTTGTTCGGTACTAGTTTTCCTCGTTCGACGATATAGGCATGAACCGGTAAAACGGCATAATCTTCGAGCCTGCGCGTCTCCTTGTAGAAAAGCAATTGGTCCTTAGGGACTTGGTTCTCACGGATTTTTCGTACCTCTGCAACGAACGCGGCCTTGGCTAGACGGACATTGCGTTGCAAGAGTTTCAGTTTCTTACGGGTCCAAAAATAGGGTTCTGAAAGATGGTCATCGAACTGTTCATCACTGTCCCTGGGGACTGGAGGACTTGATGATCCACCTTGGCCTACGTCCCCTCTGCGTTTGTTGTCTGCTGCTCCATGAGCTACACGTGGAAACTGTATCGGTGCCGAGCATGAAGTGAAGGCTCCTGCTTCACCTTGATCTTCTTGGTTCATCTTCCGAGCATTCGCGTTAGCCACAGTTCCAAGTTTGCCCATCAAGTGCTCTGGGACGCCTGAAAACATGATATGCAGAATCTTCTCCATGTTCTTTTGTGTCCATCGGCAGACATCTCTCCTGACGGTTTCAATGCCCTTAGCATCAAGCGAGGGCTTTGCTTGGGTCGGACTGGCGTAGCAGTAGCCGACGTAGCGCTTTTTGGAGACGGAGGATTAGAGAGAATGCTGGTTTTTGACAAAAACAAATCTACTAACTGTGAATGACAGACTTGGCTCTGACTGAATAACAGACTTGATAAAAATTTCTTATTCTCAGTAATTCAACAACATTATTCATCTTATTCAGTAATTCAACATTTTCATTTCCATAAAGACAGCTCGGCCAGTACACTTTCTCCATCTCTAACTCCATGGGCCAGGGATGTCTCTCCGTCACCTTGCGGACGATCGCGTTGCCCACGTTAAACGCATGCCCAAGAGAGTCACAGTTCTTCACACGCACAAAAACTGAATCTGTATCACCATAGTTAGCGGTCACAATCAGAATAATTCATATCGATATCCCACCTTCGTGTGCTCAGAATTCAAGAATGTATCTGTATGTGAAGAAAGTGCTCCAAGGTAGTCCCTGATAGTTTGATCTCAAGAGGAAAACAAAACCAAGACGTCAGACACTCTGTGGAGATGAATTGCTGTTTGCCTTAACGTAAACGACTTCCGTTCCTGGGAATTCGCGCTCAATCACTCGCATTGTATCTTCCAGAGTACGTCTAGCAGTGTAAACGATCGCATCTGCGATGTCGCAGCAAGGCATACGACCGGAAAAAGCGGCTCCAATGTAACCGTAAGTGACATTGGCGACCATTTTCAAGCCAAAAATCCTTGCCTCAAGTAGTCTTTCGAGCTCGTCATCGCTCTTGCCGGCTTTGCGATGCAACTTCAAAGATTTCTTTAGCATAATGCGAGTTTGGAGGATTTCGTGAATCATTTTTGTGACAACACCTTTGAAATGCTGCACAAATATTGCGCCATTCGGTAGAGCAAGCGTTTTGGACAAATAGGCATCTGGATTCGGAGTGTACTCTTTCAGACAGCCCAACTTTCGGGATTTCAGGAGATGTTGTAGTTCCGCAAAGAGGGGTCGTGCCGCGGCAACATCTTCGGGTCTTAGATATGAGTCGAGCAGATCTTTAGAAGAGTCGGCTTCGTCTTGTTGGCTACTTCCAGGCCTCGTTCCAGCGCCATCCGCCTCGTCCTTCGGACTTTGTCCTCCGAGTCCCAATCTATCCTTCAGTTCCTCTTCCAATCCAATTTTTTCTTTCAAAACACCCTCTACAAGACGGCGAATCCAGTTGGGAGAGTCTTGAAAGATACGTGCGACTTCTTCTGTGATCTCGTCCTTTTGATGTTGTTCGGTTTCAGGCATCTCCTCATCCTTTTCATTGCTGGCGTGATCTCTCTTTTCGTTAGCATACTTTGTCTTCCCAGTACCTCCAACCGGAGGCTGGTAGAAAAACGCATCATCCAAGAGTCTTTGCGCAACTTCCACCCGGCCCACACACGTTGAAAAGCACATGTTGTAAGCGATCATGATACTCGGGTATAGGCTTTGAAAATCCACGATTAGCACTGGATCATAGTAAAAATCGCTTTTAGGCTCTAGAACCAAAGGCGAGCATTCATGAGCCCTTTGGTTTCGCACCTCGTCTTTTGTCGGGGTTAGTAGCAAGTACTTGTCGGAATGCGCGGCTCTGGATAAGATCGACTCTACTCTGAACTGAGAACCTCTGCTCAAGACTGAGAAAAAGTCGACACCTAGTAAGCGGCTAACTTCTGCGCATTTCTGCATCAGGTCCATGGACTGGAGAATGTTGAAACTTTGTTCGCATTTCCGTATCAGATATTTGACAGCGAAAATACACAACTCTGGTCGCTGGCAGTACTTCTCGAGCGTCTGATTGTCCCAGTGGGGAAATTTCTCACCCACTAATTGCTCCACAGCAGTGTTAAGCTCCGTATTCGGTAGTTTAGCCTGTTTTCGCAAGACACGCCAAAGCGAAAAGCAAAGTCTGCCCTTAAGCGAGACGCCACCAGTGAGCTTGTCAGCGGGATAGCGAGCACGGAACTTTGGAGATTAGACATAGTCAGTGATAGCGCTACTGTATTTCGATTTCGAGGCTCCGAATGTCAATGTGCGACCTTTCTCTTCATGCTCAGTATCTTATCATCTACTACCCAGTGCTACGAAAAAGCCAAAGCCAAAAGCTAGCGCTCTTTCTAGCTCAAAACTTGTAACACATCACAGAGAGACGCAGCCCCGCGCCGTGCTGGGTGCTTATATATCTTCATGGAACTGGAAGCACGCAAGCTTGGCCATTAACAGACACCCCGCACTTGATCGAAGCAAGCAGAACAACCAAACAAGCAACGCCCACGACCACCCGCGCGGCCAGCCGATACAGCCAGGCAGACAGTGCTTAACCTTCATGGATAGAGCCACGCGACGCATATAGGCGAACCCAACACAGAAACGCCCCAGCATCAGTCACCTGCCCAGTGTGTGCCAAGCCCAGCGCCTTCCCCCACGCGCGGCCCCGTCTCTCGTCATGCTCATCCGCAGACTGACACGCCAGAAACGAATGCTACCCGCTCCCCCCCGTGGTTGCTCTTAATCTCCTCAAAGCCATGCGCCTCATCCACTAGCCCCCCGCGCCGCTCCTCCTCCTCCTGGTCAGCAGAATGCCCGAAGGATAAAAAACACCCCACGAGCGGAGCAAAGAGCACAGGCGGCGACCGCTTTCCTCGCCATGGACAGAGGGGGCCCGTGGGTCTTTTGACTGCGCCGAGACTTTGACAACCGTGGGCCTTTTGTGCTGGTGCATGTTTTTGCGTCTTTTATTTTGGATCTTTTGGAGGTTTTGCGCGGCGTCACCGTTTCGAGATTCTCCAGCAGCACCATGGTCGCGCAGCGTCTGCTCTTGACCAGCTTCCCCCCAGAGATTCCCGCAGAAAATCTGGCGCGAGGTTCTGCGCACAGAAGCGCGAAACAGATAACAAAGTGGCCAGCATCTCTGGAGCACACAAGGCGGGGGTCAGTGAGGTCGTGCCCCCATTCAATAACTTGAGGAGGGTGCCGCCGCTCTCATAATTGGGCACGCCAAAGTGTAGCCCGCTGTGGCAAGAGAAGACGCGCAAGCCCTGGATCGATCTCAGCGGTGGCGGCGACCACGACGGGGGGAGCAGCGGCCGCTCTGGCAGCGCCGGAGATATTCCGCTGGGCCGTCAGCGACGCTTCGCCCGTATCCCGAGCCCGGTCCATGGCTAAGCATCGCGGAAGCCGAAGCGAAAGCATCGGATGCCTTGAGCCTCCATGAGATCGCCGCGGAGACGATTCTCGTCAGGCGAGGCCTGGCCCATCTATTAGCCACCTTCGGGCTGCCACGTAGCCAGCGCCCGCCACTCGAACCGAGGCCCCGACAGAGGGCGGCCCCCTCCTTTTCCGGGTCTTTCTATCGCCATGCATCAGCACGCTCGCGACCTGTGCAAGGCGCGCCCCCGATGAATCTAAAGGCCTCCGCGATTCTCAGCCGCAAGATGGTTCTGACCGGGTTGCCGGTGCCGGTGGGTCAGTGGCGTCACAGCCTCCCAAAAGTTCGCGCCCTGGCGGGGCGTGCCGGCTGATCAGCTCCAATGCGCGACACCCTCCCCCGCAATGCTTCCAAAAAGCTTTGCGACCGGAGTGCTGGCGGCGCGCCCTTTTCCCCTCCTGCCGCCTGGGCTGTGGACAGCCGAAGTCAAGCGGCTAGGCTGGTGCATCTTTTGCCCCATGTCTTGACGGAAAGCCGTGGGTTAAGTAGATTGGAAAAATCAGACATCAATCACATTCACATTGCTCCTTCCATAATTATCATCATCGCTGTCTTCATCTGCGCCGTTATTTCCGCTCCCATCGTCTCCATTCCCGCTGGCGTTTCCGCTAGCCGATGTTGGCACTATGTCATCTCGAAAGTCGTCGATGTAACCGTTGAAAATCGCACGTTGGCCATGGTCCATCGGATCTAGTGTTCTCCCAATCAAATTTCCACCACCTTGTTGAGAGTTGGCATTGCCGTCGCTGTCGCCAGCATGAGAGCTTAGTTGCGAGACTCCAGAAGCTGCTCCTACGTTCACGTTGGGTGGATGCCGATGAGCAAGTGAAAATCCTGCACTGCCAGGGTTGTTGAAGCCTCCCTGTTCTTGCTCTTGCATCCTATTCATTACAGCAGCTGCTGCATTAGCCACCAAAGGACGAGGCCCTGCACCAAAAGAAGACTGATGTTGACCACCTCGTTGCTGTAGTCCTTGAAACCGAGGACCACCAGGAGGCCCGAAGCTTCTTTCTTCAGTAGGCACGCGACTCAATCTCTGCTGCATGTTCTCCCGTCTCCCATGAAACAACACTAGCCCCAAGCCTTCTGGAACGTCATAGGACAGCATGATGTTTGGTTCTAACCGTTTTACTAGGAATTCAAAGGCTGACAGCAGACAGCTCTGATCGTTGGCGATTTGGAGAACGCTTCTCATTTTGGGCTGGTGTTTCGAGGCGCTTGATGTTCCAGTCTTAGTAGTACTAGAGACTCCGATCAGTTTTGAAGGGGGCGCTTGTCCGTGATCTAAAAGGGGGACTTCACGTACGCCAGCTGGCAGACCGGTAGCCGATTCTTCTTGCGCGCTCTCAGCTGCTGCGCATCCATCCAAGCTTACATATTTGCGATTTGCAATGCAGCCACACTCAGGTGGCCCGCCAAGTGTGCGCCATGCCAGCAAAGCTAGCTCTTTTTTGTCAAAAGTCACAGCCTCAACGATCAAAACTGATCCAAAGTCTGTATGTCGCAAGTTCTTAAAGGCTTTGTCTGACTTTTTGATCGCACCCTTCAACCTTCCAGCTGAGTCTACTGCGCCAACGCCAGTGCCACCATCGGACTTCACGTTTAAAGCTTGCTGTTTTTGATCAGGTTTTGGTCTTCCCAGAGCAATGGCCCTATCATCAGTGTCGTCAATAATGATCAGAGAAGCATCTAAGTCCGGTGGTGACGAGGCGGATGCAGCTGCCCCTACAGTCTCTACTTTGTCATGTTCTGGTGGCTCTTTCGGTTCTTCGACTTCCATTACAGCGTCTTCATCTTGTTCAGGACGAGGCCTTGAGACTGCTGACAAATCTTTGTCCCCTTCCACGACTTGGTGTCTTCCCACCGGAGCTTCTTCTTCAGCAATGGCAGCGAGTCTTTCATCTCTAGGACCTGCTGTCACCTCTTGCCCCAAATCATCCGCCAAATCTTCAATGACTTCCTTCTGGTAATCGTCAGCGCCATCTCCAGATGAAGTGAGAGATTTAGTTGTAGGAGGCTTCTCTTCTCCGGAAAAATGCTCAGGAGCTTTATGACCTTGCCTGTCGCCACCATTTTCATCGCGACCATCGTCCTCCTCTTCAGAAGATGTAATTAAAGCTCAGCACTCAATGGTCACTGATGCTGAACGGAAGAGACCCCCTTCAAAGCTCTCCCCTTTCCCTTCCTTTTCCCCTGGTCTCTAACGGGGTCGCTTCTTCGATCTCAGTGACCAACCCCAATGACCATTGAAAGTTGAGCCTTAATGTAATGTCTTCTAGAGAAACAGTATCTTCCGCTCCATGAACATCTTCGTCGATTCCAGGTATAGAACGTACTTGACGCTCCTTTTCGGCAGCGTCTTCACTACCATCGTCATCTTCACTAGAAGAGGACTCATCCTCGTCTTTCTGAAGATTGTCTTCGGCTTTTCCAGGTTGGCCACCTGCTCCCTTGTTTCTCCTCAACAGTCCTCCTCTCGGTTCATCCACTACGCCAACCATCTCAGCATCCGCATCCATCAAATCCAGAAATGACTCCCCTGGCTGATGTATCTCAATGTCTTCTATTTCGTTTTGTTCTAGACCGCTTTGATCCGCGTCTCCGTCTTCATCTTCAGCATCGCCTTCCACACCTTCGTCAGCACTCTCCTCCTTTTAGAGGTAGGCTTTTGGTGCTCGCTTGCCCCGCTTGTTATGCCTTTCTCATCCTAAGGGAGAGAGGCATAAAAAGCGGTAAGAAAAGCACCTTTAACCTACCCTTAATCCTTCCCCGAATCCAATGCCGCCAGATGTTTTTCTGCTTCCGCAGGGTCCGAGAAGTGCGACCCTGGGACACTGTCACCATCGTCCTCCTCCTCCACTTCCAAAACATCGGGATTCACCAGGTTCGCAGCTGGATTTTCTGAAAAACGATGGCGGTTCAGCTGATGGAGGAATGCCTCACTCGTTTCTGCTTCTGGTGGTTGTGGCGGTTGTGAGTTTTCGTGTCCTAAGATTAAAGCTCAGCACTCAATGGCCACTGACTCTGAACGGAAGGGACCCCCTTCAAAGCTCTCCCCTGTCCCTTCGTTTTCCCCTGTTCTCTCAAGGGGTCGCCTCTTCGATCTCAGTGACTAACCCCAATGGCAATGACCATTGAAAGTTGAGCCTTAATAAGAAGTCTTCCAATTGCGTAGCACCTGCCGGAATCTGCACAGGCTGCGATGGTGGCAGCACAGAAGCGTCAATGTGAACAACTGATGTTGGCATCTGGCTTCTCTGCTGCGAAGGTGGTGGGATGAGGTTTGGACTTCCACGACCATAATTTTTGTCGACCACATCCATTGGTACAACACCAGCAAAAGCTCCTCCTACAGGGCTCTCCGCTCTTGCGCCCTGGCTCATCATCACGCGTTGACTAAATACTGACTCAATCGCAGCTTCTTCTCCTACAACTCCCTCAAGTGGTCGTTCTGGGACATAGATATCATCCTCGACAAACATTTGGCTTGCCGCACTAGCCTTCGCACCACCAGGATCAGGGACTAGTCTGCCATCATGCCCGACGATGTATTGAACGTCTTCGTCATCTGAGTCATCTTCGATGTCATCTACTTCGTTGCTTGGTGGGAGAGACTGCGTTTTCTTCTTGGTCCCTCTGCGACTTTCATGTTCATCCAGTGGTCCTTGTGATCGGTCTTGCGATGAAGAATTCTGTGACCTCAAAAACAGTCCACGCTCTTGAGGCTGGTGTTTGTTCTGCTCGTCCTCTACTGCAGCATTGTTTTTGTCACTGTGCTCAGCCTTTTTCTTCATCCATGAATGCTCACCAGATGAGCTTTCTCCAAATCCAAAATTTCCCTCTCCCTCTGCAGACCCTACATGCCCTGAGCCAGACTCTAGTCTGTTTCTACTTTCACTACTGCCTTCTAGAATGTCACCTAGGACAAAAGGAGGAGCTGCTGCGTGTCTTTTGGACGAAGAAGAAGATGACCCAGACCCTGCGCGGCCATTCCTGTTCATCAATCCTAGTGGAGGTAGCATCGGATTCTCAGAAGGCTCCCCCATCGACGCACTAGCATCATGCATACGCCCAAAGGAATCGTCTAGATGTAGACTACTGTGGTCCATTCCGATATCGACTCTCGACATCTCTTCCTGGATGAAATAGCGCTCTTCACTGCTGGTAGTCATGCGACGATTTTTATTCGAATTTTTGTGATTAAGGTCTGCGTTTGCTGCCTTGGCGCCTCTGCTTGCGTGTCCCCCACGAGCACCATGATCTTCAATCGCAGCCATAGCGCCCACACTCCCAAAATGAAGATGAAAAGGTTCTTGACTATCTCCTCTCATCTTCGTTACGAAGAAGTCAAAAGCCTCGCGGTAAGCGCGCAAATGGAGTTGTTGCTCAGGATCCAGGATAGGGCTGGACATAGCATCTCCACACTCCCTCAAGATCGGACTACCCGGTTCAGGCGGTTCCAGCTCGTTCCGAGAGCATCTCAAGTTTTCCTCTATCCACAAACCTTTCAAAGCTTTCACCAACCAGTGCTTTTCGAGAATGTCTTCTTTTTGCGGACCTTGAGAAGCAGGAGGACGCGGTTGAGACGATGTTGATTCGTCTAGTTTCTGAGAGTCCTCCTTGATGCTTGGGAAAGGTCGTGAATCACGAGAGCCAGAACCTGCTTCGTCATCATTTGAACCTCTACTTTGTGCTCCTTGCGACCCTCCCAACAAAAGAGATGTGTTTGTTCCAACAGCACCATTTCTCGATGCAACACCCGATGCAACACCGTCAAGACCTCGCTTTTCCTCAGGCAATGACAAAATTTTCAACACCCTCGCTGCTTGACGCCCCGCACTGTCAGCATCACTCGCTGCGCTGGCAGACACAAATCGTCCTTCGCCACGTCGGACACTGTCATCGAAGCCCAACGCGTTGTCGGACAAGGACTTCTGAGAGAAAATCAATGACGAGGACACGTTCAAACCACTTCTACCGCTAGTACCACTTGCATTTCTATTGGTGTTGTTCCTCTTAATATCTTCGGTTAAATTATCTCGATCCAGCATCGACGCAGCAACATCATTCCCACCTTGCCGCATCAGAGCTGTCCACCCAATCTCTACTTCCACGTCCACTGTGGTCGCCTGCGGAACCCGTTTCTTAGCATTGAGAACTTTGAGCCAACCCATTCCCACAACTCTTGTTTGCTCCAAAAAGTGCAGGTTGTAGGGTATATGCGCTTCGAACAGCTGGAATCGATGCGAAAACGGTCCCAGAGAGTCGATCAGGATCTTCATGTACACGATGTACTTTGTCCATACCTGGTAAACGATTTTCCTGTCTACCAGGTTCATCAAGGGGTCGTCTTCGGGTCGATGCGCATTCGCGTCTCGATCTATGTACCCGTAAATGGATTCCAAGTCCGGTCGTGGTTTGACCCAAAGTGCGTCTCTTCTTCCAGAAACGACACTGCCCGTTGGTAATCTGCCTCCTGGCCCTCCTCTGGTAGAAGAAGAGGTTCCTTGTTGACCAGCAGCATGCTGCTGCTGCTGCTGGCCTCCCAACCCGACCAATTTCGACTTCCATTTGAACAATGCGAGTTGCTCATGTAGCAACGTCAACAAGTCCGCAGTGAGCTCTTCACCCGTCAGCCCGGTTTTGATGTACACGAAAGGATAGAAATCACGAACATAGACACAGCCAGAACGATTTATTTGCTGAAAGATGGCTGGAGGTAGAGCTGGTGCGGCAGGGTTCCGGATACAACCAGTGCTGGTTCTGGCTTGATTGCTGGTCGTACCATGCTGTTGCTCTTTCTGACTCGTGTGAACCGGCCCAAACAACCGCACCACAGGTCCTTGTGCCGTGTCTGTCGAATCTAGGTGGACTATGCGAATCTGTACTTCATTGTTTGCATTTTGATTGCTTCCAGAAGCGTCGAGATTGGCCATTTTTTTTTTGAATTAGAGAACCGATCGACTGGTGATCAAGCAACAAGCATTACAGGGGACGAAATACAAGACCACCTACAAGTAACACCAAGACCAACTTTAAAGACAACCAACTGCGTAGGTAAGACTTCTAAGAACGAGAACTACAACACATATACTTACCTGTCTTAAAAATCGACACGAAAAACCTGTTGCATTTAGTGGAAGTAGAGTTTGAGATCCTTTATGGCTCTTGGAAGCTTGTAGCTAGATTCTACTTCTCTCTCTAGTTCTTGCACATGTACTACTTCTTGGCGTTTGTAGTATCATCTTCGTTCTTCATATCTCAATCTCTGCCCTTCTTGCAACTTTTATCAGTATGACCAAGAAACCACAAGGTCACGGACACATCAGTTTTATACCGCGCAACCACAGTGGCACACTTTCTCCGGAGAAAAGGGCGCGGCTCGCACATCCTTGGCAACATGTTGACATGTCTATTCACAACAAGATCTCCACACTCATACATCTTTGCATCAGTGTTGGGTGTTAATTGGTTTCTGTTTCTTCAAATGTAATCAAAATTGACCGTGCTCAAAATTGACCAACATGTTCAGTTCTTGCTTGAAAAATTAGACAGATGTCTATTACAGGTGAGAGGAACAAAACAGGGTCGACCTTGAATTGATTTAGATTTAAGAAGGACTAATTTGTTGTTTTAGAAGCAGTGGGGGTGGGATCACTCGCTTTTTGGGTCGCTATGAAGATTTCATGCAAAGAAGGTGAAGTTTTGTATGTGAGTATGAAATGATAAGTTGTCGCCCTCAGTGCATGGGGGTTCCATGAAGATTTCTTGGGAAAGGGTAAAGCTAGAAGGACATGCCACATTGTGGAGTTTCATCTTCCAACTGTCTAAATAGATGATTTCAATCGGTTTGATAAGATAAATATACCGTGGGACATACCAAAAAGTAAATATAGCAATATCGGTAAAATTACACAGTTTTTCAGAAGATGTCGAACATACGAAGTAATTATTTCGTATAAGTTCTATGAATCTACTTTGCGACAGATGATTTCGAATTGGTCTGGACTCCGGAGATTTGCTGGAAGATATTATTTAAGTTAAATAGATATAGAAGTTTTGTCCATTTTAATTTTTCTGCATGACATCGATCTGTTCCTCAAGCCAAATATTTGTACAAATTTGCATTATCGTTGTCCCTTTCCAGATATTCACGCTCAATCAAGTGCTCGATTCGCTGTTTGATTAACTTCGGCTGCGGCTTAAAGAAGGCCAGCTGCTGCACCACTTCGGCATTCAGCTGAGCGTGCGTCAACTGTTTTCGCGCCTTCATGATGCGCACGATAGCGGCTTCGACTGCGATTGTGCGGTCTCCGGGTTAGAAGAGGTGGGGAAGGCGATGGCAGGGTGGTTATGGTACGAGGTTTGTGTCGTGGGGAGCCTGTCTGACTGATGAAAAAACCGGAATAGATACTAGAGACCTCCAGTTGTACTAGTTTCGAATACAGAAGATGAACCTGACAGGAGAGTCCAAATCTAGTTGTACTAAGTTGACATGACGTCAAAAGGTAACAACCGAATGGCATAATCTTCGACCCTCTCTGGCTTATGAGTCTCCTCCCCAACCGCAGTGCCACTTGACTGCGACGACACGTTTGGCAACTTGACCTTTCTGTGCGGACAGGTAAATTTCTCATTCGCTAAGAAAACGTCGCTTTCGTGAATCGTTTTGGGTTGGTCGACTATCTCACCATTTCTCTTGATGGCGAGGACACGGTGCTTCGAGCAGGCGAGAGTGCCTTGATGATGTGAGAATTGTTTTACTCGAGCAAAACATGGTACCAGACAGTTTTAATACCAGAATCTGTTGAGGTTGATGGTAAATGGTGAACAATTGTGTGAGGACCCTGATCATGATGTGGATTCTTGTAATTCATTGTATCGGAGAAAATTTGTTGATATTTCCATTTTTAGGACTCACTATCACCGGACGATCATTTTCTTTTTCATGTAACCTCACTACGCATTCGCATTCCAGCTCTACAGATTGATAGCTTAAACTTCTGTAGAACCGGATACGCATTGCCAACATGAGGTGCTTCATTCTTCCACAGAATTCCTATCTGAGTGAGACTAGCTTACTCTACACTCAGGGCTATGGTCTGTGGGTATGCGACTTTCGTCGTTCTTTTGGGTCAACATGAAGAGTAGAGCAGCCTGCTGATCATATCTTCAACTTCATCTTCGAGATAGTGTAGTAAATGCCTCAGTAAGACTAAGATGTAAGTACCCATAAGTCTCTTGATTTGTCCCATTTCTATTGGGACTTCGGCACTTGCGCTAATGGCTTTCTGAATTGAACCACAAGTGTGCTCTACGACACTCGATGCTGGTGCACTAGTACTGCTGGTTGAAGAGGAAGAGCCAGTGCCACTAGCTGGACCTTGCTCTCCCGCGAAAAGCAGCAAGATAACCGCTTGCATCGTTGAACAAACTAAATCGTGCTTCTTTCCGAGTTTGGCCGTTACCTGTTTGGGTCCTCGTGGGTGGATAAGTGGGCAATCAGAAGAGTAACATCATTATATCAAGGAGGATCGAGGAGGAAGATCAAGATTTTTTCGCAAAAAAAAGTGGGTCTAAACAAGTACCACTGCCGTTCCCTGATGGTGAATCCATGACAGCTTTCGATGTTGCGTTTTGCCATCGTAATACTCCTTAAATACGTCCAAAGGAACCTGCAATTGCTTTGGCAGTTTCAACTCTGTCGCTGTGTATTGTGGCCAGTACCCTGTCGCTAGGATGGTAACGCCGAAATCTATAGAGATTTTCTTGTCCGCGTCATCTCCAGTCGAGGACGAGGAGAGGCATGAAAGGGGAAGGGGGAGAGGATGAGGAGTACGAATCAGATGTGCTTCTGCATGGGAATATCAAACTTCTGCATGGAAATAATATTAAAGCTATTCACTATAAGTACAACTTAGGTATACATGACACTGCGACTTTTTTGACTATATTTTTTGACCAGTTAGTTCAAGTTCTGCTTTCACTAACAAAAGATGAGGATGTCATTCATAATATCTGAATGTAGTGGAGGTTCTAGCTGAACAAGTTGAGTTTGAGAAAGGACGAGATAAAAATGAAACTCTTCTTCAAGAACATCGATCGATCAACAGGTCAATTGCAAGAACAATTCATCTCTTCATCATAAACTCGAAGCTCCGGCTCCGACCAAGACTCCCCCAATCTTCTTGTTATTTTGCTGGCACCAAGTGTCAAAACTCTGGTTTTCGTCGGTCGCTAGCTTCAGATCGTTCAACATGCCTTCCATCTTCGAGGTAAACTGCGCTCCACACTTCATCTTCAGCTTGCTGATAAAACTACGAAGATTAGAAGGAGGGATCGGAGACTGCATGGTGGTGCGAAGGTTGGGGACAATGGACAATTTTGGGGCGGGGAAACAGAGTGAATAGTACATACTGGAAAGTTGCGCTGGTCGTGGTGAATAGGTTGTCCTATTGGAAAGTTCATCCACGCTTTTGTTGTTGGAGTATGTTTTTCACTTGCTACGTCAGTGTCTCAAGTAAAATATGCGACGCTGTAAGTACAACTAGACAGCACCACAATCACGAAGCCATGAACTTGTCTCATCTACCTAGCAGCATCATGAAGTAGAATCAACTTCAACTATGGTGAAAGTCATAAGTTCAGCATCTTCCGATGCGGAGCACTCTTCCAGTAGTCGCTTGGCCAGTTGATTTCGGTATATTTCTGCAAAAACATCTTTATCTTGGAGATAGTTAAACAGATCGACAAGCTTCCCGAGAACCGTCTCCACTTCGTCCTCCGATAACCGCTCGGGAGTGCCATCTGGTATGAGTATTATGGTGTAGGAGGTTTTCATTCTGATGCTGCTTATAGAAGTGTTTACAGAAGACCCTATAGAGGGGTCTATAGAAGAGTATACAGAAGACCCACCGCCCAAAAAATGGCAACCCTACGGAAGCCCCGAGGAAGCCTGCAAAGCCCCTGGCCCAAGAACAAAGCTCGAACCTCCGTCGGACACCAACCCCCAGCCCAACTCCCGCCGATCCAAGGGGCCGACGCAATGCCCTACGCCTCCGTCCCCACAAGCCCAGCAACACGCAGCAGCATGGCCCCGAGAGGTCTACCGAAGGATGGAAACCGAACAACAAGGAACACCTTAACGCCAAGCCCCAGCCACCGCCAAAGATCTCCGAAGAAAATGAAGCGGGAACACCGCACAAAAAAACCACGACTACCAACCGCGACCCCCACGGCCGCAAACTCCACCCGCGAAGGACTTGGCGAACCAGCCCCGCCGCCAGCAAACGCGCACGACTCCCCCCGCATCTTATAGCAGTACTGCAGAAGGTATTTAGCCACGCCACTGGCCGGCTGCCTGCCGCATGATCAGACGCTTCAGACCTCATCAGGCGGCCCGTAGGCTCCCGCCTGCACACTCGAAACGAACCAGATGGAATAAGTTAGCCGTGAGCCCTGCTAGGGGTTCCACCACAAGGCACAAGCGCCCGCGTCGCGGATGCAGTTCGTGGCCGTCTGCGATCGCCTCCAGTCAGCGCGTCCCGCAGCTTGGGGCCGCGCTGGCCTCTTGCGAGGTTCTTCAACTGCGCCGACCCTTTTGGGTCGCCATCCGCCATCCGGGAGGAGAAGCGACGAACTAACGAAATCAGAGCCAGCAGGTCGCACTACACCGCACACACGCCAGCAAGAAGAGCCTCCGCGCCTGTCGCCAGTCGTCAGGCGGTCCGCGCTCTCCTACTTCCGAAGCTGCGGCCTCCTTCACGCTTCCCCAAGTGCAAACAGTTGCCGCGCTTGATCTCATGCAACAAAATGCCCAAGATGCCACCGGAATGAACCAGCTGGAGAAGGCTACCACTACGCAAAGCTGTCAGGCTTCTTGCCCAGGCTGGCCCTCCTCTTGTTTGCTTCAGTACGGTCCTGGAAATTACTCCACTCCATAGCCTGCCCCTCACTTTTTAGCTTGTTAACGACGCAGCAGCTGATAAGATGGCGGCCTCAGCTAATATCTTGCGGGCGACACCAGTTCGCAGGCGTTCCTGCATGCGAGAAGCTTGGGCAAAACAGTCCGCCCTCTCTCCAGGATTCTGCTCCCTAATACAAGCGCCACTCACTTGCGCCCACAGAGCAGAAGAAGGCTCGCCAATCTCGTCCAGCAGCCCAGTAAGGGCTTCGCCAGCATCCAGCTCGTGTCGTTGTTGTTGAGTGGCTCGGTCTTGAGGGCATAAATTCGCCCGCGGTGCGTCCGACTGTGCAGATCTTGCAGAGCGCTGCGACAGCACTGCTGCAGCGCGTTGCGCTGGAGTCCCTTGAGTCGACATCTCTTATTTGTTGTTGTTGTCGCAAGTGAGCAAACACTATAACCGGATGCATTCTCAGTTAGTGTGACTTCGCGCCATGTTGCAAGGAGGTAGACATCGTCCAAATTGCAGGCGCCCCGGTATCTCAGGTCGCCAGATGCTTCAGACTTCGCGGCGAGCGTGGCCCCGGTGGCATCGATAAAGAAAAGACGGCGGCCCCCCTATGCACTTCCACCCCCGTCGACAATCGTGGCGCCCTTCCCATCCCTGTCAGTATGATAAGCAAAAAAGCCAGAAGCCGCGCCAGCCTCTCCCCTCTCATGCTGGCGCAAGACTATTTCGGGGGTATGGAGCACCCCCCGGCACAGCTGTCAGGCGCTCTGTCTGCGGTCCGCCGCTGCTTTTTGGACGCCGCCGCTCCGCAGCCACAGCGCTGCCCTGGCTCGCCGGCGTCGCCTTGCCATCTTTGCTGCCACCAACCCTACACCACCAAACCACCCTCCTGGGCCTCAGAAGCTTGGCCCTGCTGAGCGATAGCCGTGCCACCGCCAGCCCTTCAGCGAAGGCAGGGGCCTGTCCGCTGTAATCAGAAGCGCCAACGACGCAGCAGGCGCGCGGCGCCTTCTTTCTGCACCAATTCCATGACACGGCCGGGCCAGTTCCGTTGCCCGCGTCGCTCGCTGTCATCTTCCAAAGTGCCACGCCTGAGGTGCTGCCAGGTGTTCGGCGCCTGGCGGACGTGTCCCGTGACCGAACGGCCTTCAGCGTGGTCGCATCAGCCGCGGCACGGAGCAGCTTGGGGCCCCTCTCGTCCGCAGTCTCGCGCGATCTTGGCAGCCTTTGCGCTTTGCCCTGCGGTGTTTGCACACTGAGCGCCAGACGCTGGCCGGGCGCTCGAGCGATGGCGAACCTGTTGGGCAAAAGCTGGGAGACTGTGGCTCTATCAAAGTAGTGATGGCGAAGAGGTAGAAATATAGGCTCAGTACTCTTCTTCAGTATCCTGTTCGAAAAATTCGTCATCAGCGCCGCCACTGAATGCTTGCCCAGGTCACGGTTGATGAACGTCTCAAACGCTTCCTTGAGCGCCTTCTGGAATAAAGCATCCTGCGAGAATGAAAGCTTAACCACCTCTCTAAAGTGATCGTGAAGATCCAGTAGCTTCTGGATAAACGCAGGATCGTTCAATCCCTCTGTTTTTTTCAAACTCGGATCCGACAGTTGCTCTAACCTGGTTGGAGCGATTCGAAGATGTGTGCAAAAGTAGTAGAACGCCAACGCATACGCAGGCAGGTGATAATGGAAATGGAAAAATTACAGAGATTGAATTTTCGTGGCTAGTTGAACTAGAACAACTAGTAAAAAATTCATAATGCTGCAGTGACATCATCATCAACATCATGCTATCTTCTATCTACTATTATACTTCTACTAATATAGATACATAGTACGTTATCGTTAGCACCTTTCATCCACAATCGCGTTTCCCTTCGTTATCACGTGTTCTTTGAACACTTTCGCAACTGGTGCTAAGCCGTTTTCTATCAAGGCGAACAGCTTGTGTGCTCTTGACAGATCTTGCTTCTTGTCGTGCTCCAACAGCCAACCTATGGCTGAGGGCTTGTCCAGGAGGATCTTCCGGACATCCTCTTGAAAAAACGCATCCAGCAGTACGCCTTTGAGCTTGTTATCCGTACTCCGGTGCAAGTACATCTTCACTCGCTCTGCTTCTTTCTGCATGCATGTGTCGGCTTGGAGCAGGTACTCGGAGAAGGAATTCGACTCGAGCCATCCCGCTGCCTTGCGAGCATAGTAGTCCTTGCTGTCAGGCAGAAAATTCTCTTCGAAGTCTTGCTGATAGATCGCCAGGTGGTGATGGCCGTAGCTTCCACCGCCGTGGTGGGACATTGCCCCCTGTAGTTCGTGTGAAGGTCAAACTGGCTGATGAAGAATATTGAAATAGAGTAGTTCCCTAGAAGATGTGGATGATCTTATAGTCTTGGCCTTGCTGATGAAGAAGACGAACTAGGATGAACAATAATTTTTGTCAACAACAGTAGTCCCTATAATTTTTGATCGTGTAGTGCTTCTACGTCTACCAGCATGGTAATTTTTGCCCCCAAATTGATATGTTGAAGAATCTAGTAAGGAAGTAGAAAATACTACATGATCAGGCGCATCTCCTCTGCTTCCTGCTGTGACGCACACTCCCAAGTCAATAAAGATTGAGACAACGGATTTGACTAAATCCTCGTCAAAAGATGCCTCTCCCTCTCGCTCCTGACGGATAGACTGCAACAGAGCTTCCCTAGTTTCATTTCTCACGTGTTGAAACACGTGCTGGTAGAAGATGGAATAGCCTTTGGCAGATAGAGACGGAACGGCTTGCAATTTAACGTAGTACCTGTGGTTCTTGGAGGAGGGTTGGATTGCTTTTGTTGTTAAGAGTAGAGCGTCCGTGAAGGTGACTGCTTGAGAGAGAGTTTGTTAGGGAAACGAGCATTGATTGTGTTTTCTTGACGTGTTGGTAAAGATGGAATATTAGCCTTTGACAGCAAGAAGATGCAATTATTAACGTAGTACCTGTGGTTCAGAGTTTGTTAGCAAAACTACGAGCATTGATTGTGATGTTTTGACTTAGAAGTACCGACATCAGCAAAGATCAGTTTTAACATAGAAGCACGCTTGTTGGTGCTAAGCGTAGAGGCGTATGCGTGCAGTATATTTGTAACGAATTAGTTGTTGAGAAATACCTATCCAAGTATGTGAAGAATCTGCTCATCCATTTCACATAGAGTTGGTGGTTGCTCCATGCCTCAGCCAATGCCTGTAGCAAATCCACACCAGCACGCTTATCCAAGCCATGAAGGACTTTCTTCGTAATGTAGAGAGTCATTGTTTCTGCATATTTCTGGTAGAGCTGCTGCTGCCTGTGTATTGCGAGTTGAATGATGTATCTATTGTGAGTTGTTCTAGACAATATATTGCAACCAACAAGTGCGCCGTTAGATGAAATAAACTCAAACAGAGATGAGGACACACCTCTAGCAACGAACAACCTCTAGCTCTAGTACTACATCGAAAATATTACATACTCTTACTGCTCTGGTACAACTACATCATCATCAATTATTGCCTTACCAGTTATTCGGACTCCTCTGCGTGCACATGTTGTAGACCAAAGTGTACAACTCTGTGTAACTGGCATTGGAGAATATCCTCCTCGGCTTGGTGATGTCGTCTGGCTGCTTCACATCTTCCTTGGGCTTCCCGCTCTGGAGAAACTCCTCAAGCACTTGGACTCCATCATCATGGATTCGTTTCCAGCCTTCCACGAGAGGGACAACTTGCTGAGAAGCCATTTTTTTGAGAAGCCTGCTCAACTACCGCTACCCTAGTATCGGAGGACAAGTATGCGATGACTATCCACTACAACTAGTACGTCGGTAGGTCACTGAAGCAATAACAATTTCTTTAACGAGTTTCACTTTCTCCAGGATCTATTGGATTATTCTTCGCCTAGCGCTCCTTGCCTCCTCTACAAAGCTAGTAAAGAATCTGATTCGCAGTCGCACCGCGCTACGTACTGCGAGTAATACAACAAGAACATCTTTCTACTAAAAAGTTTGGTTGTAAGTACATCATCAGATGACAGGAGCCCGAGCCACCTCATCAACCTTGTTAGAATTAAAAAACTCCTGAATCATTAATAGAGCAGTGTCTTCTGAGGCTCGTCCGGTTTTTTTTCATCTCCTCTAACGTGAGGACTAGTACAGTGTGCTTCAGCACCGCACAAGGTGTCGGAGATCATGAGCTGTGTTCTGTTACGTCCATCAACTTCAACAATGAATTTGAATTTCGGAACACCATTACCAGCGTGCGTAGACAGATAAGAAAAATTCGGGACGCCCCATTGCTGATTCATTCATTCAGTCGGAGACGTCGGCAAACCTCCGCTGGGCTTTCGGCCGTATATCACAGCAGTCGCGCCTACACGCTGATTGCGTTCAGATTCATTGAATAAATTGTTGTAATCGTTCAAGAGAAGTAGGCTTTCGTTATTGGTTTCTAGGTGTTGCCATTATCATTATAATCGCGCAATTTTTTCGACATTAATTTTTTCGGAATTTCTAGCACGATCGCGGTCCCTTTAGGAACAAAAATGGAAGAGAACAAAGAAGCAGAATCTTAATACTGAAAAAGACATCGATTCGAAAAACAGAGTGGAGTCAGATGATACCTGACGAATCTACTGGATGAAATATGGAAACTTAAATAACTCAAAAATTACAACAATTTCATTGTTCCGAACCTGATAAGGAAATACGATTACACAGAGAATGACACGTCGTCTACAATGACAACATGGACATTGACTGCATGATCGTATTTCCATTCTGAGGACGGTTGAAAAACAAAACGAAAAGAGAACGAAATCCATTCCGATTAGTATATACTTATGTTGACCGGCGAGAAATGTTTTACCTAGCTAGCAGTAGCATTGTATTTGAAGAAAAAATTGCAATCAGCGTACGTACACGTCAAAGAATATTCTGTCTCACTGGCGGAAGATTATTGAAGATCACTCTAATTACTTATAGATGAGTTTCTAAAGTAGTAGCAAGCTGAGGTGGAAAAAAGAGGTAGGGATGGAAACAGACCTTGAGTCTGAGGTATCTATTGTAGAGGTATAATTGGTTCCAATGAGCAGCATCATTATGCTTCCGATGTCTCCGTCGAGCTCGGACGTAGCAGAGGTGATATCGACATGGGCCCTCGAATGAGCGGGTACTCCATGGATGTAAATCAGCACCAGCGTCCTAGAAGTTGTATCCTAGTAGTATAACTTTCGAAAAGAATATAACTCAGCAGAGTAGCATGTTATGTTTTATGTTGTAGCTCAAAGACAAGCAGGAAAAAAAATATTATTTACACATACACACTCGTGGAGAAAATCCACTTTGACTTTTTGACCAGCACAGTGCCTACACACGCTTGTTCTGCTACGCCTACGTACGCGGAACGTGGGTGAATTCCATGCACAAAATCGCGCGTTACAGTACGAGCCACCACAACATCGGCGGCGGATCATTCAACTTGTACAAAGCCGCGCCCTAATACAGTACAAGGTGCGAAGTTTATTCATCATCCCACAGTACAAACCCGCTTAAGCGTTTTGCTTTGTTGATCATTCGTCCCCGCTAGCAGTTGGAAACGCGACTCGTACACTTTTTGCAAACCGGATTCTAGAGTTGCGTCCACGAGCCACTCTTTAACAGAGGCGTTACTCGAGACATTCAGATACGCACACAGTCGCTCATATCCACTGTCGGGAAGCGAGTTGAGAAGGAAGGTAAGCATCTTCCAGACCTGGAGGTTGATTGTGGGTAAAAGGTACAATGGGTTGGAAAAGAGTTGGAAAAGATGCAAAGTGAGTCTGCCATCTGGAATCAAATTCTTGGACGTAGAGGTAGACTGACCTCCTTTGAAATGTTAAAAAAGTTATATTATAACTATACTAAAATTGTTGGTCAATGGTCATTACTGGCTCAAGATCCAATGGATGAACCTGATTTCAATGCCAAATGACTGCTCTCACTCGTCACCTTGATCATGATCAATGCCGTTCCTTGTCTTGAACTTATGTTAGTTCCTCGTATGATCATCATTTGAACTCAATGAAATCCAACATGAATTAGCAGCAAGATCTCCCAGATCTTTAACTGCACTACGACCCTTCATGATATCCCAATGACATTGAACCCATTTTGATACCATTTCAGGGCCTTAAACAGTCTGTCAGTGATCATTCGGCACGTCCGTTCTGATCGTCTTTCTGTTACATTGCAACGATAATCATTCCATTTGCTCTCAAGAGCCTCATAGTGCGCTTGGACGTGTTCGGGTGTTCCAACACTGTTTCAAGCCCTTGAGCCCGGCTTAGTATAGAGTAGAAATTCATCTAGAAACAAAATGTCCTGCGAAGTCTCGGCTTGCGTCAAAACTACCCGAATGTAGTTGGCGTGACGGCAGCTCCTCATGGTATCTATTCCTAACGGAGTGACCACCCGGGAGGACGCAATCAGTCAAAATGTCGCAAGAGCAGAGCTGAGATGCGGAACCAGTGGAAAGGGGAAAAGAAGTTACTTTGGTTGATAGTTGTGCAAACAAATTTCTTTCAAGACACAAAGACGACTTCAGTGAGAAAACTATGAGAACTTGTAGGACTAATGGTAGCGCTGGAAGAAGGACGTAGATCATATTACACTTTGACTAGGTGAAGGGGGCTGCTCGCTATTAGGATCGGAATTCAAACTCAATGGCACAGATGGTTGTCTCGTGCATACGGACGCCAGACAGGCCATACCCACAAGAAACCATCCACGCCTGCAGCTTCCCACACTTGCATGCAACTTATTCAAAGAAGAGACTGGCGGTGGTTACATTTGTACAACAGTAGAAGAAGGAGTCAGTAGCTGTTATCTTACAAGACTCGAACTTCCTAGAAGGCGCGGGCACTTTCATATAGATGGCCTCCAGGTGAATTGTCCTGAGTGCGATCTACACAAGATGAAGGCCAACGCACACCACATACAAAGGAAATGGCAAAGGTAAAGGCGCTAAGAACTCAAATCCTAATGAGGGTATCCAGTGCAACTATTGCCACAAGTATGGACATAAGGCGCACAAATGCTGGCTAAACCCGATGAGTCAAAGCTACCAACCTAACAAAGCCATGGGCAGCAACTTCTTCAACAATTCATACAACTGTTGGCCGCAAGGTAACGCTATCCCTCCGTGGCACCAGAACAGCTATCCACCACCACAAAGTGGAGGAAAAGGATTCGACAACGGTAACCCACAGCAGCAATGGGGTGGACAACAACCACAACGCTGAGTCGAAACCAATCCGGAATGGAATGGATATGGGAAACGAGATGGACAGTCCCAAGAGGTAGAAGAATTGGAAGAAGATTTCGAAAATGAGGATGGAAGATGTTCGCTGAACTTTGAAGAAAACTTTGAGAATAAAGACCATAGAAGTGAACTGTTTAGGGGTGAAAGCTATATGATTGATAGTCGCTCAGATTGCTATCTTAGTGCAAATCAAAGCAAAACAGTTTCACTTGTTGACAGTTGTGCAAATAAGTATTTGTCTAGCCATCGTTCCGATTTCAAGAAGATTAGCCACCGGCTTTGTCATATTAGTGGCACTGCTGGAAAGCGAAGTGGGAACCTAGGTCGACTGAAAGAGAATAAATTAGGATTAAAATATGGCGCACACTTTGAACACTTACCAAAAGCCATAGATCGCATTATACCGTGGTTAGGTGAAGGAAACTGTCATGGGAAGGGTTGGCAAATGAATTTCACAGAAAGTGGCGGAACGTTGTACAATACCCGCTCCGGCCGCTCTCTACCCATAACAAATTGCCCCCAGATGCAGTTACCTATTCTAGGCTGTGACATGTTTAGCAAAGAAGAAAATGAAACTGAGGAGGATATAGTACGCACTAGTATAGAAGAAGCTAGACTTCATTCACAAGCCTCAAGATTAGACATACATCGTAGACTTGGCCACTTTCACGCTGATGGCCTTAGTGTATCTTGTCCAGAATGTGATCGAACCAAAGGTCAAAGACGCTCTCACGCAAAAGTGAGGCCCGCTGGGCATATACCTTCTCCATTGAAAACACTTGCAATTGATTTCGCAGTTGGTATTAGACCAGTCTCTATAAGAAGCAAAAGACGCGCTTTAATCATTATTTGCGATTCGATTAAAATGTGTTTCGTTCGTCCTCTTTGCCTTAAGTCGGACTGCGTAGAGGTGATTGAAGAAGTAATAAAAGGCATTCGCCAGGACTACTCACTGTCACTCGACGACAAGGTGGCATGGTTCATCCGTAGAGATAGCGAACCCGTCCTAAGTAGTGACCATATGACCAAAGTCATGCAATCGCTACTGGTTTCGGAAATTCCTGGAGTTCCTTACAGCCCAGAAATGAACGGAACTTGCGAACGTTTCATGCGGACCATTTTCGGTGCTGTGCGTACCATGTTGGTCAAAGTCGACCGACGTCTTTGGTGTTACTGCTTACAGTATGCCGGAGATTGTTGGAATCGCTTACCGCATCGTTATGCAAAAATGCCAGAACATGACGGAATGAGTCCTGTCGAGATACTAGAAAAGAGGATAGGAAAGAAGTCCTCGAAAAGTGGTCTAGGTATGTTAAGAAGATTTGGCTGTTTGGTGTACTTTCGTGAACAGGTCGTAGACACCACCAACAAGAAAGAAGCAAAGCTTGCGTCACCTTATCGGCGTGGTGTGTTTCTCGGTCTGTGTCCAGTTTCGTCTGGTTGTCTAGTAGGTACATATCACAACGATGGGAGAACGAAAGCTGGCTTCAAGTGGAGTGAGTATTCCACACTAGATGTGAAATTTCGAGAGTCGATATTAGTCAAAAATATTGATTGGCTATTGCCTACGTCGAAGGGCATTTATGTTGATTATGACCCGCTGGAAAACCTGCAGTCTGGCACGCCGTCGCTGGGTGGGTCCCGTCCTGCACAGACATGCGCTGCAACGTATGGCCTGTCAGCCGCGCTTCTCTGGCACGGAGTACAGCTCAGGCGATCCAACCGGCATGGAAATGACACTAGATAACAATGACATTGTTGAGTTTTTCTGTGAATCTTTGGACAAAGAGGAAGATCCAAAGACCGGTGATGATTCCAACTCTGACGCGCAACGCGTTGAGGAGGGGAATATCTCATCGGAGCGTGTGTCACCTGACTCTAATCCTGAAGCAAGGGATCCGAGGTCCTTACCCATTCCACCATCTCAACCAGGCAAAGTTGAGGAGGGGAAGAAAGGCCGAGGAAGACCTAAAGGGAGCAAGGATAAGAATCCAGGACAACGCAAAAGAAGAACAAAAGCCGAGCTAGAAGCATTAAGAAAAGACATGACTAAATTTGCCATGCTAGCAGGTGGGCATGAGCTGGAAGAAGGGGAGACCTTTCTCGAAGCACATGTCATGCTGTCAGTTTCCCAAGCCTTGAAAAGCCCTGACGCCGAAAAATGGCGTGCAGCTATCACCAAGGAGGAAGCTAGACTACTTGCCTTTGAGACTTGGGCGCCAGCTACTGACGAGGAGCTGCGAACCTCTTCTCAGGTAATGCCTATAGCAATCGTTCTCACGGTAAAACGTGATGGAACATTCAAAGCTCGTGCTTGTGTGCTCGGGAATCTTGATCGTTCGGGGAATATCGACACCTACGCCCCTGTAGTGTCACACGCTGCGAATAGACTTTTACTCGTTTCAGCAGCGACGGACTCTGACTTCGTCATCCCCTTCGACCTTGATTCTGCGTTCCTTAATGCTGAACTCGATCGCGACGTCTTCTGCCGTCTTCCACCAGTGTGGGCGGAGAAGCATGGAGCGGATATCGTCAAGCTTAAGAAAGCTCTCTATGGGCTCAAGGACGCTCCACGAGCCTGGTTCAAGAAGTATTGCGCGCTATTGTCCGAACTCGGATGGGAGCCGTGTCCTTCTGCTCCAGGATTGTGGCGGAAAAAGAGCAAAACGCACCCAGGAAAGTATATGAAGATGTCAGTCTATGTTGATGATAACTTAGCTACTGGACCTGACTATCATGAGTTACGGCCCGAGCTCGACCGGATCTTTAGTCGCGCCCCTGGCCGACCTATTGAGATGGCAAAGCGAGTCGATTCTCACACGAGTTTCGAATGGCTAGAGTTCGACTTTCTTGGTGCGATTGTGCACTATTGTCGGGAAGCACGTTCAGTGAAAATCCTGATGAGTGTGTACATAGAGAAGACTTTACAGAAGTATAAAATAACATTAGGCAAGCCGGTGCGGTCTCCAAATTTCGACGAGTCTGCTTTGCTTGAGGAGGGGCTTAAGCTAGCAGCCGGGTTTCCATTGCGTGAGATTGTTGGCGCACTGCTTTGGATATCGACAACCGCAAGGCCAGGTATTTGCGTCCCTGTGGCGACATTGGCTCGGTATGTCAGTAAGCCCGTTACAGAAAGAATTGCAAAAGCCTGTAGAAAGGTATTAAAGTATCTAGCTACGACAAAAGACCAAGGACTCTATTACTCTCCAGAAAGTGAGGAAGAATTCAACGAAATCTACAAGAAGCTCCTACCAGAAGGAAGAGAGCTACCGTATACTAACTGGTTCTCAGATGCAGGATTCGCAAACTGCATAAAGAGCATGCGCTCGACCAGTGGTTCGATTATGTACTATCGGGGTTTTCCAATCTGTTGGAAACGCAATACACAAACCGGGCGTGCATATTCAACTGCAGAGTCAGAGTATATAGCCGCGTCGGACACTATTGTCATGAGCGAGCTGCATGATTTTACAGATTTCTTCAATCCCTTACCCACTCAACTAGTGGAAACGCGGTTTGGTATATCGCCATCCCTCGACGATGCCACATTGTGGATAGACAACCAGTCTGCAATCTCGACAGCAAAGAATGAAGACACGAAGCCTAAAAGTAGACACTACGCATTACGTTATTTAAGGGTTAGGGATGCAGCTGAGAAAGTAGTTTTCTGTCCTACTCACCTTATGAAAGCTGATGGACTAACGAAACTTTCGTGCTCATCTACTCAACGCAGATTATTATTACATCACATAGAGAATCCAGTAATTAGCCGTAACCATATTGAAGATGATAGCGACTCGGAAACGGAAGATGATGAGTCTGGTTCAAGTTCTGCTTCTTTGGCGGTGCTTACCTATTCTATCTTCTTAGGGTGTTAGGTCGTTGGTCAGAGGTGACGTCAGTGGCTATACAACGAATCGTGATGGTTCTGGGTCAGGGCAGGTAACGCCAGACCGTTTGTGACTTTCGTCATTTCCTCACCTAGCGATTGAGGAGGGGTGTTGGTCAATGGTCATTACTGGCTCAAGATCCAATGGATGAACCTGATTTCAATGCCAAATGACTGCTCTCACTCGTCACCTTGATCATGATCAATGCCGTTCCTTGTCTTGAACTTATGTTAGTTCCTCGTATGATCATCATTTGAACTCAATGAAACCCAACATGAATTAGCAGCAAGATCTCCCAGATCTTTAACTGCACTATGACCCTTCATGATATCCCAATGACATTGAACCCATTTTGATACCATTTCAGGGCCTTAAACAGTCAGTGATCATTCGGCACGTCCGTTCTGATCGTCTTTCTGTTACATTGCAACGATAATCATTCCATTTGCTCTCAAGAGCCTCATAGTGCGCTTGGACGTGTTCGGGTGTTCCAACAAAAATAGTACTATGGGTGGAGCCAAGCAAGCTAACTTCACTAGGAAAAGAAAATGGAAGGTTAGTGGGTAAAGGATAGAGAAGTACAGAAATATTAATAATGGCCATGTTAAGTAGGATCCGTCTATTCTAGGCGCCGCGTGTCGTTCCCAATATACTAATATTTATAATGATAGGTAAATATTAAGCACCGGCTTCCCTTCCGTCTGCCTCTTCAAAACCTCCACCAAGATATGCGTCGGCGATTCAACTGAAAGCGACACGTTGTTAAAACTTCCTTCCAAAGATACGGTTTCTGATACTAGGTTCACTATAACCGCAGCATGTAGATTCTCTGGGTTTAGCCCTCTCTGGGCCAAAGCATCTTGTGTCCGCATGTAAGTAGCACCAGAAGCAAGAACGTCATCGATGAAAATAACTAGTTCGGTGTTGGGGCCGATACCTGGTCATGGTTGACTGTCAGCACTGAGACGACATCAGTTAGGTGGGATACACGACCTGCTCAAGAGATAGTGATAGAATTCTAAAAAGTATTTACAATAGTAGTACTCGGTCCCCGATCATCGTATTCCAGTCGCATTTGCTCAATTAGCGTGAGCCGTTCTTGCAACGAGTTTGAGTAGGCATAGCCGCTATTGAAATTTTCGGCAAATGTGCGCATATTCCCTAGAGGCAACTGCAGTCGCGCACAAACTTGCTCCAACAACAATTGACTTGCTTTAGGGATGCTAGTGGCTGAAGAGACCGCGACAATTACGATCTTCGCGTTCTCACGAGCAGGGGAACTATAATTACTATTTGGATTTGGTGGTTCGGGAAAAATGCAATTACGTTTATTGGCTTGATGAGATGTTGAAGATGTTGGATGTTCACACTTTTGGTCGTGCAGCTCTTGTTCTGGTGCTATCCATTTCGCACTCGTTCGTGGTGGCTTGAAGTGGGTTGTGCTAGCACGCTCTTTACCTTCTGGCATGACAGCATGTGGTTCGTCAGATGAAGCTAGCATTTCGATATCACTTGTATTTGTTTCATCACTGGTGCCAATGTTCTGGAAATCCTTACGATGCCTTTGTACGACGTCCCGCAAGTCCGCAGAGATAACGATATCTGGATTTGTGGTCGTTGAGGAGCGTCGAGGGTGTAAACAAGAGATCGTAGTACTGTATGCTTCCGGTATTTGGTAACCTGAATTTGATCATAAGGGAAAACAAGTCGAGAACCCTTGTGATCAAATTCACGTTACCAAATACCGGAGCCATTTAAGTACACAACAAGGAAAGATGACGAGAAATGCAAATACAAATTTGTTAGATCCTATTCAGAATTACCGCCTTGATCCGTCTCGCCTTGTTCCAAGGATGCAGCGCCGCACTCTTCTGATATTGTTTCCAGTGGACATTCACGAGTCCTCGTTCCACCACAATCGGGACCTACAATGTGATGACTGCCGCCAAAGGTTACGTCAGACACTAGAAAGTCACTAGATGCTCGTCGGAGTGTGCGTGCCTTTTTCTTCAGAGGTGGTTCTGAGGAAGATGACGATGCTGGTGTGGATGCTGTAGTTATAGTGGGTCGTACAATAGTTTTTTCACTACTTCCATAACGAGGTACAACAGCTAAGAGGGACTCTGTCCAGGCAGAGGACTCCTGCTCAACCGCATCGTGGGCATCTGTTTGACTTGATTTTTCATCACCTGCTTCACAAGTCGATGAAGTGTCGCGTTGGAATAGGGAGGAGGATGAAGGTTGAACCGCGCTCTTCAGTGGTCTTTGTCTTTGAAGATGTCGTGCCTCTTCATCTTCTTCTTCGGCTTCTGTATCGTGTAGATGATCGTCATCATCGTGTGTGTCGATCCCACCTTCATCTATTTCATCTGCTTTGAATATTATTATACCAGTGCTGGCAGAGTAAGATGTTCGTGATGGTGTTTTTCGTTTCAGCGACGACGAAACACTCCTCATGATTTCACCTACTGGTTCTTCCTGCTCTTCATCTGGTGTTTCAATCGCATCTTCACATTCTTGTTCCACCATATCGACATCTACTTGTAACGAAAATTTTCTGGCTTTCTTCAACCTAGAAGTGTAAATCAGACTTTTATTTTCCTGATTTAGTACTCCTGCCGGCTCAACAGCGTTGGACTTTTCAGCGTGGACATCATGGTCAAAAATGCACGGGCTCTGGCTCAAATCTGGACTAGCACACGCCAGAAGAATACTCCTTTCGGACAGCTTAGGCGTTGCATCGTCCATTTCGGCTCTCTCAAATTGCTCGAATAACAATGATGCAAACTTTTTCCCTGAAGACACTGCGGGCGGGTTACGCCAGCGTGGCTCTGGTGTCGCGCAGTTACTTCTACTAGGGTGTTCGCTTTTACCGATACTTTTAGTGATCATAGCAGATGGTGCAGAAAGGCCAACCGAAAGCGGAGATGCGACGGCTGTGGGGAAACTACTGGCACTGGAAGATGTGGTCGCTCCTGTCGCAGTTACTTTGGGCTGTCCTACAGGTAATAGTTGTAGTTCTTGGTTTACGAACATATTCCTCTCAGGAACAACTGTTTTTGGCGTTGCCATGTGCTCAATCAATGCATCAGCAACTGCTTCAGCAGATTCTTCTCGCATGATCCCAGCGGCGCCCTCAACGGGCGAGGCGTTACTCGTAGCACAGCTTAGCAACGTCAAATTCTGGAAAGATGAGCTGACGCCGCCAGGACTGGATGACGATGAAGTGGCACGACTGTCAGTTCTCAGGGCGATAGGGACTGGTGGTGGCGAACAACGCGAAGAGCTGTTGTTCATCTGAGGTTGTACTTCGTGTTCCTCCCCTTCCCCTTCCTCTTCCGATAATCTCCTTGCATTCTCCAATTCAGCACGAACTGCGTGTAAGGCCTGTAGATGCTTGTAGTTCTCTGATCGCAATTTATCATCCTTTTCGCTTCGATCAGAGAAGTCAGTCGCGTCCGCTTGGGGACTCGACGCAGAACATCCTCCTCCTGTTGTAGGCCAAAAGCAGGTCGAAGAGGATGCTGTATCAGCTGCCGCCGAACAGCTCCTGCCATCAGCTGCCGCCGAACAGCTCCTGCCAGTAGCAACGCATGTGCTGGAAGATGATGTGGTGGTCCCTGAAGATATTAGTGAAGTAACGATAGTTGTGGCCGCGCTTGCACCACCAGCATGTTGGTGTTGATTCGTGGTACAACTATTGAAGGACGAGCACTTGTTTTGTTCCACTTCCAGATCGTGCGCATTCCTGGTACAAGAACTATTGAAGGACTTGTTTTGTTCCACTTCCAGATCGTGCGTATCAGTCGAGCGAGACCGGACTAGCCCTCGAGGGGACATTGAGGAGTTCACTGAGAACTTACAACTCTCAGCATCTTCGCTGAGGAAAGTGGTACTGCGTTTCGAGGCTGTGACTGGCGTTCCGAGGACACGACTCTGCTGGTGGCCAGAAGCCGCAGCGGGCCACGTGGATGCGGCAGTCCAGCTGTAGGAAGAATTTCTGTCATTGTGCTCGAACTTATGCTTATGTTAGACATTATAATCGAATCCATCTCGAAATGCATCCCAGGCGCCTTCTCCCCTTGAGAAGCCTCCCGAGGATGTTTCAAAGGATGGATTAGGCGAAGGAACCTTAATTATGGTCTCCAGCAGAAGAGGGGTCCGAAGCTCCGAGGATCGGTATCGAGCTTGCGCTGGTGCTTGAATTAGAGCGATCAAAATTTGAAAAAAATCATTACCCTTCCTGGCCAAGTTTGAAGCAAAACTTACACAGAGGTAAACTCATGGTAAGTATTTTACATCGCTTTTATTACTGTTGTAGAAATAGAATGAAGTTCATTGTTCTGTTCATCCGTCGTTCATCTGGTTCGTTGTTGTATCAAAAAAAAGTGCTGAGAAGTGATTAAAATCAACACAAGCCATAACAGTAACACTGCGACCAGCATCCTCTTTCTTGCTCTTCGCTACTTCTCGATGAGTCGCTGCCCACTTTGCTTCAGAGCCTGAGCGACGTTGGATTTCCTCTATTCGCGCACCAAAACGCTCCGTGATGAGGTCAGCGACTTTGTCGGCATACCTGATGTTTGAGGAGTATGTAGTTTCGTAAAAACGGGCGAACCTAGAAGTACTTGTTGTAGGTACTACAACTGCCTTTGATAATTCTGCATCAAGACCATGGGTCAATCTAGCTCATGTTCATGTTCTTCATGAAACACCAAACATAAAACACCAAACATAATAAAACATAAGCTCGTGTTGTAGCTGTACTTACCTTGATATAGTCGCCGGATCGCCAAACTTGAATAGCGAAAATTGACGTCCTTCGTTTTTTACGAAGCTCTCCACATTGGTGTCATTGATACAATAGACACCACACAGGTTGTGATCTCGGCTCGCCACGAACATGTTGAAATCGAAATACCGCAATTATTGATGAATGTTCACATTTAGTTCGATTCAGAGGATAGGCGTAGACTTGTATTACAAGACAAGAAAGGTTAAGGTTTTTATAGGGTACGAATACAAAAATTTATAGATTTCGGTTTTATATTTACATTTTTAGTCGCTACTCGTCTAGAAACATCATGTTCATGCGAGGGTTGGATTTGAATTGCAGCTGACGAGAGAGCTTCTACTTGCGGTAAATCTTATGTTCATTTCAAAAACAAAACGGGTTGGCATCATCTCCCTCGAAAAATCAAAAGTGGCGACTGACAAGCTTCATTTCATATGCGGAGAATTTCTTTTAACGGGACTCGAATTCATATAAAGCTTGTAGTTTTTTCATCGAGCATTATGAATATATATCGATGAAACGCACAGGCACAGTACCGAGTCGAGTCGACGTCGAGGAAGACCAACGAGTTGTACCGATCAAATGTATGAGTACTATTTCTCTCAGTCAATGACCAAGCAAAAAAATATGTCCGTTTTGAGAGACGAAACACAACCTCAACCGCGGCTGCATCCTCAACATATTCATTTCCGTCCCAAAGGCAGGGCGCGGAGGTTGGTAGCTGTCGGCAAAAAAAACAGAACGACGAAGATATCAACTTAATGTACTGCCATTGAATATTATCGTCCACAAAAGCGGTATCGGTGTGGTCTCTACCACAATTATCAACCGCGATATCCGTATTTTTCCAGTACTATGATGTCGTCAAGAAAGTAATATTAACCTTCTTACTTTTTTAGCACTTCATTCATTCATTCATTTAGCTAGCACGAGGTATTGTCTCAAAACCTAATTAGGATGCAAAGGGGTGGATTTTCGTTCATTTCTCCATCCTCCTCTCTATGGCGGCGGCTCCTTCCGCGTCATAATTTCCACTAGTTGGTAGTAGTCTATCTGATTCGTTTCGGGCATCTCGTATTCCTGGAGTAGTAAAGCCCATTCCTCTTCTGTGAAAGGTTCTTCACCTGTGGAGGGGGTGAGGAAGAAGATGGTTTTGGTTCCTCATCACATGCGCTTGAACTTGATGTATCAAGTAGATCTTAAGATTACAACGCACTACTTCTGTAGTTCATCAACTACAGTAGAAGTACTATCTGTAAGAACAAAAGAACAGTACTGTAGATTACAACTAACTAAGAACAAGGGTTGTACCTATCACCATCATCGCTTCTTTTATCTCTTCCGCATCCACGAAGCCGTTTTGATCCCTATCGAATCTAGCAAATGCCTCCAATAACCCCGCTCTAAGACCTGCGCCGGCCTCTCTTTGTGCTATTATGTAGAGAAATCCTTGGAGGGAAACCTGGTAGTTGTATTTTCAAAATTATACTATTTTGGATTTGGGGTAAGGGAAGATTCATTTTGTGATAGTTGTGAATGGAGGTGCAGCTGGTGAGGCAGAGGGATGGTTCAAAGCTGGGGCTCACCATAGACCACAGAGGTGACTCTTCCGAGGATACTTTTCAGAGTGACTTCATCTTTAGACGACCTTCAATATGCAAATTCAAAAACATATTCCAGTGCTGCTTGACGAAACAAGATGAGAGTCTTCACTCACAGGATGTTGAGTACAATCATTTTTGCACTTGAAAACCACAACGATCTGTTCCGTTCATAAAAGTGACACAGTCTATTTGAAACCAGCCAAAGCAGAGTACCCCTCCTTTGGCATATAGATCATGTTCTTCGCATATTTTGTTGAAATCTTCGGTCGTTGGCGCATGTCCGAGACTCCGCATAGCAGCATTCAGTTCGAAGGGAGTGAGCAATGACCCACTACCAGCAAAGGCTGAGAATGCGTCGCAGCACACCTTGTACTGCTCTTCGGAGAGTTCACCCATTTTTGCAGAAGATGCTGGAGATCCAGCTGATATTCGCTTGTCTGATGTAGTTTCTTCCGTAGGATCTATTCGCTTGTTTGTAGTTTGAAGATCCGTAGAAGGATCGAGGTTTTTTTTGATTCGATTCGAGTTAGCAGCCAGTATTTAGACTATTTTTGGTCGTGGACTTGCGATTTTTGTATACTTTTTTTCTTGTCACGAACAATCTGTTTTCAAGTGTACCGAACGACCCTATTAGGATAGGATAGGAGTTGGCTCGCCGTCCACAGTTTGACCCTATTGCTGGTTAGGTTAGGTTAGGTGTGGGTCCACTAGATAAACCAGCAGACTTCAGTGGCTGCTGAAGAGCCAAAAAGAAAGAGATTCTTCCCTGTAAAATTTCCTTTTCAAGTCGTTCTCAACAAGCCCTGTTGTCGCTCTTCTCAGCTGTAGATTTTTTTTCGAACCTTGTAGATTTTTTTTCGAACCTTCGCTCTATTCCAGTGCTACGCCAAGGCACTGGGGACCAGAACGTCGTCCTCGAAGGCAAGTAGATTATCATTGTGGTCTTGAGTCTGAGTCACTCAATTCCACAAAAAACTGTAATTTCACTTTCGTAATGGTTGTTGCTTGTTTAGTTGTTTTTGCTTGTCAATGGCACCAACTTCTTGATAAGTTAACAAGGCTAAAAAGAGTTCAAATGCTCCAGTTTAATAGTTGGGTTCTCTCTATCTGGACACTACAAGACTGGGGGTTTTTCTACACCAACTGAAGCATGCATATGCACATCTTCTTTACTCTGAGCTACGAATAGTGAGTATAGGATTGTTTTGAAACATCGGACTATATTTTCACTTTTATACAAGCTGCGTGGCAAACGGGAGAAGAAGACAGTGACAGTACTACCTGACGTAATAACATTAGTCAATGTAGTAGAGGAAGAGGTTTTGCCTAGCTTCTATTTACATAGATAATAATTACGTGCTTCATTACTAACCCTATTCTTGAAGTGGATGTACAGGTTGAGCAGCGTCACGTGGAGGAGCTAACTGAGGTGAGATCTGCGGCAGTTTCGAACTAGTACCTTGACATGTTCCTCTTAGAAAATGTACTGGATTATGACTAATATGCTAAGCAGAGACAGAGCAATCCATATCAGCATGCACAAGCAAAACCATGATGATGAGCTCTACCTTACGATTACTACTTACCACCTCCATGTTTATTTTCTGTAATTCTAATATTTTTACGTACGTCAACGAACAACTATGCATTCCTACTATTTCTAGTCGTGCCATGATCGTGTAGAAGCAAGCCCTGCCCTTGCCCACAGGGTGAAAAAATAGGTTACTTCTGAGTTCTGATTCTGTATAGACCTCCAGGGGTAGGGATAGGGCTACCTACATCGAATGCGAGCACATCGAAATCCGCTTCTTGGAAAGTCAAATCCAGTATGGAAATTCTAATTCAAATCTATCAACATAAAAAAAATTGACACGACAAGCCCGGGAAGCGCAGGCTGATCCGAAAACTCGAAGAAAGCACTCAGCAGGAAGCTACTAGTCGTAGGTAAACACACTTAAAAAAAAAACTGGGAGTTCGAAGATAGTACAACTACAACATACTTCATCAATTTTTCATATTCACCACGTTTTACTTTTCTATTTTAGTGCTTCTTGATCAACCGCCACAACACTCTTTTTACGTAAAACTATGTATACATGCCCAGAAAGCGGGCCCATCAAGGGCCCGCGGCGCCGGGCATAGGTTAACAACTAGACAGATTGACTACTAAGAGACAGAAAGACAAACGAAAAAAGTCGCCAAGTCTGCTCGCCAAGGCTGGGAAGGTGGCTCCCACTGTGTCAAGGAAGGGAAGGCTGGGGAGGTGACATCCTCAACGGCTTCGCGAGGACTTGCATGCCTGAAGGGTGGGCCCTGGTGAGCGTCATCATATCCATGAGAAGGCCAGAGATATACATTTCTGCGCGTGAAAGTCGAAGCCGTTGAGGATGTCTGCGAGAATGATAGCCGTGAGGACTTGCATGTCTGAAGGGTGGACCCTGGTGAGCGTCATCATATCCATGAGAAGGCCAAAGATATACGTCTCTGTGTGTGAAAGTCGAAGCCGTTGAGGGTGTCGATGTCTGTGAGAATGATAGCCGTGAGGACTTGCATGTCTGAAGGGTGGACCCTGGTGAGCATCATCCTATTCATGAGAAGGCCAAGGATATGCATCCCTGTGAGTGAAAGCCGAAGCCGTTGAGGATGTCGATGTCTGTGAGAATGATAGCCGTGAGGGCTTGCGTGTCTGAAAGGTGGACCCTGGTGAGCGTCATCATATCCATGAGAAGGCCAAAGATATACATCTCTGTGCGTGAAAGTCGAAGCCGTTGAGGATGTCGATGTCTGTGATAATGATAGCCGTGAGGACTTGCATGTCTGAAGGGTGGACCCTTGCGAGCGTCATCATATCCATGAGAAGGCAAAAGATATGCATCTCTGTGTGTGAAAGTCGAAGCCGTTGAGGATGTCGATGTCTGTGAGAATGATAGCCGTGAGGACTTGCATGTCTGAAGGGTGGACCATGGTGAGCATCATCATATCCATGAGAAGGCCAAAGATATACATCGCTGTGTGTGAAAGTCGAAGCCGTTGAGGATGTCGATGTCTGTGAGAATGATAGCCGTGAGGGCTTGCATGGCTGAAGGGTGGACCCTGGTGAGCTGGTTAGAAGTATACTGGTTAACCATCTCCAAGGGCTGCCGCGCGCTCCTGTGGTCGATTGCTGTGTGCGGAAGGTAGTCGCGGAAGGGGAGCGAGCTAACTTTTTTACAAAAACTTCAGGGAGGTCGTTCCGCTTTCTCTGTATTTGAATGACCTCCCTGAAGTTTTTGAAAAAAAGCAAAGGCGCTGGGCGATAAATAACAAGGGTAGCGGCTGGAAGTTCGTTGGGGCGATTCGCTAGGGGTGGGCGCGTAGTGTCCTGCTGCAGATGTGGCTGGGTACGTGAGTAGCCTACAAACTAACAGCCGCGAACGCGTTAACATGTTCGCGGTGCCTTTCCACTCGTAGCACTAGCAGCGCAAGGGCTTTGGAGAGCCTTGCGAGTCCTTGCGAATCCCTTAAGGAAGGGTCTAATATTAGCCAAGGGCTATTACAACTTTTCCTTAAGGAGCTTCCTTAAGGAATTTTTTTTTTTTTCTCTTAAGGAAAGTTATAATAACTTTTTGGAATAGAAATTCCTGAAGGAAAAGGGTTTTCCTTAAGGAAGCCACTTAAAGGAGTCTCTTAAGGATTTCGCAAATTATTGCTAACCCTATAAATACTAATATGGTTTTCCACATGGATCATGAACTCCAAGTACTTCAGATAACAGTTCTCTTTCCTTAAATAGAACTTCTATCGTACAGGTACACGTTCACCTTCAAGAAACCATTAGCACAGGTACTGTCCTGCAGAGGGTTAGCTATACCTTAGTCTGTCTCTTTCTGATCCAACACCAGTCACGATACCTCCTCCACATTTATCACTTTCTTAGTTTCTAATCTTCACACTTACCCTTACGCTTACCCTTAATTTACTTGATACTGACCACTCGTTCATGATACTGACCGTCTAACATCGATGCATAGTCGATAAGCCCAGAGCCGACAATACAAGTTCTGTGCCCAGACGTACAGTACGGGGCACTACGCCCATATCAGGATCGTCTCCGTGCAATCCTGGTTCCGCAACAGTATCGATCACGGGGTTTACCTGGTCGTGGACGTAGGCGGTGGTTGTTTATATTTTTTCTTATTGAGAATTACAATTATGATGTGAAAGATAAGTAAGTACTAGCTTCTGCCCACAACTTCTACCATAACACTTCGTGATAACTACTCAAAACATGACCATTAGGGGTTGAGAGTTGGCATCTCTAGCTCGCATATCTGTGGCTTTCCTACTTGAAGAAGCCATAGAGACGCGCATAGAGATGTCAACTCCCAAGCCTTAAGATCATGTCTTGAGCCCTGACTTCCAAATTCAAAGAGAAATCAACACGAATATTCAGTTGTACCTCAACCAAATCCATGCTGACCAAACGACGTGTCAAAGCCAATTCTTCACAAATGTAGTGCGCCTCTCGATAACTCAATCCGCCGCGAGCGCAGGTTCCAGTGCCAGGCGCGATCGATGGGTCGCAACCGTCAATGTCAAAGCTTAAGTGGATCGGACGACGCCGGTTCGGGTCAATGCGCTCGGGGATTAGAGGAAGAGATTGTTGTTGTACTTGTGGAAAAGATCATCACGTATTATTCGGAGGGAAAGTTGGGTATCTTAGTCGGTCGTGAATGTATTAACCCTCTGCCTTTATTACACAAGAAGCCCAGAGTGTTCGTAATCGTGACGACGTCTCTCTACAGGGATGCAGAATACTACTCGATGAAACTCAAGATCAAAAACTAAAAGAACGATTCGTCATAACAAAGCATGCTGCACAACCTTAGCGATCCCCATCTCGTCCACGTCGCGCATAGTGAAAAAGTGCAAATCGCTGTTCCGCATCAACTCCGACTCGGTGGGATCAATGTCCCGTAAGCCGATGAAGGCAAAGTTGTTCGGACTAATCACTGGAGCTGTGGTGCGAGCGGATTCGTCTTTAGTGTAAGACCTGCTAGTGACGACTTCGACTTCTCCATTGGGGAAGGTGGACGAGGATGTGCCAGCTGCGCCAGTAAGGAACGAGCTCTTACTGGTTTTGGTCGATGCAGTAGCAGTAGTAGACTTACTCGGCATCCACGTTTCAAAACCCGGTGGATGATGTTCAAACCAACCCATCACATGCGCTGCTGGCATGCCATGGTAATGGCCACTGGGAGAGCTCTTAGGTGTGTTGCAGTCCCCATGCGCGTCGATCCACAGAATGCACAAATCTGGGTAGACCTTTTGCATTGCGGTGATGGTTGGGCAAGCTACACTGTGGTCCCCGCCAACGGTAAGCATGAATTGGCCTGGCATAGCGCGTTGAATGTCCAGGACGCGATCGTGGAGCAATTTACAAGCTGGACCAACTAAGTGCAAGTTGTCGACTGGGTACTTCTTGAAGTATTCTTCTTTGGCAAACTGAAGAGGTTGCTGAGTACTACGATCTTCGTTCTCAAGAGTAGTCTTTTCATGATCCCCCACAGCTGAACCACTGCCATCACTCGCAGCAGACGACACAACCACAAAATCCTTCCTAGCAGATGATATGTTGCTGGTAGTGTTGGAAGATGACGAAGTAGAGTTCTTGAGGTCGGCTTCTCCCGAAAGAGGTTCCGCACTTCCACTTTCCAACGTGTTTTCCTTCATTCGGCGCAACCATTCGCCAAACGACAATTTCGTGCCAGCTTCCGATCGCCAGCGATCGAAATTCTTCTTCGTGATCTCCCCTTGCAATAGTCCACACAGATCGTCGTGAGCTTGGTTGTGCACAGAGTTCAGCTCAGCATTACTTGTAGGCGATAGTCGAGGACTGCGCTTTTGTTCGATGTCCTTGATCAGTTTGTCGAAGTCAAGATCACCGTAATCGTGCCAGCCGTAGCCGAGTTTGCGAACCAACTTTAGATGAGCATGGATGCCTAAATTTTCATGATCTTGAAAGTCATCTTTGCCGCGTTTTCCCCTCGAAAACGTGCCAAAGACGCCTCTTAAAATGAATTGCGAGGAGAAGGAGCCTTAACAACTGCTTTACATTGGCAGCGCGAATGGCTTCGGGTGCGATTTCGAGGCCCTTCAGGGGTTGACCGATATTCATCCCAGCGCCGAGAAAAGCGACTGAATCGATCGGATAAACGACACGCTTCTTCTCCTGCTGAGGCATCACGGTGTTCCGCCGCAGCGGCTGCTGGGCCCTGACCGAAGGAGGAGCACTAGCAGAGGAGGAGGACGACTCCATTTTGTCTTAGATTCTGACTGTTTTACCACTAGAGGAGGAGGAGGACGGCTCCATTTTGTCTTAGATTCTGACTGTTTTACCTTGATTTTAAAAACTGTTGAAAAAACTGTTGAAAAAACTGTTGATGTTCTCGAACGATGTAAAGTACTTGTTCAAAAAAAAAACGTTAGCAATCGGTATTGCTGAGCTGTATTTTGATTTTGTCCAGCTATTGCCACGGCACGAGGACCTAGTAAAAAAATATGCAACTCCTTACTACGAAGGCCTATCTTCATCTACCACGTAAGAAAAAGAAAAAAAATAGAAAAAAAGCTCAAACTTCTTTATTTCCCTACAACTTTACACACGAGGCCGAAAGTACTATGGCAGTTCGAAAAAGTTCTTCAAAAGAACGATATGCTGATTAAAGGCCGCATGGCATCCATGTCAAACAATCATGAATGCATTTTCACGCTCACTCTACCTTTAGCAACATGTCATAGGGTCCATCAATGCCCTGTTATTCTCTCAGACTCCTGCTTCCACACTCATCCTCGTGTTCGCTCAAGACGATATTAGAGGCACTCAAGAATGCAAATTCTCGTGCTTACGTGGACGTCTCATTTTTGTAAGAATCTGCACTACTAAATCGAGTTTTCTTTCCTCTCTGTCTCTTCGAACCTTAGAACATGACAAGCGACTACAAGTGAACGGGTAGTAAATTCACGAACGTTCCTCGAATGACGAGAAAATGGAATGGATAATTGTCATGGTCTATCACAATCACATAGTTGTGTGGAGCAGACCTAAATTATCACAATCACGTAGATGTGATGTGAAGCAGACCTGGAACAAGGTTTACTTTAGCGGGAGGGTTGCACTTCTAAAGCAACCTCATGGGAGCTCTGCTGGGGAAATGGTTTAGTGCAACCCTCCCGCTCAAGTAAACCTTCTCCTGGTTTAGTTCATGCCTCTTAAGATGAATTGAGAAACACAGCTCATGTCTGTGATTCATGATCGAAGCACAATATTCCAATGGCAAGCAGTTGTTAAGGCTTCTCCTCGCAGGAGAGGGTTGCACCAAACCAGTTCCCGAGCAGAGCTTCATGAAACAGTGAGTGTTGGATGTCGACGGATATGACACAATTTGGATTCCACGTGGGGAATTCGCATCCCCATTGTTGCTCGCTCCTGTGGTTACGTTTTTTAGAGGTAGGTTTTTGGTGTTCGTTTATCCCGCTCGTTAGGGCTGTCCCCCTTAGGAGAGCCATAACAAACGGTAACAAAAGCACCGTTAACCTACCCTTAAGTTTTTTAGACCTCTCCTTAATTCATCCCTGTGGAGATGGAGATCCCTCAAGCGTATGCCTCAGTATGATTAAGTATACCCCGTGTGCTTACTGGAGTATGTTGCCATACGGTAGAGGGATTCGTTCCCATAGAGGTGGACCATTAGGGACGAGAGCCTTAAGTTTTCCGCTAGTAGTGCTAGTACTACCTCCACCTCTACTACTCGAAATAGGTCTTAGACACAGCTTCGCTTCTCGGAAAAGGATGCTACACCACTTCCTGCTCACTTCGTAATCAGCATCGTCTTCTGGTTGCAGGAGATAGGGGAGAGGAGAAGAAGACTTTTTCTCGTGATCTTCTACTCTCGCATTAGTTTTCGTGCTATCTCCTTCATTCCCTAAAAGATCTTCTCCTTGCTCAACATATAGTTCATCCCAAAATTTTTAGCCTTACTTTTTCACTATCCGTACTGTGAGATGAGATGATATGGCTGAGTGAGCAGAGGTGGTATGCGTTCTTGCGACCCTTTTATTTTCGCTCTGAATCAAGTTCTTCAAGTTGTAGAGGCACTTCACTCGTCTCACTCAGCACCATATTAACCATTCCACATGGGACAGCGAAAAACAAAAATTGTAGACTGCTTAAAAAAAAGGAATGACGGCCAGCAATCCCGCCACGAGATCGTGGAGCTTCTTGTCATCGGATTTCTTGTACAAGGACATAAACTCAAGGATCAAGGGAAGGCCGACAGAAGTTGTTGAGGCCGTTTGTAACAGTTGTTGATCTTGAGGATTATTGACATCTTCATCTAGTTTACAGGTACCGCCAACCCATCTGTTAGAACATCTGCTAGCACTTGTAGATATTGGCTAAAATAAGATGCTGTGAGAGATGGGTTTACGGTCCCCGTAACTAGTTGCTGTAGTTGTCCTTGATGATGCTCCCGCTGTAGCGGTTGCTGCTCCTGCAGAGACTTGTAGGCGCTCCCGAGGGAACAAGAAGATGAAAGGTTTTTACTAGTGAGTGGAGAGCCACGACGATTACTAGGTCCATTCTCTGGACTTTCAAGACGACTCACTTTCGTTGTGCCGACCTCGGCTCCCCTAGGAGTGCTCTTCCCGCTCTTGCTCCCAGAACCTCCAGACGTGCAGCCACTGCCGCGTTTCTTACTACCACTGCTAATCATACACAGACCGCTAGAGCTGCTCGTAGAGCATGAAGATGACGGTCTTCTCCAAATCCTCTCTTCCTCCAAAGTCCTAACTCTTTCCCGCATCTTCCACTCCAATTCGTCGGTCCACGTGATTTGGTGGCAAACGTTTTTCGAACAACAAATACGCTGGCCTATTCCAAGACAAGCTAGTGCGGCAGTCGCTTCATCTTTAGTTAACGCTAGTTTTTTCGTTCACTTCTATGGTGCCTGGGCCTGGCTCAGTGAGAAGTTGTAGTTCCCCTTGTGCAGCTTGTGGCCCACCCGCCTATTCTAATTATCTCCCCTTTATAAGAAATCATCAGAGGAGCGGGCCCCACTGAGAGAGACTGACTCAGCATAGCAGTCAACATGACACGATAGTGAAAAAGTCGCCTTAATTTAGACTGATCGAAATTCCAGGTTTGACACGTTTCTTTGCCCACAAACTTGGATAGGGTGACTGCACTCCTTGGCACGATATTTGAGCCAGCGTAGCCACCTTGAGCAACCCAGCGGCCCAAGGTGAACGTTGTATTTGCATGAAAGAGTGGCGCTCTTTTCTATCTAGTCAGACCATCCTGGCACTTTATTTTCCCCTTGAAACGAACAACGCCAGGATGGAGATGGTTGTAAGGATGGATAAAACATCATCCATATTTTCTTCTGTTCTCTTCTTCTGCGTTTTCATTCATCTTCATGCCCCTGTCAGCTGCAGCGTGCTGAATAGCCTTTCCCAGGTTGTGGACTGGGCCTCCGGTCATTAGTGTCGTCTCTTCATCACACAAGTCGAACAGGACCTGCCAACCGGGTGACCATGGACTTGAGCAATTGTGTTTTCCGGAGGTCACGGTGTCTTCTAATGAAGAATCTGAAGGCGGAGGCGGACCACACGTCTTAATATTTCCTACACCATCTTCACGCATTGGCTTTCGCAACTCAGCCAAGACGTACTCTTTCAGCCGCACATGCCTCGGATCCAGAGCGACAGTAGGTCCTCGTGAATTCGAAGGACATGCTGCTGAACTTGAGGCACTTTCTCTAGGGGTTTTGGCACTGCGGCCCTTCTTATTTTTGGGTGTGCCGCCTCTAGGTGTGTCGGCACCGCCTTTACTACTACTACCAAAAAACACCGTTTCAACTTCTCGACACCAAGCAGGCAAGAAATCTCTGTAAGCGACGTTCTCACATGCGACAAAAGGATTAGACTGCGACTCTGCGGCGTCGATGTCGTAGGAGCCAAGATGTAAAAACGGAGTAGAAGGCGAAGCAACACTGGTGCCGTCTTGCTCGTCCTGTGGTTCTCGTCGTTCTCCATCTCCTCGTTCACGATCCTCTCGTAAGATATTATTGCAACGTCGTAGTCTTTGTTTCTTTTCTGTTTCCACTCCCTCCAACAATCTGCGTACAAAGAGAAGCTGTGCGGGCGAGCCAGGTGTCACCGTTACAGCTCGAAGGTCAACGAGTGGATGCCCGGCGACGAAGAGTAAATTTAACACATCGTCAACATCGGAAGTTTCGATGTCTAAGATTAGCTTGCGTTCTTTCAGCGGACTCGTCGTGGTCCCATGTGTGTTGACTCGTGTCGATGCCATGATGAACAAGGCGACCCGCTCCCACGTAAACGTAACGCTAACGTATATGCACTTATACTATAAAAATACATATACATAGATATACTATTGAACGAATATGAAATAAATTTGCGTGGATGTAGTAGAATATTGAAAAGATTTAAGGAAGAATTTAAGCAATTTGTTCTTGAAGGTCGTCAGCTTATCACAAAAATTTTTCTCCGAGATCGAACCCGTGACCAGTTACGGGAATCAGAGGAGCGAGTACGAGTAGAACTAAATGTATTTATTAGACCTTACCAATATTCGTCTTAAAAATCATCTGTGGCCCGTTTCCCCCTTCAAAAAGGAGCCGAAGATTCTCTTGGTACTTCTCTACTGACGGTTTGCTTGGATTGAGATACTTCCATAGGCTTTTTAGGGTCACGAGTCACTCTGTCAGTCAATCAACTCTATGCGGTCGTCTGACCAGCGGGGATGCTCGCACAAATATCTGCGTTGACTCCACACAGCAAGGCGTGGGTAGAGTGTAGTGTCCACTCAAGCAGCGTTGCTGTTCTTGTTTTCACCAGAGTGGCAATCATACTGGTGGTCAGAAATACTTCCCTTCAATCGCATACGCGAGGACGTAGCCAGTGCAGTCTCATGCTCTACTAGTTGAAGTTAGCTTGATAAAGAACATTTGAGTCTGAGTACCAGTACTCGATGTATTTGTCTGTAACCAAAGAAGAAGACAAAGGACAAATCAGCAACATGAGAAAAATCAAAATGGGATCAGCATGAGAAAACAACAACAATGTCTATTATCACTAGAATCTGATGAGCTTGAGCACTAGTCACTTTTGGTTTTATCATACTAAGACTGTTATGTACACTGATCTGAAATCAATATGTTCGGGAATAATGTCAACACTGAAGAATAAAGAATAAACGACCCAAGACCAAGATATTGATGCAAAGCTGCAAGACAGAAGAACAATTACAACACCGAACCTACTCACGAAGGAATAGCAATATTTGATTTACTACTTACAGAAGTAAAAAAATAGAAGAAGCTCTACAAGAACGAACTGCACTTGCCTCAAGATTAAGATATACAAGCACCGAAAAACCAATAGCCAAAGAGAAGTTACTGTTACGTAAACTACCAAATTAGTAGTTTCTAAGTCAACATAGTACAACTCTAAAAATCTTGCACCCCTAACAAACTCAAATGCTTGAGTCTCGCCCATTCATCTGGGCCATCTGTGGTATGGAGGAAATTACCGTTGAACGTGTTTCGCATTTTACGCTTTAAATCATCCAGACGCTTGTTCAGTAGTCCTTCTCCGAAAATTCGCGTAGCCTTCGCTGGCTCTGGAAGCTCGTCATAAACTGTAAAAGCCACTGCGGCATACGCGCTGTCACAGAAAGATCTAGTTGAAGTGGATGTGGAGTATGATCTGGATGGGATCGAAGTTTCGTAGTGGTTCTCTGCTAGCTGGATCTGAAAGCGGTCACATTCGCGATCATCATCTTCTACTTTCTGACTGAAGGAAGACGCAGATGCACTACTAGTTGTACTATTAGAGGTAGGGGCTTGGTGTTCGTGTGTCCTGTTTGTTATGGCTGTCCCCCTTAGGAGAGCCATAACAAACGGTAACAAAAGCATGCATGCTATTGTCCCTGTTATCACCGTTCATGGTGACCGTAGAGACGTGAACAAAAGCACCTTTATTAACCTACGCTTAATACTATTCAGGGTCTTCACGACCAGCATCGTCACGTTATAGCACTCGTCCCTCCATTTTGTTTCAACCCATTTTGACATCTGATTTGCCTTATGCAAAATGTGCCGTCTTTCATGAAACTGCTCTCCTTCCGTTCTCGCCAGCATATGACCTTCGTACAGTAGCTGTGCGAAATCGACCAAACTGGACTGCATATGAGGACAGATGCCTGCTAGATTTCGACGGTGTCTGCGCAGTAACTGGGGTAAGGGGAGCAATGGGGGGTCGTGGAAATCGGGGGATTTGCTAGTTCTAGATTCGATTCGTTGTGGTGACGGTGCGACCAGGCCTTCCTCAGATGAAAACCTCAACTCTTGTTCTCTGAGAAGACTAAATCCGGGAGCTCTCTGAAGTGCCTCCCGAACTTGTCTTCTATGTGCTAGTCCATGTGGCCAGAGAATGGCTAGGTGATGCCACCCGCTCTTTTTCATCACAGCCTTGTTCTGCTTAGGAGCATCCGACTCCGCACTTTCTTCAGCTACCTGTTCCTCTTCCTGCCTGTTGTTCTGATGCTGAGTCCTGTTTGGACTCCTAGTCGTTGTTGTTCTACTTTTTCCTGCACCTGCGCCTGCTCTCCTAGTCTTAGAGCTACTCGTGGTGTTCCATGATGTTCTCTCTCCATATGCCTCGAGCCACTTCTCAATCCCTAGCATCGTCTCTTCTAATGCATCCACCATTTCAGCTCTCCTCGCTTCAAGCCAGTCTTCTTCTTCAGATGTGGACGTTGGAGGCTTTTTCTCCCCGAACATCCTGTGAGCTCGTCGACCTATCGGAATCATGGTGGTGAAGAGTCCTGCGGCAGACGCAATTGCTTGATCTGCTGCTGATACGATAGTCGCTCCTTTGTGGAGTTCAACATTCTGTGTCGCCGCTAATACTAATTCAAGTATTTCCGATACAACGGAGGTCCTAGGTGGAGGTCTCGTACCAGTTTCAAAATCAAATATTCTTCCCATATTCGGTAACATCGGTAATCGTGATAGAAAACTCAAATCAAATGACGGCATCTTCGTGCTGAGCGGTCCGCCGGATTCCACTGGATCAACACCATTTGGATAATAGCTGGCTAGAGGTTGTTCTACGAAGATCCACCAGAGAGGGTAGTTGATGTAGGTCTTACTGGAAGCGTTAGGGGTTGACAGTTGGCATCTCTAGCTCGCATATCTGTGGCTTTCCTACTTGAAGAAGACATAGAGACGCTCTTAGATGATAGGTCAACTCCCAAGCCTTAAAAGTGGGTGCTTTTACTTTTCCAGGGTCTGATGTAGAAGATGGCTGCCCCACATTTGCTGCAAGGGTAGGAGTGCCCACCTGAACCTTCATGTCGTGTCTTCCTTCAGCACTACTCCTACTCCTTGCTATTCTGGCATTGATCTCTTGTTCTCTGGGCTTTCCCGCTGCTACTTTTGTTCTCAGCACTAAGGCAATAGGCCTCTTTAATTCCACGACACGCTGTACAACAGGAACAAGAAGTCTGCGGAAAATAAAGAAAAAAAGCTTCGACAAACGTACCAAGTCCCTCACAGATTCGCGTCTATTGTAAAAACTACAAGCGCCCATGCGGTCCGGGTCGACGAGATGGACTGCGATACTAGAAGTGGGTAAAAAACAAGTCTCATCTTCCTCCTGCCCTTCTTGGTTTCGATCTAAGTCTACTTCGTCGTCGAGGCATAGGAAATCTTTCTTCTTTGAGAACTGTTGATCCTGAGACGAACTACTGGTAGTTTGGATAATTTGCGGTGATCTGAGAACTTCTACCATCACGTTCCCCATACTCACATCGCAATGCGCACGACCGTGATCAGCCAGGAACTTTAGTGCTCGCGAAAGCTGTAGCATCAAACGCGCTATGAATGTTGTCAAACGGACAAGCAGAGAAGTCAAACGTTGCAAAAGGACTAGTTTGTCTTCCTGGAGTTTATTGTGGTCGGTCGAAATTGGGATAGAAGTAGTTGTAGTTTTTGACTTCGAGATCGAGGCTCCCGTTCCTTTTGGCTTTATCCTCTCTTCGATCCCCTTCGCAATTTTCGCAACCAGATTGCGGAGAGGAAGCGCATTTTCGTAGTTTCGCATAACGACATAGGCACGCTGAGATTGTGCGATTGTACCTTTAATATTCTGTGCTGCGGCCATGAACTGAATTGTCGCCACTCCACAGTCGAAGACACGCATGATGGTAAACAGATCAGAAGAGTCTCCACGGTTTTCATGCGTAGGTTTACGTTTACCCCCTCCACTAGTTCTAGTTCTATTTGTATCACCTCCAAATCCCATTCCATGTTGCTGTTCGTGACAATCCTGAAAGTTCGCGTCTTTGCAGTCTCCATATCCGACATCCAGAAAGGTGTTCGGGTATCGGAGTTGCGTCTGGCAATGGTCCAACTGACCGCTGAGGTGGTCTTGTTCTTGTTTCTCTTGATCACCAGCACCTCGTTCATCGCCAGCACCTGTGACTGGGAATGTCTTCAGCATGAGTGAAGAGCCCTTCGAGAACGAGTCAGCCAACTTGATCAAGAAGACATCTCTTTCCTCGATGTAGTTGTGGCCCTCCTCTAGCAGCATTTCTGCCTTGTGCGTATCATGCCCACGCTTCACAAAGACCAGTTGGCCATCTGCTGGGGGATTTCTTCTCGGTATACTTTTACTTGTAGTTTCGTGATCGTGGTCGCGTCCAGCACTATTTTCTTGAGCTGCAGTGATCCCCACTGCAATGCGCATCACATTACTGGAAGCATTCATCTCTTCGAATGACGAAGTCTTCTGCATCAAGCGCATGAACTCACTTTTCTCGGCCTCGCGTGTAATCCGCGTGTGCTGTGGCATCATAGGTTGTCGGAGGAAACCAACGTAGTTTCTTTGCGAGTAGGAGAATTGATAGGGGATTAGCCACTTCTTCTTGGATTCGACTGCCACGCTGGAGGCCGACTTCTTCTTGGTCCCCAAGTTGTTGTAGTCTCTCGCAAGCTCAACCAGTGAAGATGTCTCCTGTTTCGCTAATAGTTTGGCTTGTAGAAAATTCGACAACGGTGCACTTCTTGCACCATCCGACTTATCGGGAAAGCGCATATCGATATCGCCTTCTCCACCCATAGCTTCTGGTTTGTCTCCTCCACTACTTGTTGTTCTTGTCGTGGTTGCCCCTAGGATTCTTTGCACAATTTCAACATTTTCGAACCATGCAACATCATCTGCAGTGTCTTTGCCATGACCATCACGCATCCTCTCATCCACGACCTCAACCTTCCCACCTGCCAGCGTGACTACATCTGCCATCCTCATCTCAAGTTCCAGCCTCTCCAGAAGCTGGAAAACTTCATTTCTCACCTTTCTCAAAGCAGCTCCCTGGATCGTTGTCCCACGATACTCCACGTTCTTGGCGTTTTCGCGTGCCTTGTCTTTCCATAGACTGCCATCTTCAGGGTCAGTATCAGGGTTTAGATGCCTTAAACGCAAAGCTTGCTGCCACATTCGTAAGCCTGTGTGTGCTAGGCTCTTGCCACTCATGACGAAGTCATGGGAGAGGTGTTCGAGATGGCGGGCGAAGGTTCTCACCAGATTGATAGATGGACTTGTATAATCTGCTTCTTCCTCGTCTACTTCAAGATCGACAGGAGTCTCCCCATCTACCTCATCTTCAACTACCACATTCAGATCCGGCTCAAGGAATTTACCACTCTTAGCCAAGCCTTCTCTACTGAAGATGGTACTCACAGGGCCGCTTTCCTCTTCTACAGCCGCAGACAGTGAGAATGCCATAGATAGCCAGTGGCTTGCCGCTAGGGAAGCAGATAAGGTATCGGCCTGCTCGTTCATCTCTGCGGGTGCGGAGCCACTATTCTCCCAACTCTCAAACATCCGCCTAAAAAATCTTCTCCAACCAGCCTTTGCCTTTGCTATTGATGCCTCATCAGCACTTCTCCCACCACCAACACGATCAACTACTAGCACTTCATACGCAAGAAACAGGATCTGCGCCAGTCGCCACAAGTCTTTCGGTATTTGGTTTCTGTTGAAGAAGGAACAAGCGGCCATCTGCTCAGTGTCAATGACGTGAAGAACAAAGGGTTGCGAAAGGAAGGAAGCGACGTCAGCGGCGGAAGATGTACTAGGCTCTTGCCCAGACCCGGGAGAAGAAGCAGCGCCCTTCTTTTCAGAGGAAGGGCTAGGATGCAGGAGCTCGATCATGAAATTGCGTAAATTAGAGGTATGTAGTCGCACCGAAGACTCGTAGTATCTATTGAGTTTGACTTTGACTTTGAGTACAGATGAGATAAACCATAGAGATGAACAAGATGATGCAGCTATTGACACACATGGCCACATAATTGATTTAGATTTAGATGTATTTCAAGATACCCACCTCTCACCATAACTAACATCACATCGCAGTGTCCACGATTATGATCGTGGAGAAACAGCAACGAATTCACCAACTGCAGACTCAGGCGAAGGACAAAGCGCAAATAGAGTGCGTGGAGAAGAAGTCTGACGTGGCTACTCGGCGAGGTTTGGCCGCGTAGTGTTCTTGTCTGATCTATATTTTCTTGAGTCTTCACCTGTACTTCCTCTCGATGGTATGCCCCCATCTGAAAAACGACGTCTTGCAAGGAAAGTGCCCGCTTATAGTTTCGTATGAGGACAAAAGCGTGCGGGTGCACTTCGTCTAAACCAAAGTCGAATCGGCCTTCTCCGCAACCGGATGCTTAGAGCTGTATGTAGATGGATCTAGGGGGAATGTAATGCTGAGGTGGGCCTAGGAATACCAAAGAACGCGATATCTTTTCGCACAAACAAAACCTTTCTGAGCCTAGAACTCAGAACTTGCTGCACAACAAAGCCAAAGGAGTGCAAGTATAGTTTTTACTATACAAAGAAGGTACTAATGCCTTGTCAGGTCGTGGTCATCTTAGTTTCTATATCGAAGACTCTCTTAGTCCTAGTCGTGAATGGCTAGTCCTAGTATTACGACTAGGACTTGAAATAGACATCCAAGCCATAATATACCCGCATGACCGTGAAGAAATCTCCACCAGCTTTCACCATCGCTTTTGCCTGTCCTTGATCTGGTGCTTGTTGACCCAACATACCAGAAACATCAACCGAAAGTGAATACAACTCTTGTGTCCGCCGTCCTTCTAGTTCCCACTCCGCTTCCCTGCAATCTGCGAAGTCACTCCTTACACAGGGACCATAGTGAAAAAGGAATTGCGAAGTCCAGTCCCACGACGTCTCGCACCGACCACGTAAAGCGTATAGCTGTTGTTTTTGCTCACTTTCTGGCACTCCTTTGGCTTAGCGGCTTTCGTTTGACTTACCCATGTATAATCTCATTGTCGTTTCTGCTCTTCTACAACATTCCTGTATCTATGAGATGTAGAAAAGGAAGGACAGAGGCAGAAGTAGACACTAGGGATGCTACGAGATAGTTCCTCAATTTGGATCGGCCCTTAATTGAGTGCTGCCTGGTCAGAATCATCTTCATCCTCGTGCACCACTTGATCTACCTGCCACGTTTTTAAGCAGAAAACAGCAGACAAGCGTACTACGAAGCGCCGGCCGCCTATATATCTAGGTCGCGCAGCTAATCTCTGCAACACCTGCGCTGCTGGGCCGTACTCGGCAGGACCGACTTTAAGCGAGACGTCTTCAATTCTAGAGTCAAATCGAAACAGCTTCAGACCCTTTAGAGAGGATGAGGAACTATTTCCTCCGTCGCCAGTCTCAACATGAACTACATTCTCCTCGACCTTATCCTTGTCTCCGCCAATGCTACCCTCAACATGAACTAAATTCATCTCCTCGACCGCGTCCTCCTGGTCGTCCTTGTTGACTAGAGCATCTACCATTGCAGCTACATCATGGACGAAACCCATGTAGGCGTCGTTCTCTCGCTGTCTCGTCCACGCGGTGTGCTTTGGCGTCATGGGGAGACGCTCTCTGCCCACATACGAATTCGCATAATCCATCTGATAAAAAGGAGCCCAGTGCGTCATGGCGTTAATTTCGAAAACTTCTTCGTGGTCTTGGTGCTCTTCGTTATCTTCTTCTTGAACCATAGAACGACCAGCACCAGTAGACTTCTTCATACTATTTGCAACAGTTGGTCCTCCAGAAAGAAAATAGCTTTCCTCTACCACTCTTCCTTTGCCTTTGCCCTTACCGGATAGAGAAGGTGGCTGTGGAAGAACGGTGGAGGCGGGTAGGAGATTAATGAAGGACGTCGCAAGCCACTGCTTCATGGTTGGATGCGTGTTCTGGATTCGCTTACGAGCCATGCAACGATGCCATTGTGCACTCTGAAACGAGACATTACGAAAGGCAGGCAAAAAAGTAGAACGATAGTCGTGGTCCTCGTGGTCGACGTCATGTTGATGTCCTCGCTGTACTACTTCTACTTGTTGAGATGTGCATGTGCTGGCCGTATAAGTGTGTGGGGAACAAGTTTGATGAACAAAAAATGGAGACCCGCTGGACAACTTGTTTGGTATCGTGCATGATGTGCGAGTGCGTTGTGACGACGTTCTTGTAGCAGTAGTAGTTCTAGTTGCAGAAGAACAACCAGTCATGATTTGGTCATCGTCTTCCTGGTCATCGTCTTGCTGGTCGTGGCCTCTTTGTGATTGTGACTCATCCACCATTCTCTGCAATATCGCACCCCTTTGAAGATTGTACAAGATAGAATCGTTTTCACTATCATGCCAAAAGAGCCATTTTTTCAAAAACAAGGCGAAGCTTCGCCCCACTGCGTCTAGCGCTCTCTGTCTTTGTTCGTTTGTTCTCGCGAAAGGCGGATGCTGAGCATGCTCCTGCTCTGTGATCATACCCTGTCGTTTGCGTTCTCTCCTCTTCTTGATAGAAGTTTTTGTGCTGTCTCTTGTTCTTTGTACCATATTACGATTTGAAATCGTAATCGGCGGAGAAACAATATCAGCTCCGAAAGCAAGAAAGCGCTTAAACAACTGCATTACAGGCCCTTTAACAGAATCTTCGAGTGTGAGAGGAACCGTGTCTTCACAATCTTCTGCTAGTTTCAGCTCAGGAGGACGCGGCTTCTCATTCACGCGCTCCACCACGTCATACAGTAGGCTGAAATCAGGTACTTGTAGCTTTCGAAGGCGTTTATCGATTTTCATCTGCTTTTTGTAGAAGACAGATTCGAGACTCTGGCTTGTTTTCGATGTCCTAGTGGTGCTTGTAGTCCTGCCAACATCTTCAGGAGGTCTACCTATCGCTTTTCTCACCGTTTGGTAGATCAGGTGTGTCCACGTAGAGGACAATGATAAATGACCCTCAGCACGTCGACGGTCACTAGCATTACGAGTTGTAGTACTAGTAGTAGTACCATGTTGTTCTTCTTCTCGTCCAATGCTTGTATTACCTTGTCCACCAACAGCAAGATCTTGTTTTGTCTTCCCTGTGCCTTTCTGCGAGACTGCTTCAACATTCTGCACAGCGTCTTCTAGTGCCTCTAGCACAGGAGTACTCAGCCGATAGATAACGTAGAGGAACAACTTGACCAATTGTGGCCAGTCTTGCTCGGCCAACCCTGGGTTCAAAAACGTGCAAACACTAGTGTACTCCAGATCAATCGTGTGCAGGACAAACCGTCGCCCTAAGAAATCTAGGAGGTTTCGTAGTTCTGGTTGTTGATGCTGGCCACCTTGAGCTTGATGTTGATCATTTCCTTGAGCTTGATGCTGATCATTTGATTAAAGTTCAGCATTGAATGGTCACTGACTCTGAACGGAAGAACCCCCTGCAAAGTTCTCCCCTTTCCCTTCGTTTTCCCCTGTTCTCTCAAGGGGTCGCCTCTTCGATCTCAGTGACCAACCCCAAGGACCATCGAAAGTTGAGCCTTAATTTGAGAAACTGTTTATACCTTCGTAGTGGTACTCCTCAGTGTCTTGGTGCTCGTAGTCCCGTGTTCCTTCTTGTTTTTCTTGGGGTACTTCGTTCGTAATCGTGTGTTTATTGTGGTTCTCCCCATCGTGGCGATGATCCTCTCCACGTTCATCTTGTTGCAATTCGTTTGCGCTTGCATTTTCACTGTTCGTCTCGGATGACGGCGAAGGGCGTTCTTTGATCTTCCACTCGAAAAGAAACGCACCCAAGGTGATCTGGCAATGAGACCTCTCATGCTTTCGTAGAAACAGCACAGCCCTCAACATCTGCAAAAACAGCCTCGCAGCAAACGTGAAAACCATTTCTAGGAGGAGAAGGAGCTGTTGCTTTCGCAATTTTTGAGTTGTATCCTTAACTGGTGGTGGTGTTGATGTTGCCTTCGCAGTGTTTTCAGCCAGCTGTGTTGTTGAAGTCGCTGGCCCTTGCGTTCCCAAACTTGATAAAGATGTAGTTGGTGTCCCTGCTCTAGCAGTAGTGACTTCTTCTATTCGTCCCCTCCTACTAGTAGTGATCAACAATAGGGGATGTGATTTGAGCATGGAGGCTATATGCTCGACGATGTCCTTGAGATTCTGGGTGCCAACGGCAGCTTCACGCTTTTCTTGCAGTTCCTCTAACACCCGGTCATAATTACGCGTCACAGCGAACACTCGTTTAGATGTAGTGGTAGAAGTTGAACTTGGAGTAGGTATGTCATGGTTACTAGTCTCATCATTTGCTTCACCAGGGAGAATCATCTGACTCGTCTCATCTGCAACTGCATCATTATTTGCTTTCGCTTCCCGTGCTAGAGATGAAGTAGGTGACTGTTCTCCACTACTTGCTTTTGCCGATAGACCGACACCTTTCTCATGATTGTCGTACTCGCGAAAGCGAAACCTTGCCACGCTACAACCATAGGTTCTCATCACTGTAAAACTGTCTTCATGTTTTCGTGGTATTCTTATTTTGTCATGTGTCAGGTCGTCTAGAAAATCGTTTTCGCCACAATCTGCATAGTCGCGTCGTTTACAGGGCCCATAAGCAAAGAGAAAGTGCGTCGGAACAACCCACTTCGTAACACAATCGTGGAATGCGGATGATAGTCTGCGAGCATCTCCTTCTACGTGATTCCGATCATGCGGAGGATGTCTCTCGGTCGTCTGCAGTAAGTAGACCCGTGATAGCTGGATAAAGTTGCGCTCGGAAGGACATGATTTCTGCTTTTCAGAAGTGCAGGTTTCTCCTTTTAGTATAAAAGCCTGTTTCTCCTGCTTCCTCCATGCCCATGGCCTGAAAGTATCATGTCCACGCTTCAAACGGATCAGCCAAGGCGTGTTTGCTTTTGATGTCTGGTCCCGACTGCCTACTACGGATGAAGCTGATGATGATCTCAAAAATGTTGCTCTTCTAGAGAAGTTGAAGTCGTCTGTTCTTGTTCTTGGCACTATTACTTCTACCACCCTCTCATCTTCCGAAGACGGCGATACTTCTGAAGTAGAATCTTTACCATTGTAGAACTGAGGCATGTAGAATTGGGACATCAAGACAGGCAAAGAATTGTCAGCACGTCGCAAACGAAGTCGCATAGCGTCTAGTCGCTTGTCCGTCTTCAAAACACGATAATCACGGTCGACATGGATGTTGTCTATGAAGATGCCATTACCACAAGACCTAGACGAGTTCATCATGGCAGCACTGCCACTAAAATCCGTCATGGCAGCACTACCACTAGCATCTGAAGTGCTGCTAAGACAACTGCAATCCATCATGATAGGACGACTACCGCCACTACCATTACTATATTTACAGTCCATGTCCATGTCCATCAACATTACACGACTCTTACCACTGCTAGAATCCATCATGTCACCAATGCCACTTGAATCCATCTTAGCACGGGCACCCATTCCCATCATGCCACCACCACCAACATCGTCCATCATGCCACCACCATCAGCAACATCGTCCATCGAGGCACCACTTCTACTATCGTCCATCATGCCACCACTTCTACCATCGTCCATCATGCCACCACCACCACCACCAAAACCATCGTCCCAGACTGATGTCGCACGACGGAGTCCACCACTCAGGAGTTTTTTTACTTCGTGCCACACTCTTCTCGAGACTCGGTTCTCGGTAGTACCATTGACCCGGAAAGCCTCGGCAAGCAGAGTGCGAACTTGTTGGTTCTCGTAGTTCAGATTGAGAAGAACGAAGAAAAGGTGAAAGAGCGACAGCATGATTGTATTCTTCACTGGTGCTGATCGCTATTCTTAAAACATGAGTTGAATGAAGGTGTACAATTGCGAACTTCATGATACTACTTCATAAAAATATCAGCGTTGTTTTTTATTGTCGTGATTTTCGTTTTCCTTCTTGAGCCTACTAAGCAGGTGCTTGGTCGTCACGACTATTCCATTGTCTGATTGATAAAGTCTGCACCTGTCCAGGAATATCACAGTGTGGGGAAGCAGGGGAAATGAAGTTCATATCTGACACCGCAGCCATCATGGACATAGAGAAAATCTATCAATACACAAGATATCAAAATGGAAATCCCACGTCTCTCTCTCTCTCTTGTCTTCATCGTCTCGGCAATATCTCAGATTCTCCGCAATCTCTCAGCTGCTCTCCAGCAGCAATGGATATCAAGATAGACATAGAGTGCAGCAACAGACCCACGGATTAGTACTCAGAGAAGCAGAAAGAGCGCAGAGTGATCCAGTTCCCCTGTTCCGCAAATGTTAAAAGACTACCTAAGATGACGAAGATGGTGACCCCAGTCGTATGAGCATGAAGGCCATCAGCTGGACAATGATGGAGATCAGTGCAATACCATGGCGAGGCGACTGGAGACCTACGCCGACGATGTGGATCCTTATGCTGCTACACATGAGCAAGAAGGTCCACACATTTGGCAACTTTGTAACCGCATGAGAATCATGCAAAGCCCCCACGATTTGCACAACTGAAACAGGCCGGGAATTGTATAAAAAACGCACGGCCTTAAGAGTGTAGATTTGCAGTCCTAGTGTTCACAAACACAGATGCTAAGCAGAAACTCTAGCCATGCTTTCGCCAGAAGAACACTCAGAGCCTTGCTGTGAAAGTCATAAGCCCGACGAACGTGATGTAAGATGTTTTTTCTCATTTCCCGAAATTCTATGTACAGACTTCCCTAATGATGATCATAATTAAATACACCTAGTAACTAAGAGCCATCTAATACGAATATGTTGAAGCTCTCTTCACTTTTGGGTTGATGTTGTCCATGCCTTTTTGTATTTATGTTTAGATCGTACGATAGATGACATTTTTCTTATTTTGCAGGCGAAGAGTTTCATTTTCTGCGAGTTGCAGTTTTATCTTTATGAAGATATCTCATGAACATTTACTGGGTATCCTCTTTCTTCTTCGAAATTTCTACTTTTTTACAACTATACAATCGGTTCACTCGTCTGAATCTAGTGCTTGTACATTCTAGGAGGTCAATAACATTAACTAGCTAATTATAAGTACATGCTGCGTAAGAGGTGCTACTTTTTTTGAATATGTTCTGAAATTATGTTGATGTTGTTCGGCAACGGTACATTTTTTTCACTTTCGTATATTTTGTCCTGTACATCACAACTATACACTTTGACATCCGCTAAATTTTTACTCATGCACAATCTTTTACTTTTGTTTCGTTAGACCACGTTTTGACTGCTGAAGTTGTAGAAAGAAAAGTTACAACTGGAATGATGCTCCTCATCCGCTATTGATGTTGTAGTTTAAATGATTACATGATTCTCATTGTTGCGCGTCCTACTAATATCTTCCTGTAAATGTTAATAATTTGATGACGAGTTCAAGTTATTGTATGTATGTTGTCGACTTCGAGAGATTTGTCTCTTGATTGTTCACTATGCATTTCTGTAAATCCAGTAAGTCTAAGTTTCTGCTTCACTTTCAATTTCGCTTGTAATTGTTGATGTTTCATATCTATTAGATATCTTTACTTCCATATTCACTTGTTGCTATCGCGTAACTCATCATCCGCATACCACGCTGTGTCACCGACCACAAATAGTTATAGTAATAAAACTCCGCATGTACTAGAGATAACACCTCACTTGTCGCTAAGTGCGCAGTTAAGACTCCTCTCCATTCACCACAGTGGAAGACCTGCAAAAGATTGATTGAGTGATTTTGGACTTGCGTACTCAAGAGGGAAGGTGGAACGAAGAGGTCCGTCTTGTGCCTAATGACATGAATCAGAATCAATTGATTCAAAGCGAAAGTAAGATCATTTTTACCATGAACCTACGAAAAAATTCGAATCATACATATCTATCAGGAAGTTAGTACGGGAAGTCGCTCTTCTCTTGACGGATTCGCGCCTCCGTGCCACGCAAATAATACGGCTTCATCATCAGAAAAGATTCGACATCAAGGCCGTTCGGGGTATAAGCAATGGAAGTGGCTGTCGGGTCATCTTTGTAAGAACCAGGGGACCTTGATCAAAAATCATTTGAAATTGAGAGAGTGACCTCATCCCATTCGCACTAGCCGGGCGAGTCTACCTCTGAGACGATCGAAGATCAAAAGTTATCTAATCAATAGCAAGCAAATTGCTGAACTCTGTCGAGACTCCTCCCAATCTGTTGAGGGTTATAGAGCTAGAAAATTTAGCGAAGAAAATGCTACGAGGCAAGTGCTCAGGCCTGTCGAGGTCGTTGCTATTCTGTCGCGCGTGTTCCACTTGAAGGATAAAGAAAGAGTGCAGCTGAGTTATCGCAATTATAGCTAACAAAGTATATCGTCGAGGCTAGAAATGCACGACATGGCGCGGCAGCCTTTTTATAATGCAAATGCGCTGGGCGTTTTTATGCTTTGACGAAAAGCTAAAAACCTAGCCCGAAACTTTTTTTGCCTGCTTGGTACTCTTCGCCAATTCTAAATACATCGGCAAGATCGGAAGCCACTCGACTAGGGAACAGAGTGAAACCTTTCACAAGTGACAAAATAAACAATACTGAAACAGGCTAAAGAATGCGAAAAGGAAGTCATCGCATGGATGTACTCTGAAGAAGGTTCCGCTCTGCCTTTTCCTTGATCTTCGGTGGCTAACTGACCATGGCTTCCCACGCTACTCCCGATCATCTTCAGGTCGGATGTTTATTTAGAGTAATGCGAGTCGAATAGGAATAGTGAAGAGTCATTATACCAAAAGTCCGCTACTCAGAATCCGAGTCCTGGTGTTGCAGTTGTTGTTTCATCCAATAAAAACATTGATAATGTTCATATTTGATGTGACAGATACTACAAAGTCAAAGTATACGCGAAGATACTTTCAACTTTCATTGCGCGTTGTTTTCAAAATTGATTAAAGAAACCACCATCATCTCAGAGTCAGTTGTGCATTGCGATTGAGTCGCGCTGCGCCTTAAAGGTAGATGACACCACTTCCGCACTTTCTGCGGGGCTCGCAGCTCCTTCAGCTTCTTCAGCAGGTTGGAGAGCTTGCTTCTGTCTTTCCGGTTCTCGTTCGCTGGTCCATGCGGCAGCGGTCTTCTTCGCCGCGACCATGCTAGCCATTGTGTCAAGACCTCGCGCACGCTCGTTGCCGGGCATGGTTCTTTGCCCTTTAGAGGTTAAAAAGATGAGGCAATAAATATTGAATAGATATCTATCCAGAAATTAAAAAAGCCAAGTTGGGGCCCACCGTCCATTACGAACGGAGACGACGTTAATCGCGCCGAGCGCTAATGTATGCCCCAAGCCCAGAGGTGGAGGCCCCCTCCCCCTGTGGATGGAGCGGCGGCGGCGTCCGCGAGCCCATTTTTCCGCGGGGGTGGTGGCATGTAAGAACCTCCGGGGGCGAAAGCCTCAAAAAGCGGGGCCGGCGGAGGCTCCTGGCGGCTCTCCGCGTGTACCCCACAGGCGTCCCGACTCTTGCTGGACCCTATCAGGGGGACAGCCTCCGGGGGAAGAAGGCCGCCGGAGGCTGCCACGGTCGCGAAGCCTGGCCCCTTTGGCCCTCATCCCCCCAACTGGAGGCAACGTCCGCCACCACCAAAGGCAGGGGGCTGAAGACCAAAGGCGAGGAGGAGCGGGGGGAACAAGGCGTGCCCGCCTGGGTTCTGTCAGGTACATGCGGCACGGCGAAAAGGGTCAAGCCTTGCCACCTCCTGCCTTCGGACAGAAGCCTTCCGCCTCTCGAGAAGCCCAGTACTAGGAACCCACGCTGGGGGACGTCCCTCACAACAGTGAGGATCCCACACCCTGGAGCAGGCCTGTAGGGTACACGCAACAAGGCGCAACAAGCCAAAGGCGGCGCAGCCTTGCCGCCTTTGCCACCTTCGGGGGCCTTGCATCCCAAGCGGCTAGCTTTGGCACCCCAACGGCCTCAGGGACAATGGGGGCGCTATAATTAAGAACAACGCTCGGCGAGAGATTAAGACCCAAAAACCTACGGCATTTCTTGTTCAGAGAAAACGCATCTTCTGCCATCAAAAGCGCAACTTTTTGAACAAAAAGCGCGACGCTTTTCCTGCAAGATAAGACCCACACTTTTACGATAAGACAGGCAGTCTCTGAGTGCTTACTAAGAGCAACAGACTGCGAGAAAAAAAGGCCAGAAAGCCTCCTCCATTTCTTCAGAAAGGCCGCAGCTCTTGACACCGAAAGGCGGCAGCTTTGCACAATCTGTAACCGAAGTCGACTGTTCTCTCCACGCAACAATTGCCATCCATGTGTTTGGGAATGGGATTGCGTGAACACTTGAGTACTTTGCTCAAGTTGTAGCCAAGTTTCAGGAAACTTACTCACTTCGTTGTTTACGTGTTGCTTACTTGCATATACGTGAAAACGTAGTGACAATCTAGCTCAAAGCAAACGTAGACTAAATCGTCGAAGGATGATCATAGGCTGAGAATCGTTCAAGAGTCTCAGTCTTGTTTTGTCGTGCTTCTTTGTTGTACTTGTACTTACGTGCACACCGTTCTTACGTTCTGAACTGAACTTGCTTGCTCTCGCTGACAAACGTCTAAACTCATGCGAAGTTCTGTCATACATGACCGATTTCAGACTTCGCACGTGGACCTTCACAGCGTGGCAGTTCTCTTGACAACTCTTGACTGTCAGTTCTGGTTACATCCACCCCTCCCCCTAATGGTGCCGAGTTCACGGCAACTCGAGGACTAGTGAATCCGTGGAAGGAGTGAACGAGACACGCTACAGAACTGTCTGTCTTGCGGCCGGTTAATGTTTGACGCCATTAAGCAGTAACTTGTTTGGTCCTCAGTTTTAACTGCCCATAGGTAGAAGCGTAGAGATAGTTCGTTTAGAAAGCAGCCGGCTCACTGCTGTCCTCAGAAGTGCGTACTTTTAGTGTGTTAGTTCTCTGGTCCGGCTGTATTTGCTTGGTCGCCAATTCTTCCACTCGGTAGGGAAGTTGGTGGCTGGCAAATGCGCCACGGTGTGCTCAACAGGGTGCTTGCTCGAAGTTAAGAGAACCCGCTATCTGTCTGCGGATTCGTGCAAAAAGGTAGCAAAACTTGCTGCAAGATATGACTTGAAAGTTGTCGAAAATCTGCAAAACTATCCTGCATCTCTGCATTCGAAAGTCGCTCAAAACAACGCTGAAATTTGAGGGATCTGCCCTCATCGATCTTGAAACTCGCTGGGGATCCGTCGACTGTCACTAAATGTCCGTTAGAGCTCGATCTTGAAACTCCGTCCAATATCCGTTTTAAAGACGCTAAAACCCTCTAAAAAGCCGCTTTTGGAACTCGGTTGAAATCGGTCGAAAGTCGATCTTGAAACTCGGTAGCCCGAAGTTGCTGCCGACAAAAACCCGCAAAATGTACAAAAACTGCCTTGATCTGCTGTCGTCAGACTCGTGTGAAACGTACTGCGAGTACCTGTGGTTTGCTCGCAATAAGAGTACCCGTCGGAATGTGCATACTTATAAAAGAGAGCGCCTTTTAGTCCCAGACTTGTTTTGGCTGCTGGGAACTTTGTGCTTCTGGTTGGGTCGGACTTGAAGAACTTTTGAAAACGGAAGCCCCGAGCTTGAACCTCGACTGCTGTTATACTGCGCCGCATATCATGCTGGGACGCCTCTTTTGGCTGAAGTCATACGTGACCACGTGCGTCTTCAGTTGTTTTGGCTGCATAATCACGCAGCTAAAGTCGTGTGATCTGAGCGAATTGCACTGGCATGAGCACGCCGCATTTACGATACTTGAGGGAGGCCCGTGAACACGAGGCCAACCCTTGATCACTTTGTTTTTATAAGCGTTCTCGCTCGGTGTAGATCACCGATGGAAGAACGCGCTGACGTCGTTGTCCCGCGACCGCGACTGCATTGGACTGCCGTGAGCGGATGATAAACTTGCCGGCTAGCAGATTAACTCCTATGCAGTCATCGTTCTCGTTTGCTGTCTGATATGGTGCGTCGAAGAATCTGACACATTTTGAAGATGACACCTCGATCATGATTTTGGCGCTGACTCGCGTTGGTGTTTCCGTCTGAAGCACTTTGTCGACAAGCTCGCCACCCTCGATCTCGTCTGATGTACGATCGAGGATTGTCTTGTCTGCTGGTGCAACGTCTAGTGTCCGTCCTGCTGCGACTCTGACGACGAAGTAGACTTTGGAGAAGTCGCGCCCGTACTCGAGCCGGCTCTTCGCCTTCTTCTCTGCGTAGTCAACACGCTTGCACACGAAACCCCCCTCGTTGATGTCGGTTCCTGCAATTGCGCCTCGCCGTTGAAGATGCGAGCTGTTGGACTGGGTGTGGATCTCCTCTGCAAACTGCGGTAGAAGCTGACGTAGGTTGCGCGCTCGTTCGAGGTCACGCTTCACCGGTGGCCCAACGCCTTGCGCGTTCTCCTCACGGATGAGCTGGCCGCAAAGTAGCTCGCTTGGTGCGAATCCTCCTAGTCGGTCTAGTGGTGTATTGCGACTCAAAATCTGCAGAGCAGGCAACGCGAAAGGCCATGACTCCGGTGCGGCGTGACACGTCTTGAAAACCCGCTGCGCATCCCACCGGTTATCACGCTCTACTTCATGCCGGCCTCTGGCGTCCTCCGACAAGGTGAGCGCCAAGTAGGTGCCCCTTTCTCGGAAGTCACGCTTCACAGCTTTAAAGGCCTGGCCTGCTGTTGCTCGCATGGGCCAGCCAATTTGTGGAACTAAGACTATACTAAAGGCGTTGAAAGCCTCGCGAGGAGATCGCGTCTGCACCGGAACGAGCCACACGAGCCCAATTGACCGCTCTACGACTCGCAGGACGTTGCGGTAGGTAACGCCGTCTATCGTAGCTGGCGGTAGGTCCGTGATGTGATCGATCGCCACCTCTCGGAAGAGCTCAGAAGGAGCCGGGTTGCACAGATACAGCGAGTTGCTGTCTTCGGCTGCATGAAGCGCCACGCACTGGAGGCACTTCTTGACGACTGACATGACTGTGATCATCAGCGTCGGCTACGAGAAGTAACGCGCCACGGCCTGTTTCGTTTTCATCGGTGAGGAGTGTAGTGTCCATTTTCGGTGCACGAAAGTCACGAGCGCGACGCGGAGGCGCGTTGTGGACGCTACGAATTCGTCCTGTAACTCGAAATCCGGAGCGCTCTGAAGCGGTATGTAGATCTTGTCGTCGAAGAGGAGGACGTCGCCAGATAATCGGAACCGCCCGCGCATGTTCTTCGCCTGTCTTTCTTCGGCTGCGGTAACATCGAAAAGAGACAACTCTGCACAATCAGCAAAGAGCGCAACTCTTGACATCGAAAAAAGACAGTTTTACACAATCAGCAAAAGGCGCAGCTTTTGACATCAAGCGAGCAAACTCACACAACCAACAGACGCGCCCACCTGTTCCCTCATCAGCAGAGCCAGCTTTTCCCAATGAATCAACACAACAAAGACAAGAAAGGCACAGACTGGCAGGAGGCTGCTCCCGGGGGTCAACGAAGAGCGCGCGGCGAGAGAGTGAAGGGACCTCGCTGGACACAAGGGAGCACAAGTCCCACCCCCTCTCTCTCACTGGCTCAGGCACTCCCACACCCGCGAACGCTCTCTCCCTGCCCTCCCTCGCGCTCTCAGAGAGGCAGGCAGCCATCGCTTGGCCTCCGCGTGCCACTCATCAGCCAAACAACCAGCCACCAAGCCTGTCGGCCCGACACCTCCACCGAGGGCGCATCAAGATGGGCAAACTAAAACCGCACGCAACTTCCTAAGCGCATAGGGCACGCCTGCGCAATAAGAAGAGAGAGAGGCTCACTCCTTCGCTTTTTTTGGAACGAAATGGCAACACGCTGCAACGAAGACAGCAGCTAGTAAAGGCTCCCAGATCTCGTCGCCCTAATTTTTTCAGTTCCCGCGGCATTGTCTTACTCTCCATCGTGGCAGTGTTCTTTTTCCTATTTGCTGCGACTATTTTTTCTGCATCTTTGGCGCGCAGTTCCTCCACTTCCTTGATGTTGGCTTCTTCTTCATCCACCCGCGTGTAGTACTAATTATATGGCGCGGCCGCTGAGCGGAGTCCCATCCCCTTCTTCTGCCTCGTCCGGAACCGGTTCTATGATTGTCTTCCGTCCTCGCTCTATTGCTCTCTTGAAGGTCTTGCCCGGAGGTGGTAGAGCGTGTTTCCTCACTGATGAAGCTGGGCGGTCAGTTTTTACTACATCCAGCCTTGCTGCGTCATACTTCTTCTCGCCCCAGTGCGCTAGTCCTTCCGCATGGTCCTCCAATCCGATGGCCTCACGAGGTCGCAGATCTCTCTCCAGTCCTGTTCTTCTTGGCCATGTCTTCCAGCGATCTACGTTCTTCCTATCGTCCACGGCTGGACTTGGATCGCAGTTGATGTCTCCCACGCTACATTTGACGGCTGCGCCTTCGGCTAGTGCTGCGGCGAAAGTAGGCGCGGGCGGATTTGTAAACAAGCACTGAAGCAAAATCGGAGGCGGTGCCCCTGTGGTGCTACCACTCAGACGAGGAATGCCAAGCAAGTTCTTTGAAAGAAAACGGCTCGCGCGATTCCTTGTCGTTTTCTTTTGGCAAACATCCTAGGTAGCATCTTCAGGCCATAGATCTTCACGCCATGGCATCGGCAGCCTTTTTTGCCGATTCGTCGCGCCTGCAAACCCCACGGGACCAAAAGGATTGGCTACTGCTACAAAAGGGCGACGCCAGTACTCCGCTATAGACTCAGCACATAAGAAAGCTGCTGCAAGCGATACTGATGCCAGGTGGGTTGGTGTGGCTAGTCCCTCACGCAGATCGCGCGCGCGCAATTCCTTCTAAATATTGACACGCCGCCGCCTTTCTAATTATCGCCGACTTCGATATCTGCTCCGCATATAAAAACTCACGACCAAACCCAGCCAGCCACACGCGCAGAGCCCTACTGGAATACGCCGGCGATGGGGTGCAAAGGCGTCCATATTTAAACAGCCAACAACCCGAGCCCTTAGCCTTTTCTCTTTGTAAGTGGTCGACAAACTAGCTAACACCACAAACACCATTCGGCGCACCGAGACAGAGCGCGCCGTCTCGCTCTTCCGAGCAAAACCAATACGCCGCGCAGATAGCTAGGGACAATCTAGAAAGCAGAGTAGACCACTGCAGAAATCGGTCAGGCCTGCGCCCTTTTCTTCAAGTGATCAAGGGAGCCAGCCTTCGCGGCGCCAGTGAGTTGCGTGAGATTCTAACGGCTTTCGCTGCTTATTCCGGTGAATGCTACAACGCGGGCACGCTGCGGCGCTAGTTTCTTTCGCTTCGCCAGCAGGCCACGAGGCTGCAAGCTGGGACATGTTGTCGCCCGCTATGTGCTTTAGGGGGCTGGCTTCCGGGTGGTCCTGTTCATCCTTCGCAACAATCTCAGGCGCATGCGTCTCCAGTAGGAAACGGCGGGCGAAAGCTGGGGCGACTTCTGCAAACTTCCGGACTCTCATGCGAGGGTCTGCCAAGTTGCACGCGCTTGCGATCCACGTGAGGGAAGCTAGCTGGCTGCTGCGTCTCATGAGTGCACGCACCGAGGACGCCAAGCCCTGCACACCTCTGTGAGACGCGCGGCCGCAAGTCGCTTCATCAGTCTCCGGCAGAGCAGCCGCTTGACTTCAAGCCCGGACGGGCGGCAGATGCATAATGTCGCTGCGCCGCGCTGGCCTTGGAAGACTTTCAAGCAGGGGAAGCAAATGGGCACGCGCGCGGCAGGTGGGACCGTGGCGGCGCAGATGCATGCCGGAGCGAAGCCCGCCAAGACGCGGCGCTGAGACGCCGAGGGGCGAAAGGGTCCTGCGAGGATGAACTGGGTGAGACCTTCAAGCCAGCCACCAGCGAGCAGCCAGCAGACAGCCACGAGCGTGGAGCGCGCGGGGGCTTGCCGATGTTCATACTGAGCCCAAGAGTTCCCTTCAGGGGTGGCTGGCTTTTTCTGTCTGCTGTGGTTGGATAATGGTCTCCCACACTTCGCCGGCTGCCTTGCTGGAGTTTCATGCTGCCGGGGCCTGTTTGCCTGCGATGTGTTGCGCGCGGGCGTGTCAAGTGGCTCACTTTGGTACTGCATCACGGAGCCGGCTGAGGCAAGGTGGCGCAGTGCGTGAGGTGTGGCGCAGGCAAAGCCCTTGCGGGTCAGTGCTCTCCCCGTTGCGCTGGTAAGGGCCTCCTTTCGCTTCAAATCGATACGGTGCGCCCAGGCCAGCTGGGTGCTCTTCCCTTGTAACACCATGCCAAGGCCAGCGGCGCCGCGCAAGATCTTGCAGCGCTTTTCACGCTCCAGCACAGCCAGCGTGGCCATCCGCTTCCTCGGTTATAATCGGGCCCGCAAGTTTCCGCGTGAATCCTTTTTGCAGATCACCAGCTTCGCCCTCTGTGATGGTGTTGCAGTCCTCTGCCACAGCTGCCGCTCCGCTTAACGGATCCCAGTGGCTGGACGCTCGACGGCGGAGGGGTTGAACCCTCGCAGCGCTGTGCCTGCCTCAAAGCAGCGTAAGGCGCGGCGAAATCCCTTGGAAGTGCAGTCGAAGCCGACGCTGGCTCTGCAAACGGTGAGACAAGTGCTGCCCCCTCTGTTCCGTGGGCACACCGAGGCCCGCTCCGTCCGCTGCACTGCTTCGCGGTGATACGCGGTCACCTGACTGTCCCCGGCTAGCGCCAAGACCTGGCCGCGGGCACCTGGAGGCCCTGTGGGAAGCGTGCTAGCTGGGCCCCCATCTCGATAACATAAGCCAAGTGGGTGCGCCTCTCTTTGTCAGATGAAAAAGTCTAACCGCGCTTATGTTGAAAATGTGCCCGCTGCTGGGGAAACGAGATAGGCGAAGCCAGTTTCGGCTCGAAGACTCGGCACGCCCGGACCTCTGCAAGAAAAAGAAAAACTGCGTTGGCCTTAAAAGGAGAAAAACCTCGCAAACAAAGAAAGGAGAGGGGGGCACGGTTCTCGCTGAGAGTGTTGACCGCGAATGCAATTTTCTAGGCCTGTGCGAAGGTTTTGGCACGTAAGTTCAGCTTTTCTCTAAACTAAGAAACGCCGCCCACCCCCTCCGCGTCGAAGCTTAATGCCATCGAAGTACGGCACCCCACTCCTTCAGATGAGTGCAGCAGATGAGTGGGGCGCATAATATATAAACCTGGAGGTCCTTAGCCCACAAGGGAACTGGAGGTCGCAGCTTTTCACTCTCTACTGACACTCGTCGCGGATTTACAGAGTGACAAAGCGAAGCTGGACGCGGTTGCGGTTCGTTCGCGGGCCACAGGGTTTGACTAACTCAGAACAGAACAAGCGATACGCCTGAAAGTGAATGGCTCTTCTATTTGTTGCGCCATCAGATCAGGCATGACCGCGAGACCTTCAAGCGAGACAGCAACGCCTTCGACCTCAGCAAGGCCCGCAGTTTTGTCGCACGTCCTAAGAAAGACACAGACGCCAGCCGCTGAGGGCGCGCGCCCTCATGTGTCACATATAGACCCAGAAGGGAAGAAACGCAGGCGCAGGCGCACGATTGGGGCGGTGCGAGTCTCCTGCCCCTGACACTGTTAGCCTGTGCCCATGGCAGCCCCAAGTAATTACGAGGCTCCTGCCTTATTCTGTGCGTTTAGTTTTTTGCAGTTGTTCCTTCCGTGATGGTCGTAATCTAGCCGAAGGCGTGCGGCATCTTGACCGGACAGCGGAGCGCAATGGAGTCCGGCTCCGGACTGCGTTGCGCCGTCTTGGCGTAATGTTTGGAGGTCCGGGCCCCGACCGGCGACCGATCGTCTGGAGCTGGTCAATGCTCAAGCCTGCCTCCCTGGCGCTGCACGCGCCCCCGACTCTAACCGAGTAGAAGTTCCAGAGGAGACGACCACGAGCACGACGCAGAGGCGCCTCCGTAGACGAGTCCGCGCATTGGATCGGGAAATTTCCTGGAAAGGCTTGGGGGTATTCGTCGCAGCCCACTGCCTGACCCTGTCCCAGTTCTCGGCGCTGATGGCGTGCACCGGGAACACCTTGGCGCTGTTTTCCTGGTCTGCGGTGCATAAGAGCAGCAGCGAGCCATGTCGATTCGGATTTGCCACCCTTTGCCCTGTTGGTCTCGTTTGGAGCTCGTGACAGAGTAGCGGGCCCACGACTCATCCGGCGCTGCCGTCCTCTCCTGCGCGTAAACTTCTGGCCACACCATCCGGGCGCAAAAAGAAACGCCAAGCCATAAAGACACACCCGCAGAAGATAGACAGCAGGAGAGCGCTACGCGGCGGCCCCGTGACTGAGGGCACGAGGATGCCCCTCGACCTGTGACGCAGCCAAAATGATTTGGCTAAGGTGGCGCTCTCGCTCCTGCTGCGTGTCCTCCTTCGACTCAAGTTGGTCAGGATCTTGGCGCCATCTGTGTAGGCCTTGCTAGCTTCGCGCGAGAGTGACGCCAGCAGCTCGATAACGTTCTTGATTTGGCTCAGGTAAACGCCACGAGATTCATTGCGCAGCGTCTCCACACAGCGCAAAAGCGTTGGCCAGTGTTTTGAAGGCCAGCGGGGGCGCATCCTGTGGCTTCAGAGACAATCCGCAAACAGCCACGAGGCGAACAGACTTGCAGAATTGCTTGCGATGCAACTTCCTTGCATTCGCGTCCAGTCGCAGCTGCTGGAGGGGCATCGCCTGACCAGCTTCCGCGCTAGGTTCCTCGGTAAGCTGGTCAATCTTGTTGAAGGTGTGCAAGAACTGGCCCGCCCTGGGGTGGTGCGAGTGTCCCATTTAGTTGCGGGCGGTAGCCGATGACGTGGCCCGATTCTGGTCCAGAGCCGGGCTAAAACCGCGCGGGCGCCCATGTTAAAGATATTGACTAGTGCCCGTATTGCAGCTTTGACCAGAAGAAGTTCATGCGCCAGGAGCTTGGCTACCTTCGACGTCTAGCTGACAAGCATGCCCACTGCGGCCGCATGGCTCACACCAAAAGCTAAGCATCCGCTTCCTCTGCCTGGCAACAGCTCCTCGCTACCTAGATTCTAAACCAAACCAGGGCCCACCTTTGCTGGGATGCCGTTCTGTTTCGGGTTAAGAGGCCCGAGAATGACACTCAGTGGCGGATAGCAGTTTTGTTCCGTGGTGGACGCAGAGGAGGAAAAAGGGGACAAGAGTGCGCTTTCCTTGCTGGGTGCGCTACTCTTTTCGGGGGAGGCAATGAAGGAGAAGCCCCATCCCTCCGCCTCTGCTTCCGCCTGAGCGAAGAAGGGCCACACTTTGGGGATGAAGGGTGGGAAGAATTTTCTCAAAGTGAATCGGACTCGGCTTAAATATTAAGAGGGCCTAGCCTACGGGCTCGCCCCTTACTCTTCTCTAAGTTGTTGCATCGTCCAAGAGTGCACCGCTATGACCAAACCAAGCCAGCCGCACACAAAGCATCCCGCTGGAACACAGACCAGCGCCTGCGATGGGATGCAAACAAGGCGTCCATATTTATTAAACAGACAACAACGCGGCCCCTTTTTGTAGGTGGTCGAAAAACCAGCTAACGCCACAAATATCATTTGATGTATCAAGACGGAATGCGCCGCCTCTGAGGAGCAAAAATAGTGTGACGCAGAGATAGAGACAGGCTAGAAAGGATATCTGCAGAAGTAGATCAGGTTTATCTTTTGTTTTCAAGTTATCAAGACCGTCAGTCTTCGCCTTAGTGTCTTCCACAGAAGCGCGAACGCTAGACGATGTGGGTCTTCCACAATCAAAAAACTGAAGAACGGGGGAGAGTGCAGATGTCAGACTGCTCACGATCACGAGAGAAAATTTTCCCAAAGTGAAATAAAGCAGGCTTCACTATTAGGAAGACCTACGAGTTCGTTCCTCACTCATTTCTAAACTGTTGCTTAATCCAAATCCAATAGTACGCCGATACGTATCTTATATATGTTGATAAGTACTTTCAAATTCTATTGGGCTTGTTGTTACTACGATGCGAACAGTCCTACTCTCTACATTTCTTCATTAGATCGCGTCATGAGGTAGAAGATATATTTTTGCATAAGGGATTGGTCGAGTTTTTCGATGTCCCGCAAATGCGTACCTCCCACCGGCACCCTGACTGCTGTTCATCTTAGAGGACTCATACAAAATCGAAATCATGGATCTCTATTAAAGCAAAGTAAGTATATCTACAAGCACAAGTGTTGATGAAATTTTTTTCCTGAATCCAAGAAGCCTTAAACGTGGTTTTGCAGGTGTCTGTCCTGTGGATTGTTGCTCATGATGTTTTTCCTTCTTGTATCCAGACGCGGTGCCGCTCATCGATAACGCCGTAGTTGTTAGAGAATTCAAATTCAATTGTGAATATGACGGACTATAACTTTCAATGTTGCAAGATGAACACAATTTTCTTTGGTGATGCAGCAAGAACAAAGTATCCTATTCCACTCTGAATTCACACTGATGAAGACTATAACTTTCAATGTAACACAATTTCCTTTCTGAATTCACATTGACGATGAAGCCTTAACACGGTACACATGGCTGCCCTACGCGATGCGCAATTCTTCCGACGAAGCATCCTCTTATTGGACCTCAGGTGTGGGTTATATGTGGATTGTAGAGGAAGAAAACTTCCTTTTCGTCGTTGCAAAGAGTTCGGAATGGAGATTAAAGGTTCAATAAGGTTCAAGCAATGGGGATTAAAGGTTCAATAAGGTTCAAGGAATGGGGATTAAAGGTTCAAAGAACGAATGGAAATTAAAGGTTAGGGTACTAGTTGTTGCATCAGTTTTTGTGTATGATGATGCGAATAGTCTAAGAAGATTTACCTGGTGACAAGGCCTCTTGGAGTCCCTGCTGGCGACGATCCCGACATTGTTTGAGTTTCTGGTGTTTAGGAATCTACTTCTAGGTGCTTTTTTGATGGTCTTATTTCCTTTCTCTAGTGCAATCTACTTCTTTATTGAAGATGGTCGCACTTCCTTCCTCTAGTGCAATCCTCTTAGGTAATGATGTCTCTATTACGGGAAATGATGTACTTACGCAAAAATTTGGTAATATCGGAGATGTTCTCGAAGAAGCAACTGTCGACACAAAGAATCGAGGGAATCGATTATGAGTTGAGGGAGTCCGATCGTGAGTTGAGAACTATATGTGTCACAGTCGACGAGTGAATCCCCGATATCATGAGGTCTTGAGATATCCGATCATGATTTGACGGTTTAACAGCATCTCGTATTTGCTTCGCTCGTTCACTCACTCGTTCTCTCATGGGGCTTTCGGCGTCACAGATTCTTGGTGCCTCGACCACCCGATAGTACAGAAAATTTGGTCCGACTTAGCGACAGAACTTCTGACGATTCACCAACAGCAAGAGCAGCGGCCTAGCATATTCGCACTGTTTCACTCATCCAGCAGTATCATTCACTAAAGCGGCGCGGATAGGACGATAGGATAAGAATTGGCTCGCCTCGGGGAGGTGAGCATTCACGACTATGAAAACGCCGAAACTGATTTTACTGCAATCAACATAGACCCGTCCACGAGGCGCCGTGCGATGAAATTTGTCACGCTGACAAGCGGACTTCCTGTACATCAACTGAGTCGTGCAGAGTGTTCCAATTAGCTGTATTACACATATGTCCATTCTATTCTGTGCATCCCTAATAGGTTTGCAGCACCTATCGGCGGGATGAATCGATGTGATAAGCCTCAGAAGAGAAGCTTATAAACCAACGAGGAGTCATTTGGCAAAACAATATGAGGACACAGCTTCTGAAAGAGAAAGCCGCTCTCAAATTGGCGGTTCCCCTCGTATACACGAGACGAACCAAAAGAATACTAGGAGGCCCAGAATGTCCATCTTTCTCCTGGTTTGTCTAGTTGTTCATGCATATAAATATATGATTATGATTACTAAATGTGTTACAAACTGACCGTTTGTTGATCATTCGCAGCTTTTTTTACTCTTACAAATTACAATACTGAATTACATTTATCAAGAGAGATGAGAGCAAAATTGACAAGACGAAATAGATTGATTTATCATTATGTCATGTTGATACCGAACTCTTCGAGTCTCATATAGTGGATAAGTACATAAAACGCCACTCTTGGTCTTCTAAAACGCTATACTGAGTCTTCTAAACTTCGTAAGTCCACTCACCACGACGACGGTGACGAAGAAAGCTCTCTTGCTTGGACTCGTATGCTGGTGTGGCCCATGCTTGGCTGTTTTTTTTGAAGATGGTACAACTTGTGGCTCAATTAGCTTTAGCGGTGCAGCGAGTTGTACTAGGATCTGTGGAAATATTCTTCTCAATAGAAGCCATCGAATTCTCAATCTTACACCTAGGAAAGACATAATATTATAAGAGGCTCAGATCATAGTAGTACGCCTGAAGCTCTCCTGAACCCCTCATCAAGAAAGAGCTGTGAAGCGTATGCAGTTGTCCAGTGTTCGCTGTCCCTTTCTTTTTCCTGTCGACAATCCTTGCCTGCCCGATCCCGCCGGACATCGGCGCGACCCGCGGCGAGTTGTTAGAGAATCGTAAAAAGAACTGAGATAGAGATCATACAGATTGTGATAGACATAGGCGCAGCTTCTGTAATAATCCGCGATACAACTCATCAGATTTGAGTGGGACGAAAGGAAAACGGAAAGAATCAAAATGAATTAAGTGCTCACGGCTTTAGGAGTCGACAAAGCGAACTGGCATCAACCCAGCCACGGTAGCAATGGTGAAAGTAAGGAACTACGCGTACGCCATGTTGTTGAAGGGTTTACCAAGAACTACTCTGATTATTTTGTAGAAGCCGTCTGCATGTCGTAGATGTTGTTGAAGATGAAGGGGTTCTTACCAAGAACTAATATATAGTTATTTTGTAGGATCCGTCTCCATCCTATTTTCAAATATAAATATTAACCCGCTCTACTATACCCCAAGGTGATTGGGTTCTTCTACATGATCATATTTTCAAATATAAATAACCCGCTCTAACTTCTCTCTTCACTTTTTTGCCGCTTGGTGATTGCGTTCTTGTTGGTGCTCGTTGTGGTAGTATGGTCTTTTCCTTTTCCATCGATGTCTCACTAGCTGTAGCTTTTGTGCCCGCCCTGATCAGAGCAGGTCCTTGGTGAAGTGCCTTTGATTCTGGTTCTACTGCTGCTGACCCCTGACGTGTCGATCCCTGTACTTCTTCTGGTCGTGGGGATTCTGCCTCTGTGTCTTCTCCTCCATACTCGTCGAACGCCGCGGTATTTTCGCGGTCGTTCGCCTCCCCTCGCTGCTTCTCCACCATATTGGCAGGAGAAGCTCTATTAGGCGAAGAGGCGGCTTGTTCTGATTCTTGCGTTGGTCCTTGTTCTGATACTTGCGCTGGTGGTCCTTGTTCTGATACTTGCGCTGGTCCTTGTTCTGATACTTGCGCTGGTCCTTGTTCTGATACTTCTTGCGCTGGGGGAGGTGCTTGTGCTGCTACAACTGGCTTCTCTGCTAGAGGTGGTGCTGCTTTTTGTTCTGTATCTTCAGTAGGACTAGGTGTTACTGAGGCTGCTTTCTCTACTCCAACTGCTTTAGCACCTCTCAGATTCGTTCTCTGTAGGTCTTCACGAGGCATTTCACCGCAGCACTCCAAAGTAGCCTGCAGCACCACGCAGAGATTAGAGTGAAGATGCTACAAGGTAGTAGTATTAGTGGTAGTAGTGATGTACTCATTCGTGGGGTATGATTGAATACCCATCAGGATAGGTCACAGTGATACTACAACCTGCAAGATCACGGAGAGATTAGAGTCATACTACAACCACCTGCAATTATTCTTATTATCGATAACGATATTCTTATTCTATTTGCAGCAGCTTCCATGACAAGTTTTAAGGATCATGGTCCATAACTGGTCCTTTAGCTGAGGACGGGGTTTGACTCGATCCTCTGACCACGCTGAGCCCCATGGCCATCATTAGATGCTGAGAGAAGCATTTAAGCAGCTCGTTCACCAATTGAAATTGACAAGAATTTTTAGTGCATAGCTACGTACTAAGGAAGAATTTGTAGTAGCTCGTTCACTAATTGAAATTGACAAGAATTATTTTTAGTCAACAGCTACTGCTACGTACACCTAGAAGTTGTTTTACTTATAAATATTTGTACTTCATCTGACTGACAAAGACGGTTACGATAAATGGTAAGCGTGAAAAAAACAATTGTGCTTAAATGTATCATGTGTTGTGGTCATCTGAACATTTTGCTAGTGTGTTGTGGACATCTACTCATAAAGATAAATCATCTCTAATTACTCACTCATAAGATAGAACACATGGCTGCTCTGCGTGTTGCCCAGTTCCTTCGACGTCGTGCTCGTGGGTACAACCTGAGATAGTAGGTAATATATAATTGAGTACAACCTGTACCTGAGATGTCGAGTAGGTACGAAATCATCTGTATCTGATGAATACGAATAGGTCTACAAGATCATCTGTATCTGATACATACGCCTACATATCTGTATCTGCTACATCTGTATCGGACGAATACGAACAATACATAGGTCTACAAGTACTAGATCATCTTCTGTATCTCTAAAGATGAGTTTGAGTACTAGGCACAAGTAGTTCTTGAAAGTGCGTGGATGTTTGTACATCATCATCAAGATTGCAGGAGAACAGACCTAAAAATTCGAGTACATTATAGCAAACATTCCTGAATAACAATACCCGCCACTATTTGATTTCCTCATTGGACTGCCCAGACGAGGCGTTCCTGGTGGAGAGGACACGACCTGGCTCTTTGGGGACACCATGCTTTACCTATAATGTTCTTGAACAAGGTGGATAGCAAATTCCTATGAGGAAGAGGAATTGGTACTGGTAGAAAGTGATTGTGATTTTTCATTTGTTTGAAGGAGAGGATGACAACAGTTATCGTTATGGTGGCATGTTCATGTTATTGCTTGTACGTAAAAATTCCCACGCATGCAAGCATTATGTTGGCAGAAGTCGAAGTGCTGACGGGACTGTTAGGAGGTAAGTATATGTTTCGGGGCAAGCTTGGGGTGCGCGACTTCTGGACTGAGAGGTAGATGCTACAAGCGGTTCTGTTGAGTGTGGATAATGATGCGGACATAAGCAACATGAAAAATACCGAAGATTTTATGACCGACATTACGCGATGGCGATGTCCAAAATCAATGACCGACTTCTTTATGACGCCACAACAATGTTGTATTCATCGACAACATAAAGACATCATCTCTACGTGATGACGTCGCCTATAGTCCATTCATTGCATTTGTAGCATCTGAATCTGTAACGTGCGTTCTACTGCGCAGACCGGGTCTCCCATGATTGACTCAGGAGCTGCTGTCCTGAATCTGAAAAATAATTCATGCTGATGAATCCAAATAATCGTAGTCGCACTTAATTGGTACTTGACATACGCGTTGAGTATGATCAGGTCGTAATCGTCCACCTTGTCCACATGAGCTTTTTTATCACTTTCTTCTCAGCTCCTCTACATACGCATCCAAATCAATATCCCAGTTTAGACGACCTGAGCAGCTCTCTTGCCAACTGATAGCAGCCCGTTTCTCAAGTGGCGGAACCAGAGCTAGGATGCTGTTCATATGCGCCGCGACAGACCCTCGATGCATAAACTGCAATAGTCGGTCTCCAGGCCCTCCAGGACTACTTGCTCCAGAAGTTGTGTTCTTGACATCAGCTACACGTCCTACACCTGGACCTGGTGCAAAGCCTCCATGTCTCCACGTGTGGCAGGCCAGCACTTTGTTGAGGAGGTAGCAGTAATAGCTTCCACCGTAGTGAATCAGGTGCTCGAAACGGGATAAGGGGAGTGGACTCAAAATTTGGTGTAGGGTACTTGTACTGCTAGAAGGGGATGAAGATGAGGTTGAATTTGTTGCTCCACTAGCACTAGGATTAGGACTTGTCGAAGTTCCAGATGCGCTATTCTTGGGCGCGTTAGATGCAAAGTGCACGAAGCTTCCATCTTTTGCGTTCACCATTTTCTTCAAGTCTGGGAAATTGTCTCCGATCTGGCTAAAAACTCGATCCCGCATTTCCTTGACGTCTACGCCAAGTGGACAGTTGTAGAATTCCTGATCGACCGCGGCAAAAAGTAACTGCTGGCAGGCTTCTATATGCGAGAACAAATGACGGTGCTTGCGGAAATCTTGCAAGGCAGCTCTCTGTAGTGATGACATGGACGATGTTGAAGAGCCTGTATCTCGAAGATGTCCTACTTGTCCACCACCGTGTCCAGATGGACTAGGAGGAATCGCTAGCATTTTCTCCAACATATCCGGGTCCATAACGTAGTATTCGAACAGATGGCTGGGAAACTCCACAAAATCTACAGCTCCGCGAGTGCCGGATAGGGATTGAAACTCCGTCTGAGACAACAAGCTATGAACGCAATGGCCCACTTCGTGCATGAAAGTCAAAGCTGCGGAGGGCGGGATATTTCCCTCCGGGATGGAACAGACTAAAGCAGTGCAGGGAAGAGCGCGAGGCATCTTTTTTTCTTTAAAAATGCCACTATCTCCAGTAGAAGCTCCTGCAAAATGATGGTGTCCTTCATGCTCCACAATCCTGCTCCCCTGCAACGTAAACTGTGCGGATTGTACGCGTTTGTTCTGCCGTGGCAAAGCGTCGACATACAGGACGCCAAGAAGTTCTGCACCATTCTTGCTTTCTAAAGTCCACTTTCGGACTGTGGGATGCCACACCTCCAACTTTGGATCGCAACGCCTTTCCGTGAAACGCAGATTCAACTGATGCTCGAGAACGATGTTTACGCCGTTCATGAGTGCTTCTAGGGAGAGATGAGCACCGATGGAGTCGAGAGAACTGCCCAGACTGCGTTTATGCTGCCGATTAGAAGAGGGAAGGTTGGGAGGGAAGGTTCTTGGGTATCATCAAAGTCTTGAAAGAGAGAGAGAGAGTCCCTCCGATTTTTCGGAAACCATATTAAAAAGTCAACGCCTACCTACCGTCGAACAGCTGCAAGAGGAATTTATTCTACAAGATGAAAGAGAAACTCACAGATCCAAACTACCGAAGAACTAAGTCATAAGTTCAGTCAGAAACGCCACGTCCCATGGGTGGATGACGTCACCCTCTAGATTGCTTCCGAGCACCTTCAACTCCTCTTGCAGTCCAGGCTTCAGGGCCTCCCAAGCTGCACGCAGAAATCGATTCACATTTCCAGGGCCGCCAAGGATCGAGTCTCTTTGTGCATAGATGTTCCATGTGTCGTAGCCACGAAGCTGCGCTAACCGCGTTCGGGCATTTGGGGATTAGATGAGTACTGCTGCAGACGGCGCCCGTACTAGATGTTTTCAGCTTATACTATTCCACTTGCATGTGAATTTGATCAGGAGCGAAAGTCTAGTGTAAAGTCGATTCACAACACGAAGATATCCTTAGACCGATCATGCTAGACTATGACTATACATAAGTAGCTTGCCATAAAACAATTCCACCAACTGCTCCTCGACGCCAGGTATCTCCCGATGCTGGATGGCGAAGGTTTTTCGTCTAGCAGCTTCGATAGGGCAGTAGCGGAGCATCGCTTCAGCGAGGTGTGGATTCGCAGCCATCTGTTCCCCTGCAAGATTCACTTCAGGTGGTGGGGAAATGAAATTGGGGAAAAGAACGAGGACGAAACGGTACTATGTATACGCGAGTAGAGGATCGTCGTGATAACCGAAATCATGGTTATGTTACAACGCTGACAAGGATGAAGTTCTCCTTCTCCATCTAGATCTTGAAATCATTCTGAATGGCTCCGGTATTTGGTACCTGAATTCGATCAGAAGGGTTCTCTTCTTGTTTTCCTTTAAATGATCAAATTCAGGTTACCAAATTATACCGGAAGCATACACATTCAGAGACTATGATTATCCATCCGCTTATGACAGAAAAAAGTGTGCTCATACTCAAGAAAAGAGGTTCTTTCCTATTTAGAAAGTGCCTACTTTCTTGAGGATGAGTACACTTTTTCGTTTCATACCGCTTTCAACTCTTTCATAAATTTGGAAAATATCCCTCCACCCCTTCGTTGCTCCAAGTACGGCAACAACGGACTAAGCATCGGCTCCGCCTTTTTCATGTCTCCTGAAGTCACTTGATCCCAATGATCCTCTACAACAGAAGATTTTTCTTTAGATTTATCACCTCCCTGACCTTGAACAACTTGTATTTTTAGAGCTCTCGTCCCCTATTCATCCCTATGGAAGTCCCTCAATTGTATTGGGCGTCACGGCTTGTATCTCCCTTGTATTGGAGCGCATATGTTTGAGGGATGTCTACATCTACAAGAATGGATGATTAGGGAAACAAGCCTTAATATTTCACCTGCTGCTGCGCCAGCTAGTTGAAATGCGAGCTCCTGTTCCTTTCCCTGTATTAAAGCTCAGCACTCAATGGTCACTGATGCTGAACGGAAGAGACCTCCTTCTTTCCCTTCGTTTTCCCCTGTTCTACTCTCAAGGGGAGGTCGCCTCTTCAATCTCAGTGACCAACCCCGATGACCATTGAAAGTTGAGCCTTAACTGTAGTTCCAGACACTCGCGTTTGTCGGCATCCGGCATTCCTACCCCCTCATTGGCCATGGATTCTAGCATGTGTCCGAAAACAGCGGTTTCTTCTACGTTGAGATCTGGTTCGATCGAACTTAGGTCGGCAAAAGAAGACTCTTTCAAAGAGTCTTCGTTTAATACTGCAGTTGTAGCACTAGAAGCATGCCTCCGTATCCGTCTCCAACCTCTGGCAAGGAGTTCACGGTCTCCTGAGCTAACGACCTTATCGTCCTTCGTCCCAGAGTTAGAGTCTGCTAGATTGCATCTTCTCGGCCCCCTCATGATCTTGGCCCCTGGTTTTCCCTCGTATTTCACAAATAAAATAAAAATACAAGGAAAATAAAAGGGTACCACTACCAAGATGCCGAGGAAGATAGACACTATAAAGGTTGACCTTAACAGGAGAAGAAGATTCTAGATCACTACGATTAGACGAAGACGCCAGCCACCTCCCAGCTGACTCGCGCATCACAGCAAAAATTTCCTCATCCAGGTTCACGACGCTCATGAAACCGGCGATCTCGTTCACGGCTTCGTTGGCACTGTCTCCCCACTTGGTATTAGGGTGGACATTGCGCGTAAGTTCCGCCGCATCTGCGATGTTGCACAGGGAGGCTGAAACAGCGTCGAGAGAGCGAAGGAGTTGGCGAGGAGTCGGTGTGGGTGGTCGTAGTTGTTCGCGGATTTTAGAGAGGAGAGCTGGGTCCCCTGACAAAATTTTGTATTCCTACCAACCTAGAAGCCATTCGCTTTCGCATAATTCTCTTTGTAATTGTATTTGCTCGATACTTCTAGTTCTACTACAAGAAACGCATCGCCTTAGATCCATCCACCTAACTTTGATACTTCTAATCTGACGATCTGCATCTGCGATCGCTGCTCTGGCCAACCGCGGGAAATCAGATGGCCGTCTGAGGCCTTCGACGCCTAGGTAAAAGTTGCTCCGAAAGGCGTCTTTCGAGTCACTTCTACCTGATAACCGTGCTGAGCCCACTCGGTCATCAGGATGCTGCTCCGGGAAAATGGCATTTTGAGCTCCTGACGTCGAGGAGACGCTACTACTTAAAGAGGATGTCGGCAAAGAGGACGACGATGATGAGCTAGGGGACCGTGTGGAGTCGATGAAGTCCGATACAGTGTCTCGTAGGGAGGACGCGAAGGAGTTAAACGGGCGCCTTTGCGTCACAAGAACCCGTTGAGAGAGGCCAGGTTGCGACCCCGACCACGCGCGAGTAGCTGCTCGGCGTGCTGCAGGACCTCCAACACGGCCAGTCATTAAATGTTGAGTCATTTTTTTCGTTTCTCTTTGTTCGTATTTTTGCGTGAGAGGCGTAGGAGTAGTTCTTCTAGCTTCAATTTCCAAGATCCTATCCTAAATATTGGAGGGGACCCAGCATCAACCCAGCATTTCACGGACATGATGCAATGGACTGTGGTATGACAAAGACTTCGTCTGTGGAAAGGTGTACGTGTATGCACAGAAGATCGCGAACGAAGAAGTGAAGAGCTTGGTTGATGATCCGAGGAGAAAAGAGATCCAGATTAGCTGTTCATGACACCCATCGCACCCACCAGCTACAGAGTCCAAAGCGAAAGCGGCGAAGGAACACTTTAACAAAAACCAGTTTATCCCAGTTGGCTTCACATGTTATGCATCGGGAGTAATGAGTTGTGTCGATGGATCTTGCTTAGACACCAGAGCAGGCATATTTCACAGCTCCATGATGAGAAATCCGATCATCAAAAAGGTCATTCTGCGTAATTCATTAGCCCTAAACAGTCGACTTTTCGGTAATCCTATGACGTCAAATTTCAATGAACAAGAACATTCATTATGAAGAATAGATACGCCTATTTTCATCAAGAAAGAGGCTGAAACTGGAACAAAAAAAATTGCTGAGAAGACGAGAGAGGTTTCTTGTCGCTGTACGATAGTCAACATATGAAGAAGATATCTGTGCATTTATTTTGAGTAGCTGAAGCTTTCGGTAACTCGAGACTTGACTGGAGGAAGGAAGATTTCAAAACAAGAGGTAACGGCAGTGTTTGTGTTGCTGTTGTGGAGGCGGTCTAAGAGGAAATATTTTTCGGAATTCAGTCGCGGCTCACTTTTGACTCCGTATGCGCTACTTGATGAAGAGTGTAGTATGGAGGAAGATGTTGTTAATGGTTTTTCGCTTGATGTGTGTATCTCATGAGGTTGCATAGAACCACATGCTTGCAATGTGTTGCTCAAGCAAAAGCTCGGAGCACAAAGAACTTCAAAAATAATTAACATGACATTATCGTTTTTGTTAATATTATGATCATGAATACAACAACAATAGCATTAATTCCAGCAAGTGTATGATCCTTCAATAAGTGGATCCGCTAACCTTCGGATCCACTATCCATCCTCATCCGACGATGATGAATACTGCGCTGTCGTGCGGCTCTTGCGCAACAGCGTGCTAACTCGTTTCTCTTCCCCGTCTACAGTTACCGTTGACCCTTTTCTTGGCGCAGAAACCCTGACTTTCTTGACAGCTGGCTCACTAGTACTTGACATCCGACTGGTGGGAGTTTTGGGTGACGGTCCCGTAGGCACAGTAGAACTCGTGGTGGAAGATGATGAGCTTGCTGGTGCGGCTGTAGGAGCTGTACTTTGAGTTGCAGTAGGTGAAACAGATGTTGAAGAAGTAGCCGTGGCTCCTGTGTCGTTGGCAGGTTTTGCATCTGTCTTGTTCTTCATCTGCTCAGGTGGTTCATATGGCCCAAAGTGTGCTTCACACATATCCACAGGTTCTTTCCTAACCTCCAACTGGACGCCTCCAGAAGGAGGAGATGACGGCTTCATTTCCACCTTTTCCTCCTCCACAACTACATCCAAAAGCATATCTCCATCCCCTTTAACCTTACAGAATTGAGCCACTGTTGTGGCTGCTGTCTTGTTCAACGCACTAGCTACTGAGGCGATTTCTCCTGTTGCTGCTGGGGTTGCGGACTTGGGACTGCTAGAGTTATTCTTCGCCTTAGCAGCACCACCTCCTACGGTGGCCATGAGTTTTTCCGCAACCCGTTTTGCGGAGTCTTCCTTCTCCTTCCGTTTCCTTTCTTTCAGTTGCCTCTCCTGGTTAACTCGTAGGGCTTCTGTCAGGCACTTTCGAAAACGACTGAGAATACGAGCGTTAGAGGTGTTCTTGAAGTGTTGATGATGAGAAATCAGGATCTTTTTCTTTCTGTTGCTGCAGAAACAACTGTAACTGATTCGGATACGAATATCAAAAGTGTGTATTGTTCTGGCATTCGGTAGCCTGATTTTGATCATAAGGGAAAATAAGAAGAGAATCCTTGTGATCCAATTCAGGTTACCAAATACCGAAGCCATTCAAAGTGACTGGTGCGTAATATTTTTACACAACAAGTATAATTTAATAAGCGTTCTCGTGTTGGTTCAACCTCATGTTCACCATAACCAAACAGTCTTTCAACGGCGTTCCATTCTTCGCAGCCAGGAACTCCACAAGTTCTGATGACAACGTGTCGACTTTCGCTATCTGTTCTTGCAAGCTACGAACGTCAGCCTCTTTCTCCAGCACAAACGACTCCATCTTTGAGGTAAACGTGCTGCCAAAAAGTGGCGTGGTACTATTTACAACAAGATCTTCTCCAGGCCTCGTCATTCCCATTGCCCTCCGGACAAATTCCACTTGTGCTTCGAGGTCTTTGGCATGCTTCTTCACCTCTGCGAAATCGACCCTGGCAGCTTCTTCGCAGCTCTTCGTATCATCAAAAAAGCTTTTCAGGCTCTCCCGCGATTCCAACCACAATTCCTCACACAGCGCATGAGCTAAGCTGTAGTCCTTGGCCACGAAACTGTTCGTCTGCGGAAATTTCTCCAACGTTTCTAGCGAAAAACCAAAAGCGTTCCCTTTAGCAGTGCCTTGGTTGAGGAAGTTGCCGATCTGCATAGCGAGAAGATTAGAGCTTGTGTGGAAACGATGTTAATTCCGATGCTGATCTTACACTTACAGAGAGTTATAAGGAATGAAACTGTCTAAGAAGAGTTGTCTAAGAGGTACGCAAGTTGCATCAAGTTTGGGAACAGCCTTTCTATCTTGTGAGTATCGATCCCATAATCTATCTATATCATGTCAGTATCCCATAAGAAAAAACACCACTTGCAATGCACCCGATTTCAGCAGTTGTTCGCACAAGTTCTGTAGTTGAGCAGCGCCTTCTTTTGTCTCCTCGAATAGCTTGGGAAAAAGCTCCACATTTGAGACGCATTCTGCTTTCTGCTTGAAATTCGAGATCTCGAGTAAGCCGAGTGTGATTAGAGAAAGGTAAAGCACGATGAGAATGAATTTGGCAAGTAGTAAAAGAGTGGTCGTTATCTACGTGTTTTTGAAGAATCAACATGAACCTGAAGATCAAGATTATATTTGATCATTCTCAACATTGGACAACATTGATTTATATTTGATCATTTGACCAAGACCACATTGACTTTGACTTTCTTCTTGTAGTCATAACACCAGAAACTACTACTTATATTTGATCATTTGACATTGACTTGCAGTCGTTCTTGTAAGTAGTCATAACAGAAAGTCCTCCGCTCCTCGCAACGGCGGTCCACTCTTGTCGTACTCCTTCTTCAACTGGCCAATTTCTTCACTATTCGGATACATCGCCACCACCATCTGCAACGATTCGAAACTCAGTGCCTCCGTATCGTAGTCGTCTAATCGACGTCGTACTTGGTCCGCTGTTATTTGCCGCGAGCGCAGAGCGATCTCGATGTTCTGAGCCTTCGATGCATCATCGAGCAGTGTAGTGAGAACTTTGACGTTCGTGGCAGAGGTCTTTCCTCCAGCACCACCTTGAGGTCCGTTTGTAGAAGGTTTCTCAATCTTCTTCAAGAAGTGTGCACACACGCGATCAAAACTAGACTTGGTTCTGATCTTGTGTAAGATTGTGGAGAAATTGAGTGGCACGCCAGTGGTTCCATGGGCGGCTCCAGCACCACCTCTGAGCAATTTCGAGGAACTACCTGGCGGACGCAATTTGGCATTGCTACTAGGTGGTGAACCCAGGAGTTTGTTCTGCGCACTGCGGGGTGGAGATGTTGGGACTGTAGTGAGCGAAGTACTGGAGGAGGAAGGTCCACTCGTAGCTGTAGACGTACCGGAACCGGAAGTAGATGCTGCTGTACTAGCAGAAGTAGAAGCAGAAGTCGAAGTACCTGAGGTGGAAGAAGAGGAAAGCAGCTTCGCGAAAATAGACTTCTCATACTGCTTAGGTGCGATTTTCTGCCAGTGCAGGGCTTTGGCTGTGTGTTCCTTCGGTGCTTCTGGAACTGCATGGACTGGAATATTGCACTCAGGAGCTCCACCTTTTTTACCCTTTCCTTTGCCACCTTTAGCTGTTGCGCCAGGTGGGGCTGCGCCACCTTTGCCTGGTGGTGCTGCGCCCTTGCCTGGTGGGGGTGCGCCTTTACCACCTGGTACTGGCGCACCTTTGCCTCCAGGAACTGGAGCTCCTTTTCCTCCCGGAGCAGGTGGCACCGCCTTCCCACCAGGCGCTGGAGGGGTTGCTCCCTTTCCACCTGGAATCGGAGGTGCTGCTCCTCTGCCCTTTCCCGTACTAGGTAGTGCTTCTGCAGATTCATCGCCTTTCCCACCACCTGGCACAGGGGGTGTTCCTGCTTTTCCACTACCTGGTACAGGTGGCGCAGCGGCTTTCCCAGCAGGAGCGGCTGGCTTTCCTGCAGGCGCTGGCGGCGCACTCGGCGGTCCTTTGCCTTCAGGCGTTGTGGTCGCAGTCTCAGTACTTCTACCACCTAGACTACCAGGAGGAATAGGCGGTGGCGCAGCTTTCTTTCCCTTCCCTTTCGACGTCGCAGGTTTGCCAGCAGCCGCTTCTGACGTTGGCGCAGCAGCTGCGGAAGGAACACTTGTCGATGATGGACCTCCTCCAGCCAGCAATGAGGATTTCGCTGCTTCAGCGACTTCGTCTAAGTGCTTCGTCAAGTCCGCCATACTAGTCAGTCCAGGCAGGACGTTTCGCAGAGGTGACCCCTTCCCGTTGAAAACCATAGCTCCCGTTCCTTTCACAGCACTACTACTACGACCTGCTCCGGGACAACCCACCTTCACTGGAGATCCCGTACTGCTACTACTACGACCTGCTCCGGGACAGCCCACCTTCACTGGAGATCCCGTACTGCTACTACTACCACCAACAGTTTCAACTCCTCCTCCGAGTCTCTTGGCCGCTTGTAGAGCATGCTCAAGATCTTTTGTGCGCTTCTGCTCTCTCTGTAGGTCCCGTTCTAGATCCTGGCACTTAGCTTGCTCTTCCCCAGCTGCGATTACCATGTCAGCGTACTGCTGCCGGACGCAAGCGACATCCTTGTCCCTCCACCTGGCGAAAGCGCTTCCAATGTGGAGTTCTGAGGGTTAGAAGATACTAACTTCTATGATGCTCAAAAGGTTTGAGCAGGGTACCTCGCTGAAGAGATCTAGTCGAGTCAATGAATGTGTCACCTATGATCTCTATTTCTATTACTAGCTCCCTCATAACTCAACAACCGCAATTTCCCCGCCATCATGTGGCTAGCGATCCATACTGCCGTATCCGCCACTATCCGATGCTGCCTCAACGACAAATCCAGCAAAAAACCTCCACACTTCAGTACCAAAGCAAAGCTTTTCTTCATCCCCTTCACGAATCTTCTTAGTTTGACACTCCTTTTGTACTCTCTCGCGTACAACTCTGGAAACGCGCCAACAGCGATGTTCATAGCCTCCAGAGTGTCGCTGAGTTCTCCAGCAATGAAGTTCAGGTCTTCGGCAGTTGTTTTTCCGACAGTAACCAATGGTCCGATCTTGTTGTCAGCCAGTAGAGACTCCAAATCATCGACACCCGAGTCGTCTAGTTGGTACTTCTCTGCGCCACCTACTCTATCCTCCTCATCAGTGCTGTCTTGGTCGTCTGGGACTGTGGTAGAGGTGTCATCATCTGCGGCGTGGTCAGCATCTTCGAAAAAACCCATCTCCTCCAGCTCCTTTTCATACGTCTTCCTTTTCTCGCTCTCTGTTGCTAGCTGTGCTGCAGTGTCCTTTTCTTTATTCTCTAAATCCTCCTTTGCTTTCTCCAAAGCCTTCACTCTAGATGCCTCCTCATTGTCTCGCAAGCGACCAAAAGCGTCTGCTTTCCAGCGAGTATGCACTCCAGTCCTAGATTTCGGGTTTAGAACACCTAGTAGCCGTCCGATACCCTGTCGCACACGGAAGTCAGCTGCCTCTGCTAGTGCGGATTCTTGATTCGCATTGGCAGCCCTTAGGTCCTTGACGGTTTTCTCAGAGACTTTAAGCTCTACTGCCAGTGCATCACGCCTTTCGGCGAGGTTTAGGAGCTCTTGCTCAGCTGCGGCGTTACGGACGGACAGGACAGAGTGCCTTTCTTCGAGCTGCGAGAACTGGATTGAGATTGTGGTGTGAGAACTGGATTGAGGAATCAGAATGTGTTGGGCGGGATTGGTGTTCTTGAGCTTGAGAAAATACACATTTGAAGAGAAGATACACATCATTTCTTTGTCGATTATTCCAGTCTAAACATGTAGACGAAATACCTTGCTCATCAAACCCTTCGTTTCCAATTCCAATTTGTCTTCTGCCGCTTTTATCCGCTTCTCAGCGTCGCTCCGAACCTGCGCCATCTTCTTCAGCATTTCCTCAAACGCGAAGATCCGTTTTTCACCCATTTTATGTTTCCTTCTCGACGTTTTCGCAGAAGAAGCTGCAGACGAAGAGGCTCCACTGCCTCTAGCACCTGCTAGAACTTGCTCGCTTTCAAGACTACCTCTGGCTCCTCCGTCTTGGCTGCCTCTACGACTACCATTTTCCTCGTCGTCATCCTCTAAAGCACTATGGGCCTCACTAGACGTATTGCCACTACTATTCGTCCTAGCTGCACTGTCACCGCCTTCATCAGAGTTGAACTCGACGTCCTCCTCTTCCTCTGCACGGGTAGGAACGTGGTTCGCGAGATGGTCGGCGGCGCCACCAGACACGGGGTTAGACAAGAAGAAGATGATGCAGAGACTTTAAGTCTTGTTCCACTGAAACTAACAGTCTCAGAAAGAGTAAGGTCTAATGGTAACAAGTACTATCGTTGTTCAACCTAGGTACTTGTAGGTGTTGGTGGAGCATACCTAGCTGGAAAAAACAAAAACCGTAGTTATAGGCATAAACAAAGCATCCAAGTCTGCCAACTTCGATGCCGACGGCGGCGGAGAGGAGGGCGGTGACCGAAAAACGTCAGGACTATCAGCAAGCCCCAACTCTGCTAACTGCGTCAGTTGTGGAGTGTCGAATGTTTCGGACGTTGGAGAGGGAGAAGGAGGAACTGCGACAACTCCAGCGTTACTAGAACTCTTTTTCTTCATAGTACTCTTGTTGGACGAGGTGGTAACTTTTGGGGAATGCAGCGGTAGACTCGCACTTCTGAGTTCTGGTGTAGCATTGTCAATAGGAGTGGCAGATGTAGTGGGATCTCTTTCTTCTTGGTCTTCTCCCTGTGAAGGAGATGATGGAGTTGCCTTTGGGCTTGTCGAAGGCAGCTCCTGCAGCTTGTGGTCATGGTCCTCCTCCTTTCCTACTAGATTCACAACAACAGAAGATAGCGTTGTGCTTGTCGTTTCTATTGTCGTTGTGATCGTCGTTTTTGTCGTGATCAAGCTTACTTCACTGCCAGTAAGGAGCTTGCTGGCCACATTGGACGGTCCCTGATCTGCTGGTGCTGCATCGTAGTTCTCCGTGATGCTGGTTGGAGTTCCCAGAAGCAGTGGTGATACGACAACATCCGGACTGGCAGCGCCTACCTGTGTCATCCTTTTGAGAGCAGATAGAGAAGCTTCGTCTCTAATTTCAGCCTGCACGACAGATTGTTGTTGTGCTACAAGTTCGCTCTTCTTTTTCTTAGGACTAGAAGTGTGCACAGCAAGACTCTCACTTGTTGCTCCACGTCTTTCTTTCCTTACTGAGCTTTCAACATTCACCCCTCCACCGCTCGATGCAGACGAAGTCCTCCCAGCCGCAGTGATTCTCGCAGGTGAGGGCGAAGAATAAGCGCTCTCACCTTCCTCATCCATCTCACCCGCCACGCCACCTCCATTTGCGTCTTCCAAATCCAGCAATAAGGCGTCACGCTCACACAGCAATCTGTCATTCTGCGTCTCCAAGTCGACCACCTTGTTCTGCAGATCGGTCAACTTCTCTGCAAATTCAGACCGCAGAGCCCGTTCTAACTCAGTTCGTTGCTCATCGGCGGACTGTCTTTGGCGTCTGATCTCTTCGGCAGCGGCTGAGGAAGCGACTTGCGTTAGCCCTTGTTCGGTTTGTTCGCGTCCAGCGATCGTGATCTCTGCCTTGTCGAGAGCTTCTGCCATTAGAGATGTCAGGAAGACGGTTAATATTGATCTAGAAGATCTCGCACTTGTGACATGAGAAGAAAACATAAAGATAAAAGCAGGTCTAAGTCTATCTATATCCTTGTTCTAGTAGGGTCGAGGTCGTGTTCACTCTTCATAACTGCAATTGCGCCACCTCTGCCGCACATTCCGCTTCCCTCTCCTCCAAAGCCAAAGCGTATTTGTCATTGCTCAGTTGTAACTCTACAACTCGCAAGGCATATTCTGATTGTCTCTTCTTCAAATCGTTTAGCTCTTTCTCCGTCTCCTCTTTTGTATCGAGTTGAGAACGCAGCTCAGCCAGTTTCTTCTTTCCCTCTTCAATCTGCTCTTGTAAAGAATTGATTTCTTTTGCAGTAGTGTCAGCTTGTTCTTTGAGTGCTTGTTCTGAAGATTCTTTTTCGGCTCTGATTTTTTCTGCGTGAGCCTTCTCTGCAATTTTGCTTGCCTCTGCTGCAGATTCGCGTTCTTGTTGAAGCTCTAGAGCCAAGCGCGCCTCAAAGTCGGCGACTAACCTCGTCTCCGATCTCTTACTCTTCTCTCTCTCAGATTCACGTGCGTGTTCCTGGACTCGATGCAGCTTAGCTTCGTGTTGCTTTTCTGCCTCCGCTATCGCTGTCGCATGCTGCTGCTCTTGGAGTTCTCGCTCAGAGACAAATTCGGTCCGTAATTTACTCGTCAGGGCTTTGAGTGCGGCGTCGATCTTCGTGCGCCCGCTTGCTTCGTGCCGGTTAGAAGGGAAGAAGTAGTATGCGGGTCTAAGTAAATAATCGAGATTGAGTTTGAGATTTCTTCGACAAGGAAAGACAGGAATCACCGAACATCACATTGCTCCTCAGTGCTTCTTCATGTTCATCTAGTGAAACTGCTACCACTTAAATCACTGTCATTCATAACACTCCCCACTCTCCCGTCTGCACATTTCGTCCACAGATCTTCGTACCGCATCCACTGCTTTTCCAAAACTTGTAGTGTTTCATCCGAGAACGTGCTCATCTCCATGTTCCATTCATCTTGCTTTTCTTGCAGTTTCTGTTCAAAGTCCTCCTCTTGGTCGCGCTTTTCGGATTGGAGTACAGCTATTTGCGCCTTCAGACTTTCGAGCTCAATGTCCTTTTGCTTGTCTGCCGACTCGGTGGCGGCTAGTTTTTCGAGGACTTGAGTGAGGTTGGAAGGACCGGAAGTGTCGTGGAGGAGAGAGGGGCGTTTTGTGGCGGTCTGATAGGAACGTAAGCAATCGACATTAGGACTATTAGAAACGAAACAATCATCGAAAGATCATCAGAGAATCCTCCAAAGATTTTGATGAATGAATGAATGTGCCTAGCATGATGAGGTGATCCAAGTAGTACCTCCTCAATCGGCGACGCCAGCCTACTCGTTCTCCCTTCACCAGTATGATCTTCTTTTGGTGAACCGAGTGTCGTTGATTTGCGTTCCGGTTCACTAAGGTGACTCGCTGCCGAGTTGCGTCCAGTCGGCAAACCACCTGCATAGCTTGCTTTTCTCCTTGGCGGCGGCTGAAAAGCTGCGAAGTTGTTCATCGAAGAGAATTCCTCTTGTACACGCTTTTTGATGATCTCATCGAGGGAGAGTTGTTTAATATTACTACCACCTCGTAAGTTGTCTGCTTCCTTGTAGATATCATAGGAGCACTGCAGTAACCGCTTCTCTTTCTCTACTTGTCGTAGCTTTGCCAACGCATCTGCAAGTTGCTTCTGGATGCCCTCGCCTTCAGCAGGAGGAGCATCGTCACCGTCATCTTCGACATTTTCGATGTCAGTATTCGAAGAGTGCTCCTGCTCTCCTTCGCCAATCCTCGAAGGAGGCGATGTAGCAGTCGGCGTAGTCTCTCCTTGATCCGGTGCAGACGACGACTGTTTTCCTTCATCTTGATCCACTGTATTTGCGGTGGCTGTCTCCTTCTCGGCCTCAGCAATTGGTGCGCTTTCTTCGCCGCTACTCGGATCGTCGCTCTTCTCCTCAATCTTCTCCGCATCTGCTCCTGGTGCAAAAGCACGAGCGTCGTCGCCCTTCGTTTCCTCATGTATTTCGTCAACAGCAGCTCCATTTATCCCGCCCACTTCAACATGTTCCACCTCATCAGGTGGAGCATCACCATGATCACCTTGTGGCGAAGGTGAAGGTGAAGATTGCTCTGATTTCGTTTCATCATTATTTTTGATAGGATTCTCAGGACGATAAATATGCTTGTCATGATCATCACCAATACCGGTGTGTGGTGCTGTAATATCAACAGACGAAGAGTGGCCGAAAACTACAGCCTCGTCTACCTGGAACTCCTCATCGGAGTCATCCATTCTGGGGGCGCGCCTTTTAGAAAATTCAAGGCTCCTATTGGATTTTTTTGATTGGTCGAATAAGTTTATGATACAACTCGTGACTCATCTACCTGTCGTCCTGTTCCACTTCCCAGAAGATGCCAATTTTGTACAACTTGATTTTTGAATTGATTTCTCTCCTTCCGGTAGCCGTTTTTGATCACAAGCTGAAGTGCTTTGTTTCACTCCAACGCGGCATACAATCTTCAGACAGTTACAAAGCTCGGTCGTTCCCTCGCCCGTTGTGTTTACTCTGAAGCTTAGTCATGTGTGTGCTCCTGATATGAAGACCATTCTCGGTCACCGTTGAGGCTAAATGGCAGCCGACTAAAAGTCAACTCCCACAACAAGCTTTATTTGTCTACTTCACTTTATCTCACGTATTTATCTTGCAACATGTTAGAGGAGGTAGACATGAAAAAGCAGTCAAAATTGACCAAGTGAGTAGGGTGTACAGCTAAATGCAAGTCCACAGTGCTTCAAGCGGCTCTCGGATTACTCAATCTCCACCACCGTCGAGCGCTTCACCAGACCCACATTTCTTGGTATGCGTCTTCTGTTTTTGCTGTATTTTGTTCGCCTCTTACCACAAGACACCTGTTGCACGTATTGACTCCGATGACCGTGCTTTCGCTTCCTCCTCTCCCTCTTGCTTGGCGTGTTCAACGGCATCTTTTTGTCCAGTTTCCTTCTCCACTCAGTGGAGGGATCTAGATTGGCGTATACTTCCTTCAGGGTTTGGACAGCTCTGATCTTTTCGCGGTAATCCCAACCTTCTTGCCGCTCTAGGATGTTAATTACAGCCCAGACGTGGGATCGGTAAGTCCCGTCCTTGGGGAGTCGGTTGGCGACACACTGCAGCGTCGGATAGCGTTTGGACCGGATTTCTTCGAGGATGGCAGCAGCTGGCTTGCCCATTTTGAGAGACCCAAGAAGTTCAGGGATGGCCGGGTCGGGAGTGAAAGGAGTGAAGCTCTTGGATTTGTCCTCGACGTCCTCCACCAGGGGAGACCACGTTTCGTTGTCTTCAACAGATTCCTTTTCGGATTTGTCTCCACCTTCGCTTTCTCTTTCCTCACCCTCTGAAGCCAGCGGCTTCCCAGCACTGGACGAAGCACCAGCACCAAAGTCGTGCAGACGACCACAGGAGCGGTCCCTTTGTTGTGCCTCCATCGCCCTCCTCGCTGACGCGACTTGCTGGCTTAATCTTGTGCGGGCACAGAAGGAACCGGTCTGGATTCCTTGGAAGGCTAGCAGAGGTTCAACAGCTTCTGGCGGAAGGTCGCCATCGAGTCTGCCTTTCACCAAGCCCTCCATCGAGTCTAGCACAGGATTAATTGCTCTGCGTTCTATTGGGTTGCGCGCCACGTGTGGAGGTTAAAGAGCAGGTGTGGTGGAGAGGTTCTTTCGGATTGCAATTGATCATTATCTCAATTTCTAAGGCTTGTTCTAGTCTTTCGGATTGCAATTGATCATAATCTCAATTTCTAAGGCTTGTTCTAGTTCTACAAGAACGTATAAGAAGTACTTCTAATGAAAAATGGATGTATAGTATACAATGAAAAATGGCTGTATAGTTGGGGATACAAGCCCAAACATCATTACAGGACAAGCCCAAGACACCCTAATCCAGCAGCCTCTTGTGGCTGGTCCTCTGCATCATATACGGCACTTTGAAATCCGACAACTCATTCGCTAGATTAGAGCTCTCCCCTATTCATCCCTGTGGAAATCCCTCAAGCATATGCGAAAGTATCTCCCTGCCCCTGGTATTGGGGCGCATAAGCATACTTATGTTTGAGGCATCATCCCTATACTTCCAAGGGATCGATTAGGGGAAGCCTTAACTAGAGTCGGTCGCTTCTCCTCTAGGAAAGCGTCACGCAGAGCTGCGTTCGCTACACGGTCCATGGACCCGCTGCCATGTCCCAAAGGAAAATTATCACTCCCAAAGGACTGCTCAGCTTGCCGAAAATCGTATTGGTATCGCGTAGCCAACACGCGGTCGTAAACGAGAGAGTCTACGACTTTCCTTAGAAGACAGTCAGAGGTGTTGTTGTTGTTGTTGTTGAACCTGTGCTGACTTCTAAGTGGCTGCACTAGTGCTAGCTAGTGCGTGGTCCAATAGAAAATTTTCTTTATGCATAACCGTTTTTTTTTCTTCTCCGCTAACTTCTTGTCGTCATCCGGATCTTCTGGCTCGGTCACGATCCCGCAAGCCACATCCTCCCTCTTATATACCAGTGTTCTGTGGCTTTTAGAAGACTGAGATTCCCCTTGAAAGTAGCACAAGAAGTACTATTTTGCTCATAGTTTTTTGCTTCAGCCTACTTAATCATGCAACTGGTGTCAACTACCACGACTTTGGCCCAAAGTCTTTCTTGGATAAGTTAGTAGTTCTTTGTCATCCATAATGATATGTTTGCTTCTATCTCCATTGCGCAAGAGATGCGGCTTCAGTCGTTTCCTCAGATTCGCTGATACTCTGTTTCCCCTCTCCACCTTGACCCAGAACATGATTTCTCTATACTCCTGCTCAAATTGAGCGAAGGTCATATTCTTCGTTTCGTGGGAGATGAAAGAGGATTGGAAGGGGAAGGTGATGAATATTCATATTTATTGATTGTTTTTTGATGGCCAAATGATATTGAGGTTGTCCTCCTCAGTGGTTCTAGTCCGTGTGGTCGACTCCTGGTTCCTGTAGACAGTACCCGTTAAAGCTGAAGCGCGTGTTCCTGAATTGTAAGCCATACCTTTCTCGACTCTTCTGTAGGCATCGAAGGCTCTCGCTGGACCTACCGTTTTTGGAATCGAGCTAAGCAGTCTTCCTAGTTTCGTCTTCAACGCACTAGTTTCATTTCTGTATCTATTCCCCAAGTTCTCGCTTCCCGCTGAACCCCGAGCCAGATAGCTGCAGGATCCGCCGTCGGTGCCTCCATACTCAGCCGCCTGCAAAGCTCCAGAAGATCCTCCACTCGTTGTATCCCCAAACATCTCTAGTTCGAATACTGAGCCTCCGTCATCTAGCACATCGTCTTCCAATGCTCCTGTGTCTTTCAACATAGAAGATCCGTCGTCGTCCTCTACTGCCAACGTGGCGTCCTCCTTGGCCTGTGCATGTGCGGAAGATATCGAGTAATGTCTTCGTGATGTTTTGGCGGTGGCACTAGCTGCTGATGTTGACGGTGTCAATGATGACGAGGAGGGACAAAAGCAAGACTGCAACGTCCTTGCCAAAGCATGGTAGTCGTGATGCTTAGGTCGTTGCTGCAGCGCTGGCGATTGCAGAGCATGAACGAAGCGTGATCGCCCAGCGATCAGCAGATCGAGGTGCTGCTTCCCGGGTGGTTTCGCCATCATCCTTATCGTCTGCGTGCGAAATTGTATGCTATAATTAGCGACCTATAATCGTGACAAGGAGGCTTCAAGCAAGCGAGGAGGTCATTCTCTATTTTCATCTGAGAAAAAAAAGCATATCCATATTCATTGTGGATAATCACTCACACGCAACATTAAAATAGACATAAGCAGGACGGGCTTTTCTCTCTCGACATTTTTCCTTCTGGCAGTTGTTGGCACAGAATCAATATTGAGTTGTTTACTGCAGACGCAGCCGCTACTCCATTCTGCACAGAATCAATACACGTTGCTCGCTGTGGTCACTCTCACTGAATCAATTACGATTAGAAATTTCTCCAAGAATTCTCGCTCGTGTTTCTTTCTTTCTTTTGTAGCATAAACCATTGAATTCATTAGGCGCTTGCCTCAACTTCGAGCTAGCGCTAGGGTAACTTGCTCCTCCCCCAATCACTCTTTGGTGATTTACAATAGAAGCAGATTGCTCCTTCAACTGTATTTCGTCCACATGAGTAGAATCAAGAAGAATCAAATCATCAAGGTTTTTCAAGTCTGCATGTATCACAGGTCATGGTAGCGATTTTGGGAACCAAGACAAGATTCAGATGACGAGCAGCTTTGCTACACAGACGTAGCGGGATCGGTGGCTCAAGAACGAATTCCCCAACACGAGATTCCAGTCGACTTTTGATTCTCGTGGTCGTCCCATGCAGAAGCGGCCCAGGACGCCCCCTCTCAGTGAAAGACAGACTCACTGCTCTCGAGAGAAAAGTACAGAATCGGATTCAATCCTTTTGACCTGCATAGTATCATCGGAATACAAACTGAAGTTTGAAATTTGAGTGGGAGGGTGAGATGCGGCCCAAAACCCCTTATCCCTTAGTTCTGATACTTCTTCTTCAGCCCTTCAATGTGTGCAACGTACTCGTCCATGGCTTGCTCGGTGGTTTTGCCCTTGTGCTTGGTCCACGCATCCCATTTATACCCTGCTTCGAATCCGGAGAACATGCCAGGCTTGGAAGTGGTGAGGTTAGAGCTAAAGGTGGTGAGCATAATAGAGCACAATTTTTAGATGACAGTTTTTGGATGTAGTTGTAAGATGGAGTCTGTCGTCGCTCAGAACAGGACCACAGAAATTGATTCATCCTAGAGAAGTGCAGCTGCAGTGAGTACAACTCTTTAAGTGAAAACTAGAGCAAGTACGACAAAATGTATATTCAATGCGAGTTCATAATATTATCGCCCACCGTCACCTGCTTGTACAAACCATAGGTCTGCAGCTTTTCCTCATTGGAGGGCTGCGCCGGACCGTCCTTAGGCAAGCTGGAGACCCATTGAGCAGCGGCTTCAAACTCGGCTTTTCCCATCTTGTATAATTTTTTGATCGTTCCGTCTACTTCTTTAAGGATAGAAACTCCTGATGAAAACAGTCAACAAGGATCAATGTCTCGTTAACGAATTATAGGAAACAAATAAGTGGTGATGTGAAGGTACTCAGTAGGTATACAACAAAGTGGTGCGAAGGAGAGGCAAAAGCCCGCAGTGGGTGGAACCGAGGTCCTAAATGGATCAAAAAAGATCAAAAAATCTCGTTTTTCCTGTGCAGTTCGTTGGAATTGGAGAGGCAGCTCCTCAAAAAAACGGCTCTATCAAGTTTCTCATGTCGACTGTTGAGACTAAGACAGTACATTCGCATTCCCGAAGATTTTCCGTTATCCAGCTTCTTTTGTTTGTCGCCTCAATCGATACTTGATGTCAGAAGATCTTGTTCAACTTCAACATGAAATGAGATTGAGTCGCTGCATGTTCGTTGACTCTGGTTGTGCACATGATTGGTTTTATTTCTTAGAAGTACTATACATTCAGTATAATTCGTGCTCCGTCTTGGACATTGATTTGATTGTGTGTAAGGGCATTATTGTCTTTACATGTGGCAAAGGCAAGAAGTTCCGCTCGAAGCAAACTGTGCATCAGCCTCATCTGTTAAACCTGCACTCCATCTTACTTCTCCTGTTTGTATTGGAGTGAAAGCATGCAACATCATATCTTCTTTCATATTCCTATTCCTATGCCCTCGCCTTCTCCACTTTTCGTGGAGCGGGATACGAAGGGTCTCGAGCATGGGCTCTACCCCCCCCGGCATGATGCGCTCATTTTCTCCATTTCTGCACTTTTGCGTTGAATCCGGGCCCTCAATAGGCTGCAACGGATCCAGAAAGAGGCCAGAAAAAGTGGATTCAACGACCGGAGGCGAGGGGTGAGGCTTGCGCAAAGTTTTCCTTTCAAGTTATTGAAGTTGAGGCCACTTTTTCTGTTCATAATATCTTTTATATTCCTATTCCTATGCCAATGCCTTCGCCTTCTCCATTCAGTTCCTTTGCCTTCGGGTGGCGATTCCTATTCCTATTCCTCTTTCATCTAGATCTACTATGTATTCTATTTCTTCGCCTCTTTTTCCTCCTTACGCTTCTCTTCCTCCTTTCGTATTTTCTCTTGCCAATACGCCTTGAAAGTAAATTCATATTTCTTTTTCTTCCTCGAATGGACAGAAATATGCACATGCTCATGCAGTAAATAATTGTGGTGGAGCCGACCTAACTAGAAAAAAGACAGACCAGACAGAGGAAGATATAAAAGAGAAAAGGGTAACTATCAACAAGTATCCCAAAGTATCCTGTTAACTGCTAAAACTAACTAAGCGCCGGCGCTATCGTCGTCCTGTCAGCCCCATAGGTCTCACCTTTAAAGGCAGGCCGGAGCCCTGTGCAACGTAAATAATGTAAAGTTTATCCAAAAAATGGGAGGATCATGGGGATACGATTTACAGCGCTTCCATTGTTGCGTGAATCCTGGAACTGCATTGAGCCACCGATGAATCGAGAATGGAGGATGCATTATACCGAACAACGTTCTTTCTGAAACCGAGAATGAAGGCTTCCTTTCTAAGTACTCAATCCTATGTCTTTCATCCGGTCAATATGGCTGCAACAAGCTACGGCGACTTCACCGCGCAACGACCAAAGGAATTGCTCACGCGACAGCGGATTGATTTGAAGACAGACTGCACATCTTTTTCTTGATCTCAACCACAACCTCCCTTGGGAACGAATAAAAAGCCATCTTGTCAAAACCAAGTTCATACAACTTAACACAATAGTACTAGGAGGATGCTACGACAACGAGGAACAGATTGCCATCAAAAGCTTAAGAAAGGTCGTTAACTTGCTACTCAAGTTTTTCTAGTTCATTTGAAAGGTGTAGTATTTTGACCAAAGTGGAAGTCAACTTCTGCTGTTAGCAGAGATAGACGGTGGGACTGGTAGCCTCATTTTCCGTACATTTGTAACTTTCACTAGATAGTTAAGACCGATAGCCCTTGACATAGGCTCAATTGACAATATTAGCAATGAAAATGATTATGTTGAAGATAGAAGACGGATTTATAATTAATAGCACTTCGGAGTGCGGAGTTCACGACGAGTTAACTGATAATATTGCGATTGTTCGATGTTCATCCACTGCAGCCGTAGCCGGGAAACAAAAACCAGAAAAACCTTATTCATCTACTTACATGCATTTCAATCTATATTACGTCGGCGTGCAGGGTTCATTACTTAGTGGTACTTTTGATTCTTTTCAACCCAGTTTTGTCGAGGGTGCTCTGCAGGGAAGAGAAGAACTACGATGAAAACTATTACGATTACGAGGTGGGTGCAAAGAACAAAAATGAAATATTAGCTCGACAAGTAGCTCAAACCTATCATGGGATATGATACGTGGAGTTCAAATTTCAAGTACTGGGTTGCGTGGAATAGAGCACTACATTGGGCTAGGGCCAACAGGGTGTTTGTTTCCGAGGCCTAACTATAGGAGCCGCTCACGAAGAGTAGCACAATAGGTAGTTCCATTCCTTGACCTAAAACCCTCCCCCCTCGGGAAATTTTTCAGGTCGGGAATTTGTAAATGAGAACAACCCCGTCTTAAGAAGCACGAAAATTCAACAAGAACGTTTACGTTTAGGTTTACTGTATTCTCATAGCTACAAGAACAAGGTACAGACTGCAACTTTATCCAAAAAACATACGACACCGACTGCCAGTCGTCTGACACTAATATTAAGGAGGTATAACTACGGTTATTTACCGAAGAGTGAGGTGTTTCTGTTCAGCTATACTATCATCTAGCACAACTAATCATCAATGGGATACACGAAATATCAGAGTTATGAACAACAGGGGTGTGCACTTCTACTAAGCATCAATCTACTATGGCATTGATTTTCAACAACATCTAGTTGTAGCACTTTTGACATCTCATGCACATCAAAAACTTTTGTTTTATCATGAAAGGCTTAACTTCTATTCAATTGTAGCTTAACGCAAACGCATTCATTTGAAAAAGAAAGATCTACTTTGTGAACCTCGATGGATTTGAATAAGGTGTTGATAAGAACTTACAAGAACGCTTTTACTGATTCTATTGATTCGGGTCTCTTTAGCTTTTCGATTCTAGACAACTTTTACTATTTTTACATTTACATCCTCTGGTTTTCTAGCGCATTTAAGGCGGCTACTTTATAGCTGCCAGCATATCACGACTGCCTAGTCTATTCAATTTCAATCTATGTATTGTTAAATCATAGTACCAACCACTACAACTCGATATCCAACCCCATGTAGATTGCACTTTTTTTAACCTCAGACGTCTTTCCAGATCGCGGTCGTGGCATCGACATCGCTCGAGATCGATTGCCAGCACCAGGGGACCATGTGACATCGACTGGCGGCCCTATTAGTTCGGAGGCTTTCAGGTCGCTCTCTTTCAAAAACTTGTTCGTAGGATACGCTTTCTTGGCCAAGTTTGAAGCCGGGACAGCAGAGGAAGCGGAGTCCCTTCAGATTAGAAGAGTAGGAGATCTTTGCTTGGTGTGGTGGGTCTAAGCGTAAGGGCTATGAACTTGATGAAAACTTGAGATGATTCAAATAATGAAAATATTAACAGTAATATCCTGAATGACTATGACAAGGTGGAAATGTGGTTTAGCAAGCACTCGTAGCTGCACTACCACTAGCAGTAGCTGCATTATGGTCTAAAAAGCATAATTATGGTCTAAAAACTCTACTAAGTAGAAGTACAAATTAATCCTCTAGAAGCATGTTATTAATCACGTGGTAAGCTCTTATAGCATAATTATGGTCGTCTACAAGTTGTCAAAAGACCCCCACGCCCAACCCTCAGAGCCAATCCTTTCCCCGAAGTTACGGATCTATTTTGCCGACTTCCCTTACCTACTTTATTCTATCGACCAGAGGCTGCTAACCATAACTGCTGAACTTGGTGCATCAATCTGGTGATTTCATCCTCCGCCATCATGATTGGCCCAGCCCCATCTTCTGATCCTGTAGCTAACAGTTGTTGACTCTTCGCATGATGACCTCCTGTTGACCTAGTTCGGTTCAATGACGCTCCAGGACCACCACCTGGTTGAAACGTACTACTAGTTGTCCCAGCTGCAGGATAGCTAGCAGCAGTGGTCAATTTGTTAGAGCTCTCCCCTCTTCATCCCTGCTGTGGAAATCCCCCAAGCATATGCGTCAGTATGGGTCCCTTGTATTGGGGAACCATAAACAGGGATGGACTAAACATTGGGGCGCATACTGTCTTTGAGGGATCCCTAAACAGGGATGGACTAGGGGAAGCCTTAAATTTGGTATTTGTGCTATTGTTGTAGGTGTTGAACTGATGGGTTGGGACATTAAATTTCCCAGGGCTTCCGTCCTCGTCTTCTCCGCCTTGAGAATCCGCTTGCTGGCCAGCAGTGCCACCGTAGTTTCTGTAATAACTCTGCCAGCTAGCGCCGCTTGCTTGTAGTGTTCGTAAACGGTTCATGGGTGAGCCATGCGTTGGTAGTGGCATTGGTGGTGGACTGGTGGCTGCGGCACCTTGTCCCATGTGGTAATGCTGGACGCTCGGGTCGGCGGACCTTGTTGTATGGAGATGGGTAGGACAGAGGTGTAAAAAGGTAACTGAAGGAGCAGGATCGACGAACATGACTACGAAAAAACCGTTAGAACAACTTCTCTACGTGATGTCTAGAGAACAAAGGGGCATCAATAACTCCTGGTGGTAAGCGAGAGATAAGAGCCGGGAAATACAGGCAAACTTAGGTTAACAATTACCTAGTATGGTGAAAACTGGTGACATCATCAACAAATCACAGCAATTGTTAAGTTGTAGGATAGGCACTCGTAGACGAGTATTGAGAGGAAGGCCTATAACTTCTGGTGACAAAGACCACATCAAAAATAAATTAATATCTGTAAACTCTACTACAATAGTACAGAAGATGTTAACAACATATCTGTAAACTCTACTACAATAGTACAACAACTCCATCTTCTTTCCGCCTCCTTGCCCATACGACTGTTTTGGCGGACTTCTTCCTCTTCTCCCAGACGGTGAACTATTTGAAGCTGCCACTACGTTTTCAACCTGCGCATTAAACTGGTTCAACAAGAACTGCTGCGTAAGATCTCCTCCTCCAGACTGTTGATTCAAGCCCTTTATTCGTTTTTCCAGTGCGTCCAGGCCACGCTTGCTACCTTCTGTAGACACGACAGAAGAGCTCCAATAGGAATTGTGGGAGTTCAGGTATTTCTGGTCGGCTTCGGTCGTCGCTTCAGACACAGGCATCCGCGTCGAGTCGGTCTCGTAGTTCCTGTCGAACGAAAAAGCAAAAATCATCAATGCAGAGAAATTTGAATGCGCTGTCCTAGTGCAGCAGCTTTAGTCCTTTAGATGAAAACAGTCTAAAGAATGGATGAATTATCTGTAGAAGCAGACAGATAATTATCTCCTGAGGATAATATATCCCCAACAGAATCAATAGAGGTACTTACTTACTTACCTTGCCGCCGCAGGAGCACTTTCGTAATCACAATCTTCACCTCCTTCGTGGTCATCGTAATTCCCACCCATCCTCAAGCTATAATTCCTACTATTCCGTCGTTTCGGATTGCTGCTAGTGCGCTTGCTCTTCTTGCTCCCACTCTTAGGTCTGGTCGAGGTTGTCGAGGCGGATGCGCTGTTGAGCATTATTCTAGGATCCGGAGACTCTACTCTGTTGTTCCTGCGACTGGACTTTTTCTGGGATGTTGGGCTAGAAGGGTTGTACATGGAGTCGCTGTTTCCTGCTAGAGAAGAGGAAGAAGAAGATCCACCGAAACCTTCTGCGTCAACATTCGCAGCACCGTACTGATCCCCATTCGACAACGCCTTGGATGAAGACGAAGAAGCACTGCTATTCCCTGTGGGCAAGAGCTTGTTCCTAGTTGACGATGATGACGCTGCTGCTGATGAGGAGGAGCCAGCACCTCCGCCACTAGCTGCGGAGGGACCCGCTACTTCCTGTTGTTCCTTTCTCGAAGACGCACTGCTGAGATGCGGCAACAGCCCACTACTAGAAGAAGAGGAAGAGGGCCCATTTTTTAGAGTCTGCTAGATTGCCCTTGTCTTGACCCCTCATCTTGACCCCTATATTGCCCTTGTAGCATTATTCCATAGGAAGTTGATTTCTTCCACTCGAATATTATTCCTATGAAATAATGCCTTTTGTTCCCCTGACAGGCTGTATTACAGTGAATACAACAGGCTGTAAGTATTATTAATACAGGGGAACAAATAAAGGGTAGTACCGAGATGCCGAGAAAGATGGACACTGTAACTGTTGACCTTAAATTCAAATTTTGATGAGGTTGTTGTTCTCCGGATGACGACATACCTCCTTCATCTTGCCCTGAAGCAGAGCCTCCACCAGTGACGTCTATCTGTTCTTGACTAGCATCGAAGTCGTCCTGGGCCGCTCCTGCCGAGCCTGCTCCATTATTCGTGCTCGCTGACAGACTCGGAGGTCCCGCCCCGCCTGCACCTCCTCCGGCACTGACGGTGGTTGTACTCGACAAACCTAATTGCTTCACCGGACTACTCGGTTGACTACGATTTCTCTGTTTACGTTGTGACCGCCCATCTTTTGCTCTGACTAAGCGAGGTTCGTTAAAAAGCGCAAGACACAACAGTTGCGAAGCGCTCATACTCTTGGCGGTTGAGCCAATGCCGATCATGTGGCCATATCGTTTCACACTAGCTTGTGTTGGGAAAATTCGGATGAAATCGTTCGCCATTGTGAATTCCTGTAGTTTTTAAGTGTTAGTTTGTGATGTTGAGAAGTATGTGCTTCAGCAAGATTCACGACGGTATATTCCTTCTACCAAATCTAACGGACGAAAGCATCATTTGCTACGCATCTCAAATGGTCATCACTAACCATCGGCAAGATGAAAAAGTGCCTGTCAGTATCCAGAAGGATGAGGAGACGAAGCGTCATGGTAATACCTTCAAGCATAATGTTTGTGGTGGAGCAGACCTAACTAGAAAAAACAAAAAGAATAAGAAAGACCAGAGGAAAATAGGGTAGTTATCTTCATCAAGTATACTCCTACCTACACCTTCAAGCATAATGATAAGACAAATAGTACCTGCACGCACTCCAGCAACAACCGCAGAGGTTTTTCACCCAAACTAGCAAGCGGCAGGTTCTTCTTCTGCAGGTTGTGAAACTTTTGTTGTCTCTCCGCTTCCCTTGCTCTAGCAGCCGGGGTATTCTTAGAGGTAGGTTTTTGGTGCTCGCTTACCCCGCTTTTTATGCCTTTCTCCCTTAGGAGAGGCACAAAAAGCGGTAAGAAAAGCACCTTTAACCTACCCTTAATATTCAATACAGTCGGTTTCAATTGGAGCGTCTGCCCACCTCCACCGAATTGCATTTGGTTCGTCGCTGCCAAAGGCTGTCCATATGGCATCCTCTGTCCTTGTCTCTTTAGTTGCTTCGCTCTACTTTTCCACCTTGTCTCCCCTAGCTGTTTTTGATCTGCTAGCTTTGGTCCTAGCAGGTTGAAGGTCTCTTGGACTAGCGAAGACTTGATCTTGTAATCCAAAGGGGTGTCTGCTTGCATACTCGGAGAAAGGTTCACTTCGGGAGATGAAAAGGGAAAGGGGAAAGGATCCATTTTTATATCTCGTCTGCCGTGGATGGGAAGGGGAACAACGTGGATGAAGCAAATTCTTCTACGTTATTCAGATGCCGGCAACTGGCTTCCGAGACTCAGAGTGGATAAAGTAAATTCTTCTATTACATTATTCAAATCGATGCCTGCAAATGCAATATTTTCATTTTGATTTTCAACATTTCGTCTTTGTGGATGGTTTTGCTAAAGAGTCCTGCTCATAAAAGCAAATGCGGCTTGAGGTTTTCATCCAGCAGCAAATCGAATCCGTAGAGTTCGAAACAATTTGACCTCCAGGACACTGTGTTCTTCATCTTGTGCACAACTGGTCTCTCCACTGTCAAAATCGTCTTTATCACGACGTCAATAATGCGACTCCATGTGAGTTTGATGTCCACATTGCAGCAGGGGAGGTTAGAGGTGTTGCTACTGCTGTGAGGGGGCCTTTCGGTAGTAGATCGTGATGTAGAAGTGGGTTGTAGGTCTACTGGAGTTGTAAGTCTAAGCAAAATCTGCCATTCGATCCATATGGGCACGATTCTCCCGGTGCATCCTACTGAAGATTTTCCGCTGAGAGTCTATACTAGAAACGCAAGTCATGCAAAATCTACCATTCGATTTGGATCTCGATGTAGTGAATGCCTATGCCACTGCCAGCCAACATAACCAGATGTTTATTGAGCGCAGACAGCGACCACTTGTGGCCAACGTTGTCTTGGCTGGCGTCCTCGTTCTCCACGAAATTTGAGGCATATTTGTTGATACTGTAGTTCGTGAGATGCTTGTAGACGTTACCCAGATCTTCCTCTGTCGTTGAGAAAACGGACGATGCGAATCGTGTAAGGCCTTCTTTAAACAGGTAGATCCGTAGTGGGTCGAAGCCGGTTACCTGGAGGTTGTTTATAATTTGTCGGCAGATTCTTGCGTTGGTTCTTTTGAGAATTTTCATTTCGTAAAAAAGTAATTGGTTCATCATGTGTAAGTAGGATCTTCTGGACCCTCGTCCTGCTAGTACTGTAGTGAATTTGACTGTACAACGAGAACTAAGAGGAACTTCTCGTAGAGCCTACACTCAATAAACGTTGAGTCCTCTAGGAAAAAAACAATTCTGCAAATCTGACGTGCAACTTACTAGTACTGTAATACTGTAGTGAATTTGACTGTACAACTAGATGAACTAAGAGGAACTACTCGTAGAGCCTACACTCAATAAACGTTGAGTCCTCTAGGAAAAAAACAATTCAAATTCTGCATCTCCTGACGTGAAAATAAAATGAAAAAGTGAATACCAGCACATACAGCCTTAAATCGAACTTCAGCCCTTGGATCAGGTATGGGTTGTCAACGTATCGCGAAATCACAGTCACGCAATCCAAGGGGATTTCGCTCAACTCCTGCAAAATGAAGATCCCGCGACCTCGCGAGGAAGCGTGAGGCTTCACGATCCAGAGATAGTCCGTTCGCTCGTAGACTTGGATGAAAGCTTCAAGTTGATCGGGCATAACGAAAGTCTCCGGAAGGAAGTCGAACTGCAGCTTCCCGAAGAGACGCTGCATGGCTTGGAAGTGGCACCAGACCCTGTCGTGGATGTTTGTTGTCCTCTTTCATGAAACAACTGGTGTCCGAGCACAAGCTTGATGGAAAGCATTTAACTTCGAAAAACAACTGAAATAAGCAAGTAACTGATCAGAATTATAACCGAGATACTGATGAGAAGGAAGAGTAGCCTTGATGTTATTTAAGCTGCCTCCCTTCTTTCAGTCAGTAACTCGGTTATTTTCAGTTTTCGTGTAGAACGAATTTATAAGATAGAAAGAGAAGTAGAAGTGCTAACCTGTCTTTCCTCGTCAACTCCGTGCTTCCGCTGAAATGATTTACATACTGGTACTCGTGCAAATTCTGGTAGACGTAGTCCCGATAATTCGGGCCACTCCATTGCACTACCCAGTCATGAGGACTCAAGCCTAGTCCTATACTATTCGTTGTCAACTCCCTGAAACCGTTGTACTCCAACGTCTGCTTGATGATGCTGGCGTCCGTATTGCTAATGCGGTAGTAAGGCGTCTTGCCGGGACCACGGTAGGGGGTTGGACGCCCGTCTATGGGATTCCGGATGTGGATTTCTCTTGGTTTCACTAGGCCATTCTGCTCACCAGGTATCCGTTCGAAACTGATCACTGGCAAGTTAGAAGAGAGGGAGTACTTCACTTCTTGAGCAATTTATTAGGACTCTAATTATAGAGGTAATTACAATTAGTACTTTAGCTAGAGGTCGTAGGCTTTTGGAGGTGCTCGCTTATCCCGTTTGTTATGCCTGTCCCCCTTAGGAGAGCCATAACAAACGGTAACAAAAGCATCTTTAACTCTTTTTTGTCCTTGATGTTGTATTGAAGAAGAGTGTCCTACCAGAAAGGGCTGTAGGTAATATCTTCCAATTTGTCTACATCAGTATCTTCTTCGAGAACCTGTATCGGTAATTTTCACAACACATTGATGTTGATCGATGTATGTCCTTTACATCTACTTACACATTGATGCTGATCGATGTATGTTGTGTCATAAGTATCGGTGGCGGCCCATTATCTCCCAGCAACTCCAGTATCTCAGTTATCAGCTCGGGTCCAAATTGTTCTAGCTTTTTTTCATCCTCCACAAACCTCCGATCTTCATCATCACTGAGGCCAGGTATTCTGCCCGTCCACCACATGGCTGCGAAGGTGGTACCCCTGGAAGAAACAAAGGGCAGCTATTGGATTGAGATTTTTTTTCAAAGTCTTCGGCCAAAGGGCCAGCGCACCAGCTGACGTGGTCCTCGTGTCTGCTGGTGACAACTTCTAATGGCAGGAGTGCTGATGATGTCCTCCGCAGTTTTCAGTTACAAAGGGTCGTCAGCTTGGAGTGGCTTTTGAATTCGAGGATGTCGTTTGGGGAGGAACAAAAAAGATATTAGCCATGCATCGCTTAAAAATGGAGAACAACTACAAAATCGGCACGCACCTGTACTCTAATGACCGTGAATGGGGTGCTTCATGTGTTCAATGATGATCAAGATCAGTAGAGGTCGAGCAGGTAGTATTTGTTTGAAGAGCGAGGAAACTAGTAGCATGAAAAAGCACGACGACCGAACATTTTATTTCTCCACTCAAGAAGACGAACGCAGTTCGATGAGAAAACAACGAGAAACAGATGAACGACGCGAGCGATGCGACTGTGAAAGAAGATGGGCACTATTTCAGTCGTACAGATGTTAGCGAGAACAGCATCACAAGTTCGACGACTACAGACGCTGATGTTGACGATGACAATCTGCTCTCGATAAATATGGTCTATGAAGCTTCTTGTGAGTCAACGAACGGGAGAAATAGTACCAACTCAAACCGAAGAACGAGGGACATGTGTTGCTCAAAGTTGATTGCCTCTACAAAGAAATTTATAGAACAGAACGAGGGTTCATTTAAAGTCAAAGGTGCGCAGTCTGCATCCATCAGATTGGATGTCACAGCAGCTCGATTCTCGAATGGAGCAAGCAAGTGACATATTTCCAAGTTTGTCGAATATCATCAAATGAAATCCAAATCTTCTTGGTGCAGGAGGTGCCACCAATAGAATTCGTACAGCCATCTCACATCCGATCCAAATCTTCTTGGTGCAGGTAGTAGTAACCAGAAGTCCGTCTTCTGGGATCCGTGATGAACGTGATGTCTTCTTGTGACTGCAAAGAAAATTTCACAATCGTCGCCAAGCTGAAGAAAAAGCAAAACATATACAGCCCGCCCCAATGCCGGACAATCTGGTGTGTGAGAGGGAGAGAGAGGGAGCTGGGGTGATGGAAAGAGAGAGAGAGCGGCTGTTGAGGTGTGTTTAGAAAGGTGGATGTGGAGGTGGTGGGGAGAGAGACTGCGGAGGAGAAGGTGGGGAGAAAAGTGGTTTTGGTGCAAAACGAATAATGGTTTTTGAGCCTATACTACTTCATCTTCTAGAGCGAACAAGTACACGACAAGTAAGAGATAGAAAAGAACCCTTGTTGCCTTGTTGCAGTTGAACTGATAGATAACATGATTGAATGGATGTAGTAGTACGGCATTCTCACCCTGCACGAGAGACATAGACACAAAATGAAAAATACCGCATGTTCGTGCCATCTCCGTGCCCAACTTTTACGTCCGGTCTTCGGACAGTCGGGGTAGTTCCTCTCGTGGTACGTGATTCGTTCGTGGACAGGATTTATGGGCCTCTTATGCAAAGCGAGGCGGACGTGGCGGGAAGGGATGAAAGAGGAAATTCTGATTCAGCGGGTCGCATCTTCTTTGATGGGGGAAGCTGCGGGGTTGGTCTACCTTATTTACAAGGTAGAGGAAGCTTCTAGAGAGTCTGGTAGAATACATGAAAATGCTTTTTCTAGGTAGTGGGCGTGGACCTATCAGCGAACAGGCATTTTTGAGAAAAGACGAGGCAATGGAGCACCTTCTCCGCACTTGTGGAGGATATTTTTCACTGGATTAGATTGAACTGACCTATCTTCTATTCGACAAGCTGAAATATGTGAGTAAGTACTGAAAATACGCGAGATACTGAACAAGGAAGAGTAGCCTTGATGTTAAGCTACCTCCCTTATTTCAGTCAGTAACTCGGTTAAATTTTCAGTTTTTGAGTACTCCCATCCATAAGTATAGACAAATCTGTTTCGTCCCTCTCAACCACCTCACCCGTCTGAGTGATTTGCAACAGGCAGCCACCAGGATGATGTGTCCCACCTGCGTTGTACATCTCAAGCTGATTCATTGCAACCAGGGACTTCTTCTGACTCTGGACCTTTTCGACACGCTCTTCTTCTGTGTAGAAGTCGTGCGATATTTAACGAATGAAAGAGGAGAGGTGGAGAGGGGGAAGCTTAGGGTTGAAGTGTTTCGTGGGGAGAGGGGGAAGCTTATGGTTGAAGTGTTTCGTTCTAGAACGAGAGGTCTTTCGGCTTAGGTCTTTCGGCAACATTTCAGAGAAGTTATTTTCTATGCATTTTGGTCGTGTCTGCACTATGGGTCGCAACTGCGGAGTTACTATAATCTTAGCAATGTTCGAACATCAGATAGATTCGAGTTTCATGTTCATATTTATCTTCCAGTCACGACCATAAGAAAAGTAGCATCTTCGCGTGGCAGATATTAAAGCTCAGCATTCATTGGCCACTGACTCTGAACGGAAGAAACCCCCTCCAAGGCTCTCCCCTTTCCCTTCGCTTTCCCCTGGTCTCTCCTGGGCTCGCCCTTTCCCTTCGCTCTCCCCTTTCCCTTCGATCTCAGTGACCAATGACCATTGAAAGTTGAGCCTTAAAGATACCGGTTACAGTACTTTTCCCGCGAACCCAACGCTAGATCCCGAAGGATGTCACTAGTTGCTGGATAAGAGGTCAGCCCTCGGTGCTCCAGTCCAGGCAGTGCGCGAGGTCGGGTGTCACGTGGCGATGCTGATGATGTCGGAGGTGGGTGAGAGCTACTAGTCACAGTTGTGCTGGTAGTCGCAGTGTAGTTGGCGCTTCTAGTAGTAGTAGTCCTGTTTACAGCAGACGTGGGTAGGTGAGAAGAAGAAGCTGAAGCTGTTGAGTTGCTTGTTAAGGATGTAGACGTAGATGAAGAAGCGGTTCTTGAGGTTAGCCTGGCCAAAGTATTTTCCAACCGGTGCTCATCTACAAGGAGTTGCCTTCCGTGGATCTCGACTTCGAAAGCAGCTCCTCCTGTCGCGGTACTAAAGGTTCTTCTACGGTGAAACTGAAACGTCGATGACGAACTACTAGCAGCCAAGCCTCCGAAGGCTCCTGACGTTGCTGGTGCGCAGGGACGCATCGTGGCAGTGGCCACTGCTGGCCTGACGGAGTGATAGAAAGCCTGCATGTTCTTGATAGTATTCTATCAGTGCGGAAGATGAGGATCAAGTGGTTGAGGTCGTGGTCCTCGAGTTCAAAAGCCTAGAAGAACTGGATAAAGGTCGTGGTCCTCGAGTTCAAAAGCCTAGAAGAACTGGATAAAAATCACAATTGGTGATTAGCATGACGCATGTAGTGTAGTAACAAAAGTGAATAGAAGATGAACGAAATTCGATCAAGGACGAGAAAGCAAACAAGACTGAATATAAAAGGATCATTTATTTTCTATAACTGGATAAAAAAGGATTATAAAAAGGTTTTCGTCAAAGTTCTCCCTGAACAACTTCTAGCTCACCACCAGCTCTTTTTGATTCAAGTTTTTAACGAAAATGTTTAAGGTGTTGTTTCCATTAGAAGACACCAAAGAAAGTATGAGAAAACGGTCAACCGATTGGTCTCTCTCGCTCCCCTCGCACCGCCTGCAGTCTCATCATCCTGTTGCAGCACCAAGTCTCTCCTCCTCGCACACGCTAGCGTGCGGCGCCTGTTGTATGTCGTAACCGAACCGCCTGCTCCTGCGACAGAGATTCATATTTTTTCGCATCGGCAGCTCGGACTTACCACCACGCGGTGGAGTCGTGGCTTGTTGGTCTCTATGATTTTTGGAGAAGGAAAGTGTTGAGCCACGAGCTCAGGTCGAGGCACTTAGTTGTTGGTCCTAGTAAATACCAACCAGAGCAGTTAGGAAAGCTGTAAGATGATTGGGATAGGTTGGTACCAAGCAGGGTGGTGGCAGAGGGCGTACGTGTTGTAGGGTGATTTCCCTTGAGGAGCGGAGAAACGGCTGAAAAATGAAAAGAACTATCAAGAAAACGACTGTTGGGTGTGCTGTACCTACAACTAGTTGTAGTACATGTCGAGCTATCAGGTAACATAGGTAAGAGGCTGTTGTGAACTTGTAATGACTGATGTACTAGTTCAAGTTGAGGGCAGAGAGTTAAAAAAAATACTTCGAAAAGGAAAAACATATTTTCAAATGAGGGGCCGGCTGGAGTACCTACGAGCAATGCAATTCATTGGTAGTACTTTTACAACATAAATAGAATTTGAAACAAGAACCATGTCAGTACTATTAGCCGATGCTTAAATCATGATAAACCTATTTCCACCTTCATTTGTTGTCTTGTCAGGTTACACAAATGGGCATAAGATTTTCTTCTATGCATATTATGATGAATGAGCCTACGCAGTACAACGGAGGGAGCACATCTTACAGCCAGTGCATGCGGAACTATGACATATGTCAAACGAAACAGAGTTCTGCTGTGGTACTAGAAGATGCATGATTGTAATCCTGAAACTGCAATAACGTACGAAGAGCAGATGATGGTATTCTTGAATACAGAAGACCACAACATCTTTGTCGAGGATTTAGCTACAGATACGCATTTAAGTTTCATCCTGGCAGGTGAAGATTGTAGATATTTCATGTTGCTGGATTCTATTTCTTTCATAATTGGTCGTGGACATTTTTATTTAGCAATAGGAGAGCAGGGTAGGATAATATACCTTTTGTACGGGAATAAAAGAAAGAGTTCTGTGTGAGAGGTCATAATATATTGTCCCTACCAGGAAGGAGGGCTGAAGAGTTGTTGAAGAAATAGTTGTTGTTGATAGGGCTGTGTTGAATTAGTCATTTCAGATACTATCTGATAGTCGTGAAGTAAGAAGTCTAATCGCATGAAAAGAGTCGTAAAAATAAGCTAAGTGATATGAAGCTCTGGTGTCGTCGTCAACTGGATATTACGAGTAAGATCTTTATTTGCTTGCATTATTTCATTGATGGTAAACTGAAGCGTAACGCCAGGATATTTTGGGTTCTGGAATAAGGGTAAAACGAGGAAAGGGTTGTTTCGTTGTCTTTGTGTATTGTCAGAAATTCTTCTTCGGCAATGTACCACTACATTTTCTATAATTTCAAGAATTATTCAAGAAACTGCCAGCTCATCTACAAACTAAAATCTAAAGAGGTATATGCCTCAAAGTTACGCTAGCTGCTTTCGGTCTCGGTATTTTTTTTGGTGGAGGGGCTGGCGTCTTATGCATATCGGCGTATTCCCTTACATTCTTCGCTTGAAAAACCGCTGTCGACCCCAGTCTCGTATCCCTGTATTGGTCGTGTAAATCCAGCGTAGCGATAGTATCCTTACTGTCTCCACTCATTTGTCTTCGACTATTTTTGTTCCCACCCTGGCTGTAAACGCTCTGGTGGACATGCAAGAATTTGTCTGCCCGACCGGCTGCGGTGGTCTCACGACCTGAATACTAGGCGGATAATGATAAGAGGAGACTGAAGGTTCAAGGTTCAAGGTTGAAGGTACACGGCTCTACAGCCATGCCGTGTTGTTCAGCAGACTTTTCTACATGTGAATAATCTGAGATGATGATCTCCTTCTACATCATCCACGTGAAACGTCTAGTCCACCAAAAATAAGTATCTATAAGTACTAGAATCCGGTCTGCATCTTTTCAGCTTCTCCAATGAGAAAGTTCGTATCTGCGACTGGGTCATGCCAGCAAACTTTGATGACGACAGGAATCCCGATGACGGCAATCGCGTGGATCCACCTCCATTCAGTGATGTGCTAGTCATCTTACTACGTGTCCCAGCAAAGGTGGTACAACTATGCGTGGTTGACATTGTCGATATTAAGTTGTTGCTTTTGTTTGAGAAAAAACCGGATGACGGTGCGGAAGTGGTGGTTTTCGAATTCGACTGTTGACACTGTCTGGAAGAACTAATATGATCGTGAAAATAGCCACTCCCACCACCACCTGCAGCACACGCTGCGTCTTCTTCGGCGTTATCAACTGCTTCCAGTCCACCCAAGCTCACCAGACTAGTCTTCTCCTTCTTCAGACTAGTCTTCTCCGTCATCCGTGTAGTGGAAAACGAACTTTTGCGAGCTCGGCTTAGACGTAAGCGGGTAAGCACGTCGATCGGTGGCGCGCCGGACTCTCCCATTTGGAGACGCTCCACCTCGTTCGACAGACAATGCATCGCTGCTCTTTCTGCGTTGGACTTGCTTTTTACCTCAGGTTGTTGAAAGTGTATTTAGATACTATGTAGATGTGTATTTAGATTGATAGTAAGTAGTGTATTTAATAGATTGATAGTAAGTACTATTTAGATTGATAGTACAGTCGAAAGAAGGATGGAGACAATGAAGAGCCACTACATGGATAAACTACTTAGTAGGGATAAAAACAAGCTGAGTGTCAGATTCCAAAAATGCTAAGCCTGTTTGGATTGATCAATTCGGCGATCTACATCTAGGAGGTACTTAAATCTCTTAAATCTACCTTGAACCTAGGTACTACTTATCTCTTATCTACCTATACATCTAGGCATCTACCTACCTTGAACAGCTCCAACGCAGTAGCATCACAAGCATCGGCAAAGGCGTCACTGGTATGTTGCAACTTCTCTAGAGTTCTCATCCAGCCGGCCATTCGCTTCGTTTGCGCTATAATCTCCGGATCTTTCCCCGTCCTCGGACTAGATGTCGAAAAAGTAGCTGCTGCTTCATGTTTTGTTTGAATTTGATCGCCCTGATGTTCTACTACAAGGTTGCTAGATGCAGGACCGGTTGCAGAATTACCATCAGTTCTTGCATCAGTTGCGTTCGGCTGATCGATTTTGGTCGTCATTGTCGGGTCATCTGTTAGAAACGTCTTGGCTCCTGCATCACCCTCTCCTGCATCGCCATCGAATCCCACAGCATGCTCATGATCTTGAAGGAAAAGCGTTTCTTGTCCGTCATCTTCATGTTGTCCTCCGTACACAAGCTCCTGTTCATTTTCTTGATGTTCTAATTGTTCATCTAAACTAGAAGAAGTAGTACTTTCTCTTTCCACTAAAACTAAACTTGTACTACTTCTATTTTCCAACATTGTACTAGTGTTCATCGTCCTCCTGTCTTTCTTCTGTTCGTCCAGATATTCCGCACCTATCGGGAAGTTCAGAAGAGCATCCGTATAGTCCATATCCCGAAGTCTCTCTTCATCAGGCACCTCGCGCCCCTTAGCCAAGGCATTCAGAAGTTCCGCTTCTTCATCGGCATATCCTACAAGAACATGTCCTTCTCCTTCCTCTTCGTGGTCGTCGTAGGAGTTGTAAGATTGGTCGTCTCCAAATAAACTGTTGCAAGAAGCTCCATGCTGCTGGCCAGGTTGATCTCCTAACATCAATTGTGAAGATGTCGACATCGAATGAGCCTTCACTACTTTCTTCCTAGGTGGCGGCACAACCGCAGACACGATCAGAGCTTCAGCAAAGCTCGGCAGCACTGGTCCTCTGGAAGATTCGGTAATTCCAGTTGCCGAAGAAGTACTACTACTTCTATGAAAATGAAAGTCCCCCACTGGTGTCTTACTCAATGACGATCCGCCATGAGTAGCCTGTTGCGAAGAGAACGTCTTACTCCCTGGTCCATGGTTCATCATACTAGAACCTCCAACTCCTCCAAGTTGTTTCGAACTGAAGACGGTAGAGCTGAGTTGTTTGCTGCCTCCAGTCGTGGTCGAAGGACCCTCTTGAAAATCGTCTGACCCTGCTGAAGCGGTTGAACAGGTCTCATCTTTGCTGCTGCCTGAAGGACCGCCTCCAAGCTCTGACAATTTATCTCGTAGTCGGTCCACTGTGGAGATGGCGGAAGCGTCTTTTTCGGAAAGTTAGAAAGGAGCAGCAAGTAGAATCGAGAGGAAGATATAATACAACCGAGCCATTCTTTCATTACTTGTTTCTAGACGAACACCATCACCACCCATAATTTCCATCGCCATCCTGTTCCTAGTTATAAGCTCACGGCGGCAGAAGTATCAAACATCAATCTGAGTCTTCAAGTATACGGTACTACCAATGCAAAGAAGTCCGGCCATATTAAGTTGTATTGCTGAATTCGAATTTCTCGTCGTTCATGACCTTCTGCATCAGGTGTGTTTTCAGGTTCTTTATCATTCCCTCTAACTGTTGTCTCCGCCACTTATCAGTCGGAGACATCTTGCTGGGTGTCACTGCCGAACCCTTGGTGACAGCACTCTGAGGTCTTGTCATCGCACTTTGAGGTCGACTGGAACCAGAGACAATAGTTTTGTTCTTCTTGGTTGTGTGATTCAGAAGGCCTCCATCGTGTTGAAGGTCCCTTTGTTCTTGTTCTGCTGGTTTAATATTCGGTGTGAGTGCAGTGTCAATATAATCTTGATAGTTGGTTCTTGTTCCACCATAATTGGCGTCGTATGTGTAATATTCCTCTCGGGCAGGGCCGCCACCCACAGTGCTTGACGGCGCAGGTCTCTGCCCTTGACTACTCAATGGCCTATTCAAACCAGCACTCATTGGTCTATTCCCGCTCGTCGGCCGCGCTGACGTTGCGCGTGAAGATGCTAGCAGGTAAGAAGACACCGAAGCATTTGTCCATCCGCCGGCACTGGTTGGACGGGATGGCGAAGTTCCTGAGAGTGAGAGTTCATGCAATCTTCTGCACAAATTCTCCATATCTACTAGATCCGCGTCGGCTGGCTTGCCCTGTTGAGAGAACGATGCGAAAGCACGTGCGTGGGCCATGCGCCTTTTATGATACGCAGACGAAGGACGCGAGTACAAGTCCCGTTTTAGTTCTGACATAGACTTACTTTTCTTGTTGGAGGAAGAGACTTGTTCTCCAGAGACTCCTAGTACTCCACGACCTCTGGTCTTTCCACCGGCACCGCTGTGCCCTGCACTAGTACTTCTAGCAAGATGTTGACGAATAGCAGATGTCGGCGAATCGCCACCTTCATCTTCATCCGCGACGATGCCCAGAGCAGCGTCGTCTAGCTTTTCGCAACTTGTGTTCATCATCTGGTAAAGGAACTGTTCTTCGAACTGTTCTTCATTGTATTTTTCCCTCTCAGCTTCATGGAAAAGCGGAGGATGGCCTTGAGGATCGTCAAGAACATTTTTAACTGGTGAAAGAAGGTGCCCTCTAGCTGCTCCAAGGACGCCTCCTAAATCCGCAAGAGCAGCGTCATCCTCATCCCTCTGCGGCGATCCTGCAGTGCCGTAGGCTTTTTTCATCGAGTGGTAAAGTTCGAGCTGCGGCCTCAGCGTATATTTCGCGAGTAATGGGTCCACATCCCTGACTACATGGAGGGCTCCAGCAGATTTTGTGCCTCGAATTGCGCCGGATACCATTTTGTATTTTGGAGACGAGCACGACTAGAGTCAGAAGCTATGTCTTAGTCTTCATTGTCATGGTAAAAGCAATCTGTAAACTAAATCTATAATAGATAGAAGTTCTTTTCGTTGAGAAGAAAGTGGGCGAAGTGAAAAGTGTGACAGTTCCTTGCTCGGAATGGAGACAACATTAAATCCTCGACTTCACCACGCAATATTTTTTGCAGACGAATTCTTTTTCGCTCGAATGGAAACCGCGATAAATATCAAGGTAGGCAAACGACCGCATCTGTCATCTCAGTCTCTCTTTTCTCTCCACTGAAGTGGCAAACACGAAAAACGTCCCGAGACGAGAGGATAGTTCAAATGTCGCGGCTCAACATCGAACGACTGTGAGGACTACAGAAGATGCGAGATGGCGAAGAGTTCAAAAGTGATAAAACACTAACCGGTGACGCGTCGTTACTGTATGAAGAGTCCAAGGTCACTATACTGAGTACCCAGCTGTAGGTCCAGCTACAGCCCCTTCCTTTGGAACGAAGTCGGTCCATGCTGCGAAGGCAGACTCGATTGTTCCGAGTTGCACACTAAAATCCAAAAGGCTTGACATCCACCACAGTTAGAGCTCACCCCAGTGAATCTACTTGAAGACCATGATCCTAAGACATTTTCCCCTTTGAAAACGTCTCCCACATGCTTCTGAAGATGGATAAGGACAAGCCTTAACATAGTGCTTTGCCCATATGATTCAGGGCTTTATCTTGCGCCTCTTGCAGATGTGGGATTAGAGTAGTTGGTGGACGGTAGAAGTCTTGATTGGATTGTAGAAGTTCGCATCGACGTGGGTCTCGTGTCGACAGCACTCCTACTTACTCTGCTTCTGGTTCTAGAGAATGAAAGAATTTACCTAAAAATATCTCTCTCTGGTCAGGTTAGGTTGTGAATCCTACTAACATAACTGTATCGCCCCTTTAAACTTCTGTTCGTCGACTATGAATGGCTTCTCATGTGTTACTTCTATATGTATATTTATGTATTCGTGTATTTATGTATTTCGCAATTATCGGGCTAAACTCGGTCGAAATATACCTAATTAACCTAGTAAAATCAGAATCTTAGACAGAATTACGCCTCAATCTGATTCCAATTTTGTGTTCTGTTATCGGACTTCTACTTTTTCGTTTCGCTTCTCTTCGCTCAGTTTCTCACTTAAAAAACTGTGAATCCTACTAACTCTAACATAACTGTATCGCGGGGATGGCTCTCCTCCTAAGGGTTACGGGTCGTTTCCGAACAAGTTGGCATATGGGGATATGGAAAGCACATGGCAGCTAACATAACTGTATCGTCCCTTTAAACTTCCCTTGTTCGAATAGAAAGTTGTATTGTCCACGTAGGATCGTATCGACTTGTTTTTCTTGAGGAACTGGATCTATCGAATTGAGAGCCAAAGTCCCTATCACCAGCGAAGACGCCACATAGCTCCGCTCGAAGAGGGTGGTAGTGGATGAAGGAAGGAAAATGTGAAGAGGGTTTGGAAGGATGCGTAAGAGGAGTCAAGTCAAAGAACGTCTTGAACAGAGTACTTAAGAGTCTTGAAGAGAGGAGGATGAGTAACCTCAGGTCGTTTGGAGGAAAACGTAAAAAGCACTACTTGTTGTCGTGGAAGCGGAAGTGATGAATGGATGGATGTTCCTGATGCACCCAGTCACGACAAAACGATTGAAAAAAGATGAACGATACAAGAAGTAGATAGAGATAGTTTGCTTCCGTGTCATAGCACTTCATCAACCAATTGGTAAACTTCCGCTACTAATTGCTGGAACAGCTCTGCCCTCGCCTGCGGTGTAGTCCCTTGCTTGTCTTTTGTTAGAGTGAAAGACAACTTCAACCTCTCGGCAATGGCATGTTGTTCTTATGCTACTTTTGTAAAGAGTTCTTTAGTACTTGAAGATTCTAGTAGTTGTACCTATCAACATCTAGTATGAATGCGAAATGACATTGGCATACTGTTCCTTTGTACACAACTGTAACTTCCAGTACTAGCATGAATACGGACAATACAAGCTACTCTTAACTGAGATGGCGTGGTACTCAAAGCTTCGATTAATGCGGCATGCGCATAGGCATTCGGAATATCTGTAGCAGGCGATGGTGGACCTCCCTTGGCCCTGGCGTAATATGAACGAGAGTCGATAATTTAGTTCATGACATGGTGGAGGAACGTTAGAGGTTGCTTCGCTGAAAGAACTCAGGTGATGTGAGTGGTCATTCATGTTCATCTTCCCAAGACTGGTGTCAGTAGAACATCAGAAAAGGTAGTTTGCTTATCTCTAAAAGAAGTAAAAAGTAGTCGTGGTTGATCTTCTACCTCAAAATCAAAAAACTAGGAACATATATATTAATTTTTGAGCCCCCTCCATTGCCGCTGCGGCTAAAAATGGCTTCCACGACGCGAGTCTTGCTCGATTGCTCCGACTTGATTTCTGCTTATTCACAAAATCTTGGGGAAGCTGATCTGCTACCGTATTACTTGCAGGCCCACCGCCTCCGGCTTTGACGAGAATGCTCTCCATGCGTGGCATCCAGACTGAAAGCGCATAATCGCGCAACCAATCCAGGCTTTGTTGGACGTGGACAGCGGCGACTAACGCTACTAAGCTGTAGCCCTGTGCGGCGCGATATGAAAACGAGAATGTTGTATAGCCTCTGACTGTGTTGAGAGGGCAAAGTAGAGTCTTCTATATGTTGAGGTTGGGCGATCAAAATCGGTGCTCTTGATCATAATCGAAAATAATTGAGCTGCAAAGAAAAGGCAGGTGGGCGAGTACAATCAGAGTGATTCACTCTGATTGTACTCGGCAAAGGAGTTACGATATGAATGATTTTCAAACACCTATAAAATATGCATAATCAAAAATGACCATAAATTCGCAGCTTTGACCTTTGACCCTGCTTGGGAGGCGCATGTAACTACGGAAGGCAGTCCAGCATCGTAGACCACTGGCGCCGTAGGACCTTCCTGTTTGCGCACTGGCAGACCCTTTGATTTATCTCCCGCATGCGAGCTAGCACAAAGGTATTTCTCGCGAAAGCCTTGTATTAGTAGAGCTTGGGCTTGTTCTGTGGATGAAACGGAGTCGCTTACTACTTTACGACTTCTAGACTAGATCAACATAGCGACCCCCCCAAAAAATAGAGGTTCGTTCCCCTTGTACTTGTTGTTCCACCCCCCATCAAGTACAAGTAGGAGCGAGGTAGCTGCACCAGCAACATCAAGGTAAGTAGGACCACGACGTAGCCTTAATTGTACTGCAGTGGCATACTCCTTCGCATCTTTGTTTTCCTGCTTCTCCACAGGTATAGGCAGAACAGCTTCGAGAGAATTCATAAACTTGTCTGCAGATTAGAAGGCGATGATTCAGATCGAATGACTCTTCGAATGGAAAAGAGCTACTGAAAATAAGGGAGAAGAGATACTGAAAAAAGAGGAATGTTGTCAAGACTCTCTTATTTCGGTCAGTAACTACTCGTATATTTTGAGTTTTCGTGTATCTTAAAAGACTCTTGCAAACCGCTTCCGTGATTGCTCTGTCGGTTTCCCTGCGTTGGGTTTATCTTCAGCATTAGAGTGACTCAGCTTGAATCCATTTTCGGAGTGTAGTTCTCTCCATTTCGGTAGCCTTGTTTCCTCCTCGCCCTTGTATTGTTGTTGTTCTACGGGTGCCAGAATAAGAAGCAGTTGGCTTAGTGGTTTAGGCGTTCACCTGTAGACTTATCACTCAGAGTGAGAAAGATGGATCAGAAAGATGGACGCCATAACAGCACCAAGCAACTTTTCTAAGTCCGCTGCTTTTCCTGCAGGAGATGGTGTTGAAGCTGATCCACGTGCGGCCGTGCCTGTTTGTGCTTTTCCTGTTGCTGAAGCTGGAAGTGGAGCTGAGGCCTTAGCTGAAAGTGAAGCTGCAGGTTTAGGAGCTGCAGGTTTAGGAGCTGCCGATTGAGCACTCGCAGGTGTAGCAGGTGCAGGTGTAGCAGGTGCAGGTTGAGCAACTGCAGGTTTAGGAGCTGCAGGTCTAGGAGCTGCAGGTTGAGCACTCGCAGGTGTAGCGGGTGCAGTTTTAGTAGCTGCAGGTTTAGGAGCTGCAGGTTTAGGAGCTGCAGGTTGAGCACTCGCAGGTGTAGCGGGTGCAGATTGAGCAGCTGCAGGTTTAGGAGCTCCAGATTTAGCAGGTGCAGGTTGAGCAGGTGCAGGTTTAGGAGCTGCAGGTTTAGGAGCTGCAGGTCTAGGAGCTGCAGGTGAAGCTGACTCTGACTCCGTTACGTGTAGAAACGTAGAGTTGACGTAGTTGTTGCCTTGTTCATCAGGTTGTTCATGATTTTTCGCTGCCTTTCTAAAGTAATTGTGACCACTGGACTTTGTAAACTCAGCAGCTGGAATGTTGTCACCTTCTTGTTCATCTGCTTTCACAGTTGTGCCATCTTCTGTAATTTTCACAGTCGTGCTATCTTCGGTTCTTTTCACCTCCCCGCCACCTTCACCAGTTTTCACACCACCGTCTTCAACATCTTCGTTTACTCTTGCACCAACAGCAACATTAGCACCAGCATTATATTTCGCAGATGTTGCTCCTTGATTAGAAGAGAGCGCAGAACCCAGCAGGATTCCATCATACTGAAAATGAGGAAACAATTTTCCGAAAACGAGCAAGTAGAGAGACCGAATCATAATGGTTCTCGTCATCGTTGGATCCTAAAGCGTTAGCGTTAGGACTGGAGATCATCCAATCCGTACTGCCACTGATAGATTTTGGTCATATTACCGAGACTTTGGTAAATGAGTGACCGACGACAGACATGTCACAGAATTCCTTTGATCTTAATTCCTCTTTTCTCTCTCTGTCCAGCACCAAGGATCTCAAAAAAAAACTCTTTCTAGCTCGAGGTAGACGCAGATACTACGGAAGGTATAAGCCCCCACGAACAGTATCTCATCGCAGAGCCTGTCCATCTTTGCTTCATTTTCGTACTTTCGGAAAGTAGAGGCGCTTTATTCAAGAATCAAGACAAGGTATGAAACATTGTGGTCCATTTACGTATGGATGTAGTTGACGCATGAATCATTTAGATGTATACTCGCGGAGTTGGGTTTGGGTTGGGCGAGGGCGTAGGGGTGAAAAGCATGACCAAAATTAGAAATAAGAACAGAAATAACGGTTTAACGGATGCAATGCTAACTCAGCTGCGAGCATTATATCATGTCGTGTATGAAGTTCAAAAAATTCAAAAAGAACTTCGATGGTTCGATTGGAAAATTATACGTGTATGTAACATGTAAACCAGCAAAAATCCAACGAAATCATCACAGCACGCGGTGTCCACAGCGCTTGCTCTCCTTTTCAAGCCCAATCTCAAGCGCCAGCCATCGATTTGATATATCCCATCAGTCTGGATTCGACATTAGAGCTTTGACTGGATCTACTCTACCAGTGCAGATGTAAATACAAATTGGATCTACTGCTCTACTAGTGTTAGTAGATAAGAGATGTTACAAATTGGATCTACTGCTCTCCTAGTGTTAGTAGATAAGAGATGTTACAAATTGGATCTACTACTCTACTAGTGTTAGATAAGAGATGTAGTAAGGAAGCCTTAACAACCGTCGCCATTTTTTCGAGACCATGTTCTTGGACGCATCGCAAAGCACATTTTTCGATGGTCGTCTGCATCTGTTGCTGCTCTGCCTCACTAGGCGGTGCCTGTAGGCCAGAGCGAATGGCCTCTATTTGCGGAGCGAAACTGTCCATACAACTTTGCTGACAACTCTGGACTCCGCGTTGGAGGCCTGGAGTGATGAGGGGAGAGAAATAAGGGTGACAACTCTGGACTCCGCGTTGGAGGCCTGGAGTGATGGGGGGAGCGAAATAAGGGTGAAGACGAGAGGGCTGCAGGGGAGAGGGATAATCATCACAAGCACAAGCATGAAGAACACCATTTCATTTTGATGATGAGGTGGTCGGACTGGAGGAAAAAAATACTGCGGTCTGAAAAAACACTTTGCTTGAGAGTATGACAACTCTGGACTCCGCGTTGAAGAAAAGCCCAGCAGCATTATTAATATTTTAGTTCTAGGAATATTAGAAATATAGAGTTCGAGTAGTAGGATGAACTTGAACCTATACAACTAAGGTAGACAATCTAAGCACCTTGAAACTCCCTGTTTGTTGCCGCGCTCAACTCTTCAAACGGCTTCTGACATTTCTGAACGCAAGCGCCTATGTCCTTATATTTTTCCCCATGTGTGTCGAAACATGGAGATTAGAGGGTGCTTGGATGTAAGTGGTAATATAGTAGGAGCTCAGTGACATGAAAACCTAGTAGACTAAGAAAATCAACATGTTTCAACAAAACTAAACTTCAGAATGCACATTGTCAATGCTTATTTCATCCTCAATATCGATACTCAGCTAATATTAAGATAATTTTCAACTTCTCCAGCATAATTCAACGAGCATTCTACTCCCTTCCTTTGAACCGGGACAGCCGCGATGGAGAAGCGGTCGGCAAGAGATTCGACTTGATTTTGCAGATCCTTTTGCCCAGCTTGCAATGCAACACTTGACTCTGAAGGCCCTGTCCTAGTTGGCGCAGCAGTCGCCGCCGTGGCAGATGCGGGAGGAGGTGGAGGGAGGGATGAAAGGGGGAGAGGTGGAAAGCCTTGTAGTTGTATGGAGGGGGGACGGGGAGAAACAGGGGATGAAAGTAGACAAGAAGCAGAAAAGCCGAAGGCGGTGACTCTCACGGCAAAAACTTATATATGTACCAGGGAGGGAGGCCCCCCCCCCCCTGTGGATGGATCGGGGGTGGACCACGCCAGAGGGGTCCAGCCTTGCCACCATATTGGCCAGGCCTGCCGAGGGGCTGCCGGGCGGGAAGGCCTCAAAGCGCCCACTTCTGACCCCTTCCCGCTTCTTGCATGTACCCTACAGACCTGGCAAAGGCAG